TGTATTAGGAAGTGTAATAATATGTGGGAGCTTAAGACCCACGCTGAAAATCGGGAGATTTTTTTTGGTTCATGAAGAAGAATAAGAAGAGATTATTATTCTTTCCTAATAATTATTGTGTGGTGCTCTATGTAGTCCAGCTGTGGCCGTCGCCCCCCAACGTGGCGTAGTACCTCGTGGGCTGCCCGCCAACTGTAAGTAAAAATATGATTTTCTTTTTGTTTTCGAGGGTTATAGGGAAGAGTGTCTCTTGAAAGAAGGGGGAAAGGAACTTTTAAGTATGATACTGCTGACATGTGTGTTCACTCTGTTTATCTTTATTATTAAAATCTTTAAAAGTTAGCTGAAAAATCCAAAAAAGAAAACTCTCATCCATGTAAATTCACAGACAGAAAAAGAGAAAGTAAATACTTACGCAAAGCATTCCCCAAATTCATGGGGGACCTCGGCCGCACTTTTGACCCGTGGGCACGGGGAATTTGAAAATGAAGCAGGACTTACGCCCGGAGGCTGCCTGAGTAAAAAAACAGCCGTTCGCGTGAAACGATGCAACATCCGAAGATGGGTCGAGACAGAGGCTACTAGGAACTGTGAAAGAAAGCAAAGGGGGAGGGGAGGGGGATAAACTATATTAAGAACGCAATAGACGCTTTTAATGACTTCCTGGGTCAGAGCAAGGGGAGGAGGGGAGGGGGGTATAAAATATATAAAGAACGCAAAGAAGAAGATGAGGCTTTTAAGGACTTCCTCAGGTCCAAGTCAAAGCAAAAAGCACACGCCACCGTCCAGATGGATGGATAGATATTGACCACTACCGATGGACTACTTGACAGGTCGGCTTCTAGGAGCGGGATGACAGTGGAGCATCAATCTTGACTAGCATGGAGGTGTCTGTGCACTATCGCCATTCCGAGAAACGAAAGAGATGAACAGTTAATGGGAAACTGTTAAACCACACACATACAAGATTCTATCGTGCTATACTTACCTATACTTCTACGATGAGACACAGGAGAACCGAACACCCAGTCAGTGTAGAGCAGAGAATCGCAGCCAGAACAGAAACACTTCTTCTAGCTGGATAAAAAAAAGATCATTAGAGGGCTGCACCCACTGTGCTATCTTTATTTTTGACACGGCATTACCATCCTCCTCCATCCCAAGCTGACTTACATTTGTTTTGTCGTTTCACAGCAAAGTTATAGACAGAGAGAGATGGGGTCTAAGCCAATCCAAGTTCAAACAGATCACCGCAGAGCCATCCTCTATTAGAAAAAAGAAAACATCTATGAGCAGCTGCATACACTTTTTGACATGTCACGGCAGACATCTTCCTGGTTCTTCAAACACGCAAAGACAAGCACAAGCACAGCGATACTTACTATTATGACATCCTTGGCTTGGAGGAAGAGAGCCTTGAGTTAGAGAGAGGAAAAGCAAGAAGGGGATGACCAATTCTGAAAAAAGAATAAGAGAAGAAAGGGGAGGAGAGAAAGAAAACTTTTTTGAGAGACTGCCATATTGCATACGTCATGGTCAGGAGCCCTTTCCCGTCACGCTGCTGTACACACTGCACACCTTTGACGCGTCATCCCCAACACCCATGTCATCCTACTCACCTATCATACCAATGTTCAAGTCCCCTTTTGCTTATACTTACTATCTGTTATTTGTCCGCAGGACACAATTAACCCAACCAGCATAAAGCGAAACCTGAAGTAGAATGAAAAGAAGAAAGATCATGAGCAGGCTGTTCTTAATATGCAACTATTCCTGACACGTCATGGCATCAGCACCTCCAACAGACACTCGACTTCTCTCCAACTCATCCTCACATTTCATTCCCTACCGTACTTACAGTTGTTGCTTATGTTTAAGGGTGGGATGCAAACAACAAATCGAACCAACCATTTCAAAAAGTCAGAATCCTATAGTAGTAGCAGAGAAGAAAGGAGGATAACATTAGCGACTGTATGCTGTACACACACTTCTTTAGACACGTCAAAATTCAGATCTTCTTTCGTATATCACATCCACAAGCAAAGCCTCAAGTCACACTTCACATTTTCCATATTGTACTTACTCTTGCATCTGTGCTTTGAGAGCCAACGTGAGGGGGAGATGGACCAGGTTAAGACGAGAAGAAGGTCTGTGTCAAAAGAAAAAAGAAAGTGAGATAAACGTATCTTGAGATACTCGCAACCGGTTGCATACGCTCTTCTCACTCACCACCATAAACATACACTCTTCGATCCTCTAATCCGTATTAATGATACTCACATTGAATAGCTTTGGCTTACAAACGTTGACGAGGAGGAAGAGGAGCGGCATGATTGCTGCGGCCGCGCGGTTATATAGAGTAATGAACAAGGCATTTGAGCCAGTTCAATCTATCCAATCAGATTGCTCTCTCACGTTTATGACGCGCCGAGATGTGTGGCTCCTCCAGATAAGAAAGTTTATTCTACATGAATGTATGACTATGTGAGTAGACGGGTATCGCATCGAGAAAAGACTCAAGCGGATAAGCGTTATAAACACGATATGAAGCTCACTTCAAATCCTTCATCATCTGAGAAGTGTCATCGCTTTAAACACGCTGGATACAAGTATCAATACAAGTATTAACGTATACAAGAGTATCCAAAATCTCATGAGACATGACGATCCCGCGCTTGCCGATGTTCCATTTGGTGGAAATATTATGGTCCTTGGTGTTGACTTTTGCCAGGTACTCAACATTGTATCCTCTCTTCTACTTTGCATGTTTTTTACTATTAAGCGGTAGTACTCACAGTAAAGTATATGGTAATAGGTCCTTCCAGTGATACCAAATGCATCGCGCTCGCAAATCGTACAGCAGTGTCTAAATCGTTCATCAATTTGACCCAGTGTCACCGTCCATCGCCTTGAAACCAACATACGCGTCCAACAAGCTGCCAACACCAATGATGCAAACGAGCTTGGCCAGTCTATGCAACATTTACTTTGCATTGGTGATGGTGCCGAGCTGTTGGTGCCAAGCGGAACTTGCACACCCATAGTGGACTCTGCAATAAGACACGACTGATTGTACGCTCTCTCCAACGACATGTACTTGATGCTGAAATAGCCACTGGACCTCATACCGGCAACATCGTCTTGATCCCTCGCATAACTTTAACACCATCACAAACACGTTCCCCCATTCTTTTTTAAACGCACACAATTCCCTGTCCGCCCTGCCTTTGCTATGACCATCCACAAAGCGCAAGGGCAAACCCTGCAATATGTCGGTGTCCGCCTTGCAGAAGATGTCTTTGCTCATGGCCAACTATATGTTGCGCTATCTCGGGCAACTGACCCTAACAATCTTCGCGTTGCCATCGATCTCTCAGGGTCTGGACCACCACAAACCACCAACATCGTCTACCAAGAAGTTCTCTTGCAATCGCCGGCCTCTGTTCCTGAACAAGCCGAAAATTCACCACCAACCTCTCCCACAACAACAATCACCGCATTTCCACCTCCATCACCTTAAGCCCTTTTCTGCTCTTTTTCTTTTTGCTTCTAAACTCTTATTTTCACTTAGTATCATTTAACGTACAATAGAATATTCTTACCTCTTCACGGTATCTTTCGTAAGTAGATCTGACGCGAAACAATAAGATATAGAACTACGCGAAGCTGCCGTCACCTTTCAGCTAATTACGACAAGCAGCAATAATCTACCATGATGTTCAAATGAAAGCGGACACATTGATGAACTTTCAAAAATATGTAAGAGCTGTCGATAGCAACAAATAAGTTATCCTCGCATTAACAGTGAAATACCAGTCAAAAGTTCCTCTGTCGTCCCTTTTAATTTGACAAACCAACATGTAGTAGGGTTTCGTGTCATAGCAATAATGATAATGTTTAGGGTTATATGTAGTCATAGCAATAAATAAGCTCGCGAAGCGAGCTTTGGTTAGGGTTTAGAAGGGGGGTGTGGGGGGAACCCTCAGGAAACATCCAATCCGTTGAATGACCCGGAGCGCAGCGAAGGGGCTCATTCAGCCGAGCGAAGCGAGGCAGGTGTCTGTTTATATTACATATAGGTGGTGAACCCTTCTATTTACTATGCTTTGTGGCCTCTTCTTCACCATCATGTGTCATGAAGTAGTATAGAAGATATGATTACTAACTGGAAATGGATCATCATGTATGTTGCCCGACGTCTGGTCACCCTTTGTTCTATTACTTTCACACTAATGGTGAGTTATATCAAAGCATAGTGATACTGCTAGATGCGAAGTTTCTTGGCTCCATGTGCATGTATCTATAAAAATACCGTATATACTGCGTAGTAACACCAGTAGTAGCAATTTAATGTGAAGCGTATTTTGCGAGTGTAAGAAAGTAAGCCTTGCTTATTGTGTTATTTATCAAAATTTTGCTATCAAGTAGTCTTGCCAATTTAAGATTCAGAGACTACGCTGCAGCTCACCGGGTATAAAAGGACGGTGCGACCAGAAGTGTTGCTATGCAGTGCTACTACTAGTAGCACTTGGTTACTAGATAGAAGACGCACATTCCACTGTATGCTAATAAGTTGAGCTAATTAATAGTGGCAGAAAATTAGGCTTATATCGTACGGGGTATTTACATGGGTATATTTCACCATGCTTGGTTGTCTCGAATGTAATGGTAGACTAAACGTACAAGGTTCCACTATGTTCGCACTGTGCTACTACTAAAAGAATGTCTTTGTACCACCCTGGACGACATAAACGGCAGACGTCAGTCATCCTGCAAAAAAATAATATTAGATGATCTATTGTTCTACAGCAGGAGACACATCCAAGGGAAGGATGGGGGAAATAGAGATTACTATCAGCCTTTACACCTTATATGCTGTCACATGTATACGACCAACTACTTTGTGTGAAACTAAATAAGCGAAGAAAAGCAAAAACAGTGGCGAAACCTGCAGACGCGGGAAATCAAAAAATCTGTGTAATTCCGATCATTTATATTATATTTGACCTGTCGTTTCACATCTTTTTTTTTATACAGACCAAAGTTTCATCGACTGTGTTGACCATGGCCGATCGCTTACAAGATCTCATTGGTAACGACTGCTCTATAAACATAAAGGCCGTTGTTTTGTAGTTTTTGCACAAGTCTTCTCACATATACACAAAAAATAAAATAGCTGGTGCGTGCAGCCCAGCACATGCAGGACCTGACCTGGAACTGAATCTCGAGATTAGCGACCTGATCAACAAGAAGCAAGGCACATTGTAAGCTTTCTATATAAGAATAGCATGTATTTGCTCAACATTGCAACGAAGTTAAAAAAAAATAACCTGTCTGTTTCTTTTTCTCTCTTTCAAAAGTTCGAGAGTAGCTGCCATGACGATTGTTCGACTTGTCAACAGCCGAAGTACGAATCAAGGGATGCTAGCACTCTCGGTAAGAATAGCACACGCACACATGTAGAGAGAGAGTATATATAACAAAACCAATCCAAGTGTATTCACATTTGCTCGGTCATGTAGCTCTTGGACGTTTGTGTGAAGAATTGTGGTTATCCGTTCCATTTACAGATATCCACCAAAGAATTCTTGAACGCACTGGTATACAGTTTTCCAGCCCAACCTCAATCCAGTCTGAGCTTTGCTGCACGTCCGCCACATAAAAAAAGTCTGGACATCCAATGGAATCATTTTGATTATGTACCACATCAGCCTTCCGTTCCCGATCCGGTGGTCGAGCGGATCCTTTACATGCTAAAGGAATGGAAAGTGGCGTTGGCGGATCGAGCACCTTACAATGAAGATCTGGCTAACATCAATAGCATGTATCGTTTGCTTAGACGAAGAGGTATATAGTGTGTGGGGAAACTATGAAGCTTAGAGAAACACTGGATTGTTGATTTCAAACTCGTGATTTTGACATAGGTTATCGATTTCCCGAGTTACGCGAATCTTCCGTGGCAGCGCTGATTCCACATAGTGTAAGCTTTTTATAATATGGGTTGGGATGAAATGTCATGATTGGGTCCGATCATTTTCACGATCTCTGACGCAAAAGAGACCATCTCTTAAAATGTTAGGTGCTGCGAACTCCCGAAGAGCTCGAAGAGCAAGAAAATGAGAGGCTATCAGCTGTAAGTAGTAAATGGGAGCATAGATAGAAAGAGTGAGCGAGATGGATGCTCACCATTTTTTGCGATTGTCTTTTGTGCTTCTAGAAACTTCAAGAACTTATTCGTCGAGGCAAAGAAGAGGATTTAAGATTGGCCAATATAATTATGAAATGGCTCACCGGTTATGTAAGCAGTGGCAATAGTTGGCAAAAAAAAACAGTGATAACAGCGACGCGATTGTAAGATCCTTTTTTGAGAATGTCTAATTGGGATGTCTTATAGGAAAAACGTGGAAGACCAGATTATCAACAGCGTTTTGCCGAACAACTACGAGGCATTCGCAGTAAAGCGATTGTGTTGTATGAGTTACTAGAAAGCATGAGGACTGGTGAAAAAATTGACCGAGCCATGCAGGTATGTTGAATGGGATTTGGAATTAGAAAGGGCCAGGAACAAGGGATACTTAAATTCTAGGGGAACTTTAGGATCTGCATAATGTTTGTACAAAAGCACAATCGAAAATCAAAAGCATACTCGACGATGGTAGCACTGAACATCATACTGGTATGAAGATGATATTATTTAGGAAACTAGCACTTGAAACTACGTATCTACTTGCTGTTGCTCACATCTGGTTTTTCTCGAAATATTTGCAATAGAGCAACTAGTCGCATTATTTAATATGCTCGAGAAAGTATTGAGAAAATATGCTGACATTGAAAAGGGAATATACGATACTCAGTACGATATCCACAGCAAGTCAGCCATTAGCGGAACACCCAAACAACCAACACCGGTACATCAAGAACAATCCAAGAATGTCAGCCTAATTGATTTAGACGACGACGACTTTACTACTACTACTACGTCGCGACTACCCTTATCCTCATCATCACCATTCCAGCATTCTTCACAACGACAACAATACGATACTATACAAAGCAGCAGCAGCACAGCCAATGACCTACTTTTTGACGTTTTTGGCGAACTACAGCAAAACGATACCGGTTCTTCTCAGCAACAAGGACATATATTCTTATCAACTACTACTCCTGACACTAATTCTCCTGACCTTATTACTACTACCGATACTACCACTACAACAACAACAAACACTTCATCATCGTCTTCGTCTTCATCATCTCTCTCACCGTCACTATCGCCTCCTGCTGGACATGTTGCCGATAATAACCCAAACTCACGTAAGATAAATGAACTTTTGTTTAGTAGCAAGAACAAGATATCATTTCAGGGAAACAGTAAGCTTACGCAAAATAATGCGTGGCCTTAAAGATTTATTGCATGACAAAAATGGATTGCAAATCCATCTCGATATCTACGAAAAAGTCGAAACATCTCTAAAGCTACGGTGCTTTTTTTCCAACCAATCGACCGCACCCATGGAATCAATGGAATTGCAACTGGCCGCACCCAAGGTATACATAATTTGGGCAAGCCTGTAAAATGCAAACTGTTTAACTAAAGTCTTATTTGGCGGCCGTGTAATACCTATTTTAGTCTATGCAAATCAAGATGGGCCGTGTGTCATCTTCTGTGATACCACCTAAATCTTTCAAAAGTGTGTTTCAGAATATCACGCTAACCAATCCCACCGACGTAAGTAAAGAGATGGTTTGTTTGTTGCTTTTCCTTTTTTGGTCACCTGAGTCACTGACAGATGAGATATTTTGTTATTGTTAGGATCCATTACGGTTACGATTCAAGGTGACTTATGATCAGTTGGGAGTACAGATGGAGCAAACGGGTGAATATTCCACCTTATAAAGATAGGCACCAAAAGCAAAATAAAACGTGTCTTTTTTTTTGTGTTTCGTTTTTAAAATTTAGACATTGTTCGCTATGTCATGCAGTCGTCCCCCCCCCTCCGCCATGCATTGCATCATATGCAGGTGTGCGCACATTGTGTATCGGATCATACCAAAAGTCAAATGGATTTTACCGTTCATTTTCGACTAGATTATATTAAAACAGCTCTCATATCTTTCATAACGGCGGCTTCGTGCTTTCTATGATGGTTAGACACATAAATATACTTTTCGATGGTCCGCTAGATGTGGTGCCAGCGAATATGTACATGGATGCATTGGAAAAGTTCTCCTAGAATAAACATAAATGTAAGCCTCCACTTTGGAAGTAACCCGACATGCTACATGGAGTATAATAAGCTAAATGTATACAAATCTCCCCTTTGATGTGTTTATTGTTGTGTTAGCGTTGTATTGAGCGTGATATGAATGTAAAGAAGAAGAAAATATGTGAATGTACGATAAAAGAAAAACATTCATGTAGAGAAAAAAAGAGAAATAGGAGAAGAGCGGTGAGTGTTGAGTTGAAATAAGAATGGCTTAATGGATGCGGAGAGAGAGAGAGAGAGAGAGAGAGAGAGAGAGAGAGAGAGTAAACTGGAAGACGGTGACAATCGATATATAACGCGTAAGAGCACTATGCAGACTAGACAGAGAAAGAGAATAGAAGGGAAAGATAAAGGAGAAGGGTAAAAACAGACTAGAAACTAGTAAAGAAACGAAATGCTGATCGCGGAGAGAAGAAAGAGAAGCTTAAAATGGGCCATTTCGGCGGCGAACAGTGTGTGCAATGCATTAAGGCTAATAACAGCAAGAGAGAGAAAAGTCGATAGTTTAGTTTAGCATAAATTCCCACAATTGCTGTAAATGCCGAAAGAAAACAGTTAAAACTTACATTAGCCGATGGTATGTTTCGTGCTGATGGTGATGCTAAGACATTCGCTCCCTTTGGCAAACCAGCCATGGTAGGTTTGCCTGCTGCAGCGCGTGGACGAAACGACGATGTCGGCATATTATTAATGGGATCGGCCGGGGATCCTCCCGGTTGCGGTGGGACCATGCGTGATGATGAGGCAGCACCGCTAGCTCCTCCTCCTCCTCCAACTGCAGCTGGCGAACGCAGTGATCTGAGCGCATCATCATTGTATTCCTTCTTTATAGGTCTCGCCACATCATCGATGTGTTCCTTTTTGATAGCTACACCGCCAGCTCCTCCTACAGCAGCAGTTGACGAACGCAGTGCTCTGAGCGTATCGTCATGAAACTCCTTTTTTATATTCCGGGACATTGGATCCACACCTGCTTGCTGCTGTTGTTGTTGTTGCTGGATGTTATCCTTCTCCTATCAAGATAATGTTCGTTTAGCCACAAGAAAAACATATAACATCTTCCTCATCCAATTCTTTCCCATGCCCTGACCATTTCTCCTTACCAACTTGTAAGATGTCCAGTCGAACATGTAATCGTATTGGTAGCCTTCTCGTACAAAGAGGTCCCGGAACAGTTTGCGCAGATAGCTATAGTCAGGCTTATCGTCGAACCGCAACGAGCGCGTGTAGTTGAGGTAAATTGCAAATTCGCTGGGAAATCCACGGCACAGCAATTCGGTGGGCGTCGTCATCTTCTTTTCCATGATGCGATCGTATTTTTGCTTCTTGGTCGCAGCCTTCAGTCCTTGCCATGGCAACTGGCCACGGCAAAAGTACATGAGCACATATCCTAACGATTCCAAATCGTCTCGCCGTGATTGTTCTATGCCAGATAGTCGCCATTTGTTAACCAAACGAGGATAAGCTATTCACTCATTCAAACAGAGTATACGCGCGCGCCGCTATGACTTACCAACACCCAAATGTGTGTTAATGCTCGCATAACGTGCAGTGCCAGTAAGATTCTTATTCTCCCTATAAGGGATATGCAAATGTGTTCGTGGATCGCGGTACTTTTTGGCCAGACCAAAATCAATAATGTTCACCTGGTTGCCTCGCTTGCCAATGCCCATTAAAAAGTTGTCAGGCTTGATGTCGCGATGAATAAAGTTCTTGGAGTGAATATACTCGATGCGGGAAAGCTAATATAACCAAATTAGATGCTGCTGCTGCTGCTGACGTACCGACTACTATTACTACCACTACCACTACTGCTACAATCTATTTGGCTGATTCAACCGTGCCCCCTCCCTTATCTCCCTCCCTTTGCCCCATCCATTCCAGACCTCTTTTTCCCTTAAAAGCCTCTTTCCTTACCATCTGATCTGCTAGAAGCAACACAGTCTTGAGTTGGAACTTGCGATTGCAAAAGTTGAACAAGTCCTCAAGTGATGCTACATGTTATTGTAAATATTTATGTGTGTGTTTGTGTCAGTATTTTCTCTCTTTCGATTCCTGGCCTTTTTTACACATACACACACACACACACACGCAGACCCCAGTCTCACAAACCGCTGTACTTAATAATAGAAAACCACTCTTCTTTATGACTATCTTGTTGTCTCTGTCTAGTTACATTAACGGCATAGATAAAAGATAAAAGTAGGAAAGTACTTACGTCCCATGAGATCAATGACCATGGCATTATAGTCGCATTCAACGCCAAACCACCGTACAAAGGGAATACCGACACCGCCTTGCAAGGCTCTGTACACTTTGGCTTCATATTCAAGCTGTGGGTGCTTTGCCTTTACTGATTCTAGCTTGATAGCAACCTCTTCACCCGTAACAATATTGGTGCCTTTTTTGATAGTGTTATTCATTAATACAATTGTAATAGAAACATTGTGAATTGGGGTCAAGTATCAAAAGGGGCTTTTGCATGCAAAAGAAACAATATAGAACCACTGAGCACATGGCTAGAGAGACAAAGTGAAAAGTAGTAGTAGTTTACCGAGATAGATGTCACCAAAGGAACCGGAGCCGATTTTGCGACCGATTCTGAACTTGTTGCCCACTCTCAGATCCATGATAAAATATAAAGTCGAATGTGCTGTTGCTGTCAGGTAAAATTACACACACACACACACACACACAGACACAGAGGGAGAGTAAAAAAGAGAGAAGTAATAAAGAAGACCAAGAGTAGAGTAGGTGTGAAAAGAGAGAGAGAGACAGAGAGAGGAACACAATCAGCGGTCAATGTGCAGACAAATTGGATGGACTTAATGGAAGAGGAAGAGGAGACAAGAAAGAAAGGTTGAAGAAGAGGAGGGGGGGGGGGAGTTGTTGTTATGTGGAGGGCTGAAAATAGAGGAAAAAAGTGTGTGAGAGAGAGTGAGTGTGCAGCTGCTGGCTGCCTGTGAATTTCTTCGTGCGGGATGTTATTTTCTCCCCTTCTCCAGCCGCTCCACTCATCTGGGACCCACACACTGCATCTCTTTTCATTTTACTCTCTCTCTCTCTCTCTCACTCTCTCTCCCCTCTTTTCCTCCCTATACACTCACAGGCGCATACGACCCAATCTTCATGTTGAACAATCCGTCATTGGAAGCAACAGCAGCTACAACAAAACCTAACAATGAGATTGTAATCGTTTCGCCCCTTCCCATTCGACCACTACATCCGAATCACAACACACATGTGGATGGGTAAAAAAACAAATGCTTTTTTTTTTTGATAACTTGCACTGTTACTAAGATATATTTGCTGTTTGTTTATTTTCTTTTGAAAAAAAAAAAAAGAGTGACGAAAGAACAAGAGGATGATGCTTGCTCTGAGCTGTTGGAGATAATGGCAGCAACCGGCAACAAACACCACAAACGAGGAAGCAGCAGCAGCAGCAGCAGCAGCAGTAGTAGTAGCAGCAGCAGCAACAACAGCACGTACGATAACGTTGACGATAACGATGATGTTACTGGTGGCGATATTGGTTTGGAAGTGCCAGCGTCGCCGGTTTACCGTACATTGAATCCGTTGCCACACGACACCTCTTTTATCCACGCTGCGGCAGCCTTCCTTACTGTCCAAAATGCAATGGCGGCTATGGCGGCTGCGGCTGCTGTCAACAACGATAACAACAACAATTCAAGCAACAACAGCAACATGAACGACGCTGCTATTACCGCTTCCACGACTCCTACTGCTTTGCAAGTGCCTACTGCTAGACCTCGCTCTTACAGTGTTGGCGACGATCGAAACAAGATGCCCGCTGTGGTTTGTTAAAAAAATACTCTTCTTCTACATATGATCCTTGGCGTTGAAAACCACACTACTACCTTTGTTGTACATACACACACAGACATCTCTTTCTCTTCCTTTCTTTCTGTCTTTCTTATATAACATGTTTTATACATACAATTCTTCTTCACATACACACACTCCGTTACTACTACATAGCCAATCCCCTTCCCTCTTCCCTTGCAAAACTTTGTCCCTCTTCTTTTATAAACTTTGTAAAACCCTTTTTTTATCTTTAGTTTCCAACGCCCCTTCCTTCAATTGTCTATATCTCTCCTATATCAATTGTAGTATAACTTTTTCTATAATCTTTTCCGAAAAAAAAAATAACCTGTGAAGGTTTCCCATGATATGTATAGTTATAGTTACACCAAAGAAACCTTGATAACTGGCTCAGCAAAAAAGAAATTCAACGTTGAAAGGTACGATAGCCAATCTTGGCATAATTGTTGGTAAAGCGGGAAAGAAATACGCATATGATACTCTGGAGAAGGATGCTTTAAGGTGTTCTTTTTGACATCACGGTAAACGAGTTAATAACTTGTTTCGCATCGTGGCATCATGTATGCAGTACAAAGCGTGCCTGGCAAACAATATCATGTAGGCAAAGTTGGACGCACTGTTACAGAACCAATCAGAATACAGACTAGAACGCCGAAGAACGAAAAAAAAACCCTTGCGTTAATTACCAATGAAGGCAATCAAAGAAGTTTACCTTGGCTATACTACTTTCGTTGGCTCCCAACTCTCTCAAGATGTGTGTACCCGTTTTTATTTTCGCCACGTATAACGCCAAGTCTGATGACGTGATGACATACTTCTACCACCCGAAATGATGATCAGGTGATTGTAAGAGTCTGGTTTTTTGTGTCGCATCCTGCCTTGTTTCCAATGCGGTTTAGCTTAAATACTTACTGCACGAGTCCTGACCAGCATCAAGAGTATTAGGTAATCCTTCTATAGTGGCGTTCAGACAAACTCCTCTCGATAATGACGACATAATCACATATAGTTTACTGTAAACAAACAATAGCCTAGTATAAGTGCTTAGATCGATCCCTGTGCTACTGGCCACATTCAAAAAAAACCAAGGAAGGAGTTTGAATGATGATGTGTGCATAAGTATATGAGAGAGTGTATAAAAAGAAAGTTTAGCTTTCCTTGGTTACTGTTATATGATGAATCCGCCGACCGCGCGCCATCTTAAATATCTCCTCAGTCTGCACTGTCCCCCAAAAATGGTGTAATTAAAACCTTACAGCCCATCATGTATGAGTAATGAGCGGACACACGCAAGTTTTTTGATGTATGTACAAACTACTATAGATCCGATTTAACGTTTGTCGTGTTTCTTTTCATATTCATGCATATGCTGTACCTTGTTATCAAAGATGATAACGTGATTACGTGCTGTCATCATGATGTAGCAAGTCTTTCCGCCCCATTCTCTCTTCTTATTAATAGATTTATTTTTTTCCTACAAATAGTGTTGTATCCGTGTGCTTAAAAAAACAATAGAAGAATTAGACGATCATCATACACAGGAGGAAAAGAAGTATGATCTTTGGGGGAGCCAAACCGGCTAAAAGACATATCATATTCATAGAAAGTCAGTTCAAGAGTCTGCTATCAATTAGCACGAACTTTGTAAACTCTACCAATCATAAAAACTGGTGTTATCAGTGCTGACTGGCAATCTTTTTCAACAAAAGTTTATATATTAAATCAAAATCCTCATCATTAGATGTAACAGGGCTAATATAAATATCTATTGTCAAAAATTTTTACATCTAAATTTTTATGACAGGATGCATAGATCTTTATGTCTATATAAAAAGGGTTTAATGGGAAAGGGACTTCAGTAAAGATTAAAGGTATAAGGACCATATAAGCGAGCATATAATGAATATATTTATCATTGAACTTTATGTACAGCTCGACATCGAATTCGATTGGCGTTCAAAATTCGAGCAGGACTGAAGGTTTTACTTTCAGAGGACCATAGGACGCCGTCCTTGAAGAATAGCGTTTGCAATTCTTTAGAAATGCTTTTAACAGTGAGCATTAAGCAGTTAGTGAAAAGATCTTTGAAACGCAGCAGTGAAGCGCTTGCACGCGCCGTTAATAGGACGAAGCACAACAACGAGGACAAACACACTGTCAGCTTTAAAAGAAATTATCTGACTTTAATATGTATAGAAACTAAATGACCCGAGAATAGCCACTTCACAAAGTAGATTAACATCAATGGAGGCGAGGGCATATACACTGGAACAAGGATAAATGAAGCTGCGTTAGACTAGTATTAAGGCAATTATTTCGACCTTATTCATCAGACGCAAAATTTAGTGTATGATAGCAGATTTTCTATGGAAAGTAGTGTTATGTAGCACAGGCAATACTTACACGCACGCCCGCTTTAGTCTCGGTATGAATAGCACAATCGATTCGTCCAAGCCCAATACTGAAGCCAACAGCTGTCGAAATAATCTATTTGCAGAGAATGTTTAGTACAGCATTCAAAATTAAGGTTGAATGGACCAAACTCCCGAGGAAGATGGCTAAGCATTCAGTAGAAGTTGGGGAGATAATTTTGCTGGCAGTTCGTGCACAACAAAATCTTGGATACAAGAGCTTTATCCTTGATAAATTACTTCGAGAACCTGCAGCGAACCTGTTATGTTAAATTAACAGTTTATTTAACAGCCAGACCTTGCAGCGGTTGCTGTTAACGTCCTGTTATATTTAACAGCCTGAACAAAAACTGTTAAACTTAACAGTTTCTTGAATCGAAAAAAAGGACTTGAAAAATAAAAGTTACATTTCACTTCATTCTTTGTTTCTATTCTTCAAAATGAACAACATTATTTCTAATGCCACTACCCCGTCTGACGTTTCTGCCGCTGCCGCCCTGCGCAGGAGAAAGGGCAAAGCTTTTATTTGAGCCAACGACGTGTGAAGTTAACAGCTTCGTAACAGTAACCGCTGCACGAAACGCCCTGTTAAGTTGTTAGGCACTGTTAAGCGGGCTGTTAAACTCTAAAATTTAGCAACAGCGACCGCTGCAGGTGCTCTAATGTGAAGAAGATTTGTATCACACGCGCAAAGCGTCCTCCAAGCGATCGCAAGATCGTCAACGTAATGCCAAGCTGAGCCCGGTTGCCATGGCAACGGCGTCGGAGTTTACGCGATTTGCAAGGCAGACGCGCTTTTTCGTTTTTTCTTTTTTTAAGTTTTCGCGTCGCAGCAGCTTCCAGAAAAAAAGGCCCTTCTTCTTTTCCAACCTTTCGCGCCGACGTTTTGTTGTTCTCTCTTATCTAACGTTAACCAAGAAAATACATAATTACAATGTCGCAAAATCATAATTCAATGGAAGAAGACGAAGAAGATTATGGACCGTTGCTAATTTCACACCTTGAGGTACACCATTCGTTTTAAAGACGCTAAATTCGATTGAAAAAAAAAACTAAGCAATATGTCGGTATATGTCTATAGCAAAGTGGTATCTCATCTTCGGATATTAAGAAGCTCAAAGATGCTGGCTATTACACAGTGGAAGCTATTGCATATGCACCCAAAAAAGCATTGCTCGCAATTAAAGGCATTTCGGAAACCAAGGCTGACAAACTCATCGCTGAAGGTACCATGCAATGACTTTTGTTCCAACTTTCCCGTTTCTACTAAAAAAGCAACTAGTTAACAAAGAATTAAACGTCGTCCATGTAGCTTCAAAAGTGGTCAATTTGGGATTCACAACTGCCATGGACGTTCACCAACGAAGACAAGAAATAGTCACAATCACGACAGGCTCAAAAGAACTTGACAGAGCGCTTGGAGGTATGCATAGTGGCATCGCTTGGTAACCTATTGTATACAAACTAATGCGTGTTTCTAGGTGGCATTGAAACGGGCTCAATTACCGAGATTTTTGGCGAGTTTCGAACGGGAAAAAGTCAATTGTGTCATATGCTTGCGGTAACAGCTCAGGTACATACATTACAACACGCCAACTGAGATGATGTTGCCCCGAATACAGAGAGCTAATGTATTAAAATAGCTTCCTATTTCCATGGGTGGTGGCCAAGGAAAATGCATGTTCATTGACACCGAAAGCACGTTCCGTCCAAGCCGTATTCTATCTATCGCACAACGCTACTCGCTCAACGGAGAAAGCACACTCGACAATATTGCGTACGCACGCGCATACAACACGGATCATCAAACGGCCTTGCTGATCCATGCGGCCGCCATGATGTCTGAAACACGCTTTTCCGTCTTGGTCGTTGACAGTGCGATGGCATTGTACCGTACGGATTATGCAGGACGTGGCGAACTTGCTGCGCGACAGACCCACTTGGCACAATTCCTGCGGTCGTTGCAGCGGCTGGCTGATGAATTTGGCGTTGCGGTGGTAATTACAAACCAGGTGGTGGCTCAAGTCGATGGCGGCGCGTCCATGTTTAATCCGGATCCCAAGAAACCTGCTGGTGGCAATATCATTGCACATGCGTCGTGCACTCGGCTGTACTTGAAAAAAGGCCGTGGCGAGAATCGTATCTGCAAGGTGTATGACTCTCCATCCTTACCGGAAAATGAATGCACGTTTGCTATCATGGAAGATGGTATCACGGATGCTGTGGATTAAAAAGTTCCTCACCCCCTTATCACTGTGCTCCTCCCAACATAAACGACTGTCTTCACGTCACATCGTACATATCACAATACCCACATCCATCATCCGTTTTCCCGTTTCTTCCACTCGCATATTCACTCCTATTCTCTTCTACATATGAGTTTCGTTCTCCCCTGGCCCCCCTAACCACCCGCCTACTACCTATCAATACACCATGCACTATGCGCATCATGTACACATACATTACATAACAGCACTTTTCTAATACTTATCAGTCTCCAAAGGGAAAAAAGCCTCTTCTTATAACAAACATTTTGCCCTTCCGCCCTTAGTCGTGCCTGTGGTTATTCCTGTACTTACTATCATACATACATAATAGCAGCATGTACTATATATAAACTTTCTCGAATAAAGTTAAAAGACGATGTATTATTTGTGTACACATGTCAAAACAAAGAAGCAATAAGAACAAAACTAAATATGTATGTCTCATTGTTATTGTTAATTAATAATATACAACAGAAAAGCAAAACAAAACATTTAATACAGTGACCGTGGTGCTTCTTGCCACCGATGGTCAATAGTTTGAACGGCTGTATCTACATCCCAATGGAACGCAATGTATCTATCCACGGGCGCACTACTGGTGCTATTATCTACCATTGCGGGTGACGTTGAAGGGCCGGGAGTGCCCACCTCTAGATCCACTTGTTGCTGTTGCTGTTGCTGTTGGAAATCCTTGGGCTCTCTGCTGCAGAACGACAGGTTCTTCAGTGAAAGACGGCCAAACCCAAAAGAAAGCAACTTGTTGCGTACAGCAGGATTCAAATTTGTAAAATGCCATTCAACGTCATGACAAGTATAAGCAAGCACCGTTTTTTGCAGACTGACAAGCATTTGCAAACCTGTCGAATCAATGCGTCGCACAGCGCTCATATCCAGGACAATAGCACGGAGCACAGGCCCAATATTCCGCCCGCCGTGATCAATCAGTTGTTCTGCGTTCCAGGGCCTATCCTTGTCACTGATCTCTCCATGGCAAATTCCATTGCGAGTGCGTGTTTTGATGGTCTGGACAATGACTTCGGATATGTGCTCTGCATTCGGGTACAGTATAGAGTCGACAGGCTGCATCACCAACAGACCCGAGGGCAAGGACTCCATGCGCTTTGAGAAATTGGGATCACGTTCGTCTGCATAATAATGTGATTGAACACGTACAAGCGCATTGACCTGGGGCCGTGCTAATTGGAACAGGACAGTAGCCAGGGACAGTCCAATGGCAATGTACAAGCCCGTCTCGATATCCAGAAAGAATGTCACTATCACTGTGACAAGCCAGATGCAGAATTCAATGGGGTTGGCTGACCAGACTTCGCGCAGATACGTGGGGCCAGACACAAGATCAGAGACGGCATGGATCACGACAGCAGAGAGAATTGCGTTGGGGATATAGTAAAACGCTGGTGTTAACGCATAGAGTGCAAGCACAACGACAGCTGCACTAAACATGCCCGCGAGTGGTGTACGTGCACCAGAACGTGACATAATGGCAGTGCGGCTGAATGCACCTGTAGCTGGGTAAGCTCCAAAGAACGAGCCAACCACATTACTGATACCGATGGCTAGGATCTCTTGGTTTGGCTGGATCGTATAATTCGATACGCGGCCAAAGGACTTGGCTACTGACACATGCTCCAAAATAAGGATCAAAATAATAGATGGCAATGAACCGCTGGCGACACGAATCACCTCAAAGTTGAGACCGGGCACGCCCATTGCATCAAATCCTGCAGGTACTGCGGCAATTACGCGAATTGGGGTGGTGGCTCGTCCTATGCTGATCAAGAAAGAAATCAGCGTGCCGAGGAACACGATCAATCCGTTGCGCATGATACCAAAGTAAAACACGGCTTTGCGACTTTTGTTATTCGCCAAGCGCGCGTTTAGACGACCGCAACCAAAGCGGATCAAGTAAAGTAAGACGAGTCCAACAAGACCAAATGCAATATCGAGCTGCGTATGTGGCAAATTGGTGATAAAATCAATGAGCACGTGGAACGGAGATGCATGCGTATCGACTTCCGGACCAATGCCTGTGAGAGCCGGCAGTTGTGAGAGAACTATGGTGATGGCCGAACCAGTCATAAATCCGGCAATGGCAGGTCCTGGGATAAAATCCACTATCAGCCCTAGGCGGATGATTCCAATCGCAACCAATATGATGCCTGAAAACAGCGCAAGGGTAACACCAATTTCAGGGCCTGTAATATTCGGATAATTGGTCGTAACCATGTGGACCGTCTCACCAACAAGCAATGACACCGTCGCTTTATTCAATTTATTTTTTCGACTTTAGCCAGAAAGATAAGGTTTCTGTACATCAAAAGGACAAATAGTTTGGCGCGTAAAGAACTTACATATAGGACCGATGCTAATATCCTTTGACGTGCCAAAAAAGCAGTAGAGTGCAGCACCAACAAACGATGTGCTATAAATATTTGAAAGAGGACAATGTTGACATGATGAGTATTTAGAAAGAATAGGGGTTCGGAGCTATTAGATTTCTACCAGTTGTTATTGAAACATTTACAGCAACAACAATAACAACAACAAGAAAACTTACTATAGACCATATTGGGGGTCCAGATTTGCTAGTTTTGCATATGCCATACCCTGTGGCACAATCACAATACCAACAGTTACACCCGCAATCATATCTTGGAGTAGCCACTGTAATCATCATCGTCGTCGTCACGATATGTAACGCGAACGTGTATTCTTTTTGTTAGAATCCAACCCAACACTTGCTGCTTTTTTTTTGACTGCTTGGTGCGAAATCTAGAAGCTTACGGATAAGTTATAGCGATAAATCCATTGGATAATGGGGAATGTTGCTAGAATGTATGTGCGAATGTAATGTGGCAATTGGCGAAGATGATAGCGACACTGCTGACGGAGCGATGTAGGTGGATAGTCGATCACGACGGTAGGTTGTTTCATTATCGTATATCTTTTATATTATATACACACAATAATAGATATTATTACAGATGATTCCTGGTGATAAGTAGAGAATGAAGTAAACGAAGGAGAAGAAGAAGCGATTTAAAAGCAACGGGAGAAAATGTATACGTAAGAAACCAAACAAGTTCTTTTATAGAGAAAACGAACAAGAAGAAAAGAGAGTTTGCGATGGTTCTATAAACGCAAGGTTGGCAAAGCATTTCTCCGTATGTAGCTGCTAACCATAGGTTCCTTTCTTTTTGAGTTGTGGCCTCCTCTCCTAGATCTAACATACTTTAGTCACTCTCTGCGCTGTGTAGTACGTCTGCAATATTTCTATGAAACCCCTCTCTCCCTCTCTCTCCCCCCCTCCTCCCTCACCCCCAACAGCAACGATCACCCCTTCTTTTTATTTAACCCTAAGCTAGCAATGGAAGCATGAGCGTTTTTCTGCGCCCGAAGCAGCCCTTTTGCATATTCGTCGGGGGCGGGTTCGCTTTGGGTAAACCCAGATTTTGCTATATGTTTGTTTACCATTTAATCCATCATACTTGCTTTTTTCATGTGTTTCCCGCGTACGTCTCGTGGCATCAGCAGACAGCAGAAAGGAGGGTTGTACTATGTAGTTGAGAAGACACGATTTGGATATTAGTAGTATCATAATATAGTGAGTAGCATGTTCTGCGTTTTCGTAGTGGACTCTGGTTACTACAGCTAACAGCGTCAGGTTATAACTACTGGCCTGCGCCCTCATATGATTATTAGTGTAAACTATTGTATATAGTCTCGGTACCAGGAGTAATGTGGGTGGTGGTAATGGTGGCGGCTTTTTTTTCTATTTTAGGGATTTAAAAGAAAAGGCTTCACTTTAAACAGGAAGAAATATGTAAGTGAAACGGTACATAACCTTAAGCATGCTGAAATAATGACACATCTATACTTTGCATCCGACGCAAAAGGTCATCCGTACTACTAGCACGAGGCAAACGCAAGACTGTATGACACAGCCGCCATCCCATTCAGCTCTTAATTTGCTACTATGATGGTGATGCTTCAACTTCACCACACATACATTAACAACGAGCAAAAAACAGCTGTTCATGCACGTTGGTGTAATAAGGAGTTTTCTGATCGCTCGGGTGCAAATAACTTTAATCGCTATAATGTTTGTACGATAGTTTTACGCAGGTAATGTGAGTGAGAGAGACTTTTATGTGATTTTATTATACGAAGAAGAAAGACATCATGCAACTGTATGAGTACATAAGCTATGATATTGCTGCCAAAGTTACAACAAAAGCACCCACAATACAACAAAATATACAAGTACAGTACACGTCTTCAGCTCTAACGATGTAATATCGCTCTTGCTAAGCAACTTTCAGTCATTGGGCTCTCTAACGTTGTTACCACAGGCAATTTAAGCATGATAGCGACCATGCAACATATTGTCCACTACTTGCCATTACAACCGAGGAGCCTAATAATTATAACATCATATGATGCTCCCCTTCTCCTTTCTAAAGAAATCGTACACACACTCGTTAGCGAGAGAGATGTATTACAACATCACCAAGCTACATGAAGTGGTCTAAACTCAATGCGAGAAAGCTAAGGGTGACCACATAAAACAAGCCTTCAAGTCGATTCACAAAAATGCGGAACCACAAGCGGTAAAAAAAGTAACAAGCCGTTGTTGGTTTAAAAGGTCTAAATTGTGAAAGGCTTTATACTAATCGCGCTGGATCTTTTATAATAATCTGCACGCATCTTCACTCTCGCTCCTTCGTTGTTGTACAAACGTTCCCCAATGTTAGCATCACTTGCAAATCGTCATCCAAGATGCGTTATCAAAGGTGCAATCCCTTACGTCTCCGTTCCGCAAAAGATTTGAAATTCACGACGCTCAAGAATGCTTGATCGTGTCTAAAAAAGTGGAACAGAGGTCTCCCGCAGATTTGGCAAACTCTGAACTTGGAGCCAGGCCGTACATCAACAGCGGCAACACCAAAGCGTACTTCTGTTAACAGCAATCTACGCGCTGTCAACTTGATATAAGGCTCCTAGTTTTGTATGCTTTAACCCGCTGATCTCGCGAAAACGTACGTACTTTCCCTTTAAATGGTAGCAGTCAAAAAAAAGTTTAATAAGAACTTGTAGGTTTGTCTAAATGGGAAGGTATTTCATGCCTCAATATGTGCAGTCTCGACAGCTCAAGTTTCTCTGAGCACATTAAACGAAACATTTGCGAAATACCTACGTAAATTGTTCGCCCAAGAATGTCCATCCAACTTTCCAATCCTCGTTGTCTTGACGACATACCCGCGACTGTGATCTCTCTATAGTACTATTTAGTCTGCCATAATGAAGACGAGTCTCTTTTGCTAGACATGAGCTGCCAGCAGACAGCAAACTTGAAAAATTCCGGTTCCTGTCCATCAGTTGGCCAATGCACCAGGTCTGTTTGCGACGTGTCCTGGAGGGAAGTCCAAACTTGCTGTGCGTGTTAGCCAACTATGAAATGAGGTTAAGTGCTTCTCCAACGATGTCGAACAAGCGACGAAATATGGGACTTGAACATAATTGTACAGGTTACTCCGTACGTCGAGTATGTCGAGTGCAACGACGCGGACTCGGAGCATAACAATCATGAATTGGATGCGGCTTGGTGCAAGAAATATGGCGAGTTGAAAAACGGGCCGATTGTACCAACAACAACTGTTGGAGGCAGCACAAGGCCTACATACAGTAAAGTACTATGGTGTGAGAGCCGTTTGGAACAAGCGGTACTATTTTGACGACGGTTTTATATCCTACTTGAGCCGCAAACTATGCTGAAGGTATTGCACATATCTCGTTGTCATCTTAACAACCGTCTCAAACATCTCATATGTTGACTCTGTGAATTGGTCCTCGTAAAGAAAACATATCCACCATGATAGCTGACGCTGAACGCGATCCGGTACAATTGCTGCATTTGTACGGATGTGTTGCTCTCAAGACGCTGGTGCTTAACTTGGTTGTAGATCAACTCATCAACTCGAAACTGCCAGAACACGCGTCAACTATGAATGGTACGCCGGTGGAGGACGCAGCATCCGAAGCTACAAATACAAGACTCAACCAACAAGAAGGCCAGGCAAGTTCCCTCAAGCGGTTATCTATTGATCGTGCGGAAACAGAACTGCAAAGGGGTGCATAAAGTGGATGTCAGTATTTGAAGAAAAGCCGGAACTTCTTTAAAATTGCGGAAGGACGCCGGAACGCCATTCTCAATGGCAGAGTGCATCTAATGAAATTTATCAGCACACTAACCCTGTCTGTTTATAGATTTTGCATTACACGCAATAATTTGTACGAAATAGTACATGTTCTATGCTGTTCATGTATCCCACTGCTACATCTTTCCGAAAAAAAACAATGAACAAACTGTATGAATAAGTAGCGAGAGAAAGAGAAGTAAAGAAGTAAGAAGAGGATATACTATTATTTAAGCACAACAGCTGCATTTCGACTGGCAAGATATGCTTGGACGTTTGGAACACTCAAAGTGCGAATGAACTGATAAATCTCTGCATTGTGGTACCGTAATCCTGTCTTTGGATCAGTGTATTTGGCTGTCAATCCAGTGATATCGCAGTATTTCTTTTGTGGCAGGACTGATGGTGGGCATTCGATGTTTTGATCTACATACACACACGCGCGCGCGTTAGTTTGCTCCCTCCAAACCTATCAAGCTTATACATGAGGAATGGTACGCTTACATGTAGGCACGTCGAGCGCAAGTTCCAGATTTCTTTCGGCTGTCAATATCTGCTTCAGATTTTTTGATTTCTTGGGTGTTTTGTATTTGGTGTTTTTGAATGATTTTCGAATAGTGGTGAGGTTCAATGGACCTGATCCGACTTCGTCAACGACGACATTTGTCTCTTCTTGCTGTTGCTGTTTTTCCTGCTGTTGCTGCTGCTGTTGTTGTTTTTTGGAATTGCTGCCTGATTTCTTGGATGACTTTTTGGGTGCCCTTTTATAAATTCAGTGGAGGTCAGCAAAATATAAAGCGTTTAGTATGATCCTTTGTTTCTTACATTATGCGCTGACTTGTGCAGCAGAAAGAGTTGTGAGAGCTTTTACTTTAGCAGCGCGAATGGAAGCGACCCTATCAATTGAAAAGCATCTAGCGACCGGAGCCACAAATTTTTCATTCAGAACAAACTTCGCTGACGCGGCCCATCGTTTCTGCATACGTTTCTCCTCAGTTTTTACAACAATATGGTAATGCCATCAGCTTTGGAACATTTTCGCCTGCCACACTTAATACAACCTGTCTTTCACTACCAATGCCTTACAATTAACTGAAATATATTCTTGCTCTTGATTATCTAGGGTAACTCACAATCTGGTCTTCCACGCGGCAACGATAAAAAGAAGGACAAAGTATGTGATTAAAGGGACACGCCCGCAGTTCTTTCGCCGATCCCGTGTTCCAATTATTCTCAAACGTTGCAAAATGCTAATCGTCATTATCAGGATAAAGATAAGAAGAAAAAGTGGGAACCTCCCGTTCCTACCCATGTGGGTAGAAGAAAGAAGAGAGGACCTGACACGTCTTCGAAATTACCACAAGGTAAATATATACACATCTTGATTGATGTCACTCTTTGAGAACTCTCCCATTGCTTACAAATACAACTTGAATATGTAGTGTTTCCCAACACACGTTGCAGACTCAAAACATTGAAAATGGAGCGTATCAAGGATTACTTGCTTTTGGAAGAAGAATATGTCCAAAACCAAGAACGATTGAAGCCCGCTGAGGAACGTGATCAAGAAGAACGAACGCGTGTTGATGATTTGCGTGGCTCGCCCATGGCTGTGGGCACGCTTGAAGAAATCATTGATGATGATCACGTTATTGTCTCGTCATCTGTCGGTCCTGAATACTATGTGGCAGTGATGAGCTTTGTTGACAAGGACCAGCTCGAGCCTGGATGCAGTGTCTTGTTACATCACAAGACTATGGCCGTGGTGGGTGTATTGGCCGATGATACTGACCCAATGGTTAGTGTCATGAAATTGGAGAAGGCACCCACAGAATCATACGCAGATATTGGTGGTCTTGAGCAACAAATCCAAGAAATTAAGGCAAGTATTTATATACCGTATACAAGGAGAAGAAATGTGATTTTGTGTGTTTATTAATGTGTTATTGTTACTTTTATCACAGGAAGCTGTTGAGCTGCCTTTGACGCATCCAGAATTGTACGAAGAGATGGGTATCAAACCACCAAAAGGTGTTATTTTATATGGTGTTCCTGGTACTGGTAAGTACAGCATGCGTGTTTAACTTTCTGACGGGGTGATGGTGATGTAATTGAGCGCGGGATGAGCTAGGTTAGTATACTCAGTGAAAATGATCTCGTCGTTAAATATATTGTTGTCGTTGTAGGTAAAACGTTACTGGCCAAGGCAGTGGCAAATCAAACCAGCGCAACGTTCTTGCGTATTGTGGGTTCAGAGTTGATTCAAAAATACCTCGGTGATGGTCCAAAGCTTGTCCGTGAACTTTTCCGTGTAGCAGAAGAAAACGCACCAGCCATTGTATTTATTGATGAAATCGATGCTATCGGTACTAAGCGATACGACTCTACATCTGGTGGTGAACGAGAAATTCAACGTACCATGTTAGAATTGTTGAACCAGCTCGATGGTTTCGATTCACGAGGTGATGTCAAAGTTATTATGGCCACAAACAAGATCGATAGCTTGGATCCTGCATTGATTCGTCCAGGTAATGACTAAAATAACTATCTAAAGTGATTATAAAGGATAGCGGGAAGCGAATGGCAAAGTGGAAGAGACAAAGAGACTGAGTAGTTAACAACTTTTTTTTATATACCGCAAAGGTCGTATTGACAGAAAGATCGAGTTCCCACTGCCGGATGTCAAGACAAAGCGACGCATTTTCAACATCCATACTTCTCGAATGACTTTGGCGGATGATGTAGACCTGGAAGAATTCGTCATGTCCAAGGACGACTTATCCGGTGCAGATATTAAGGTAACGTATAGATACAGACAATCAACGATTGTTATGACATGTATACTTACGTGACGCTGTGGATTATATAGGCCATTTGCACAGAAGCTGGTTTGTTGGCATTACGTGAACGTCGTATGAAGGTTGTTGCAGAAGATTTCCGGAAAGCTCGCGAGAAGGTGCTGTACAGAAAGAGCGAAGGAACACCCGAGGGTTTATATCTTTAAACATGATCCTTTTCTTTTCTTTCCTCTCTACCGCACATATACAACCGCACCTACGAACCCACCCACCCACACATACACCAAGTCAATCGAACAAAACAATACATATCATATCTCTTTTTTTAAATACTTCAGTTTACTTGTTACAAATTTGGCTTTTTCATGCAGACTCGTTTGGAAAGAATACTGCGGATGTGTTGTTCCATATCTTTTCAGCCAACTCTTTCGGATCTTCTCCTCGTAGCGAAGCAATGACATGCAAAACCAAACTAACACGCAAAAAAGGGAAAAAAACCAGTGTGCATGTGAGGACAATGACAGGGAGAAAAGGGATTAACGTAGTAGTAATTCAAACTCACCCAGTAGCACAAGGCTCGCATCGGCTTTTGACCATATATCCCATCTCGAACTTTTCCTTCTTTTTAGTCAACGGCATATACAGATCTTTTTCCTCCTTTGGAATAGTGTCCAAGTACTTGTGCGATGCATGCGTAGGCCGAATCTCGCACCAAGGAGCATCTAATGATTAGGCCATCCAAAGAAAGAAAAACATTCAAGGTCTCACTCATATGATAGATGGTCTGGTTTGTTTTGCCATTAACTGCTTTTACCTGTTTCAATCATCAATCGGTCACTGGGTATTTCCTTGACAACTTGTAGATTCTCTTCAGTCTTGAGAGAACAACCATTGACACCAATGTATAAATCCAAGTCGACCAATTTTTTCATTTCCTCGACCGAGCCTGTAAAAGAATGCACGACGCCATGACGGAACTTGTGTCGATTGGCCTTGATCATTGTGTAGAAATCATCGCCTGTGTTACGATTATGCAAAAACATGGGTAGCTGCGTCTTTTCTGCAAGATCAAATTGGAGCTCAAAGTATTTGAGCTGTGTTTCTTTGGGACAAAAGTGAAGACGGTCGTAGTCAAGTCCACATTCCCCAACAGCTACAACATGCTGTCGATTGTCCTTGATGATGTTGAGTAGTTTGTTAAAGTAGTCCGTTGGTCCACCCGCATGCGATTCGAATTCTGTGCAGCGGGTTGGGTGACAACCCACTGTCGAGTATAACATATTCTCTATTCATGTAGTTTGTTTTTGTATCAATATATAGGTTTTGTCAAACCCGCATTGAGGTCTCGTTGTTTGCACCTTGAAAGTTACCTTCGTCATGCTTTTTTATTTCGTCAATCGCTTCCTGTGAGTCAGCAAGATTCGTGCCTGTCATGATAAGTTTTTGGACACCTGCATCGCGTGCCCGTTTTAGAACTAGGTGCCAATCGTCTAATTACAAAGAAAAGGAATGTCACAAAACATCCATTGTTTATTGCCGAGGTAAAATTTACGATCGTTCAGTTTGCTGTTTTTCGTATTTTTGGGGAGGCTACAATGACCAATGTACCTGCATGAGCTTGCTTGCCGCGATAGATCCCTCTAAACATGGGATCAGTCAAATTTGCACCAATGTCTGTTTCAAAATTTCTTAATTAGAATCGCGTAAATATGAAGTCTCATTTTAAAAAGGAAAACGTGCCTATGAAACGCATTGCGCCAGATCGCATTATTATAAGTCTGTGAATCGACCAGCACTTGGTTTCAAAGAAGAAATCTGTTGCCTGCGGAATCAGACCGCCTTGTCACACGCACCATGCACGCCCTAAACTCCCCTGAGACACATGTATCAATGACAACATATGTTAAGCTATTTAAAGCAAATGCTTTTTATAGATTCGGGAGGTAAGATGAGAAAAAGGGCATCAGTCAACGAAGGATAGTCAACAAGGGAATACGTAATCTTGCTGTATAGACATGGAAGACTAAATATGGACCGACGCCTCTAGCAAACCTTGCTGTACATGCCCTCAAGACCTGTAAAAGCTTATCGTTTCGCTCAAATATTCCTGTCTCGTTCCGTAAATATCTCTTCAAGTGGGCGCCTGGGTTACTTTTCACGATAGGAACAGAGCCAGCAATAAGAGAACTCCAAAGAGGGAATTCTTTTCGATTCTATTTATTGACAGTTGCGTGATACGCCATATACAACTCGATGGTTCCAAAGTTGTCAGCCATCACAAACATGTGCATTATTATAAGGGTAATTTTCTGTTCTGGTAATGATTTATTTTTGTTTGATGACGATGAATATTATATGATTAACAATGCAAGTAGATGCCCCAAAAAAACAGAGCAGATATTAAGTTGATTAAGTATATATACAAGTGTATGCATAGTAGAAATACAAGAATTGAGAAATCATGCTGTCTAGGCTCGTTCCTCTGCTTGCTCAAATCCGAAATAGCGACGCATGCGCTGCCCGTATACTTTGTTTATAATCAAAAGGCCACCCGAAACCCAACTGAGAGCTGCAAGGAATACAGAGAGGTAGCCAGGTCCAACAGCTTCGACCATTGGATTGGCAGCCAATGTCCTAAATATGTCCTAGTTAGCAAAAAAGTCCCACAAGAAGTTAAAGCCAAAAAAATACTTACAATGCACAAGCTAGCACCATTCTGACCAAGTTTCCGGCAGCTGTGGCGGACGCACCAAAGCCTGGCAAAGCGTCCAAAAGGTACGCACTGGTTGCGGTCATGACCTGGTTCATGCCAAAGCACTGGATGCCAAAGCCAACGATACCTGTCCAGAAAGTCATACCGCTTTCAATGCCCCATCCAAATAGCAGCAAACCGAAAGGCATGAAAATAAAGCAGCAGGGCCAGAGATTGACTGCAAGACGGTCTTCCACCTTGTGTAAGCCACCACGTTTTTCTCGAGCACGCAAGAGGAGTCGATCCGATAGCTTTCCGTTCAGTAAAGCGCCGAAAAAGTTTCCAACGCCAGCGCCAAGGAAAGAGAGACCTTAGAAAAGTAACATCGCTACAAGTTAGTTTGATTTTCTTTAAAGATATGTTAGGATGAATGATACAGTGATACATACCAACTTGCCATGCATTAAGACCATAGTTGCTCTCGTATAAATTTGGAATAACCGTTTCTATAGAATGATATTACGTATTGTCAAAGTAAGTAACACTGGCACCAAATCATCCTTAAGGGGTAATATTCACCTATCGCAAACATGGATCCAAAGGCGATACCTCCGACCAAGGATGAGAGGAAAATGTGGGGAAAGCGGAGCAACAAGAATGGGCGAATGGGATTAAGCGTCTGCTTCTTTTCTTGCTGTACTTGCGATGTTTGTTGAAGCTCTTTCTCATCGGGTGTGCCCATTGAAATTGTCTGCGAGCTTCTGCTATCTTCATCATTGTCGCCACCGTCTTGTTTCTGCTGTTCGTGTGAAGCCGCTGTTGTAGGAAGCGTACCGACATCAAATTTCTTGTCGTCGCGGAACGTTTCTGGCATGAAAAAGAAAGTGATGACGACGACCACACCTCCAAAAGCGACACAGAACCAGTATGTAGCACGCCACGTTATTGCGCTCATGATCAAAAAGCCACCAATGATAGGACCTAGAAAACGGGACAATTTGAGCTTTTTGTGACCTTGGGTGACATTTGTTAAAAGAGAGAGAGAGAGAGAGAAAGAGGTAACCTACCAATAATAGGCCCAATAATCATGCCAAGGAAGAATTTGCCATAAGCACTTCCTCGCTGTTCGACAGGATACATATCGGCGATCACACCACCTCCTAGAGCCTGGCCCGCACTGGCGCCACAAGCTTGCACGCATCGAAGTACGACCATGCCCCAGATATTGTTGATTACAGCGTTACCGATGGACGAGACCACAAAGATAATCATTGACACAACGAGCAAAAAGCGACGCAAATGGTAAAAGTCGGAGAAGGCGGCGTAAAACACAGGAGAGATGCCCATGAACAGCACAAAGAGCGCAGCTGTCAGCGTAGTGGCAATAGAAGGAGCATTGAGATCAGCAGTGATGTCAGGAATACCTGGAAGGAAAGAAAAGTTGTTATTTAGTAACGATGTAGTATGGCTTTGAGGGGGGGGGAAAGAGGATTCTTTTTTTTTCGTCTGTCTGCTGTTGTGTGGTACCTGGAAAATAAATTGTGCTTGAGAAACCGGGCATTGCAGCTGACATTGCAACAATCACAATGGTGATATTTTTCAGAGACGGGCGAAGGAGTCGCGGGTCGTCGTCGACTGGTGGACGGATCAACAGCCGTGATTTGAGCAAACGCACAAACCGACTGTCTTTGTTCTTCTGGTGCTCACCCATTGGATGGTTAATGGCCTGCTGAGGAAAGAGGACGAGCGAGTATTTGAAGCAGATATAGTGAGGAAGAGACGTAGTAAGCCTGTATCTTTCTTGGGGCGTCCTGTGGATCTTTTTAAGAAAAAAGTGGTTGTGGTATTTTTTTTTTTGTGTGATCCGTCCTTTATATAAAATGGTTCGGTGTTCCAATATGACAGATAGGGTGCGGCAATCCGGACTAAGTACAATGCTACATAATTCATCCCTCATCACCGTGCACAAAAAAAAGCTTGAACTGTGCAAGTTTGTCTCTTTAACGTATCACATGATTTCCCAAAATAGACGATAAACTTTAGTGACATAACAGCCTTCATGTATATATAGCAAGCACTTTTTGCTGAGAACAGATTGCAGTTGGAACCGGCACTGCATCGCATTTTTTTTTTGGCGCGAGTGTTTATGCAGCAGAAGGGCTCCTCGTTCATTCAGCATAAGCAATGTAGATCAAAGAAAATATGTACCACATGGAGAACTCGGAGTAAAGGATTCAGCCGTTCCTGGTCGGCCAACGTCCGCGCCCATCTGCCCGGTAATCCCGCGATTTTTGCACCAGTAAGCGGGGGATTAGCGGTCAGCGTTTTTATAATCAGATTGTTTATTCTGCGACCCCCTCAAAGACGCCACAAGACAACATGAATAAACTAAGGCCGTGCCATATGATCACAATAGCAATCACCTTCAATGGTGCAGCCAACATTAGCCCTTTATCTAGTCATTTGTTGCAACTTTTACCAGATTATGTGTCCTTCGTCAGATTTAACCTTTTATTTCCATATTTGTGCAAAACATATTTTGCTTTGCTATATACTGCCTATTTCTAAGCCAACATATTGACAACCAAAACAGTTCTAAATTTATACACTTTATATCATGATGGTGTTTGTTTCTTGTTTTGTCTATCATACTACATGTGCTGTTTACATACAAGACTACAGCGCTTTCTTACTTCCGGTTTTTGTTATGTACGCCGTTATCTCCCCGTTTCTTGTCAGCGCTGCTCTCTTGTTCTGGTTGCGGTCAGATAGATGAGCTGTGCTATAAAGTGATCCATGTCATCAATAGCACGACTACATAGAAAATCTATGGCTTACAATTTATGGTGACTGAACTATCAGCATATGCAGTTCCCATTAAAAGCACAGCCTCAAGCAACAATTGCTGTTCATGCAGCTACTAGCTGGGCAGAAGATACATATAAATGCCACAGTATACATTACATCGCCGTCGATGAGATCATTCTAGAGTAGCTCTCTGTACATATATACATGAGCGTGGCATGACGGGCGGAAAAGATATGTCTACAACACGGTACAACACTAGCTGGTATGTAGTATCCAAATCCAGCAGTTATCGAATGAGAGCCACATGATGATTTATATTCTGTCAACTACGAAACGATATGTTCAATTTGTACTACTATTTTGTGATATGAGCCGCCTTGGAGAAGTCCATCGTGTTCAATCTTCTCTTTTTTCCGTGCTGCCAATAGTGGTTGAAAGACTTGTATTCAAGTAAAAGGCGGTAAATGGTATAAAGTTACATCATTCTCACAGGGGTTGGGGAAACTTTTCCATAGCATCCATAGTACATAAGGAAGGGCTGGCTTTGTACAAGTAGACTATGATAGCGATTAGATTTGGTTCAATAAGGGGAAAAGAGAAGGGGGGGGGAGTGGTTGACACGTTCTTTTATTAGATATGAGAATTCACTTTGTATATGACGCTAAATGATGCCACGATGATGTAAGTATATATGATACCTGCTACGTGTGGCACTCAGTACATACAGTGCGTGTGTTGTGTGTCTCTCTCTGTGAGTGTTACTATTGACATGTCCGGTGGGTTATCAAGGTTTTACCACTACAAGAGAAAGCAAGCTTCCAGTAAATAAATGTGCTGCACACAAGAAGAAGAAGATGATGATGATGATGATGAGCAGAAGAAGCAGGGTCTGCCTTGCAATCCACTCATTGTACCCTCATAAAAGCTGCATATTTCCCCACTTGTACATAATTCGCTGCCCACAAAAGTGATATAAAATCATGCCTTTCTCCACCAAGCAACAAAGCGTGAAACACTTGCAGAAAACACAGTATTACCCCGATTCCCTCTTTTACGCTTTAGCCTACTTTTTTTTTTTCTTCTTCTTCTTTGCCTCTTTTTTACTCCCACTCACTTCCCTTCATTTTCTTTTCGGGCGCGACTCCCAACCAGCAACCTCACCATCACATTTGCTTGTCCACTTTGTGACGTATACGATAACACAAAAAAAACAGTTACATACGTTCACACCACACGCAGCGGCAGCACAGCAGTCCATTTGTACTTTTGCATTCGGAAATTATGGTGCAATATTCAGAAGCATTTCTGGTAAAGAAAAAAAAAACACGAGAAGGGGGAGGAATCTCGATGGCGGCCTTTGTGTTTGACAACTCCCTTTTTTTTTTTACCTAACCTCCATGGCCCACTTTTTTTTTCATTTCTACCGAGTATAGACGACTCGACCCAAAGACGGGTTGGACATTGTACAAGAGCATATGAAGGCTGGAAGAACTATTGACGAAGAGTTTGCACACTATTTTAAAGAAAGGTAATAAACGAGAGGCGGGTGAGGGGTTAGTGGTTTTTGCCAGTGACGACGGAGGTGGATATAAGGGCTATGGATCGTCATTGAGAGAGAGAGAGAGAGGTAGGGGAAGGGAGGGGATTGCAATGATGATACAATGGAATCGAAAAGCTAACAATAAGTGGATGGGAAAAACAAAGGGCGTTCATTGAAGACCAGTATGCAAAAAGTCTCGTCAAAGCATCGAAAAGGCTATTCGTCATGGACAAAGGAAGCCTAGGGTAAAAAGCTCACATACATACTTTCGCTTTCTTTTCTTTCTCACAACAAGTGTGTGTGTGTGTGTGTGTGTAACCTTTTTGCTTTGTAATCTGTTACGATGTAGCACCTTTGCTCCGGTTTGGGATCTATTGTTCAATGAATTCACAGAAATATCAACGGCCCATGCCATGCTTAGTTTCAAGATTGCAGAAGAAATCGAAAAGCCACTGAGATCTCCCCCTTCGTCCGAGCATGGCAAAGTGAAAGCGGTATGGCACAAGTTGCAGAATAGAACAATGATCATCATTGCCTTTCAGTGCATACATTTAAATACAAACTATTTCCCCAAAAAAAGGCCGAAGCGACGTTTCATCGCATGTCAAAAGACTATGAAGAGCACGCCAGAAAGGTAAACCCAAAGAACAATGAGACAATTCAAAAAGTTGTGTAATAACTGTCACTTGCATTTTAGTCCAAGGATAAAGGCACTTTGTTCAAGCGAGGCAATAAGGATAGTTCAAAGCGCGGACTGGAAAATGCGGCATCGATGTGGTACAAGGATGGTCCTGCATTTCTAAAGGTAAGATATAAGAAAGAAAAAAAAACAAACGTTTGAGATGATATATGTAATGTATGGAGAAAATCTACATAATACAGCATCATCAACAATTGGAAGAAGCACGATTACAGCGCTTGAAGTCGCTTGTCGAAAAATTCGAGCAAATACAGACGGACCAAATGTTGAAACGAATGGAGGTTTGTGGGGTGGGGGGCTAACAGTCTCCGCGCTTTCGGGTTATTTGGATGGCGATCTTATAGAGACACGTGGTGTGATTCTTAGATTGCAAATATTACCATGTCAGCGGCGACGGCTTATGATGTGCCGAATGAAATCGATGAGTTTTGCAAGACACGTGGCAGGAATCTTCAAAAGGCCACGCCAAGCAATGATTTACAAAGACCGAGTCATGGCGATCGACAAGGCAGTGGAAGTATTGTAACTTCATCTACCACCACCACCACCACAAGTTCTCCAGGAGGATCACCACGACCAGCACAAAAGACGAGTAGAGGTATGGGTGGTTTTTGCTTATTGGAGAGGGGGAGACGAGAACGATCCGATTGAGTGATGGTATTATTTTGTGAATAGTGAAATCAGCCTTTTCCTTACGACGAAAGACACGAAACGGCTCTGCTTTGAGACTTCCTGAGTATGTTATTGCTGATAACTGTTCATTTGCATAAACTAAAGGCGTGGATTGTGTGTGGTTAGTACCAATGCCTTTGGACCCATTGATGAGGAGTCAAATGCGAATGGGGGTGCACAACATGTACAGCGACCGCCTTCTCCTTCAAACAGTAGAGGATCCTACCATGTACCACGCAGCGAAAACGAAAGGAATGTTTCGTCGCCGTCGCCACAACCACAATCACAGTCGGTCGCAAGCACACACTCTGTTGAGCAATCATCTTTTCAAGCTCAAACAAATCAGGTACTACATACATGACTTGACGAGGTCGTCGACAGGTACTGATACCAAGATGAATTAGTCACCGTCAGTAGATGCTGAAGGATACTCGGTTCCACCACCCGACCGATCTGAATATTCAGCAGCTTTGAATGACAACAACAGCGGATTTGATGGAGAATCTACCAGCGACTCGCAACGATTCAAGATAGATATTCACAATGATGCGATTGATACTGGTAACAAACAAGAAGCAGATGCGACATTGACACGGGTGGCATCACTTCTTCGAGATGTAAGTGACATATTGAAGCAGATAGGGTGGATGGCAAATGTCTGAAAAGTATTGACTATTTCCTATAGAAAACACCATCGGTATCTCGACGACCGCGTGGAAGACGAGAGTGAGTTTTCTAACACTATCTTTCAAAAGGGGGAGTACCCGATACTAAGACTGCACATATGATCTAGAAACATCCGAAGCATGCAGATTGAATCTGGACTGTACAGCAATCAAGGGTCGCAAGTGTTCAAGAACGACGAGCCCATGGGGTCGTCGACAGTATCATCGACAGCCACAACACCGACACATCCTTTCCATCAAAACTCATTTGAAGTTTCGACACCCACAAGTGCATCCTCTGTGTCACACAGTCCTGCCATGTCGCATGAAAGTCCCAGCCAACTCCGATCTCTTTCTGAAACAGGAGGACAACAACCACAGATCCATGCATCGATCGTCGAACTAACCGAACGAGACCCGCAGGCGGGCAATGACGGTCCGATCCAGATCCACGGACAAATCAAACTCGTCTACAATGGCCCACCCTCCCCACCCACCGCACCGCTTCTTGTACGACTCGGCCATCTAGGCCAAGAGGCAACATTTTCTGCCAATCCGCAATATGTCGAACCGTACAACAACGAACCCGACATGTATGCGCTCAAGGTGGAAGCTTTTGAAGGACGACGTCGACAACCTGTACCTTGCTTCCAGTACCAGCTCCAGACGTCTGTGGTAGACTTGCCGATCCAACTCAAGCCTGCTTGGAAATGCACAGACGACACGACGTATCTGATCGTCAACTATACAACCAACCCGGCTCAATGTGTGCCGCCAAAGAGCCAGTTTGCTGTCTGTGTCAAATTCGATAAAGTGCCTGTCACTCATGTTCAGAGTACGCCGCAAGGAGCGTGGGATACTGGCAAAAGACAGTTAACGTGGATGACAGATGCCATTGTCACTCAGGAGGGCAGTCAGAAACAGCCACGGCTGTTGGCCAAGTTCAATACAGCTGAAAAGGGATCGCCTGTGCCGACAATACTGAAGTACTATCTCAAGGATACGCTAATGACCAACATGTCAATTGAGGCTGTGCCGGCGTCTGGATCTACGCTGCAAGTCAAACAGGTGCAAACGGTGGTTCGTTCTGATAGGATTGCGTTTGCATAAAAAAATGACTAATAGCACAGCACCCCGCCATTTCCCTATTTCGTTACTATTACTATCGGTATTATTTATTGCTTATTATCTTTTGGTCCACCCCTTCCCTTTTACTTGAGCTATCTATCCATCCACATCCCAACCCTACACCGCCTAATGCCAGCAACCATTACAAAGTAATGTTGCGCTTTCTCCCCACCGTCAACCCTTTCATTGCAACATTTTTTTCTTCATATATGTACGAGTATCACTTAATAAATGCACTTTTCGAGGAACTACTGTATTTTTGAAAATGTGGCTTAATTTAAATAGAATCATGCAATGCATGCTGCAGAAGGGTCCATCATAGGAATGGTATCATTGGCAAGGGTAAAGGCCTTCCAGAATGACGGGATTGGCAAATTACGCAAATGCGCAGGCGTGTTACCCATCAGATCCTTGTCTGTATGAATATCAAAGTGCTTGGGCACCTTGCCACCATAGCGAGTAAAGATACCGGGCTCGAACGTCTGTCGCCACACGATAGGGACAGTGGCACCTTCGGATGATCCAGGCACCAATGGGTCGGTCACATAGCAGTTCTTTCTGTCGACCAATGCATCCTCCAAGTCCAGGTTGCCCAAGCTGATGACGTTGGGGTCCAATCCGTCAGCAGCACCAAACTTGTTGTCCGAGACCACGATATGCCAGCCCCAGGGTGAGATCGGCACACTGCTGTTCCAGATAGGCGGACGGATGGTATAATTCAAACGGGCGGTGTAAAAGTCAAAGAAGGTGACGCCCTCATACAGCCAGCCATCCAATTCCTTGTCTTTGGTTGCGACCTGCTCGCCCAAAAACTTGTAGAAAAAGTTATTGTGGACCACCATGTTGCTGACCTGCATAAAGTCGGCGTGCACGGCTGCATACATCATGACTGCATTGTTGGCCAGGTAGTTGGAGACGACAAAGGCATCCACAGCCGAAGTGAATCGGGTCGCGCCACCAAAGTCACCAATCTGCCATCCGCCGAAAAAGTTCTGATAAATGTACGTTTGGTTGCTGCCCACAATGCTGATCGCGTGGTCTTGACCATACGTGATCGTGTCAGGCAACGTGCCGTTCAGAATGTTTTCTCTGATCGTAATGTCGTTGCTAAAGTACATTTGCACGCCCGAGGCTAAAAAGCCTTGCTGGTCGTCTAGGTCTCGGCCAAGGCACTGTTGGACAAAGCGAAGCGAGGTGAGAACAGTTTGGACTTGGGGTGCAACGTGAGGATAGACATCGTCGAGGTGGCGTAGATCCATGCCAAAGATGTTGTTGGAAACAACACTGCTTTTTTGCGTTTGGAACACGACGCCAGCATCTATTATTACAGGAGTCCATTTGCGTGATGTGATTTATTAGTTTTTCTCTCGATCAAGAAAAATATTGCTGGTAAGGATGCTTACTGGTGGTATCATTCTTGGGGATCAATACCGTGCCACGGTGCTCAAAATCACGCAAAAAGACGTTGCCATCTATGATAATATTAGCCGTTTCCTGATTTCCAGTTGGTCATAAAGTGACATACCGATGTAAAGATTCTCGCCGCTGTATGAGATGATGGATCCACGGCCGCCGTTCAAAAAGAGGTTACCCAGGACACTACTTTCGTCACCGTTGGTATGAGGTTCGATTTCAATATTGACGTTGTCAAAAACGATGCCCTTGATGGACCACCCTTTATTCTTGGCCGGAACTAATATGTACATGTCGCTCGTTAGGGAAAATATCCGCAAAGGAGGTGTAAAGTTCATCAAAAGGCTGTACCTTTAATGGTTGCTGTCAGGTTGGCTTCCTTAGGACCAGTAAGAATTGTTGGATTCTCACCAAATCCAGTAGCATGCAGTGATACGCCTGGCTTCAATTGAACGGGCTCATCGGCAGACAAGATGAATTGGCCTGTATTCAAGCAATAGGTGGAAGGAGAAGGATCAGTTTCATAGACCTTTACATGGGTGTATGTGACACTACAGCTCTCTGTACTTTATTGTACAATAGTTGATGGGACCCGATAACTGGTTTTTAAACATTACCAGGAAAAAGGTTTACAACGGGATCGCTACATGTGCATTATATAACAAGGGTGAGTGATTGGATAGGCAAGAATAGACCCTACGACATACCCTGAAAGTGCAGCTTCATCAATTAATCCCTGGAGTGTGGAAGCGGTGTTTTCCGTAGAGGTGTAAGCAGCTACGGCATCCTCCGAACACGCCAGATCCGCTGCTGCAGCTAGTGCGGAAGTTGCTGTGGAGAGCAGCAAGCCCACGATGACGCTTTTGAGCTTCATTGTTTGCTTGTATATATAACGAGGAACAGGAAGACATTGGGGCCGGTCTGCTTCTTATATAGCACACGTCCAAGACGAAAAATGCTTTCAATAACAACGACAGGCCCCAGTCTTCTCATCAATATCCCCAATATTTCCACTGCCAGCAAAGCTACGTGAGAAATTAGCTGCATATTTTCTTTTTTGGCATTCCAGCTAACCCAGAACTTTTTTCTTTCGCACACAACAGACACAACCCACTCTCTTTTTTTCTCTTTTATACTCACAACAACAACAACAACAACACACCATGCCTGCTACTGCTCCTCCCCCTCGTTCAGCAGCTTCACAATCCACCCATTTACTGCCAAAAGACCCGCCCACCTATGACTCGCTTTACATTGCCATGCCACAATCCTCTTCTTCATCCACATCCAGCACGTCGTCGCAGTCTGACGGATGCTGCACCGCTGTACAACGTTTCCTGTACAGACAAGCGCCATTCCTACAACGCCTGGCCGCTGCTACGTTTGTTGCAACCACAGTCTCTACCACCGTCATGTTGCTACTATGGCAATTGCAGAATCTGACCACTCCCGAAGACGATCGCCCTTGGTTTGACCCAGACGAAGTTTCTGACTTTATCAGTTCTTCTTCGTGAAAAGCAGAAAAAGCGAAAACGAGAGATAAGATACCCAAATCCACCCACTACTACCCCTCGCACTCGCACTCACTCACTTATCGAACAATAGCCGTTAACTTAAACCCAAACCACTCTCACCCCCTTCTCTCTATTCTGGGGTACACTCATCCAAGAGTTACTATTTGCCAACAACTAACCTATCAAACGCATCCAGCCGAAGTTTCACGACAGCAACAGTAACAACAACAACAACAACAATAACAACGACAGTAACCTTTTGTTTTCTTCTATCTCGCATTCTGTACATATTGGCATCTTTTTTTTTTCCTCTTCCTGTTTCAATAAAAAAAAAGCATTTTCGATACCATCAAGCCGTTGTCTTGGGCAATGATAAATGACATAGTCTACTGCTACACTATTGCTGCTGCTCTTGTCTATCATGTTTAGATCCCACCCCCCACCCACCACCCCCGCGCGACCTATATTAATCATCCTCCTCCTCCTCCGCCCTTTCCCCCCCCCCCCGCAGAACAAGAGAGAACAAAAACACTAACCCCCTTTCATTATTGTGAATCTGACGGGTCCATTCGAAAAGCAGGGTGTTCAATGAAATAATGTGACATACGAAAAGAGTGGAAAGAAAGCAGTTTACTATGTTTTTGCGAAAATAAAGGCAGAGTACCATCGTATCAATCCAGCGCATATTTGCCAGGACTTTGCTATTCGAACAACGAAATTGTCAGCTTATCGATTTGAGCAGCCAAGTTAGACAAGCATCATTTTGCTTAGACACGCCATGAAGGGACTGTTGTGCTTTAAAGGGGTGGGGGTGGGGAGAGATACCTCTATTATTCAGCTGGTGGTCTGCACTTGCTAATAGCTCTTCTTCTTCTTCTTCTTCTTCACAAACAAAAGGAAAAAGGGATTGGCTGTATGATATGTTGGCATTCTTTCTTTTGTTGTTATTTGTTTACGCATTATATCAATAATGGGTGTTGAAACACGAATGCACCATTTTAGATGTTCTCATCTATTAATGCGACAAACCTAAATTGCTCTTCCATAGAGTGATTAACAAACAATGGCTTCCAGGTTCTCTCTTCTTTGTTGTGCATGCTTTGTGGTATTATGTTGTAAGTAGAAAAGATAATAGTAGGTGTATGCAACAAACCGAGTTCATGTGGTGTGCAAGGATTATCACTGCGCATATAGATCAGTATAAACTACTTCGCCCTATAATAATAGGTTCCCGCGCGCGCTATGTACAGTATGTAACAAAATGAGTACATACACTAGGAGTGATAAGTACACCAGTCTTATTGGTAGTATGCAAAAAGGGTGGGTGGAATGACTCTATTATTCATTATCGAGTCACGCGAGCAACTATAAATCATTCCTGACTTGAAGTAAGCTGCTGTTGTTGTCCAATCTCTGCTTTTGAAACCAGCTCACATTCATCGGTGGCTATGACATGCTACTATGACCTATCGCAACGTAGTTACTTCTTACTAATTTGATGTCCGTGCACTTCTAAGTGTATGATAAGACAATTTATCGTTGTCAACACGAGTAGTGTGGTGATAGCAGTAGTAGTAGCACGAACAGATCCTCATTGAACGACACGACAACCCCCTCTTTTAATTCCATTTTGTTGTTTGTTATATTGGTCTGACTTCATCCAGCCCCTTTTTCTTTAAAGTTTTGACGTCTTGTTTTCAAGTTGGACAGAAGAAACCCATTCGCAGCATGTGCCGCCCCCGAGAGTTTCATTTTTTAATAACTGCGTTGTGTTCAAAAGGTCCGTGCTTTTTCCACCGACAAGGTCCATGTACCTGATACCAAAGCCTATATACACATCGAATTCAAGCTATATGTATGTGTCAAGCTACTCTAGTCACATCTATAGGTGTAGAAATTGAGAGAAAGTCGGTGAGTCCTTTAGATAATATAGAGTTCCTCCGGTCGCTGTTGTCTGCCGGTCCCTTATTATCTCGCCAAGGAAGCAAATCCTTATTTCAACAAACAAACGGATGATTTGCTAAAAGATATAACACACATATCTTGCTTCTTCGCATCTCAAACGTGGACAATGATATCAAGTATATGTGTTTATCTTTACTCAAGCACTGAGTATGAAGTTTCATAAACAAAACCATCGGGCACCATGTGCAGCGGGGCATCTATTCAGTAGCTGAGTGTGTTATTAGGCACCGCAATGTCATCACAGTACGAAATTAAGTCGCTGGTAATGGTGAGTGACCGAATGATAATCCGGTTTTCAGCTGACAGCACTCTTTGTTAAGGATGGATCAGCCATAACAACAAAGGATTAAAGGGCTCTCCTTAATCTCTTAATAGATCGAGTTACACTTGCTTTAGTGGGCGTTTTCTCCATGTTCTCTATCCTTCTTGTGTGTGTGTGTGTGTGTGTGTGTGTGTGGATGACTATGTCTGGATTAGGCAGTAGTACCAGGTCACCAAACATCACAGACATTATATATCTTTTACCTATAACGCTTAATGACCGTGTAACATGTATCGTCGGCGCAGGATTGGAAGCATCTGAAGCACTCGTGCTTCATTGCCACTTTTTTTTCCCTTTTTCTTTTTGTTTCCCAACTTTTTTCTTTTCTACACCTACAACACGATTCATATTGGGAATCTTCACCATTCGTCGTTTACCTTTCTTTTCCCTCTTTTTCATAAACGCGGTGCAAGACCTAAACCACCTTTCCTTTTCTTTTTCTCTCTTTTTTTTTTCTGTCCTTTTCCCTCCTCCTCCTCCTCCTCCTTCTTCCTCCACACTCCTATTATACCCTAACTTAAGTTCAATATTTAACCATCTCGAATAATCAACGCAGCCATTACTGCCAATCGATTTTAATTCAATACGCTCGATTGAATCGCCATGGTCAAAGAGGCATCGGCAGTGCAAGTAGGCAAGTTATAAATTGTTTCAAGGAGTAAAAAGAAAAAAGTCAACCCCACTTTCCCGACAACTAAAATAACCGCCACCCCCTTCTTTCTTTACATATTCTGCATAATAAAAAAAAAATTAGCATTGCGCATACGACCATTAACTGAAAAAGATCGTGCTCAACCTCGATTTGCCAATCTTTCCAACGACGATGTATTAAAGATTCATGAAAAGACCGTGCATGTTGTGCCGCACAGCAAGCTGTTTACGTTCGACCATGTGTTTGGCGTTGACAGCACTCAAAGTCAAGTGTTCGAAGCACTTGGTGAAAAGCTTATCCACAAATTCGTCGAAGGTACGCAACAACAAACTGACGGTCTCCATGACAACGCTAACTTTTGTTTTGTTTTCTATTTCTGTCAGGTTATAATGTGACAATTCTTGCATATGTAAAGCATCCTACTACATGCATCCTTGTTTGTTAACATATATATATATACACTATTTACTGTATGATTGACTTGCTTTCGATGCTACATGATTTTCTTGTAGGGACAAACATCGAGTGGCAAAACATATACAATGGGCACAGCACAACACCAGAGCGGACGGTACAACATGGAGTTAGAAGGCATCGTACCACGTGCCATGTCCCTTTTATTCGATATCCTCCAATCCGGCAACAGCAACAACAATTCATCCGACGCTGTCCGATCCATCACGCCCGCACCATCCGTATCCTCATCCACAACCGACACCGCCTCACAACCGAAAAATCGATTACGACCTCCATCTAGAAAATCCCACGTGCCATCTACTACTACATCCTTATCCCATGCAACATCAAGACAACAAAAGTACACCGTCAAGGTCTCATTTGTCGAAATTTACAACGAAGAATTAAACGATCTCTTAAACGGAGCTTCACCCACAGAACGACCGCCGGTCACGATCCGTGAAGACGCAAAAGGTCATATTTATTGGACGGGCGTTAAGGAGCTGACTGTACACAGTACAGATGATGTGTTGTAGTATGTTTGTTTATCTCTTTTATTGTCTGATTATGTGGCACCACCTTTTGGATGGGAATGGATGGGGAGATATTAATTTCCCCCCCTTACACTGTAGTCATCTGGAACAAGGCACCCGGAATAGAGCCACAGGAGCAACCGATATGAATGAAAAGTCGTCCAGATCCCATGCTATTTTCTCGGTCTCGCTCAAACATGAGAAATGGGTTCCTGCAGGAGGCGCTACTCATCATCCCCGTACAGATAGCCCTGTGTTTGGCCGGAAACGGTCCGGAAGTTCCATACGTGGAGGCGGAGTGGCTGCACCAGGATCTGATGATGGCGAATGGATGATCACAAACTCTAAATTCCATTTCGTCGATCTTGCCGGTAGCGAGCGTGTAATTATCGTCAAGCATAGCTTTATATCATGGGAGCGAGCACAACAGACTAGTTTTTATGCATAAACGAATCACTGATCCCCTTTGACTCATCTAATGTAGCTCAAACGAACCGCAGCTGAAGGTGATCGACGAAAAGAAGGCATCAACATCAATGCAGGGCTACTGGCATTGGGTAATGTTATTTCCGCCCTCGGTGATCCATCCAAACGTAGCACGCACGTCCCTTATCGCGATTCTAAGCTGACGCGGCTGTTGCAGGACTCTTTGGGCGGCTCAGCAGCGACGTTAATGATTGCCTGCGCCAGTCCGACCGAATATAACTTGTCCGAGACTCTCAACACACTGCAATACGCCAATCGGGCTCGCAACATTAAAAACCGGGTTGAAAAGAACGAAGTCGAAGAGTGGATGACAACCGAAAATATCGAGCTACTACGTACAATGATTGGCAAAATGAAGATGGAGCTGCGAAGCCTAAAGTCCGGCTCCATGAGCTCATCTGCCAGCACCGTTGTCGCTTCTACCAACGACAACCACAACGTGGACCTACTTGTCAATAGCAATGACTCGGATCAATTGTACCAAGAACAACGGTTGACGATAGCCGACCTGCAACGCCAAGTGGAAGAGTTAGACGGCGAGGCAACAGTGACTCGCGAACGAAACAAGGTCGTCGAAGCTGAGCTCAAGCGAGTACGCAAACTCGAGTCGATGCGCAAAAAGGAGGAGGAGCTCAAGATGAACAACAATCACGACTTTCAACATCTGGTCGAACCTGTGATTGAAGAATACGAGAAAAGTATCTCTGCTTTGGAATCCCAGCTAGCCATGGCCCGTGCTGCACTCAATCATTCTGACATTGGCTTTGAGGAACAACGCGCCAAACTCGAACAATGCGAACTGATGCTCGAGAATCAAGATCAGACGGTCGCTGATCTACGCACGCGACTGTCCAAGCTTCAGGAGCGCGAGCATAACAATGAAGCCTATATCGACGAGCTCGAGGGGAAACTGATGCGGTCTGCGAACGATGCACTGCGGGATCAAGAGTTGTTGAACGAGCTCAAGACACGGATCATGCGGTTCAAGGAGACGGACGAGAACACGGAGCAATACATCTTTGATTTGGAGCAACGTTTGGCTACAAGCGAGGCGGACAAAATTACCCTTCAGAAATCAATGGAATCTCTCGAAGCCAAGGTATCGGAGGCCGAAGCTACCAGCAGCAAATTACGTGTGCAACTCAACAAGGCTGAGGATACGACCACAGAAAAGATGATGCTGCAAGAGCTCGACCAAGTAAACAAAAGTTACAAGAGCCTGGAAGAAGAGCGCGATCAGCTCAAGGCCGAGGTGGAGCGATTATCGGCTGCTGCCAAACAACAAACAGATACCAAAAACCAACAGGAACAAGAGCGCGACAAGAACGATCATGTCGACGTCAACAGAACAAGTACGCCGGATGTGAATGGTCAAAGTGACAAGGCAGCGCGTCGCCAAGCCTATCGCCGAAGCTATGCTGAGGAAAAAGAAACGCCGGAATCTGTGGCTGCAGCAAGCATCCAAAAGGCAGAGCGACGTGCAGAAGAAGCAGCAGCACGCGCATTGCATCTTGAGCGAGAATTGCGTGAGCTACAAGACGATCATCACGAGACGCTCAAAGAGTTGGACGAAGTGCTGATGCGATACCAAGAGGCACTGGATCAAGTGGATGCACTGCAGCATCGACCGGGCGCAGCTGGTGGTCATGATGAACACGGTGATGTAGCATCCGTTCCTGCTGAGAAGCATGGTGGTGGTGGTGGCCCGAACGCTCTCAGCAAGGAAATGCTTCGCGCCAACGAAGAGGCAGAAATCAAGGAGCGCGAGGCACGTATTCGCCAGATCGGGCAGCTTGAAAAGCATGTGGACGATTTGCAACAACAATTGGATCTGCGCCAAGCAGAGCTCGAGGATGTACAGCAACAACTCGAGCAGCACAAGACACGTGCATTGCAGGACACAAAGGCCTTGGAAGCAAAGTACACATGTCAAGTCGAGACGTTGAATGACACAATCGAGCGGTTGCAAGCTGAGCAAAAGTCGTCGCTGGAGCGTGTCGAATCTTTGCAGCGATTGGTAGACGACCGCAGCAAGGCGCACGACGCGATGGAAAAGTCGCTGCGTGACCTCGATGTGAACAGTGGTAGCGAGAAAGAAGCGTTGCAAAAGCGTTACGATGCACTCCAAACCGAGTTTAACAGTTTCAAGGCATCATCTGACGCTGCATCGAGCGAGAACAAGCAGGATGCGCAGCTGTTACACCAGCAGATGATGAATCTACAACAGGAACTTGCAGATCACAAGGACCTTGTGGGCGTAAAGGATAAGCAGATTGAAGATGTGAGCCAGCAGCTCGAACGACTGGAACACGATTTGAACGAGCAACTGACCCAAGCACGCGATTCAATTGCACATCTCGAGACATCGTCATCCAAACATGTGGAAGCCCTGCAGCAGTCGCGATCTGCTCACAAAGAACTCGAGGCAAAGACAAATGGTGTCGACGAACAGCAACAGGACAAGGTTCGCACGCTTGAAGCGCAGTTGCTCGCTGCGCAAGCATCGTTGACGCGCTCAGCCGATGAGAACAAGGGTTTGCAGCAAGAAATTGCCGATCATCGTGCCCGACTTGAAGAACAATCCAGCGATGCCCGTCGACGCATGGGAGTGTTAGAAAAGCAATGTGCCGATCAGGAGTCTGTTATCGATGCGTTGCGCCAATCTGTGGATACAGCCAACAGCAACCTTGACTCTACTGCAAAGAACTTGGACGCGGTCAAGCTTGGATCCGATGCACTTGAGAAGCAGCGCACAGAGCTGACATCTGCTATCCAAGATCTCAAGGATCAGTTATCCCGGGCAGAGGCAAGGGTCCAGGAGCTGGAGTCAGCCAAAACCGAAGCCCAAACGCTGTCGAAACAGTGTGGAGAACAAGCACAGGTGATCAACACATTGCAGTCCCAATTGATCGAACTGACGACATTGACCGCCGATAGAGAACTCAAGTCGCGACAGGAGCTCGACACTGTTCGCGGTAGCGCCGATACATTAGAGACTCAGCGACACGAACTGACAACTGCCATCGACACCTTGCGTCAGAAGCTTCTCCAGACAACCGCATCATCAGATGATGCAACAAAGATGCTCAATACAACCACGGAACGCGTAACACGTCTGGAGCAAAAATGCAGCGAACAGACTGCCTTGATCGAATCCCTCCAAGCGCAACTGCGCGGATCGGATGTGGCCAAGGAGCAGCTCCAAACCACCCACAATGAATCAATCAAGCAGCAGCGCAAAGACTTGACAGCGGCCATTGATGCTTTGCAACTCCAGTTACGCCAGACGACGGAAAGTGCAGACAACAGTTTGGAAGCTAAATTGAAGGAATTGGAGACAATCAAAAGTAGTGCCGGCAAGCTGGAAAAACAATGGGCCGATCAAGCAGCCATGATTGAATCGTTGGAAACTCAGTTGCGCGACCGATCGGATACCACAGAAGCTCAAAAACACATCGAGTTGCTCGAGCGAAAATGCAATGAGCAAGCGTCAACCATTGAATCTTTGCAAGTGCGTTTAAGCGAGCATCAAACCAACGGCCATCACCGTGCCGTCCAGCAGCCCAAGGAAGATGACAACGAGAAGGCGGACCAGGCACACACTAAAGATTTGGAAGCGTTCAAACGCAAGGCGGATGGACTGGAGAAGCAGTGCAAGGATCAAAGTTCTGTGATCGAGGATTTAAAAGCACAGTTACTATCCACCACTGCTCCGTCATCGTCCCAGCAACAATCGAACAACAACGACAGTGGTGCCAAGCTACAAACACGATGCAACGATCTTGAAATAGCACTTGAAGAAAAGAACCAGCAAGTCGAGGCGCTGCAGCAGGATTTGGACAGTCTGGACGAAGCATTAGCGGAACTGGAAGAGCAGAAGCGCGTTGCTGATGAAGATGGGTTGGAGAAGCTCAAGCTGCTCGACGAGATTACCAAAGAAAACGATGATCTTGCTGCCGCATTAAAAAAGCTAGAAGCAGACATTGCTTCAGCAAAAGAAGAATCCAGCGAGCACGCCAAGCTCCTTTCTGACACCAGCAAGGAAAAAGACGGACTTGGCGTCAAGCTCAAGGAGACAGAAGCCGCATTGGCTACTGCACAGCAAGGATCTACTGAACACGCCAAGAGGCTTTCCGACAATATCCATCAATTGGAACGTGATACCCAGGAATTCCAGGCACGCGTCGATCAAGAGCGACAAAAGATGGCACACTTGGAAGCTGAAGCGACCACGGCCCAGGAAGCGCTTGCGGCAACACAGCAACAGCTCGATGCTTTACGCGAGTCATCGAACCAGGACCAGGAGCATCATAGGGCTGAGCTGGCAGCACTCAATGAACAGTTGCAAGACCTTGAGAAGCAATTGAGGCATGAGCGCAGAGAATCCAAACGACTCGATTCGGAGCTGGCTTCGTCTCGAGCCGTCACGGAAAGCGAGCAGCAGAAGCATCAGCGTGCGATGGAGCAAGCGTCCGAAAAGGCCACACGCGAAAGCAAGGAGCAGCTGGCACTGCTGATGCAGCAAGAAAAGCGTAGCGAGACCTTGGAAGAGCAGCTCCAGACGGCACAGGTCACAGCTCAAGAAAAGGACGCACATTTACGGTCACTCCGGTCACAAGTGGAGACACATGTTCGTACCATTAGCGATCTCCGGGAAGAGCTCGAAAAAGTCCAATTTTCAAGTCAAGTCGCTGCTGCTAGTTCTGCCAACAACAGCAGCAGTAGTGGTGATGATACAAAAGACAGAGAGGACGATAGTGTACAGAAGCTATACAAAGAGCGAATGCAGCAGCTTGAAAAGAAGGCCAAGCAGCTCGAGGATGAAAATCAGGAATACATTGGCTTATCTGAAGAGCTTGAAGGCGAAGTGAGCAGGCTGATGAAGGAGGTGGATCAGCTGACGCAGGAACTGAACGACAGCCGTGAATCGAGCGACGATCAACTGCAGCAGCTGCAGGAATCCTTGGAAACGATGGAAAAGACGTATCAACGTCAGCTGGACCAGGTCAATGACGAGGTTACTGCGTCAAGAACAAAGTATGGCGAGCAAGAACGTCAACTTAATGACAAGATGCAAGAACTACAGGATCAACTAGCTGCTGCTACTGCTACTGCTGTTGGTGCCAAGGAAACAGAATCCGCAGCTGCATCGATCAACGAGGATGCTAATGCCCAGCAACAACAACAACAACAACAACAACAACAAAAGCAAGAACTTGACAAGCTCAAGATTGCATTGTCAACGGCCGAATTGAATGTCAAGCAACAACAAGCCCAAGTGCGAGAAATCGAGTCGAAACTAGAGACGACGCAAACATCATTACAGGACGTCCAACAGGAACTTGCGTCTAAAACACAGGAGAACGCGTCACTACAGCAGAGCCTATCGCATAGCGAGCAAGCTAGTCAAAAGCTAAAGGCCGAATTGGCAGATGCCAAAAAGGCCAAGGAAAAGGCGGAACGATCATTGGCATCGTTAGAGAACCAGCTGGAAGAGCTGATAAGTAAAAAGAGCAAATTTATGTGCTTTTAGTTTTAGATAATATCCACACCCCTCCCCTCCCATCCTGTATTTTTATTCCTTCCTTATCATTACACACACACACACACACACGAACAAAAAAAAAAGATGTGCATTCCTTATTATTTAAAAATAATCATGATGAATATATATATATATATTTATTCTATAATGGACCAGCTGATTCGTATTATACCATCTGTTATGTAGTATAAACCAACAGCACCGATCCTCTAACATGAGGGGGGCGCAACAAATAAGAAAGAGCGTGTGATGATGACGGGTAGGTGTCATGCAAAAAGGGCGGCCATACTCGGAATACGAGGCGATCTGAGAATCATGCGCTTAAAACGATAAGATTGTGAATTGGGCGTTTTAGCCTCTTGGTATTATTACCCAGCTGAAAGAAAAAGAGAGGCTCAATCGAGCGGGGGATAGAGTAGAGTGGCAAGTTGTCAAAATGTAACAGTGCCCCCCTCCCCCCTCTCTTCTCTTTCTCTCTAGTCAACCGGAATTATCAGCGGCAATAATAAGGGAAAAAACCTTGTAACAAAAAAAAAAAAAAAAGGGCTGAGTTTTCGGCTCAACGTGCAGATCGGATTGCATTGAGCATGGAACGTTTCTTTGCATTACATTTTCGCGCAAAGCAGCAGCAGCAGCAGCAGCAACAGTGCCAAGGCGGGAATGTAACGTTTTTTGATGCATAAAGCAACTTGGAGAGAGCATGGCTTTTTGTGTTTTATATATTATGCATGTGTGCCTGGTTATGTACCAAACACGCCCTGTCCCCCTCCCCCTTGTGTCCGCCGCTCATTTCTCAAACACATATTACTCGGGACACATCCATCATCATCTTTTTTTTTTCAAATACCACATGTACTATTGTGTTTGCCCCGCTAGCTAGTAGCTAGATCGCTCACTAGCTAGTAGTAGTAGTAGTAGCAGCGGACAAACGTAACAGAGCATCGACATGCATTTGCTGTTCTATTTGTTCCCATGAGGCCCTTTTTTTTATTATTGTGTTACTAAGCTGCTACTGTAAAATAAAAAACACCATCATCTCACTTTAACGTTCACGTAATACCACGTTGTATCACAGCATCACACACACACGCACTTGTTCCTTATTCTTTCTCCACACCAAAAAAGGATAGAGAGACATCGGGCCGTAGTACCAATAGAGATAAAAAAAAAAAGAAAGGAAGGTTACCCTCAATGTCGAAGCCATAAAAAGTTCACTCTATGGGGTCCAGTTCACTCTATGGGGGGCCAGAAGACGCGCACAGAGAAATAGAGAAGATCATGCATTGAGCTATACGTTGCTTGTCAGAAAAACCAGATGTTAGCAGGGACGGAGCGTGGAGGAGGGCGGGAGGGGGTGTGGTGCGAAAGGCATCATATCTACCTTGGCTGGTTTTGCCCTGATTGAAAAAATTCGTGAGTATAAGTATTCATTAAAAGAATGTATTATAGGCGCGCTTTTTTTTTTGTTGTTTTACCCTTCGATCGATCACTATTTTACTTTTAAATTGCGCGCGCGCGCTCTCTCCTCATCTCTGTTGTTGTTGTAAAAAAACCAAGGGGTGGGGGTAAAATTGCTCTTTGTTGTTTCTGCATTGCATATTCCATTTTTTTAAGAATACCATGCAAACGGAAGAAGAAAAAGAAGGCTTACTGCTGCTGCTGCTGCTGCTGCTGCATACTGCCATCTCTCGCATTGTTGGTGTCGCTTTCCTACTTGCTGCTTATGGCACACACCGATCAAAAAAGACAGCACTCATGATCCTATAGGACGGTTTGTACTACAACATAGGCACCCCCACTCTCTCTCTCTCTCACACATTTCCAGCTTCCCTTTTTCTGATCAGTCGTCCTCTCTCCCCCCCATAACAACGGCTACTACTCTACTACTGCTATGGCAGTGGTTAGTTGTTAAGCTGTTGTTGTTACTGGCAACAAAGAATTTGTTGCTATGCACTCTATTTGGTCTTGGTGCACATGTGCCTCGCCTGGGAGTTGTTCTGGACTCTCTCTCTCTCTCTTGTGAATGAAAGAAGACTTCTTTATGTCACTCTTGATGAGTTTGGCCACAGGTATTGTAAAAAAAGACAATAGGGGCGGTGTTTCAATGAGGGCACCCTCTCTCTCTTTCTCTTTGACGTTATTACGCCATCCAAAGTGTTTCATCGGCAAGATTATCATTACGGCCAACTCTAAATTTCATTCCACAGCAAAATGCGTAAAGTGTGCACTATAGGGGCCTGTGTACGGCGGGGAGAGCAATAAACGTGTTTTTCTTTTTACAGAGACTAAAAGTGATAGGCGCGTATGATACACACAACAAACACGCACATCACTCTACTAACACTTATTGTCATCCAAAAGGGGTGGCTACCTGTATCCTATTACAAGCATCGATAGAGCATCATGTCAGCACAGCAACAACACATGATATGGCCCCCCCAAAACCACTCTTCTTTCCGGACCGCCAGTCCACCGGGGGGGAGGGGGATGGCTCATCAACCTCCTCAGCCGCCCCCGCCTCGAATGCCTTGTCTGGACTAATTCAGCTAGGGCGTAATAGCCTATCAACTGATGTAATCATTCTTTGCCCTGGTGACAAGTCCAGTCATAATCCCTAGGCAATCATTTTCCCCGGGGGGGGGAAGGGTGTGAGGGAAGCTTCTAATATCCACCTGCTGCAATAAGTATATATACCTGTGTGTGTTTTGGCTCTATGCTGCTTTATAGATGTGTCAGGGGCAACTGAAAACCATGTATCAAAAGTAATCTATTCCAATGCTACTCTATGTCAGGGGGGGGGGAGGGCGGGCGGGCGGAAGAAGGCAGAACATCCCAGTGATACGCAATGAGAATAGGAGGAAAGAGGCCTTAAAACAATACGCCCGCATATCAAAAAAGAAGATACTTTGTATATCAGTAGTGAAATAGCGCGAGAACGACAAAAGAAGGCTAAGGGAAACAGCCACGTTTATGGAAATAGTGCTCGATTCCTTGCCCTTTTTCTTTAACAGTTTCCGCGCGCGCGTTTCTCTTGGTACTCCTAAAATAAGCAAACCCCACCCCCTCTCTCTCCCTCTCCTCCTTAATACCTTTGGTACGCTTGAAGAGAAGGGAGTCCAAGGGAAGAAGTCGATGGAAAATGAGCAAGTAGTGTCAAATTGTACTCTGCGTTGTCACCCTCAAATCATCAAGGTCTGTGTTCAAAATCTGGAAAACCCCCCCTCCGTCTGTCTTCAGATCCATTTCCCCCGCGCCCTCCCACCCTCCCCTACTTGAACTTCTTTGTCAAAGCAAATGCGTGTTCCTGATGACAGTACAAGGTACACTTGTAAAAAAAAATAAAAGGCGCTCTGATCAATATAACCTGTAACCAGCTGGTTCTCTTTGAGAAGGGGTGTCATGGTTTGGGGGGAGGGGAGGAGGAGGGAAGAAGAGTCACATCAACGCAGAATACAGTAACGCTATACAGTAGTAGTGTATATATGTATAGGGTTATGTACATAAGAAGCGCAATATAATAATAAAGCAGGTTTTGTGTATATAAACACAAAGTGTCATATGATGGTCAGTGCACAGAACTTTTTTTTTTTACGCCAGACATATATATACACACACACACACTACAAACAACAACCTGTTAGGAATAACCGTGCAGCAAACCAAATATGTAAAGCGCATTTTCGGAGGGACAGTTTATCCTGATATTCTATATACGCACACACTGCGTCGCGGCGGGGGGGGGGGCTAGTGATATTAGAGTCGAAAAGAAAAGCAGGTGTAGAGCGATAGGACCATGTCCTCAAACAACCCCATCCTGCCCCGCCCCCTCTTATTAAAGATATATTCATCGGCTGGCGCCGAAAGTAACGCAGTAGAATACTAAATGGTAGTCGGACAGCAGCCAACACGCATACAATAGATAGGGATCCAAAAGGGGTAAAGGGTCAGTATATCATATGTATACTTGACTCTCTAGTACACAGTCCACAGTAGTATGATACAGATGGTGAAAGAATAAAGTGCTACGTGATGACGCATCACTTTTTTGACTTGGCTTTCAAATCTCGGTCGAATCACCACGATATAGTTATCAGCCGAGAAATATAAAAAAAAAGGGGGAGACCGGGAGGGGGGGTGTTAGTTGGTAATGTACCCATCGGAAAGCAGCTCAAAAAGAAGGCAATGTGCATAGATTGCCATGTACTCATATGTAATCCTTCACAGACAACAACAAGAACAATGTTTTTTTTATAGCGTGGTGACTCTTTTACATCGTCGTCGTCGACATCATCATCATCAATAGGGTGTCCTACTTTGATTGTCCAACGATGCAAGTCGATCAGTTCCCATGAATCGGAAAAAGTAAGTTTCAAAGAAGGGGGGGGGCAGAGAGAGAGAGAAAGAGATGGCAAATGATGAGAGCTCCCGAGAAGTCGACTGTTTCTTGTTGGGGTGTGGGGGAGAGAGAGACAGAGAGAGAGACAGAGAGAGAGGTACGGTCAATGCCCGATTATAATACACCGCACGGAGTGCATGAAGCAGTAGTAGAGATAAAAAGAGTAATAAGGCTTCTTCTGCTGCTGCTGCTGCTACTACTTTGTACTCTAATACAGACAGGCAGCAAAGAAAAAAGGTACATCTGCGGGCCACTCTTGGAAGGTCACAAGAACAATAAAAAATAAAAGGGGGGAGGGAGAACAAGGGGAGGGGAAGGAACGGGGAGCCAAAGCGAATTGCGAAGCGTTTAGGGTTAAGCTTGTCCTCTCTCTCTCTCTGTGTGTATTATCATAAGCAGACAGTTTGCATAAAAGTGGGCAGCAATTGGGGTCCCCACTACACTAAGAAAACCCCATGATTTCAAAAGGGAAACCCTTTTGGAGGTTTGAACAAGTAGAATGGAGGTGTCTGTCTTTTTCTTTAGGTCCCCAAGCTGTTACGTGCGTACTACCGGGAGCGCGCAGAATCGATAATGTCTTGTGCTAGGTTGCATTCAAAGAGGCGTTGACAACCTTTTTTTTAATCGGCGTACCTTTCTGGGATTGTGCATCTTGTCTTGGGAAATTGTGACTCGAAGAAGAAGCCGAGAGAGAGAGAGAGAGAGAGTGAGAGTGAGAGTAAAGAGTGAGTGAAAGGGTGCCCTCTACTTTTGTGCTCTGCATTGTTACATACAGCGTTACTGTAGATGGCCCCCACCTGCCTCTGGCTTTTTATTTTTTTGTTATTTAAGCCATACCCATTCCAATTCCATTTCTTGCTCCTTTCTTCCTTTCATCGTTACTCTTTTTTCTCATTTCCTTCTTCTTCAATAACACTACGCCCGTAAAGACGTCATGGCAACCACCACCCGTTCAGATGTAAATACATAACACTTCTTCTCCACATCCCATCCATCGTCATCTATCGCCAGCTACACAAAAGCCAATGATATGAGAGAGACAGAGAGAGAGAGAGACGTGTGTCTGATTAACTTGCTTTTTTTTCCCAACACAACAGCCGCGTGTCTTTTGTCCCCTCGTCTTGTACCATGACTCCCCGTCCAGTCGCTTCGCATCCTCGCTGCAGATGCACCAGCAGTCTCTGATCGACCGTCACCGGGAAAAGACAACCGAAATGCTTCAGCACAATGCCCAAGTGTGGGCATCCGCAAGAAAAGCCAATGTCCACGGTATGTTTTTATCTTGCGTCACAGCACACATACATGCTATGTGTGTCTCTCTATGCCACACACATGGAACAGACACTGAGTAATTTTTTGTTTTTGTTTGCGTTTTACAGAAAAGTACAACGCTGCAGCGGCGGAAGTAGAAGAAGACGAAGATGTTGATGATGCTGCTGCTGCTGCTGATCACATTGATGTGTCTCCGAGTACAAGCACAAGCTCCGCATCGAGTGCATCGTCGAGCTCTAGTTGGACAAGCAACAATAGTTCGTGTGACAGCATTGCTACGATCGATACTACACATGGGGTGCGCTATTCCTCACCTCGTCTCGGTGTGAACGACTTGTTGTCACCTGAGATCTATCCATCGTCAAAAGACATGCCTCCTCCTCCTCCTCCTCCTCATCCTTCTCTGCACCACCACCACCACCACCAACACTTGCCCGTTCTGAAGCAGGTCACACCGTCAACAACGACACCACCGCCATTACAGCACTACCCATCATCCACATCAACGTCGACAACAGCATCAACAACAACAAGCACAAACAATAACAAGCCCACAACAACAACAACAACAAATATCGCCGCTGATACAACCAAAAAACGTCGTCGAGGAAACCTTCCCAAAGAAGTAACCGAGTTCTTGAAAGGCTGGCTCGTTGACCACAAGAAGCACCCGTACCCGTCTGAAAAAGAAAAAATCCAGCTCGCCAACCGCACGGGCCTGACAGTGAACCAAATCAGTAACTGGTTCATTAATGCACGACGCCGTATCTTACAGCCCATGCTAGAGTCAGAATCGCTCAACGCGCAGCTCATGGCCTACTCGGAAATGGCTTCGCTCGAACACAAGAAGCGACGCCAGCTTGATATATACGCTTATCAAGGATTCGCAGGTAATGAATCATCCACCCCTCGCCCCATTTGCATCTCCTCTTTTTCACTGACATGCTAACACCTTTTGTGTGTGTGTGTGTGTGTCTGTATATTAGAGAGTTACGGTGCCGATGACAGTCGCAAATGGGCATTTAGACGGACTAAGCTTCCTGCATTTGACGTTGTCGAAAACGATCATTACTCGCTCGCTATGCGATAAATGGCGGCCCTCCACACACACCTCCTGTTGCTGTTATTACAATGCCATCCACACAGTACACACCATACCTCTATACCATCATCAACAACAACAGCAGCAGCAGCAGCAAGCAGTCATAGTAGTGCTAGTGGTCAATGAACCACGCCTCATGTTCCAAAAGACCCCCTTTTCGTCAGTTCTTCTCTTTCTACATACATATACATATAGCGTACCTCTTTTTTCTATATATACTCTTCATCAGTTATCGTTTTCTCTCTTTTCACCATTTTGTCGTTCAATTTCTTTCTTATATATTCTCTGTACAGTAGTAGTCTTTTTTCTTCTTCTTATTATATATCCTTTGGCACCCGTACATCTTTACCATTCACTCTCTTTCAACGACCCACACGGCGCCTTTCGCTATCACCGCACCATCGCCAATAAGATCCACAGCACTAGCCTCTCATTCCCTTACCTATATCTCTCTTGGCACATATATCATGATTTCCACCTCCCCACATCTCCACCCCCCCAACCCATCCGCGCTTTTATGTCAGCTGCTTTCTTGTGCACCATTGCATATAATTTACGGCAACAACATCCACAAAAACAAACTATTGGCAACAAAACGATCTACTCTTCTTTTCAACAAAATCATGCTGCGATTATTACTACTCTATTATCCCTCCCAACCCTACTAACTAAAACTGCTTCTCTATCTCCCTCTTATTATACTCAATACAATCCTTTCTTTTTTTTACCCGCAACACAACAGAGGATAATTATGTCTTGTGTCTTGTTTGTAATTATACATCGAACCCTCCCTATCCCTTTCCTCCTTGTCTTGATCACATAGCATTGCGTTTTCTCTCACACACACACACCTCCACTACATTATTTCCCAGCTTGTAATAAACAAAGCCAAACAAAAAAAAAACCAGCGTGCTCTTGATGTGGTCGAACATAAAGCAACGGATGCGTTCCCGATGATATGAGGATCGGGGCACCCGTGACATTCTGTGTAAATATCAGACATCATTAGCCCTTTTCTTATGCTTTACACCGAGCTTGGAGCCGAACCAGGGGGGTGGGGAAAGTTTGCGAGTGACGATCTGATGGCTTGTCAGACATTGGTAAGACGAATCAACAATGCACCCGGATAAAAGATGGGTTGAATCGCACACACTATATAACTTAAACACCCATCCATATTCAATGGCTTGAGCGAGAACAAACAACATAAAATAAACATAGAAGAGCAAAGAGGATACTATAAACAAAGGGAGCCATTGTATAGAGTGTAATATACTTCCAATCTGGTATATACGTACAGTAACTTATTTCAAAATGCTTCAATGCATAGTTAGAATCAGAACAACAACTCGTACAGTACAAACAAAAAAAAATGATTAAACGACATCTGATGACTACTGAGAAATTCCAATGATGATTGCATAGAGAGTGATCTCTTGCGAATCCGTGGATTAGGGGTGTATGCTTGCCCCAACATCTTTTGAAATTTTCTTTGTCTGCTCTATAGGAGAATATGATCAAGGAAATACATCTTGGGTAGCCACGGCTTCGTCCAGCAGCAGCAACAAGTGATTGACATATCAGAATAAGGGGTTGAGTTTTTTTTTTATTATTTACCAAACAAAATGTACAGGAAAGGATCTATTTCTTTGGAGAGTGAGAAAACGACAAGAGTAGCAACATGGATCATCACGGGCAAAGACAACACAACAATGTCCCATCGTCTCGTCCGTCATCGCTCGGATGCCATGTCCCGTAATGTATATAGTTAAACATACACACACAAAGCAAAATGTTCACACACACAGCATATTATGATTTTCGCGTTCTTTGTTCAACAACAACAACTTGGGGCCCATGCGCTACTACATGACGAGTTGTTGTTGCGTCTAAAAGAGAATTTCTATATCAAATGATCTCGTGTTTTATTTAGGCAATATCTGCTGCAAAGATGAGTTTTGCGTAATACGCACCGTCTATGTATAGAGTGTTTGTACTTGCAACTCCCAGCCCAACTATCAATCCATAGCGTCATTGCACATACAGCTTACACAGCAGCACGCTCATCAACAAAATGCATTGAACCCCCCCCCCTCACGAACGCCGTCACGCCACGCGTGCACACCAGGATTACGCCCTTCTTCCGCGCCGCGCGCGCGCGTATAGTGTGGTATGCCACTCGAAAACTGTAAAAAGCGAGAGCAAGTAAATGAAGGAGAAATAGATCAAGAACGAAGCAGGGAAAGAAAAAAAAACGTTACTCCAAGTACGTAATATTGTAATTTGATCACCCATGCATATAATTCAACAGATGAAATCATGGTCAAGTTATGCTGCTGCTTCTTCTTCTTCTTTATTCGCTCTCCTCCTTCCTCTTCTTTGCTCCCCCTCCCCCTGATATTTTGTATGTAGTGCTGCAGAACATCAAATGTGTCATCATCATTATGTGTGTAAATCAACTTTTGGCGTTTTGTAACCCTTTAAACTTTCTTTTTTTTTTTTTTTTGCAGGATAAAGTTTTGGGGGAAAAAAAAAGACAGCGCTGAGAGTCGTGGTTTGCTCGTGGCTCGGTGCTAGCTACAAGTGTTACGGGTAGTACACATAGCGTATATACTACACAGTTGTTTCTCAAATCACGCGGTACGATCACTCCCCGGGTGGGGGGGGGGTGGGTGTTCATTTGTCAGTTCCACAGATATCTCCAGTTGCCGGGAAGTGCGGGCAAGTCTCGTCGGTCGTTCTCTACCGGACTTGACAACAAACAACAACCCAGAGAGAATAAAGAGTTGATGGTTTGCTAAAAGTTCCTTAAGACACGCTCGAAGCTTTTTGTTCAAGAAGGGGGGGGAAGTTACAGCTGCAATTAACAATGACAAGCAGTACGATGATGATACCATAGCAACAAAATCAATCTCTATGACAACGACCAGTAACTTGGTATTTAAGCTTCAGCTCCTGATTTGATTTGTAATAAAGACATTACTGTACAAGGTAAAAGCAATTTGCAATCGCTGGTATCGTGATTAGTAGACCTGTATACCAGGTATAGATACATTCATGTCATCAAAATCCATCAATAACCCCCCTCCCTTCTCAATACATAGTACTCATGGTCTGGCATCTTTTCGCTTTCAAGAGTGCCCATGATCCCCCCCCCTTAGCTATATAATTGAGCTACTGTTGACAGAGTATCGAGTCGTCAACACGGAGGTAAAAAAAAAAAAAAAAAGTGCTACGCGAGAGTGCAAACAACTCAAGCGTCAGGTGCAAACAAAAAAGAATGCTTGAATGATGTCTCACAACATGAAGGGACATCGCTTTAAGCGGAAAGTTACCATCGGGGGGGGGGGTTGGTCTTACAAGGAAAGCTAAACTATTCATAGCATGTGTCACAGTATAAAAAAAAAACCAACAAAAGACGACGCGGGTATTCTCGTGATTTCAAGCCCATCAAACATTTGACATTGAAAGGGCCCCCCCCTCTCTCTCTCTCTCTCTCTCTTTCCCATTCTCTACAACTCTTTTTTTTTTATTCATGTACAACGTGAAAAATCAAATTTTTTTATACTGTACAACAATTTCAAAACACACTCTTTTTTTTTTCTATAACCCCCCCCAACGGACTTGTTTCGCATCCGGGGAAATATGGAAGTTGAGAAGAACCACACAACATAATAAGAATCCGCATGCGTGATTGCATAATGTAAATACTGCATTCCGCCTGCGTTGTGACAACAACAACAACAACAAGGAACATTGTTTAAATAAAAAAACGGTCGGATTATGCAGGTCTGTGCGTTTCAAAGAACTTTCCTATTTCAATCACCGTATACAGTTTACCAACACTTTACTGTTGTATCCAGTCATGTATTCTAACATAACCCCACCCCCCCACATATCTTTCTTATTGTTGATAGAATGGGGCGCAAGGAAGTGAGATGGTAAAAATAAGCGTGACTTGAAGCAATTTATCTGTTTTCTTTCAGATCGCCGATTCTTGTTGAAGGAAATAATACGCCTACTTTTTTAACGCCCTCTCTCTCTCTCTCTCTCTATCTCGTCATTTCTCCGGTTCTGTATTGCTCGATTTAGCATATAGAGCGTTGGGGAAGGGTTTGGGGGGGGGGGAAATGATGTTGGATGATGTCCGGAAGAGCTACCGACGTAGATGGTCAGAGCACTCATGATGATGATGTGAAAAGTTGATCACGTAGAGCAACAACAGCAGCACCTCCCAGAACAACATCTGGCAACATTGAATCAGTCATTCAAAACAAAAAAAAACTATGTAGTTTTTGTCCCCGTGGATTATCTATGTTTACTGTTTTTGGTCTGCCCTTTATTAAGAAATAGAAACAGTACTGTAGTAGACGGGAGGGGGGGTTAGTGGCCCGTATATAACATGGGGCACCATGCTGCAATTCTTAAAAGTGGTGTACTTTTAACAAAAGTTCTGCAGGTGGATGTTCTTTTCATTTTTATAATGAGATCAATCATTTGATGCAGCGCAAGTAAAAGACGGTCCAGCTTCAGATTTACACATGTACCGTAAAAGCAAGTTTTTGTATGTGGATGATGTTTTTTTTGTTTTTCGGAAAAAATTTAAAGTGAATAATCCGATATCACTTCTTAGCGATTTCTTAGCAGAACACAATGAGTTGCTATCACGATAAGCAATTTTCCTCTTTCAATCAGAGCAAAAAAGAAAATATGCAAGATCACAAAACCTGCTTCTATGATGGTAGTAACAGGTTGGATGTCTTGTTTGGTGTCACTCGCTTTACCTCTACCTTCCCTATTCTATAACAGAATAATTATCGACGGGACAACAAATATATAATTTGTGCTGTGAGCACATAATACTAGATAATTTTCACGCGTGTTTGTTGGTTTACTGTACCTGTGGTATCTTTTTCAGTCATATAATCCTTATTACAATGCAGCACTCCCAATTTTATTTTCTTTGTCAATATGGAAGGCTATAGCATACTAAGAGCGATTGGCTGACAGAATCAATATGACGTGTATTTCTCATTGTATACATTATATAGTTTAACCGATGATTTGTAATAACTGTAGTTGTGTGGGAAGCGAAGTGCAATGAAAAAGTTGGTTTTCACAGTACTGTATCATCATCTTTTTTGTTACGCATTGTTGTACATATCAGTACTACCTTTCATGAAACTATCATATGATAGTGTAAACATATAGCTGATAAAGTAAAAGCTAACATGCCATCGTGATGTCTATGTGCAGCAGAAGCAACTGCTATCAAGTATATTCCTTGCTCTGGAAACCGGCGAGTACTGTAATTTGTAAACCATGATATTGTCAAATGGTTATTCATTGAAATGTGATAGAGAAGCAAGCAAGTAGCCAAACCTAAGAAAAAAATAGATTCAAATTAGCTGCTATGTGTATTGTCACCGATTATTACATATGTAGTAGTGATAATGCATAGTGATTTTAGTACATAGACAGTCTTCTGCAGGCACAAATAAACAAAAATGTGGAAATGTTTCATACCATTTCGTATCAAGAAACGTCAAATCTACACTATTATTACTGTAAGCCAGGTGGCAGAGAGCTACTATTTGTTGGGTGATTATGATACATCATTCTAATGAATGATGGTAGAGATGTGGATGAAAATTGAGTGTGATGCAGTATGTATGTATGTTGGGAGATAGAGAGATCCTCAGGTAAACATACAATCATGCCGTGTTCCAAGGTTTTCGTACGTTAGCTGACGACTATGTAGATGATAGCTACTTGACATTAACAGCATCTAATCGTCGACCTTCATCCTGATGACTCCTGTCTACCTTCTTGTACAACAACATCAACAACAGCAAGTTCCCAAAAGTGCATCTATGCACCCATCTCTATGCAGCAAATGTCAGGATAGATAATGGTTTCTCAATTGACAAAAGACACTAGTTAAATTTTATGGATCAGGTGGTGCAAAACGGACAAGGAGCATGGTCAATTTAAATATACAAAGACTTTGGTAATCTGATTGGTCTATCTGTTGCATCAGTACATGATCAAGTCTGTGTGTTGTTAACGCTTTTGGTGAAATGCGAACCAACAACAACAACAATAAACAACTTAGAGTCGTTTACATGCAGATCATGCGACAAAAATTTGAATGGTAAAGTAATTGGGATTCCTAAACTGCCTATTGCACCTTAATTGTCTTTGTATTAGAAGAAGAAAAGACGAGCTAATGAAAAGAAACGAGAAAACAAAAACAATAAAAGAAGAAAAAAAACAGTATAGCGTGAGAAAGAAAAGAAGAGGTAGGATTAGCTGTATAAATTTAGAGAGGAGGACAGGAAAGAGAAGCAATGAATATAAGGAGAATTGATAAGCGCTAATATTAAAAAATCAGGAAGATGTGTTGTCCTGTTAGAACGATAGAGCGAGCAGAAATAAGGTAGTAGTAAGAAAAAACGTAATTGAAAAACTTATATCATAAGATGAAAGAGAAAACTAAAGAAAAATTAAGAGAAGAAAAAAAAAAGTTCAAGACGAGATAGGACCACCGTATTGCTGCTGCTGTTGCTGAAGATGTTTTTTAGAGTTCATCTTCATCACTCGTCGCATCATGCTCTTGACATGCTTCTGCTGCTTCTGGCGTTGATACTCATCATCATACTCTTCTTCTGCGCGCACCGTTTCTACGCTGCTGTATTCGCTGTCATAACCTTGGGGGCGTTGTTTGCGAAGATTGATTTTCATCTGTGAGAGCGAATGGTTGATCTTTTTGAGGTGCGACAGCTGCGCAGCCTTGGAGCTGTCTCGGTCACCCGGCAAATCGTACGACACGTTGCAAACGGGCGTAAACTCGGCGAAGGCGCGCCCGATCTGTGACTCGGTGGTGGTGGCATTGTTCTTTTGGAACAAGTACGACGAGGCAAATGGATCTGCAGGCACGGGTACTTTGGGCTTGCTAGCCGCCGAAATGATGCGGAACATTAAAGGCGACGCATTTGGATCATAGTCGCCCAATTGAGTGCAAAAGACGGAGATCCAGGGCTCCTCGGGCTCCACTTGCTCTGGCTCATAGTCGTCATCGAGCATGGCTCGGATGCCGGTTGTGTTGGTTGCCCAGTCGCTACTGGTGTATTCGATCTTGCGAATCAATCGATCGTATGACTTTGCTTTGGCTCGCGCAGCTTCGGTTTTCGACATGGGCTCGCATTCGTAATATTTGTTACCGTTGTTGTTCTTGTTGTCGTTACTGCTGCTGGTGTTGGTGTTGGTGCTGCTAGTAGTGTTGGTGCTGCCAGTCGATATTCTGGCAAATCCTGAATCAACACGGTCAAGCCATTGTTTTTTGTGCTCCAGATGGATTCGTTTCGAGTGCTCAATGATCATGCGTGTCAAAAAATGGCTGGCTTTTTCGGCAATGATCGGATCGCAGTCAGCAGGGCCCAGAGTCACCTTGCCCATGGCTTCGCCCAAGTGATAGGCATCCATCAAGTTCTCGTTTTTGTGCTGCATCAATTCCACCAGAAAGTCTAGTATTTCGACTAGCAACTGTTCTCCTTTGCATGAGAGCAATTTTGATAGGCTTGACAATGTACATGCTATGCAACGTAAAAAAAACGTTGTTATTTTTCCAGAGCAAACCAACCCCCTTGAAAAAAAAATTACTGTTTTTCGCTCTCTCTCTTTCTCTCTTCCTTCTTTTTGCATCTTCCCTCTGTGGTACGAGCCAACTCACTATTTCAGCCTTCCACTTCTTCCCCAGAGACTGATATGTAAAGAGAGGAAGAATATACAAATCAAAAAAGACTTACTCTCGTAATTGATAATTCGCCAAACGTTCTTGGGCACAATCCGCTCCTGACTGCACCACAATGTATCCTGCATTAAGGTTGCTACAGAATGAATGCTGACGTGGACAACATCTTCGGGAGTACAACTTTGCTCTCTAAAAACTTTGAGGAACAAAACGCTGCTTGGTGCTGTTTATACGTTATGTTAGTCGATTGCTCCTTATTAATGGCAGTGGTGGTGTTGGTTATGCACACTACTGCTGCATGACTGATAGACAAACAAATAGGCAAAAATTGTGTTCTCACCTGATTTGCGCAGAATCTTTCGTTCATGTAAACCTGGGTGGGTAGTGTACATTGCATTTAGCATTTAGCAATTGCTTTTTCTTATAATGGTTCTCTGTAACAGCAGCGATTTACCTCTTCGTCGTATTTCATCCATGCAAATACGGGTTACTTGGGCGGCGAAATCAAAGGAATATAGCATTGTAAATGTGATGGTCTGATTATAGTTGAAAAAGCTTGTTAAAGATATTTGACTCGATAACATGTTCTTCTTAAAATGTATCGACTACGGTAATAGTAAAAACTAGAGGTAGCTTTCCCATTATCCTTCCTCCCGCTCTTCTTCGTCTTTGAGATAGAACAAGGATAGTAGAAAGAATTTTCGGATAAGTAGAGCTCTTTTTTGTTCAACAAACCTTTTTATTATCGTTTTTTTCGAGGAAATCGTATACGGGTGCAAGAAGAGGGAAAAAAGAAAAAATGACATCCACAAGAGTCCTGGTGCTGTAAAAGGGTACTGCATTGCCCCTTCCAGCCAAGGAGTAAAAAAAAAAAAAGAAGCAAAGAAAACAAGACCATTCGTTCCCGATGTCCTGTTTTTGTTGCTTTCACTAATCGTTGCTTGCTGTAGCTTCGTCTGTGTTACTTTAAGCGTAATTGCTATGCCTCATATGAGCTTTTCATTTGGCCCGTTGTTTGCTAGAAGTATTAATACATGTTCTTTGCTCAGCCATAAGTTAAATTCTAATAAGACTACTGTATGGCACTGAAATCTTTCGTTCCAACTCTTTCTTTTTGCACTTGAATCAAAACATTGAGAAGCTTGAAGTCATCTAAATCAGAAAAATTAAGGGACCAAATTCACACACATACACACACCTTTTTTTCTTGATGTGCACGCGCTCAAAGAAGGTTACTACATACTAACAACAAGTGCTACTGCTGCTAAATGAAAAGATATTTTCTCCAACAACACGACGGACAACAGCTAGAGCTGTTCTCTTCATCTGATAGCTTTTACTTGACTCGTTTTAAATCTCGATACATATCCGCAGAGCACTTTGAGAGACATTTTCGTGTACATCTTCTTCCCTTTTGAAGTAGTACATATGCATGAATAGTCTGAAAAAATGAAAATGAATATTTCCCTCTTTTTTTCTTTTCTTTCTCATGTCGCAGTAACAAAAACCATATGCGTTTCAATGAACACAGCCGTTTCTTAGAGAGAGAGAAAGACAAGGGGAAAGGGAGAAGATGAGGGGTCCCGCTATCCACCTTGAAAAGGAGGAGACGCGAGGAAACCTTAAAGGAGTTGTTGATTTTGAATTTTTCACCAGTATACACATGAGAGAGGGAAAGAAAGGGCTTCTCCAATTCACGTTGTCGCCATAAAAGTGGGTATTCTCAACAATATCATATAATGTACTCTACTACTGCTGCTACTTTTAGCTGCTGATTCCATACCCTTATTGGAAAAAACGGCATGGTGCTGTAATGTGACATATTAACATGATTCATATGTTTTTTCATGTTAGCAACAAATACTGTAAAGGCTATCCTCTGGCTGTTTTTCTTTCTCGGCCAGCTGTATTACAACGAGTTTTTTTTTTTTTTACTGAAGGCTATAATGTAGTTAAAGGTAGAGAAGCATCAGTGGTCAAAGCAGCAATATTAATCGGCCCAGATTTACGTACATTTCACATACTTTGAAAAGTTCATTGTCTTTTTATATGAAACAAAAGCTGCCCGGAGATACTTCTACGTAGCAGTAATGGGGGTGGGGGACAAAAATAAGTGATACATTACGAGGCAGGGTGGTGATACATGTCATAGTAGCTATCAATCTCTATTTACTCGCAGAAAGATGAGGGGAAAGGTGCACGAGCGTATTTGTGACTCGGCACATTGTTGATGATCGCCTTGATAGTCGTCTTGCTTCTTTTTTGATTCCTTTTTACATGATCATGTTTTTAGACGCATATCAGCAGTGAGTGTATATCCCAGTAGCAGACCATTATCTGTCGCTGCTACTATCTCGACTCTATTTGCTGTTGCCTTTGAGACATTTATTCTTGCATGCCCATGAAGTGCTTCAAATTTAACCTTGAGTGGACTTTGAACAAAATACATTAAAACCCAAGTGACGCAACAAATAAAATAACTTATTTTCTTTCTTTAATTTTCATTTTTTTTTCCAAACCATGGAATCCTCAATAAATTCTTCTTCGTCTGCAGGAGAGTCTCAGGCGCAAAACAATGAGAATTCGGACGTTGCCATGAGTGAATCTAATCAAGCTGAAGAAACTCAACAACAAGAGCAAGTGCCAACTCCTAACGGGCCAACCGATAATAACAGTGACACTCAAATGAATGATCCTAATCCTTCGCCACACCAAGAATCGGAAGGCGATGGCAGTGCTGGCTCCATTGATAACGTTGATTTTGCTCCTGCTGCCGCTGCTACGGGTGACCAGGATCAACAACAGGAACAACCAAAAGAAGATACGTCTCACACTCGCGCTGAGCAAGATCAATCAATGATGGATCATGAAACGAGTGCTATTACTGGAGATGTCAATGCTGCACCAGTAACTGAAGAGGACACAAATATGCAACATGAACAGTTTCATGATGCCCAAGAAGGAACACAGACTGACGACATTCGTATGAATGCTGATGATACGGTCAATGACACCAACGAACAAGATTTTCATCCACAGGAATTATCACAGCCACCTTCAGAACAACATCCTGAACAGCAAAATCATGACGATTCTCAACAACAACAAGAGGGAAAAGACGATCCGATGCAGCAAGATATTCCAGTACCAGCATCTGCAGCGACACCAGCAGCAACAGCAACAACAACTACGGCGTCATTCATCAGTTCGCCTGCTTCATGGCAGATTCCACCCAGCGCATTGCAACCCAAACCAGAAAATGTTCAAGGAGCAACTCCTACCAATGTTGCTGTCGCTGTCAATGCTCCTGTAGTAGAACCAGTCAATAAAGCACAGCTTAAAAGAGAAAGGCTGGAACAACGTATTGAAAAGTCGGTGTACGATACCAACGCGTGGTTAGCATTGATCAATGAGGTTCAACAATCGGGTGATTTGGATGCGACGCGTGAAGTATATGAACGATTTCTTCAAGAGTTTCCAACTTCAGTAAGTGCGACTTGGTCTTTTTATTTCCTTTTGAGCGCTTTGTTATGATATGCCGATGGGGTCAAGAGAGTACGAGAACAAAAAGAAAACAAAAGACCACGCGTCTGTCTCTCTCTCTCTCTCTCGTGGATTTTCTCGTTACCCCTCCCACTTTCCAGAACACTGATGTAGATTATCCGGTACGTAAATAAGAAGCATGGTGGGTGGGGAGGGGGGATGGAGATGGAATTAGTGAGATTGGCGGGTGATGGGGTGGTATGTGTTCGAGTAGCGAGGTTTATTTGGAGAAGAGGAGCGGTGGGGGTTTGTTGCGTGTGTTTGTGTACGCGTGCGCGTCATGTGGGTGTAGGCGGGCGTAATATTGGGTGTAGGAAACGGACCCTTCATATGTCTCGCCTTTTTCTTTTGATACCTCCTCTCTCTTTTGACGGCTCTATCATTGTACACACACAATAAATCCATCTCGCTCAATAGAACTTCATGTTCCTTCAGCAGATGTGGTCACCCTTTTCCCCTCCTCTACTTTTTCTTCTATCTCTCTCTCTCTCTATGCCATGTAGAGCACTCATTTCTTTGATGCACTGTTTCGGTATCTTTCTCTTTTGCTTTTGGTTTTTGGATGACTCAAAACAGACCCTCCCTTGCTCACTGACTGACATTGCTATTCCTGCTGGAAGTATCGTACTACAAACCGGTCTACGTTGACCTTTGTTGCTGCTACATAGAGTGTTCTGGAAATGGAGTGGGGCGCCTTCTCCTTCTGCCTCACATCTCACCTCAACTTTCCTCATATCCTTGTTCGTTGGCAATGATGGATGAAGGAAAAAAAAGATGTTTCTTGACGAATGCGCAAATGAAGGATATTTCAAATCAGTGAATCAAAACAAAACATATAACCATCTTATCATCTTGCTATTTCTCTTATTCTGTAGCCAAGGCAATGGCTTGCATATTTGGAACTGGAACTGAAATACTCCAATTTCAATGAAGTCGAAGCACTTTTTACTCGATGTTTGAAAACCGTCCTTTCCGTCGACCTTTGGAAATTCTATCTTGGTTATATTCGTCGCATCAATCAAGGGGATAGTGGCACTGTGGCCACTCCAGAAGCCCGTGCTATTATTGAAAAGGCCTATGAATATGTCCTGAACAATGTGGGCATCGACAAAGATGCTGGACCGATTTGGGCCGATTATATCTACTTTCTCAAGTCTGCTGAGGTAAAAAAAAAAATAAGCCCTACTTCTTTTTCTTTCTCTTTGGTGATGGGTGCCATGAATATCCGGCATGCCTTGTGCAATATGCCAAATTGTCTTTTATTGTCGCTACTCTTCTAATTCTCTCGGATATACGATACTTGACGCGTATATCTGCTTACATTTAGACGACCAATACATGGGAAGAACAACGAAAAATGGATAGTATGCGACGTGCATACCAAAAAGCGGTGGCTATTCCGCTAAATAACGTCGAGCATTTGTGGAAGGAATATGATCAATGGGAAAACAATCTCAATCGTCTGACGGTAAGTAGTTCGAATCCATTTTTCTACACAACAGCTCGCCTTTCCCGTTTTCTTCCCTATTCATAATGTTCGTAAATACATGTTCCTAACTTTATACAAATATGAATATCTCTTCCAGGCCAAAAAGTTCCTTGGTGAAAAGTCCTCGGCCTATATGACAGCAAGAACTGCTTTGAGAGAAATGCGAACACTCATGGAAAATGTAAATCGCGGGGTTGTTCCAAAGCCACCACTGTGGACGGATAAAGAGATTACACAAGTAAGCATCCTCCTTTCTTCTAAGCAAAAAAGTACGTGTATCTGTTGCAAAGGGAGTTCACTAACGTCACTCTACTTTTGCTAGTTGGATGCATGGAAACAGTATATCCAATGGGAAAAAAGCAACCCGCTTCAACTAGAAGATGAAACCATGTTGACCGAACGTGTCGCTTACGCCTATCAACAAGCCTTCTTGGTATTACGATTCTATCCCGAGCTGTGGTATGACTTTGCCGTGTACTATAGTGAACTACAAAAGCCAGAAAAGGCCCTGAGTGTTTTAAAGCAAGGAGTCGAAGTACTGCCTACAAGGTAAAAAGAAGAGATTTAGAAACTTATCTGGGCTGTTTGCTAACGGGTTACTATTGGTTCTCTTTCAGTCTTTTGCTTACATTCGCATATGCTGAACTATGCGAATCTCGACGTCAATTGGATGATGCACGACAGGCGTTCGATTCATTGCTAGAGCGTCTTGATAAAGATATCGATAAGCTCAGGGATTCGGCCCAGCAAGAGGTGGACAGAATTCAACAGGAGGCTGACGAGGAAAAGAACAGTATGAACTTAAATGATGACATTGATGGTGAAATTCGAGAGCAGTTGCGCGTACGTGAGAGACAAGTTAAAAAAGACCAAGAAGAGGTCGAAAACAAGATGAAAAATGAAGTGAACGATTTGGCCAAGGGATGTTCCCTCGTGTGGATCAATTATATGCGCTTTGCAAGAAGAACTGAGGTAATAAAATTTCTCTCATATGGGCTAGATTGTCATCGATACGGTGCATATACTGATTCTATTTCTTATTACTACTACTAGGGTATCAAAACAGCACGAGCTTTGTTCTCACGTGCCCGAAAAGCGACAAATCGTACTTATCACGTTTTCATCTCATCTGGTAAGTGCTGAAATACTTTTGTTTATAGCGGTAGCAAATTCATAATATGCAATGTGTATGGAATGCTAATATACCTATGTAGCGTTGATGGAATACCATAACAACAAAGACGCAACTATCGCTGGCAAAATTTTTGGTCTCGGGCTCAAGCAATTTGCCGATGATCCCGACTATGTTTCCTACTATCTTGATTATCTGATACAAATGAACGATGATAACAGTAAGTAGTCGATGGTGACGACCATGGAAGAGAAAAGAAGAGATAGGAGAAAGAAAAAGTATTAGCAAATGACATTGGGAAGATGAAATCATGTTTGACTGATATTTTATAATATATCAGACACCCGGGCACTGTTCGAAAGGACCTTGGCTACCATGCCTGCTCCCAAGTCGGAACCCATTTGGACCAAATTTTTGGACTATGAGAACAAGTATGGAGATTTAGCAAGTATCCAAAGCGTCGAGAAACGACGAAGTGAGGCATTACCTGACAGTAAGTTACTACTAGTATACCAGCAATTTTGTATTACCTGTCACTGTTATTGACACACCACTACGCGTTTAAAAGTAACTGCAAGCCAATCGTTCCTGGAGAGATACAGCTATCTAAATATTCATGCAATTGATGAACTGGAGCTTGGCACAGAAGGTAAAAGAAGTGAAAGAACATATACAATCCATTATATTAGTACTTTTAACTTACTAAAACAATAATCAGCACGCAAGCGCAGGTCAACTGCCGAAGGCAAGCCTGGAGGGACAGCTGCCCCAGCATCATCAACAACTGCCACAACAGATAACACGACAAGCCCGGCTAATACAGATCGGGGAGGCCGATCAAAGGATCAAAATGCCAAGCGACCATTACTCGAACCAGTCCATCCTGAAAGGTATCCCCGTCCAGATCTCAACCAGTGGCAATCATTCAAGCCCACGGATTCTCGACGAGCGGCCGCAGCCGCAGCCGCAGCAGCAGGACAATCATCAGGTGCGGTTGCCCCTCCTTCCGTACCTCCTGGTGCTGCTGCTGGTCGTGTGCCTCCTAATGCAGCAGATAGTACAAATCCACCACCGCCCATGGGCGCACCACCGTCGACATTAACACACAAGGATACGGCTGGCCCTGCTACTAATCTCCCACCAACAGCAGCTGGAGTTCCTAAAGGCGTGCCACCACCACCCGTGCCAGCCCCTCATCATCAGCAGAATATGGGTAATACACAAGGTCCTCAGCAACAACAAGCATTGCAGCCACCACAAGCAAATAATTGGAGCCCGAGCCAACAATTACCAGACCCTGTCGCCTATTTCGTTTCTAACCTGCCGTTGCCACACACATTTAATGGTAAAAAAATTTAATCTACTAGACTAGAGAAGATAGGTTGATGTTTTAATCTGTACATATATTAGGTCCTTTGATTCAAGCGGGCGAATTAGTCGATTTGCTACGAAACATTATCATCCCATTGCCACCTCAAGGAGGACCACCTGTACGTGGACCACCGCAGCAACAGAAAAACATGGGTCCAGGTCCATCAATGGCGGCTGGCGGAAGAGATATGCCACCTGGACGTGGCCCTGGCGGTTATGGACGTGGCGGTGGTCGAGGCGGCGGTTTCAAATCAAGGGCAAGTTTCATCAATCAAAGAATATATTCATAGCTAATCTCATATGGACGTAAGCTAACTAAGCCTTCTTTTATGAACATGGTTCGAAAATAAACAGGGTGGAGGAGCAGGTCGTGGAAGACAAGGTGTTAAGCGGCGAGGTGGTCGAGATGATTATGAAGACGACTATCAGCATAATAAAGGTAAAGTATATTCATCCTTCTGTATAGAAGCGGGAGCTCTATGTTTATAAAGTATATACTCATCGCTTATACCTTCCTAATAGGCATGGGACCAAACCGTCCACCAGCATACGATGTATTTCGAGCAAGACAAGCAAAGCGTCACAGAGATGAACCGTCCTATTAGTTAATTAACTAAGATTGTGGTTGCTTGCTCAAATACTAACATCTACAATTATTAAAGATGAAAAGAATTTTTTCCTCAAAATTTATATGATCTTGACATACAAAAAATAAACATAATAAAAATAACAGACATTTGTGTAACTTCTATAATGCATCCATCACGATTTACGTTTACTTTGTTTGATGGAGATGGTTGTGTTAAAGATATCGTGATAGCCTCCCCGCTAACTCCTTAGTAAAACCTGCAGGAACAAAAGTCTATCATATGCCATGCTTGCTTAGATGACAAAGACCAACATACACAGTTTATGCGAAACGATTATAATATGATCCTAAAATAATATTTCATCTTCCCCTTAAATACCAACAGATACCGTGATTGACCCAGTTTATATGATGTTGCATATTGCATAATTAAGGATAAAATAATGCGAGCTCTGTGTGATGTACTACATATCGGGATAAGTACATGTACCTTGACTTGGGCAATGTCGGTTTTCTGGCAAAGTCTTTGCGCCTTTAATAAGCAAAACATCCATTCTTCAGTTTTATACAATTCATTGGATATTACACACTACCATTACCTAGTCGATTGTATGTTTGCCTCATCACATGCGAAGCGAACTACAGTAATTCAACTTCAATGATAATATCAACAATTGTTGATTTTGAATTTCCCAATATTATATCACTTACCGTTTGTTGTTTTATATGGAATCTATTAACAACGGAATAAGACTTACCTTATAGCGTGACGAGATATATTTTACAAAAAATCGGGTAACAAGTAGTAGCGCAATGTTATTTAATGGGCCTATGCTGCAAGGTATTCTAAACGATGGTAATATCTCAACGAGTACTAAAATGTACCCACATCATGCAGTTTTATTATGAATAAACTATGCTGATTTGTTTACGCATACATTACGTGTATGGTAGAGCATTACACGTGTGCCTAATTATTAGTGTCCGTTTCCATCTACATTGAGTACCTTCGAAAATGAAGTGCGACAGTAGACATGTTTTTGTCTTGCTGTCTTCAATAAACACAAGATCACATACTGTATATGCAGGAGAAGCCAAAAGTTAAATTCAAGACCAACAAATAACCACATGTATAAACGAAGAAATGCGTGATACATATTCTGTTGATTTGAGTGAGTATAGGTGTGTATGCGTCGGATAATAAAGTAATGTATGTATGGGAAAAAGATGGGGAAAGAGCGAGAGAGATTTTAGCAAGAAGAGAGAAGGGGGGTTTTACTTCAAAAATGCATGAAATATACATGTATTATATAGAACAACATAAAGAAACAGAGAAGAGATTGAATGCAAAGTAGAAAGGCAAAAAGAATTGGTAATGAGGAGTTGGGAGTAAATACAGGAGCATTGAAGAGATACTTATATACATTGAAGGTTTTGATGAAAATTTGTGGATGTCGTGTGGCAAGAGTATGTATGATCACCTTTTATATTTTACCAAGGTCTTCGTCGTGTATGTTGCGATAGCTGCATCATTGCAACAGCTGCATCCACTTGTTCGCCGCCTTCAGGGCTTATCAGTTGGCTTAATGGTGGCAAACGGATGGTAGGTCTATCATGTGGTGACAATGACTGATGCTTTGTCCATGGCGGTGATGGCATATTAGCAACAGTGGTTGTTGTAGTACCGGGAGTAGCGGTGGAAGGAGATACGCTACGATCAGTGCCAGCGACAACACTGACAGCTCCGTCACCGTAGAAAGATTGGAAATCTGGTTTGTCGTAAGGCTGGTGTGGCGGAGACACAGGTGAAGAAGCAGTGGTAGTGACACTACGTCGATCTTCGCTCGTGCAAGTGCTGTCGGTTCCAATGCTAATCAAGCTTGCCCGTCGATCAGCTGGACATGCTGCTGTATTGCGCATGCGTTGATAGCTCATGTATGCATCAGTTGGACTGGCTGCGTACATGCGAGGTGATGTGGTAGTAGTATCATGGACAACGATGGGAGCATTGACCGGTGATACTGCGTTTGCTACTGTGGGTGCTGCGAGAGATGGAGTTGATGGTTGTGGTTTTGGTGGTAAGGGGCGGTGATGTTGATGATAATACTCGTCACTACTGATTGACATTTTTCTTTTGCGTGCTGTAGTACTAAAGTATCGATAAATAGATGGGCAATATGTACATTACATGTGTTATTATTAGTAAAGATATGCTATATACCTTTGAAAAAGCATAATAAGACTTACATTTGATTGCGATGTTCTTTACGAATACGAATCCGTGCGCCCTGGTCAGAGAACGAGCGTGATAAAAACGTAGAATCGAGTACACCAGGGAAATGCTTGGCAGAGTAAACAGTAAACGCATCTGTAAAGATGGATTTAAGACTCACGGCACCCGTCAATGTGATTTCGAATAGTGTGAGTTTGAGTCGGAATTGCCCTTCCACTTTGACGGAGAGATCGCCAAGAACAAAGAAACCACCGTCTATTTGATCATAAAATAGAGATAGACTTCGTGTCAGTTTCCTTTTGTAGCTGTTACATTTACAGATGAGCTGTTGAGCAAAAAGGGGTGAGAGATGTTGGGTGGTTTTTTCTTGGGCGGACTTTTTCTTTACTTACCATTATTATCAATATCTTTAAGTTTATACATTGAAGAGACTGTTTGGCCGGACAGTGCGTTATGGTTGGGAGTATAAATCTCATTATTGTTCGTCGGGTGTGCCAAGTTGGCACACATAAAGTAGTAGGGGTTTTGTAGGAATCCACTATATAGTAGAAGATAATTTATGGAACTTGTTATTGATCATTGGCAGCAGCTGAAAAGTGCTAGCTTTCTTCTGTCGCTACTTACAGAGTCTCATTTGGCGGTGCATTGTTCAACGAAATTTGAACGATAGGGGGTGGGTCTATTGCTCGTCGATCTAATTACAGTTTGCATACAAATATAAAGCTGTCAGTAGCTGGTTTTTTGGGTTCGGTGTATTTATTCTTATCGCTGTACCTCTTTCATTATTCGTACTTGTTCGTGTTTGTATCGGCTGTTGTCTGACGGCCAACGAAAATCGCCTACGGTCATACAGGGAAATGAAACGCATAAACAGTTAGCACCGCATTCTGTTGCTCTTCTCTTCTTGTTTAAGATAATGCATTCGTAAAGATTATCCTAAGAAAAGAGATCCAAGGTGGAACAACTCTTACTGTGGATGTGTCGCCGCAGAAGAGCAAGCCGAGATATAATCATAGTTATGTGCGTTTGAGTTTCGTGACATGATGCTTTGTCGTTTGTTGACGATGATGATATGGGGGTTATTGCAAAAACAAAGAAAAAAAGAAGGTTTGCGTGTAGTGATAATAGTTGGATACTTAAAATGTTGAAAAACTGAGAAAAAAGGAAGAAGAAGAAGAACAAGAGAGAGAGAAAATAAGGCACAGCTTAGTTATGAGTGTTTCGTTCAATCTGATAAAACTCGTTCCAGAGCGGAGTTTTGTTACTTAGCCTTGCGCACCCTCTTTCTGTTACACTCGTCCATCACACCCAGTTTATATATTTTCCATGCTGGTTGGTTTGCCTTGCCTTTCTCCCCCATGTCTTTTTCCTATCCCCTCCCCTCCCCCAAGATCTATCTTCTCTCTTGGCTCCCATCATCCGGTGGACTGCATGTTGACATGCATGTCATTGTCAAATCTGGAGTCCCTCTCAGAAGCAGTTTCTTTCTTCACTACGTGCTTTCTTCTTTCATGCGTCGGTTACCCTTGAACAGGTTTTGATGCTGACCATCATCATGCGACAATGCCCTCTTTTCATCCGAAGCATTGGTGGCTGCTAAGGACATACATACATACATAATGTAAACAGTAAAAATGAGTACGAAATGAGAGGGACCAAGTTTGATTTTGAATCTTTCATCACGACAATCACTAAACTACGCAGCAGCCCTCATAAATCAAATCAATCAGAAGACATGTCTTGGTGACTCTTCTTTCTTTTCTTCTATAAAGCTGCTCGCTACTATCTTTGTCCATCCAAAGATCAAGGTGCTGGAACTTTTGGTCCTATTTGATATATTAACAGATGATTATGCCACATTCACCGTTGGTAATATATACAGTACCTGTTTTTTGCGTGTTTGTGTAGCATTCTAGATCACTAGACGATGTGCAACAGAAACATGGAAGATATATTAGAGCCACAAGCATATATACAACATTTACGCTTCTGTAATAATTTTTACATGTCAGCGCATCTCTACAATTTAACAAAGTTGAAGTTGTTCGCTCTTTTCCTTTGTTCTACTTCCCGGTCCCTCGTTACGAAATACGCACACCGGGGGACACGCTCCTTCTATTTGTAAAAGCAGTAACAACAACGCATGTCTAGTGTCGTCATAAGTTCGTCCAATCACTTGCAGTGACTCCAGATCTAAATTATTATAACATGCATGTATTCAGCATCATGTGGATTGATGAAGAAGGTGTGAAATACTCCACATTTGCATAATCCCAACTAATTTTTCTCTCTTTTTGAACAAGGGTTCCTTTCTCCTCTCCAAGGGACGTGATTCCACAAAAACAGCTATTCCCGAGAACACAAGTTCGAGGAGGTGAGGGGGACTTGTAATCTCTTATTGTAGAGATTTAAAGCACTGCTAAAAAAGAAAGGGTGGGGGGGGAGTGAAGGAAAATTGTGCCACAATGCATGGATCCACGGTTCGTGTTACACTTACTGTTGCACAAAAGCATTGAGATTCCTGGGTCAACAGCATCAAATTGCGGAGATTTCTTTTTCTGATTTTTGCACGACAAAAAGAGTATGGCGGATCTGATAAAGTGCATTTTTGCCCGGTATGCGCGAATCAGATAAAAAAACACCCCCATCCGACTTACTGAAGTGTAGTAGCTTATATGGAACTGTGAATAAACACACACACTCTCTCTCTGACACACATACCCACACATCCCGGGAAACCCTTCTCGTGTTCTTCCTTTCTAAATCGCTTTTACTTTTATTTTCAACATGTGCAAGAATACCGCGGCTACCCTAATGGTATACGACGCTATGTCTGGTCTTAATACAAAATTCAGTACCACTCCCAAAAGATAAACATGACAATAACATAAATATAAGCAAGAGCAGACATGAAACACAATGATTTATTTGAAAATCTGATAACGAGCGTGAATAGCACAACGACCAAGGATACACTTTGCAGTAGGTTAACCAGGTTTCTGGATTTCTGGTAAAACCTATACGCCGAACATCCCCGATTCCTAAAAGAATCACTTGTAAGGAAGAAGGGCGGGGAGAAAGCGGACCAAAGAATATATCTGATTCCCACTCGCTTTGAACTCAATGTCACGATTCAACCTTTATAATGCCCTTCATCTATCTATATAAAGCACGTAGTAAGGATGTTTCAAAAGCGCAAGAAAAAAGCCACTTACTCTGTTATGCTAATAGGATGCCATCATCATGTAAACAACAACAACAATACAGCAAAGTAGTATGAAAAGAATATGACATTCTACGTGAACTCAAAAACGTGAACACCAATGTTGCCTTACATAGAGTAATAGACATCATTTCTAGTTATATGTTATCATGATGGCGGACGAGCTTGACCCATATAATTATGTGTTTGTGTGAGTACGCGCTATTTCAAGCCAGAATCTAGTGAATATATCCTCCAAATGGATTTCACATCTTCGCGAACGTGAAACAACAAACATCGATGCATCACTTACGGATGCAGCAAAAGCCAATAGCACCATCAAGTATACATGCATTAGGGATATGCGTCGTGGTCGTAAGTGTAGTGAATCATGCTTCATTTCTTTTCTTAATGTCAGCAATACACCAATCAGCTGTTTGTCTGTATCAGCAAATTCGCAAATAGTATTAGCGCTAGCATTTCCGCTGTTGAATTAACTACAACGGTGCTTCTGCTACTAGTGTACATTATATAGCTTTGTGGTTGAATAAATAGGAGAAGAAAAGATTAAGCAGGTACTTTCCCATGAAACAAAGGCAAGTTACCATAGTTGACACAAGATACTATTGACCTTAATTGTCAGAGTTGTGCAGCAAGCTGTTCCCGCTTTTGCTCCTTTTCCCCGAGCAAATTTCCAAGTTAGTTATTAACTTAGGTTATAAAAACCGCATACTATCGATAAATGACAAAACTATTGTTAATGCCGTTTCCTTCTCCAAGTACCATTACAGAACTTCTGGTAACAGCCTTTTCCCTCGGGAAAAACAGCAGACATTTATAGGTTTTATATTTCGTTTTCGTGGCTTTTTCTCCTCTCCCTTTTTGCTGGTCGGGATATGTAACGTGCTTATTATTGGGTGTTTCCGCTGTGCTCATCATTCGATTCGTCTGCTCGGGAATAGGTATCAATTACATAAAATAAAATTCTGAATATGTGTCCGCGCTCCCGACCTTCTTTTGTATTGAACTCAGTCAGATATTTTCTCAGGATGCCGCGGCACAGCTAAAATTTGAAAGATCGACACGAGGGAGAAAAGAAAGGGTGGAAAGATATTTAGCAAGAGTATAAAGAAAGAAACTGCACTAATTCTGGTAATGATGATATATTATAGCTTTATATCAAATCTTTCAGTAAAAAGTGAGTACCGCAGACGCAAAACAGTTCATGCTACATACATATGTGTGGCTGTGTAGACTGATATTAGTGACCAGAGAGAAGCGACGTGTACAGTATTATTACGTACAGCCGTTGGCACATATAGAAAAACACACAATATTGTAAAGGAAGCTTTTCTTATTGTTCATCACAGAAATAAAAACCTCGAACGTAATAATAAAGCCATTTGTTTACAAAAATGGTCGTCAATCACTAACTTGGTAAGATATGGGAAGCAGCGTGCTGCTTGATGTCCATCTCTCTCCCGGCCGGTCGGAAAGAAAGCAAAAACTCATCGTGATACGTGATACAATTTCTCGGTCGAATAGAGTATGTATTTACGATAGCACACATATAAAATGACGTTTATTTTACAATGATGATCAAGTTTTCCGATCATTGTGTAACATGAACCCGACGATAAAAGGCGGTTAAGATTTCAGCGATATCGTAAGTGCGAGAAAATAAAGCTAAAGACAATTGTCAATTGAACATTCTCAAAATCAGATAACCCAGAGTGAACAGAGTCCTGGGATTCATATAATCACGTTATACAAGTGAGCTAGATGCTGTGTGTATGTGGTAGTATGTGAAACACACAACCCATGAATGCCGCGGTGATTAACGTCTGTGACCTTTAATTGTAAGTGTTACGGCGCGACCTTTTGTCGTCCCTTTGTCCTACTGCTAAAGCATAGCTCAGCAGCAGCAAACCGGTACAATATGTATAGTATACAGAATTGAATTGGAAGTTTTGGGCGAGAAAAGAGAAAGAATGATATGAGGGAGGGAAAGAGAAAGTAGTTTTCAAGAAAACCGTTGTTATGATATATCAAGAAAACCTTTCGGAACTTATTGATATCATTTGCTGGAGAGCTGTTACTGGAAATGAAAAAATCGCTCTACACCGCTTGTTTCTTTGAAATTCGGTCCGTACTTGTTTTACCGTGCCTTACTTCTTTGAAATACCGTATCGCAATGCCATAAGTGACACACGTACCCAATTTCTACCTTAAACACCGTTAACTTTCTTACTTTTCAGCTTCTTAGCTTGTCGATATATGTAGTTCCCTGCTTATTGTCAGGTTTGTATACTCAGCAATCTATATACGAGTAACAGTTTGTGATTCAAGTGAGAATACAGGATGTACTGTCTGCCTTAGCATACCGGCCCTATTTTTATGATAGTGCCAAGGCAACACTTCTTTCGAAAATAGATAGAGGTAGTTTGTCGTGTAGTCACTTCTTGCATAGGCATAAGGCAGCTAGGAAAAAACAACGAAAATGAGGAAGGGGTTCATTCCTACTCTGATTTACTTATCTGTCTTACCTGATAAAGATATGATGCATTGACAGGAGCAGGACCAGAGGAAGGCAATATTTTCGTTCTATGATAGTTTTGGGGTATATAGCAAGAGTTAGATAACTACCTACATTACTTCATTTCGACAATCTACTATACACTTACTTTTTACATCGCGAATGGGAACGTGGTTATTGCCCAGTACATTTAAAGCATTTCTTTTCGACATATTCGTGTACGCACGGACGAAAGAGTGAAATGCGCAGCTTCAGCGCCACTTCAAAACTTAACTTATGCATGGCTCTTCCTGCTCAAACACAACCTTAAAGCGGCCAATGACGGTAGCCCCCAAAACACTGTCGAAAGCGGTCGACGATGCAACAGCCAACAACTCAAACCCGACGTGTGCTCAAGCAAAGCGTCAAAGTCAGTTTCATATTCTCCGTGGACGTATGGTCACATCGTTGACAGAACGTGCTTCATCAACCGTCAAGAACACGCTAGGACAATTGACGGCTGATAACGCAAACATCGAGCTCAGCGCTTTCTTTCATACCATCGAGCATCCGGCCAAAGAATCCGATTTCTTTGGCGCAACCAGAGATCTCTTTCCAGATGAGAGGTTGGCGTAGGGCTTCTGCCCCACCGTGGTAGTGAAAAAAGCAGTTTCTTTATGAAATGACATTCACCGACGAAACGACATGCCAAGTAATAGTCGCAAAAGGCGGCTGGCTCCAAGGCGAAGGTTTTGCTGTGCTCGTGATATCATACCGAGCAAGGATAACCATTAAGAACGATACGAAGCTCTAACGCACTGTATCGATTTCGGCGTCCTCCTCCAAATCGTAATCGCGCTTTCTATGCTATCTGGTAATCGATGGGTGATTATTTGCAAATACTGCCACGCTCGGTATCGCATGATCAAAGATTGTCCGGTCAGCATTGTAACAACGAATCCGTGCCTTTCAACATCTTGATCATCTGCGCACCATCCGGCACGATCATGATGGATACAGACCACGGCGGGAATCTGACACCGACGTTCCAACGTGGTAGTAGCTCGTCATCCATCGATTACATATTTGCGTCCCCCACCATTGCAGCGGGCTGTTCCACTTATAACATCGATTCTTCCCTCGAACACATGCATGACGCTGCCCGGTCGTTCTATACATCACTCTACTCGCCTGACGACACTGAAGAAGATTCGATTTCGTTTTTACTTGAACATGCTCCCGCTTGATGTGTCCTATCATATCGCAAGCGTCTCGAGTAAAGCTGACAGCCGAGGACTATCTATCAGCTGCTAGCCGAGCACTGAAACAAAGCAGTCCGGGTATAGACGGTCTGCCATATAGCATGGTTGACGCAATCTTCCGACACGCGCTATATGCACACCTCTCACTCCAAGTATAGAACGAGGCACTGCAGCAAGCAATCCTCCCGTCATCATTGTCAGAAACGTCAATGTGTCTACTACCCAAGAAAGGTGATCTTTCATCTCTTTGGAAGTGGAGACCAATATTGTTGATATAAACACCGATTCGAAAGTATTCACTCGACTTGTCAATGCGCACATTGTCAAGGTTTGCGACTCGCTCATCAACAAACACCAAACTGGTTTTTTTGCATGGTCGGTACATTGCAGACAATGGATTTGCAGTCAAACTAGCTATGGAGCACGCCAATAGCACCCATGTAGACGATATTAGCATGACAATAGATATGGAAAAGGCGTACGACAGAGCCCACCCTCAAGATCTACCGCAGTGTTTGGACCGATCGGGATTTCCGACGATATCGTGTATTCAATCCCTCTTTTTTTGGTACCAGTCTTCGTATCAACATCAACAGGTCACTGTCATTAGGCATCCAGCAACAACGAGGGGTGCGTCAAGGCGACTCATCGTCCTCTGTATTATTAAACCTGGCACTTGAACCGTTCTCACGACGGATCTTGCATGATCCAAATGATCCATGGATTTCAGCTGCCACATACCACCAGTGACGAAGAAACAACAGCCGAAACCACTGACAGCACATGCACGCTCAACAATCATCCTCAACGATCTTTCATGCACTCCTGGCTCCACCAACACGCCCGCGGCCTGGTTTCCGAATCAAGCTCCGCTCATGTGTCTCTTATTTCCACGCCTAAGTTACGACCAGCGATCATGAAAAAACCTGTACATATCCATCGCCAAATCGGTTTGTGGTGTTTTGGATCACTTCCACTTGGATACACAACAGCCTACACTAGCGATCGCAACCCTCCTTCTTATACAGATCATGGACTTCCTCGCTCCGCTATCGAGATCAGTGACTGCAGGGCTGGATTTGTTTTTGAAAAGGGTCGAAAAGCATTGTATTTTGGTGGATGATCTTTTCATCCAGGATGACTCACTTGGATGTTTATTATGATACGCCGTCGGACACGGAGCGAATTATCATTCCTTTCCTCGATTAGTATCAACAGTCACTCGTTATATGGATTCCGGTGACATCGGCATACCCACTTTCACTTTAGGTTCACTGACCCCAACAAGTTTGTTACCAGGCGTCTTTGATCCGACACCAAGAACGCATGTTATATCCGAGGCTGTCAAATGGTTTAATCACAAAAGATCTTGCTGGGCTGAACACGACAATTACCACCAAAGATCTCCGTCAAGCCATTATCGAGCAGTTTACCGTGGAGAACAGTCGTCAGAATACTCCTTTGAGCTCTCAACAACGGCGAGCCTCTTGGAACTTTAATCTATCGACGACAGTCAGGAATGTATGGTTTCAGACGTTGCATGGAAATCATGCTTCATACAAATTACTGGCAGTCTTTCTCAAAGCAGAGTAATGACGTGATAAGCGCGATTATATGATAGGTTCCGCTTGTGCTACATGAGTTTGTATTTTCCTGCAGAAAGAGGTGCATGTGGGGAAGAGTTTGATTTCTTCGTTGAGGTTCTTCACTTCTAGTTGTACATATCTTATGTCGAATAGTTGTAGGAGATCGCATTTCCTGGATAGACGACAGAGTCAAGAATGTCCACCTTGTTTCAATTGTCAACTTCCCACAGACACGTGTACAAATGGTGGCAGCTGCGATGCCAGTGGTGCTTGCCATTGTCCTAAAGGATGGGGTAAGTAGCCTCTTGACAAATGTGTATAAAAGCAGAGGGGGCACGCGTAGCCAAAACAGTGGCGTACGAGACCATGAGCAATGCTGATAACACCATATATGTACCTTAATTTAGGTGGAGTCGACTGTAAACAACCATTGTGTGGTTCACTCTATGCTCCGGATCGGCCGGTTCGCCAAGGCAACCAATGTGCGTGTGACAACGGGTAATGCACATAACTTCTAAACAATTTCATTTAATGGTGTACCAGGCAAAGAAAAATACATACAGAGTCAAGGCTCACTCAACGAATTTGATATTGTGCGATTCTTACGTTTCTTTAGGTGGGGAGGTGTAAATTGCAATGTGTGCCAGAACGATCAGTCGTGTGTTTCTGAAAAAGGCGCCAACGCTACGTGTATCAAGTCAGCAATTGGTCTGAAATCTATGCATGCGTGGTGTGATACAACAAGTAGGTCATTCGGTTTTAAAAAAAAAAGGGCGTTGGTATGCAGTTTTCGACTATCCTAACAGTGCGTTGAATAGATATACCGTGGATTGATGATACGCATGTGTCCTTGCAGTGCGAATGGGAAACGCAAGAATGTGTGTTCCAATTTTGGAAGGATACAGAGGAACAGTTTTACTGCGAACTCTCAGAGTGCACACAGACAAGTAAGGATTTGGGTGACGTTCAAAAGATATTTTAATAGTGCCTGATCTTTTTTTTTCGGGGTGGCACGGGCTATAGCTACTGATGGGATTGATGTCCACGGAAAATGTCCAAAGGCAACGTGTGGCTGCATGAAGGGTGCTTTTATGTGCGGCGGAGAAGTAGGTAGGTTTTACATGGACAGTAAACTCTTGATTAAGTGGCTGGTACGAAGAAAAGGTCTTGTTCTCACTAAACAATCATGTTTGTTACATTTATGTCCAATAAAATTCAGATATGTCAGAACTCGTTGCAAATGTGAAGGGTCCATCAGAATGGTTTTGCAAGGATGGAATCGATTGCTGGTATAATGGTAATGAATATGTTTGGATATCAAGAGGTGTCACAGTTCTTGAGGGAAAATGCTAATGACTAGTTATTTGGATTCAAAGAATACTCGACCTTGGTAAGCGTTTTTCCGGATAATATACGCCTGAACTGCGATGTTGGCGAATGTGCGAACGAGCAAGACTATCTTGATGTCCATCCTATCGTAAGTCTTGATCTGTTGGCAAGTATTGTTTTCAATTTCTATGACATTTATTTGTTTTTATAGGAACGCGAGTTTTCCCAGTTCACCGAAACCGTCATTCTATCGGCCATTGTCTTGGCTTGTATCGTAATGTATATAGTCGTCAAGGTAACTGCACGACGACAGCAACGCATGTTTGGCTCTCGGATAGAGCTAGATAACTATGACGAGAGCGAGGCCGCGGCTCAAGAGATGGAAATGCTTGAGGATATGCGCAAGGAGGTGCTGCTAACGTTTGATGATATCTGCTATACTGTTGGTAAATACCTAAAAACGCTGTTGGATATTTTATTTAGAAAAAGCAGTATGAAACGCTGTACTCATCGTAGGATACCGTTGAATGATAGGTGGTAAGAACGTCTTGTCCGGAATATCAGGCTATGTTGAGCCCGGCGAACTATTGGCTGTAATGGGGCCATCAGGAGCTGGAAAATCTTCGTTGCTGGACATTTTGGCGCGGAAACACAAACGCGGTGTTGCTAGTGGTAGTATCATGGTCAATGGCGTTGTACCAACGCGACGGCGGTTCAAGCAATTGTCTGGTTTTGTTGATCAGGACGATACGCTGATGGGAACACTGACTGTGCGAGAAACTTTGATGTACGCTGCTTCTCTCCGTCTGCCACGCAAGATGAGCGTGCGGTTAAAGCAGAAACGAGTGGCCGATGTAATACATGAACTCGGGTTGGAAGCTATTGCGGATTCACCTATCGGAACTCCCGGTCAGCGAGGTATCAGTGGCGGTGAAAAGAGGCGTGTGAGTATTGGCAAAGAGCTGGTGACTAGCCCAAGCCTACTATTCTTGGACGAACCAACCAGCGGTCTGGATGCATTCAATGCTGGTGTCGTGATGGAATGTCTTCGCAAATTAAGTAAACAGGGGCGAAGAACTGTTGTTGTTACCATACACCAGGTAATAAGAAAAGCGTCTGACGGCTAACATCATTACTGCTTCTGCTGCTACTTCAAAACAACATAAACTAAAAAAGATGCACATAATTGTATACTATGTAGCCTCGATCGAATATTTTCAAGATGTTTGATTCATTGATGCTTCTCGCTGGAGGACATACGGTGAGTGATACTAAAAGTAAAAGAGGAGTTACAGCAAATCTTAGTAACAATAAAAGGTATATTTTGGGCCTGCCAACCAAACATCGTACTTCTTTCGAGAAATTGGGTTTCCTGTACCGACAGATTACAATGTTGCCGATTATCTAAGTAAGCAATGAAAGAAGCTTTGGACGCGTATACCTACTTTCACTTTTCCGCCAGATAAAGCATTAATATCATAATTACCCACAAAATGTATCAGTCGACCTTACTATGAAACGACCAGAAGATGCAGACGATCGCCCAGATGACCGCTCATTTTCCTTACCACGAAGTCGTGCATCATCTATAACTAGCACACAACAGCTAGACGACCTTCGACCGTCCGAAGAATCGCGACAGCTTATATCCGATACAGTGCGAGAAATGAATAGCCATGAACCACAACCCTCCTCCGAATTTACACTTTTATCCGAGTCCAACCACGCCTATCATCTTATTGAATCATACAGATCATCTAATATTTACAGCGCTGTGCGTTCCAAGATAAGACAATCTAGCAACAATAATTCAACAAATAATGCGCGATACTCGGTGTGGGTCGATAATAGCGACAGCGGCTATTACTCCCCGTTATCCATGGTCCAATTTTTCCATGAAGTCGTATGTATAACAGTTGCTTTATGAATAGCTCTTGATACTTACAGCGGTTAAAACACGATGTAGTCCCTCCTTTCGTCTCGGACATTCATCAATCTGTACCGCAACCCTTTCCTATTCTTTGCCCACCTAGTCTGCTCAGCATTACTTGGTGTACTGCTTGGCAGTTTATTCTGGCAAGTTGGCGTTGATTTGTCTGGTGTCCAAAACAGACTTGGCGTGCTGTTCTTTATGTGTGCATTACTCGGCTTTGCATCAACAAGTGCACTAGACATGTTCAGCAGGGAGCGTGTTTTGTTTATGCGCGAGCGGGAAAACGGATACTACAGCCCTGCCAGCTATTTTTGCGCCAAGGTTTTGTTCGACATTGTGCCGCTGCGCGTCCTTCCTCCACTGGTGATGGGCTCGCTTAGCTACTATATGGTCGGACTGAATCCTGCATTACCTGTGTTTGGCAAATTTCTGCTCGTACTCGTCCTGTTCAATCTAGCTGCAGCAGGCGTATGCCTTTGTTTTGCAACGGCATTCAAGAATGTTTCAGCTGCCAATCTGCTTGCCAGTCTTGTCATGCTCTTTTCCATGTTGTTTGGAGGTTTCCTTCTTAATAAAGGTAATGAGCACAACAATGTATCATGTAACCCTGGTGCACGACGAAAGCATTACTTACCAAAACCCTTGAATACATGCCCCTTGAACTATTCACACTTTAGATCATATTCCTGGTATTCTAAAGTAAGCACCACGGATGTTATGCAATCATGCAGGAACCGATGCACAAGGAATATACGTCACTAACTAATTCTTGTAAACTATGCTTGTAGTTGGCTCAAGTATCTGAGTTTTTTCAACTACGGATACGAAGCGCTGATTGTCAATGAGCTCAAGGACATCACACTGCGAGACAAGTCAATTGCCGATATTCAGATCCCTGGGCCAGTGATCCTTGCTCGATTTGGATTCAACGGACAAGCATTTTGGGCTGACGTAGTACGACTCTGTCTGTTTGCCATCATCACTTTATCAACGTCATTTGTATTTTTAAAATATCTCGTAAAAGAGCGCCGTTAATAATAACTTATGCAAATGCGGATGAATATTTTCTTCCTTGTCTTTAAAAAAGAAATAGGTGCCCCTTAGAATGATATGGAATAGGATGGCGAGGGATTGAAGTGACACGTCGATGAACAGGGGGTGCGAGGGCGGGGCTGGACAGACAAATGTGGACAGGGTTGTGTATGGATGAGTGTACATTATAACGTATATATGAAGTAAGACAGGGTCTGTCTTCTTCTGCAAGGGATATATGTGTCTACTTTTTATGAAACAATGCCTTCAGTTGTTTGCCTAATGACTTTTTGCCCACCTCGCCGTTTGGCGGTGATGGAGGAAGTTCAGCAGGCTGTGATGCTTCTTGCTGTTGCTGTTGCTGCGGTGGAGTTGGTGGTTGCTGTTGTTTTGCTTTAGATTGAGGGCCATCTTGCGACTGGTGCGCCGGGGTAGCATTGTGCGCGTTCACTGCAGGGTTGAGACTTGACAGTCGGATAGCGTCATGCAAGTAAGCCGATTTTGTTGCAATCAACGCTTCGTCGTACGTAAACTAACAGATCGTACGGTTGATTTTCTCTTGCACGCAGTCATCCTTCACACCCACTAGGCCCCCCTCCCCACCCCACATAAATTAATGCTCCTTACCCATCGTCGCTCACGCTTCTTTTTTTCAGGAAACTTTTTGACAACTTCACGAATTTCCAGTTCATAGATCCAGTGATGTGCCTTTACACCCTTCTTGTTTCGTTCTTGAAAGACGCCAATCTGTCGTATGATTGTGCCTTTGATACCTGCTTCCTCCCACGTCTCACGCAGTGCAGCGTGTTCTTGTGTTTCATCCTCTTCCCAGCCGCCTTTAGGCTAAAGAACGACCCGCATCATGAGCTTTAGTGTGGAAAAAAGATGGAAAAATGATCACAAGAGGAGAGCATCAATGATCAACTTACAATCACCCATGCGCCTGGCCTCTTCCGCGAAGAAACTAAAAGGAAACGCATGTTGACTGGATCTATCGGAAGACAGCCTGCGACTTGCCGAATACCGCTATCATCTGTCACGTCTTTTCCGTGGCCGTGTCGAGCCTTTTTGGTATATTCAATATTATCGGCCTGCTGTTGTTGTCCCTGTGCTAATGCTGGTGCTGGTGGATTAGGAGCGCTCATTATGTGAATGAATTGTGTCTGCGAATGAGGAGGTGAAGAGAGGAAAAGAGAAAAGGAAAGGGAGGAAAGCCAAGAGCTGAACTTTTTTTTCGGGTCTTACTACTGCGCCTTTTCAAGCATTAACTAAAAATATCCGGCAGCTCTCTCTATTTCAGCCATGTGATTTGCTATTTGGCAAAAGCTCACAAACAAACAAGCTTTTTAATGTGTATATCCCTCCCCTTTTCTTCCCATGCAATTACATATACTGTTGAATACGTACGCATCACCCTGCAAATGTATCAAGCAGACTTCCTGGTTTTCCATCGATCTACTTGAACTTTTCAAACAATGCAACCGCATTGGCAAAGTCGACGTTTCCGCCGCACAATATAATGCCGATCCTTCGCAATTCGTCTTGTTTAACCCGCGCATGGAAATCCTTGTTATACAACACCACAGCCAAGCCAACGGCTGCGCTTGGCTCGATGCACAGCTTCATCCTGCCCCACACCAGCTGCATTGCCTGTATGATCTCTTTTTCCGTCACAACGAATACGCCATCCACGTTTTCCATCACCACAGAAAACGCAATTTCACCAAGATTCGTCAATAGTCCGTCCGCAACCGATCGGGCTCCCACCGTGTTAGTTACTCGCTCTTTTGCCGCATAGGATCGGTACGTATCGTTGACATCCAATGGTTCGGCAGCAAACACGCGCGTACGTGGACTCAGTGCCTTGGTAGCAATCGAACATCCAGAGAGCATACCACCTCCACCGACGGGTACCACCAACGCATCCAGCTGCTGTTCTTGAGCAACCGTTTCCAACGCAATCGTGCCTTGGCCTGCAATCACATGTGGATTATTGTATGGGTGGATAAACGTGGCACCCGTCTCGTCGATTACTTTTTGTGCCGTCGTTTCGCGCTGTTCTAGGGTTGGCTCGCATTCAATCACTTGGGCACCATAAGCCTTGACTGCATCTTTTTTCACTTGCGGTGAGTTGTTCGGCATGACGACATACGCAGGGATTCCGCGCATGCGCGCAGCAAGTGCAAGGGCCTGTGCGTGGTTGCCGGACGAATGAGTTACAACACCTTTTCCCGCGTCGGCGTCGGTTAGCAACTGAACCGCATTCGTTGCTCCTCGAATTTTGAATGCTACCGTCGAATATGTTTTGTATGGAGACCTTTAAGTACTGCTTTTCATTTTACGATCCAACTTTAATTCTCGCAGTTAAGATTGCTTACATCCTGTCTTCTGAAGCAGCTCACACTTGAAAAAGAGTTCAAGAGGAACGCCCGCGTTTTCAGAAGCTATGCTACTTATGGCAGTGCTCGTCAGGACAGGTGTGCGATGTACATTGATACGTGCAGCCGCCGCTTGAACATCCTCAATTGTAATTGTGTCCGTCATTATGTTCTTCCGCGGGAAAAAAAGAAGTACTATTTGCTCCGTCAATCCATAGTATAGCACGGTATATGTACCACTACCGCGTGATTCTGTCATTAAGACTGTCATCTTCTTTGTTGTCTTCATGATAGGTATAGCAGTTTGTAAAAAAGTTCTGTATGATTATAATCGTCCAATAAGTACAATAAGCATCGAAGATCACATCAACAATTTTTGACACCTCGTTGATATTAACATGAAGTGGGTATAGCACGCAGTACCACGTACACTTTCCTGCAAACCCCTTTGCTGTCAGTAGTAACCGTAAGTCAATAAATTCTCATGGTCACGTGATGAAATAACGCTTGACATCAAACGCAAAGAAACAGCCATGACATATAGAAAAAGGAAGCAACAATGTATTTGCCATCATGATACTTACATCTTGGATATGTTGACCCTTGCATACTCAACACAGACTTCATGACGTCAGGAACCTTATAATCGAGATACGCAAAACAGACTCATGACGTCTTAAAACCTTATAATTGAAATACGCAACACTTGCCTGAATAAAGAAGGACTCAACCAGGAATGTACACGAAATACTGTACACATCATTAACAATTTCCGCCAAAGCTCATTAATTTATATGTAAAGCAGCTTACTCATGTACTATATTATAAAGCCCCTAATAGGCTCTTCTATCATTTACTTGGTTAATAAGTTACCGTTGAAAAGGCCCTTTTGAACAAAGAAGTGTAGAAGAAAGGGAATAATAACCATAGATTTTGCAAAAAGATAAATTAATTGAGGAGGTCGAGCAAGGCGGAGAGAATATGCTCTGCATACAGTATGTGTATTATGGTAGGCATCTGATATCACGCATACTAAGATGGTTGGTGAGCACGACCACGTTTTATGGGACGATTCCCATGGCCTCATATTGCATTTTTCACTGTATGTAATTTACGTTACACAAGAATGGACCATTCATGCTTCACGCCCCATTCAGCGATTTGATGACTAAAATTGTGATATTTTGAATGCATTAATCGTAGATACACTACTGGTGCTTTAGGAAGGACGTCGTCTTTAAGAAATGGCTACATTGAAAAGAGTATATCTTATTCTCCGATGTTGCATGCTTGCGGCTTTCTTCTCGCGTTATGGCTTTGGCAACAATCCTAAAAAGTTAAGATTTCCGCAGCCTTCCTTACTAGACGATTGCGTATGTTTAAAGAACTAGTCCGATCACATGCTTATATAACAGTGGAGCAAAAACCACACCCACAACAAGCGATATTCAACCCACTTTCTACCTTTCTTTTAAATTATTTGCTCTCTCTTCTTAAGCTCATTTCCAACCTCCCTCCCGAACCATACATTACGACCTTTTGCTCATAAACCTTGGATACTAATGTCGCAACTACCAGAAACTCTCGCAGTGGTACCACTGGAAAACAAAGTGCTGCTACCTTCGGTTGTGTTGAAAATCACAATGCGGGGTAGAGAAGCATCCGCACTGACCCGTCGACATTTTCGAACCTCAGATCAGCGCAAGGGCGCACATCTCGTCTGCATTCCGCTAAAGCCTGTTGCTACCAGTGATACCACAAACTCGACGACGTTGACTGAAGAGAAAGCGGTTGTTGTCCATAGCAGCAACACCAGCAAAAAGAACAACAACAACGGTATTGACGGGAACAAAAGCTTTAACAGTAATGACCAAGACATGAGCCATGAAGAGTTGGAATCCGGTTTGGTAAAAAAAGGCGAAAAGGACCGTCTATTTGAATACGGTTGCGCAGCTCGCATTCTACGTGTGCAGCGTTCTGGACTCGGTGTCGTTTCTGTCTTTATCGAAGGCGTAGCCCGACTACGTGTCGATCGTATCGTTCAAGACGGATCAAACGTGCTTGCCAAAGTTAAATACATTGAACGGCCCACGAAAGAGATCAAAATCGAGCATCTCAAGGATGAAACGATCGCGTTCAAGGCATTGTGTCGCGAGTTCTTGGCCAAGATGCGCGAGCTACAAATGCCAGACTCTTTGATCGAACAGCTTGGCAAGCTCATCGATGGCGTATCTCCTTTGGTACTTGCTGATATGCTGGTGTCGGTCATTGAAACGTCATTTGATGAGAAACTCTGGATGTTGTCGAATACCGACATCAAGGAACGATTGATTAAGATGTCCGAATGGATGACTCGCCAATTACATGTAATGTATATCTCATGCTGCAACTAAAGCAGAGGAAACTGCTTTCAGTTATGCTGAAGAAGAGAGATTGGTTCGAGGGTTGTGACGTAACTTGGATGCTTTCACCAGAAAGGAGGCCTGCAATCGCTGCCCCCACTAGCTTACTAACTCTATGTGATCATTACTTTTTCATGTATAGGTTCTCAAAATTTCTGAACAGATCCACTCCAGTATCGAAGGCAAGCTTAACAAGCGTCAGCGGGAGTTCTACCTCCGCCAACAGGTGAGACCTGCTTTAAATTATCCCGAAATGGAAATCAGATTACGGAATGACTGACTCGTGTGAAATCCACCCACCAAATCTTTACTCCCCTTCACCTCTCATGGTCAGTTGGAAGCCATCAAACGCGAACTTGGAGAAATTGACGGTGGAGCAGCGAATGGAAAGGAAGAGGATGACATCGGTCAACTCACGCGTAGATTGACTGAAGCCAACTTACCATCAGAAGCCGCAACTGTTGCTCAGCGAGAACTCAAGCGCATAAAGAAACTTCAACCGTCCTCGAGTGAATGGTCTGTGATTCGAAACTATCTCGAATTGATGGCCGAACTACCTTGGTCCAAGAAATCAGATGAAGCTATCGACATCCAACGCGCCAAGCAACAACTTGATAACGACCATTTTGGGTATGATTTCTTTTCTTTATGCATCAAAAGTGGACATGTCCAATGTATATGTATATATGTATATCATAATACTAATATCCTGGTTTTGGCCATTTTAAACAATAGTCTTGACCATGTCAAAAAGAGAATTATTGAGTACCTGTCTGTCGTAAAGATTAAGGGTGATCTCAAGGCACCTATTATTTGCCTTGTCGGTCCGGTAAGCTACATGCCCACTCTGTCCCCGAGAAATTAACCGAGAAAATTTTACTGTCTTCCCAAATTAATCATCTCATTCTAGCCTGGTGTGGGTAAGACTTCTCTTGGTCGCTCGGTCGCGAGTGCACTGTCGCGAGAGTTCCACAGAATTTCATTGGGTGGTGTACGCGACGAGGCGGACATGCGGTAAGTTGTTAGTAATATGAAAGAAGAAAATCCATAGTAATCATAGTCCATATCCACTCTCAATCAGCACTAAGGATCAATCATTAACATGAATTCTTCTTCTATCTAGCGGTCACCGTCGAACTTATGTCGGTGCTATGCCTGGCCTCATCGTCCAAGGTTTGCGCAAAGTAGGAGTGAACAATCCGCTTTTCTTGCTAGGTAACTTACCACTGCTAACTGCTAATATATATCAATAATAACAGTCAAATTTACTGATATGTACATTATATTCTTGATAGATGAGGTCGATAAGCTTGTTCACTCTACACACTATGGTGATCCAGGTAAAAATAATATATCTTGGGTTTCCTACAATATCGTATATGACATATTCGGTATCTCTCTAACACGACTACAATCTCTATACATAGCTGCTGCCCTTCTCGAAGTATTGGATCCCGAACAAAACCACACATTTTCAGACCATTACCTCAATCTTCCCTTTGATTTGTCCAACGTCTTGTTTATTGCTACCGCCAACTCGCTTGAAACTATTCCCGAACCTCTTCTTGATCGTATGGAGCTTATCCATTTGAACGGTTATACCTTTGAAGAAAAGCTTCATATTTCTCGATCTCACCTGCTACCCAAGCAAATCAAGGCCCATGGTCTGGAACCAGACCAGGTCATTATCTCTGACGATGTTTTACTCAAGATAGCTGAAAACTACACGCGTGAAAGTGGTGTAAGAAGTCTTGAACGGACCATCGCGGCTGTTGTGCGCTCCAAGTGTGTTGAGCTTGCTGAGCTTCAAGAAACCGGTACGATGGACAAATATGTTCCAAAGGTTAAATTGGCCGACCTTGAGGATATTTTAGGTGTAAGTGTTTATGCAATCGCTGTTATAGAGCTCAAATATCGATGATACTGACTAATTTAATCTATCTGGTAGATTCCTACCTTTGTCAAAGAAGTTGCGGAACGTGACCCATACCCTGGCGTTGTTACTGGCCTTGCATACTCTGGTAGCGGTAATGGTGGTATCCTTTTTGTCGAATCGACAAAAATGCCTGGCAAGGGTGAACTCCAGTTGACAGGTAAACTATGGAAATTTTAGTGGTGATAACCCAAAGTGACGTTTTATTATATACTAACTACATGTCGTGACATTTTAGGATCTTTGGGTGACGTTATCAAGGAATCTGCTCAGATTGCTCTTACCTGGGTCAAAGCACATGCCTATATATTGAAAATTGCACCTACTATCGACACAAACATTGTTGAAAAGCACGATGTATGTATACATATCCTCTTAGCTATGATTAGACTTTAAAATAAGATAAGAATGGCTGACAGCATATGCATTTTTAGGTCCATCTTCACATGCCAAGTGGTGCAATCCCAAAGGACGGACCAAGTGCAGGTATATATATACGAGACGTTTCTGAAAATTCACTTATTATTGATATATTCTAGAGGTACATAGAAAAAAACTAACCATTACTGTCACAATTATGTGTATATGTAGGTGTAACAATGGTCACTTCACTTGTATCACTGTTCTCAGGCTATTGTGTCAAACCAACCACGGCTATGACCGGTGAGATCTCGCTTCGCGGCCAAGTACTTCCGGTAGGCGGTATCAAAGAAAAGACCATTTCTGCACACCGTGCAGGTATCAAAAAGATTATCATGCCTTACCGCAACCGCAAGGATGTTGAAGCTGATGTCCCCGAAAGTGTCAAGCAAGAAATCAGATTTGTGTATGCAAAGACAATCTGGGATGTTCTGGAAGCTGCGTTGGTCATTAGTGAGGATTCAACCGAAAAATGGACCGCACGCACTTATGAAAGCCATCTGTAAAGAACGCAACAACCAATAACTCTTGATAATTATACATAGTTCTTATTTTTCTTCTTCCTTTCGTATTAATTTTTATATACAATTTGCATTAAAGCTGGGTTGGATTTGTTTAGATGAGTACAAGAATATATACTACATTGTATTGCTGTAGTGCAAAAGTGAGAGTAGCTTATGTTCCAGCTTCTTGTTTGTAAGCTCTCGCAAAAGAAAATAACTGAGCGACCTATTCGTCCATTATAACATCCACACAACAAGCACAAAGAGACATACCACAGCAATATTGCATGTCACCCTGGTTTTTCTACACTCTATCTGCTTTTGTTTGCATACCAAGTCACGAGAGATCGAAAGTCATTGAGTGGTAGATATTTCAACTTTCGATTTATTTGGTTTTAATCAGTCTCAATTGGCCGGGAACATATTTGTAATTGTCTGCATACGACTTCTTGGCGAACTTAACCTTCTTGGGCTCTTGAACGTAGTAATTCCAACCTAGTAATAAGCGTAAACTCTCTCATGTCGACTCCAACTTTGCACATACACTCAAAAAGGCAAAATATCGATGATCCAGCGATTGGTTAATTACCTTGTCTCTCAGCGAAAGCAATTGCGTCGTCTTTAGTGCTGAATTTGATAGACAGTCCTTGCTGGTAGTCAGCGCTACATTAAGTATGGAGATAAAGCAGCGTAATTATATATATTGCCATGGAAGCATCATACAACACCCTCATTTGTTCTCCTTTCATGGTAGACCTATTGTAATACGTTACCTTGATGCCCATCCAATCAATGGATTCTCCCAGCGATTTCCTTCTGGTAGAATGTCAAAATCGATACGCCAGTGTCGCGTACCAAATTTGCCGGACTGAGTCGCTGGTTTGGAAGGACTGAAAATACGCACAGTGCGGTCCAACAATTCCTCTACACAAGGATATGTATAAACATTTATCAGTATTATTCTGTATAATCATATTTCGCGCGTTTGTGTGCTCCTCTTTATTGTCTCCATTCTTTAAGTGGACTTACCTGGAGCACCAGAAATGGCATCCAAAGGATGCAGCGCTCTATTTTCTTCTGCTTTAGCAATTTCAGCTTCTTTGTCTTTGTCATTGACCATTGCGGCACGCGTTGTTGAGAATGAACGCAGTGCTGCAGTTGTCAAAGGTCTAGTACAGGTAGTTTGAGCTGCGGTGATTGAACGCAACATTGTTGTAGTAAATGTGTGAATTGGTCAGAAAAGAACAAAAGGTAAGAAGGCTCCAAGGAGAAAATCTGAGATTGGATCATGCCTATTACGTTACTATTATGCAGCTTTTAGAGCTGTTTATGGGAACACAACGACCAATGAAATTCGGATTCAATTTACCGACCATCATAATAAACCATGCAATTGGTTAAAATAGTGTACCATTCCTGTCACTACTCTAACTACTCATCTTTATTCCGCTGACGTAGTGGATAGCTATATCACGCGTGTCAGCTCAGTAGGTATTTAATTAATGAATATGCAACATTGCGTGAAAAAACTAGTACGTGGTTCCATTACTACAAAGTGGGACTGAATGACAATTGATTACTCAGTTGCTCCAATGGTTAGTGCAGCTGCGATGATTACCAACAACAACATTTTTTTATATGAAACACGTATGCGCTTTTATGGACACCGAATTCTCAGCTCACCGCGGACTGTGTGCTAACTGTTTCACAGAATGTCGTGTCCAGTTATTGCTGTGTGGACACGGACCACACGCACTACATAATTTCGTAGGGATATTTCAACGTCACGTTAACAAGTACATACAGCCAGGGATCACCACTATTTTGTTGAATAAGTCCAATCAACGTACATAACTTAAAACAATTGTACGTATACTTGGGGCGCCCTTTTTTGTGTGGCAAAATGGGCGGGTCAAGGGTAATTTAACTGGTGGAAACGCCGAGTTGGAATTGTGACAGCCCTGCCTATACGATACACAAAGATAACGTATTTGAGTAGAAGAATATCGAGTACTTTAATTCTTGCTTTTTATTGTACAGATCTACAGTAGTATGTATTATGTAGAAAAAATGTTACACTCGAGTTCTTTTTGTACAAGTTGAAGAAGAGCCAATAGGATCCCACTTAGTAAACGCACTTACTAAAACGCTCAGCTCAATATCATATACTGTAAATAGGTATGGCACACCAACATATATGTGCGTATAGACGGGAGATGACTGCATACAGCTCAAACTTCAAGCACCCGTTGTTTGTGTCATAGAAAGGAACTTTATCTCACCAGCATTGCATCGTTTCCATGTTGTGTTTTCTCAAATTTTTTGACTTACACTGCATATGCATACGAATAGGGCATATGTAGTGATAAAAATTGATCTATGTAATGCATGCTATGCAAACCAGGTCACTGTGAAATTCTGAGGGAGGAAGTATGATTATGAGTCTGTCAGAATGTCCGTAGCGCATCATGCTAGTGCGACTTTAAAATGTTTTTTCTGATGGGGTGAGCATATATATCTCTATTTTTATAACGTCACCGATATCTCGTTTGCGTTTTCGATCGATGATAGACTATGTAGTTTTCCATAGGCGCTTTTATTTGTAGATGCCCATTTCTTATCGTGCGTTACTATAGACAGCAATATGATATGTAAAATAATATGCGTTTTCTATATTATTTAGAGTAGAAGTCGCGGCGGTTTTCCTGACGATGCACGACAGGTGAAGAATATGAGGTTAGCACTTGATTAATATACTGTATAGACGTGTATGAGCCTAATCGTAAAGCGATGATAGAAAACTTCTCAAAAACACAAAGCTCTTTTGTCGGCCTGTGCCGACGATTTAATTAAAATCTTATAATAAAACAGGAAAACAATGCAATCCAATTATGTTTTTACATTGTAGTACATAGTATCATAAGGATCTCATGATGAAAATTGGTACGATATGATATAGCTACTGTGTTTTATGTATGCATGTATGTTTATACGCAGTTTTTTGTCCTGTCATTGTTGTTTGCGTGAGCATTATCACATTTAGTTGACAAAAAAAATCTAGGAAGCCATAGGAGAATAATAGATGATGCCTTTTTTATTATCTTTGACTACAATATATCTTTCGCTATGATAATATTGCTGTTATGTATGTGTTAAGAATGGATGAAATGTATTATTAAGAAATGTTGACGAAGGGATATAAAATGGGAAGAGATGAAAAACATGAGACCATGAGATATGTATGCAGAATGACTATATGCTACATATATATATATATAAGAGATGTCACAAAATGATGCTGGAAAACATGGAGAAATGTTTATGATGATAGAAAGGAAACTTTTTTTGGTGATATGTATATGCATGGGGCCAGCATCGAGCGAGGAAAAGAGACGGGGCGAATCATTTGCAATTATTACTGATAGTTAAAACCCAAGGAACTCGCTTGATTGTTTGTGTACCAGGTCAGTTGGCTTTCATCGGCAAAAAGTGGGTGGAATGCGTTGTTGTGAGTGTTATTACAAGACTGGAGATCTGCAGTACCAGCTGCAAATGTCTGTTGCATGCTTGTTGTAGCGGTCGGTACCATTGGCCAAGGCCAGTAAGAATTTGAAACTTGTTCTGCTGTTGCTGCTACCGCCCCAAGCGGCAGCTGATTCAAGAACATCGACGTCTGTTGTTGTTGTTGTTGTTGCATTTGTTGCTGCGGCAAAAAGTCTACTTGATGGAGTTGATGCACGGGGTCTTGTGAAGAAACAGGCATTGACATCATGCTGAGCGCACTGACAACGTCGTAATCGCTCATACTATTCAAAGACAAGCTGCTGTAGTTATTATCAATCACAGCTGGTATAGGAAATTGACTAGTAGCTGTTGTCGTCATTGTAGGAGCAGAGACATTGCCATTGATAGTGGAATTTGTAGTTGCAGATGGCATGGTTGTTAACGTTGCGGTTGTCGGCTGATAGTATCCGTTGGCTGTTCCCAAAGCTGCTTTAATCTGCGGTTGTTGGCGGTGATGATAGTGTTGTGATGGCTGCGCAAAAGGCTGCATGTTTGGAAGTTCTGCTTGCTGATGCGAAGCAACCATTGGTTCTTTATTAGCGAGTCCAGGTGATGAGGGCGGTGAAGTTGGCGATGGAGTAGATGACGATGTCGATAGTGACCAGTCTTGGGATGGCTTTTGAGCCAAACGAGGAACGATGTCCCAGTCAAAGTCATCAAGCGCTCCTGGGCTTGCTGTTGTAGTTGCTGGTGGCGTAGGATAGTTGGAAATCGTTCTTGCGCTTTTTGACGGTTGGACACGACTAGCGTACTGTGTTGCTGCGCTGTTATTGACTTTCCCCTTGCCGTATCGTCTTGAGCTTCGGCGGACGGATGAATTACGCATGTAACCACCGGTATTAGCGGTAGTAGAAGCAACTGTAGTCATCAATACCGAGTTATTGCTACTGACAGATGTGGCGGAGCTACTTTCTCGGGACCGTATACCATTAGATCTTCGAGCATACATCAGGCTTGCTGGTGATGACGTAGAGGGACGTGGATTTTGTGGTGGCGAAGAAGTCCAAGTAGCTGCTTGGTGGCTCTTCTGATGGACAGCTGCAGCGGAAATGGCGGTAGCTCCCGTTGGTGAAGAATAAGATACAAGCGGTGTTAGCCGCCGCTGCACGTAGTACCGTGTTCCGGGCATACGCAGATGAATTTGTTCTACGCCGAAATAAACGCGTGCATTGCTACCAAGCTTTTTGTCTGTAATATCGACGTAATTGCTGCCAACGCGCTGAGAAACTTCATGATAATTACGCTCGATGATGTGTTGATTGTGTTTTTCAAACGTCTTAAAGAACGTATTCTCGAGCATGAATCCCCATTCGACTCGCTGTGGGATGCCGTTATGTTGAGTAATGATAGGCTTGAACGTTTCCATTGAGTTGTACAGCAGGAAAAATAAGCGAAAGAGATGGTATCGTGGTGTGTATATGAGGAGAGCGAAGAAACAAGGAAGAAGAAAGAAAGAAAAATGGAAATGATTAAAAGCAGAGAATTAAAAGGCCTAGAGAATGGATCAAAAGTGTGGAGTTAGTTGGACCCTGGAGGAGTTTTTCGTTGGTTCAACCGCATCCTTTTTAAATATATTTGGTAATCAAAATGTTGTCGACCAGTACGACGAGGGGTATATTGACAGCTAAAGAGTAAAAGAGTGGAGTATGTTCTAGTCTACGTATCCGTGTTTTGGGCAAAATGATCATCTGATCGTATCGGCACCATTCCTATAGGTTGGACGATCCTCTGGGTGTAAGTAACTGCATAACTGCTTGCACACCATAACCATGCATACTCCTTAATGCTGGCGTCTATACCAGCAGTGCCAATAACAATAGCTTCCTCCATGCCCATCCTCTCTATTTCTCTGTCTCCCCCCCCACCTCCTTCTCCTCCCCGTATCCCCATTTTGCAGGCTGCCCCAACAAATCCTTGAAGATCATCTGGCTGTCATAACAAATTTCGTTGTATCCCTGTACCATCATCATATTTTTAGAGCTTACCTAGTCAATAAACACATAGTAGGACGCAATAACACTATGAGCCTTTTTTGACCCTTGCTGGTATTACCTAAGATTTTTAAAGGAGATCCTTTTTACTTTCCTTCAATCTCCTGCATTAGGACGGTCACCATCTACCAGCAAGCGGCTAGCAAGAAGTAGCAGCAGCGGCAGCATCTGTAACGGTTTCAAAACATGTATCATTTTCTCCTGGTTATATGTATATACATACATGTACTGTAAAGCATTGCTACTAAGTAGACATAGTTTAACCAATTTTTTGGACCAATTCAATAAACTTTGGTAGCACGCGACGTAATTGTTTGCACAGGCTGATCTACTGCTGCCGACAAATATTAGATTTTGAGATGTTTTGGTTAGCAAAGCGGTTTTAATCAGGTTCATAATACTGTCATATCACGCTGTACGCAGTACTATTACGTACCGCCGCCATTGCTGCTGCTACTGCTGTTACTCGCAGGCGCGTGAATATTTCTTGGTAACGTACATATAGTCTATGCCAGCTTTGTTACAACGTGGGTCCCATGAGGCATAACAGCATAACAGGTAATTTTATCAAAGTAAGTTAACCGCCCCGTGCACAAATAAGCTTCCACGATAGAAAAGTCCCTGTTCCAATGATGCAGGAAAGCTGCCGGCAGTCATGATATCCACGCATCGCAAATCATACATGATATAGCATAGAAGAAATACATACATGACTTAATTCGCATACCAGTGGGTATGTTAACCTTATTTCATGTGAGCTTTGTATCAAACTTTTTATTGTTTATATGTAACATTATGGATAAATTGCTAGAAGCTGTTCTTTTCGGCTATTAATGACAGTATTTATTCTATGCAGCTACAAATTCTGATCCAGCTTTCCGAGAAAATATGACATATACATATTTATGTGAAAAGACAGGTGCTACTTAGTATAATTATCCGCCAAGTCCCCGTCATGATGAGACGGCAAAAACAGCAACAGCAACAACAGGTTACCTGATTTGATTTTGATAACATTAAAAGTTCTAGAGCCGATGTCCCCAAAGATACGGAGCTTCAGGCTGATGAGACAAAACTGAACCTGGTAAAAACTCCTATTTTTTTTCGCCATAATGCATAAGATGAATGAAAATGATACAGAGAAAACCTCAAAATGTTGCTAGATGTTCAAGTTTCATTAATGCTTGACCTTTTTGATTGATCCTGTGACGTCTATTGCATAAGTTAAAAAACCAATCAAGAAACTTGTACGGTAATGTTATTTTATGTTCACAAAGCTGATTGATAAAGCAATTGTAGATAAAAGATGACAGCCTTAGCAAAAAGTACCGGTTTCGACTGGGAGTTCCCATACTTTGTTGTTAACAGGCGTATAAAAAACCTTCTTTTTTAGCTTTTGCGAATGGTAGATCAATGTTTCCCGTTGCAGGTAAGCCTACGGATGATCTTCTGGCCATTCTTATTCATTCGAAACGTGGCTGAATATCAAACAAGCTGGTATACTTTGAGGTTGTCTGTGATCTTCATATATGGAATAAGGAAATACTTGAATTTGTGCTTAAAAAAGCACGATGTATATCTTATAACATTCACCGCGTATTGGTCGACAGAAAAACAACGTTCCCCTTCGGTTTTAGACCATTTAAAGACTGCTACAACAAAGATTTGATTGGTAAAGGGATATTTACGTTTGATACGATGGCATGGGAGCTAATTCTTGCCCGATAAGCTGGGATTGATTGTCCCACCTTCTTCATTAGGCAGGACAAATGTGGGTGAAGTAATGTGTGTACAACATATAAACGCATAAATGTCGTCAGCGCACAAAGCATTTGCTACCATCGTTTTATTGTTTCCATGGCTGCGCAATTACATTGTCTATCTTTGGTCAACAACAATTGTTAAAGTGAATATCATTCATAATTATAATGAATGAAATCAAGTTGGTAACACGTTATCGTTGCTTGCAGATATATAGCCTGTAATGAACCAATCGACGAGGACATATAAGGATGTAAGGTAAACTATATGCACCTTGTGTCTGTGCGGTAACTAAGATTGTGTATATACAAGTATTCTACAAGAATGTGACCACAGCACAGTATGCACCGGGTTCCTCAAATCACCATCCATGCTGACGCAAATGATACCATTTCTCGTCTTTTGATTTTTTCCTAAACATCAAATGATCGGTATATTCTCCTTTGGCAAACTGCTGCTCCTGTGGCTACGCATTTAACCCCGAAAGAACATGATTATATATATATAATGTCAAGACCAAGTAAACAGAAAAGATGTTGCTACAGATGACAGAATAGCTTATTGCTATAGAATCTAGTAAGTTGATACATGTAAAGTACAGTTCTTGTTTATGGACCGTCAGAACGGATGACGTCCACAGAAAAAAGATTGGGATGAGCTAATATGGATCGTAGTTCTTCATCCATTTCAAATTTCTTTTTAAAGCTAATTTTCTGGCCCATGCTTTCAATGACAGACATCACTGCAGGTGCCTCAACCATGGGACATGACTGGTTTTTCGGGAGATGTATGCAGAGCCGTACACGTGGGTAAAAGATTGCCGTGGGGTCGTGCTGAACTTCGTTGTTGTTTTCGTCGTTTGCAGTTGTACCAGAAGAAATAGTGTACTGCCGTAGTTGCTCTTTATTTTTATGTTTGGCTGGAGAAGACGACATGGATGACGACGAGTAAGACGATGAAGTGGTCGAAGAGGATTCAGATGATTCGACAGGTCCAGGATCGTCGAGTACTGTTGCTACAAACGAGATCCCGCTTTTCGCTACACCCATGCCGGGACTGAGCGGCGAGATGGTGAAAAGAAGCTCCATCAATCTGCCGACATATTTGCATACAGCGGTTCCTTTGCGGCCTAGCATACGCTGGATCGTTTTGAAAATCGGATCGGGCACTTCACCGCCTTGTCTGAATGCGAGTAAAAGCGCCAGGGTTGCTCGTTCTTGGTGTGTAATACCGGGCACGTTGGCCAGTGGCCCGCTGGCAAGCGGCATATGGAATGCAACAAATGCGCGGGTCTCTTTGGGGTAATGCGTTGTCAAGTTGGCCAAGTGTATTGCCGATGATAACAGGCGATGCAACTGCAACGGGTGTTGGGGGTCGAGATATGGTCTCGGGACTGCATCTTGCAAGATAGACCAGATCGCTTCATGTTCGCCACATGACAGTGCGTGGGGCAATCCGCTCGCATACGCTTTGACTCCCTCCAGTAAAGGATCCTTTCGTTGTTCTTCTGGAGATAGCAGTGTGTAGCACAGACCCTGTCGCACACCACCCTCGCTGAAATGTACTTGTCGCACCTGGAGGACATCCAACATTGCTGAAACTAAGAAGCAGATTGCAGGCACCATACCAGCGCGCCGCTTGGATATCCTGAAACCCTTTAGCCGCTTCATTGTTTTTTCTGGATCCTTGTTCTTGTAGTTGTTGGCCAATTCTTGTAGTTCTTGACCGGTTATCGTATAGCCGCTGATGATAGGGATCGGATAAGTGATGAAGTCTCGATGCGATTGCTGATGATTATGGTGAGAATTGTGATGCTGATGACTGTGTTGACCATGATGATGAGAATGATGATGATGTTGTTGTTGTGGTTGCTCTCCGTCTGTTGATTGGGATCCTAGAGCTGCGACTATCGAACTGCGGCGGCTGCCTTCTAAACTTTGTAAATGTGATCCTTTTGCTTTCATAGACAAGTAGCCAAGGGCGCGAAATCCGCCACCGCTCATATAGATTGTGTAGCCTTCATTGCTCTGCAGCTTGGGAGGTATATTGACATGCTGGATAGCAGCTTGGATTTCGGATACGATTTCAGCGTGCAAGGCCTTTCGCTCCTTTCTGATAGTACACTGGCCCAAACGGCGCTTCAAAGCAGCAGCTCCGTACGGCAGTGACACAGGCGTAGATGATATCTCGAGTTCGCCACCCTTACTGGTCACATAGCTGAACTCGACAGAGCCACCACCTAGATCCATCGTAACGCCATCCACCTTGTAAAAAGAGCCTTATAGAATGTTTTTTTGATGCGCGAATGATGAATAAGATGCACTTTAAGCCAGATATTAGAATTGTGTTGCTTCTTACCTACTATTCCAGAAGCAGAGATCAAAGCTTCTTCTTCTTTTGATAAGAGTGAGACGCTCCAACCCGTCGCATCAAAGATCCTGCCGATAAATTCTTGAGAGTTGAGCGCCAAACGCGTAGCTTCCGTGGCAATTATCTTGACGTTATAAGGTTTTACTCCAGCATGTTCGCATAGCTGTTGAAAGCGTCGAAAACTAGTAACGACTTGGCATATTGTTTCTTCTGGAATAACACGCTCAACGCCTTGTGCGTCGAAAAGTGAAATGGGCGCACGTTCTTCATAGGCTACTGGTAAATGGCGAGATAGCGCACTGACTATGCCGAATCGAATACCATTGGACCCCATGTCAACCACACCGAATGGTGCCTCAGTTGGCAATTGTGACATTTGGAATTTTGAGTTTTTAAACAAACAAAACGAGATTCAAAAGAAATAGAGGTGAAACGAAGTAATGAAAAAGAAGGGTCACGGAGAATTTAAAGCAGTTTCTCTTCTTTTGGGTTATCACAGATATGGCTGATGATGTTGATATATTTTGAGCTGAATAGTATCTACTTGTAAAATTCAAAGTTTGTGTCCTCCTTCTTAACATTTGCCTTGTAACCCTTCTCTAAGTCCTTGCTTAATATCACGTAACGGTTCTTGCGCACAGCGTGCATACCGGCTTCTTGGCAGATAGCCGCGATTTCTGCACCTGAGAGTTTATCGGGCCGGGAAACGACTGAAACAAAATAACGGTATGTAATGATTAGATCAACCATGCCTAATTTACCCGAGCGAGATTTCCTACCAAGCCCTTCTTCTTTAACTTACAATCTTCAAGGTCCACTTCCTCAGATAAGTTCATCTTGCTTGTGATGGTTGAGAAAATCAGACGCTTTTGTCGACGGTCAGGAGTAGGGAATTCGATTTTTCGATCCAGACGGCCCGGTCGTAACAGGGCAGGATCTAACGTATCCGCACGGTTGGTTGCCATGATAACCTGAACAATAAATAGCAACATATTAACTTCTACCGCTCCTAGCTACTAGTTTCCTTTTTCCTACTCTACATTCTCTTTCAGTTTGCGTTACCTTGACATTTGAAGTTTGGTCGAAACCGTCCATCTGATTCAACAATTCGAGCAAAATACGCTGCACTTCTCTATCTGCGCCCGTCTGTGCGTCGAAACGTTTTGTTGCGATAGCGTCAATTTCGTCAATAAAGATGATAGCAGGCGAGTTTTCTCGTGCGAGTCTGAATACGTCTCGGACCATGCGAGGGCCTTCACCCAAATATTTCTGAACAAATTCGGAACCGACGACACGAATGACGTTTGCAGTTGTGTGATGGGCGACGGCCTTGACAAGCATCGTTTTACCGGTACCTGGAGGACCGTATAACAACACACCTCTTGGAGGATCGATACCGATTTGTCGATACAAATCAAAGTGTGTCAATGGAAGCTCGACGGCTTCACGAATCTCCTGCTTCTGAATATCCAAACCACCCACATCCTGGTATGTAACGTCGGGTCGTTCGTCGGCGCCCAACATGGCAATGCTGCTATCAGCTTCTGGTGGCAAAACGTCCACAAGTGCGTTTGAGTGTCGATGCAAGGCCACAGACGAGCTTGGCTTCAGCAATTCGCGATCGATGGTGCTCAATATGCGTACGACGTAATTGGAACCCGTTGTCGATCCGACAATACCGGTGTGTTGATCGAGAGGTTCTAGGAATTGGCCAATGACAAGGGGTACAGACTTGATGCGCTTCACTTCTTCTTGTGCTCGCAAAAGTTCTCGCTTTAGATTCTTTTGCTCATCTTTGATATACTCTTCTTGCAACGCCAAGAATTCGAGGTTGCGTTGGAGCTTCTTTAGTTTGACGTATAGATCCTTTTCTGATGCTTCCTCTAATAAGCTGGTTTTGGTGGCAACCACAATGGGATCTTTGTTCTACAAATCATTCGAGAGAGCTTGAGATGAGAGATTTGAATTTCGATGTTTTTAGATTCCCATCGGTTGTCAGTTTGTTGTGTTTACGTTTTGCTTGACTTGGATGCCGATTTCTTCCATGGTTTAATAGGGACAAAAGTTGAAGAAGGGACGCGTACTTTGGCGGGCACGAAGTTGGGTACGTAAGTGCTTTGTCAGCCAATCAGAGGCGTTCTTAATTCTCCCCACTGCTAGAGAGTTTTGGTCCGCTCTAATACTGGTCCGTGGTATACTCCTCAAATATCCATCCACGATGATGAACAACACTTGAGGTTTATTGGAACTTGTAGTATGTAATTGTAGTTTATAGTCTTCAATGTAATTATCGATATGCCAGTAAGTGAGCATAAACGATCTCTAGTGTGCAGCACTGCATCTACTATCACAAGAGTATGGACCGTTCCTACAACGAATACATCCCCTCTACAGTAATTCACACTGCTATGTATCAGTAGAGTGGTTTGACGCTATCGTTACACACATACTGATGTTTACAAACACATTCGAAGAGGGTAATAAGCATTCTTTTCGACTTATTTTGCTACGTCATGCTGCGCCAGGATTGTGTCTGTTTTTCTGGCTGTTGCTGAGAAAGTAACTAAATTTAGCTCGCTTAACAAAGAAAAAAAAAGCTGCTTTTTCCTTTACACTCAAAGCCAGCGATTTATTAACCATGGCCGACGAGGAAATCCCTGATCTAGTACCAGCAGTCGAGACTGGGTGAGATTTATACATGAGCTCTTTTTGATTTCTCTTATAACAAATAGCAACTGACGCGATCGCGTTTAGCATCGCAGCAGAACCAACACCGTCGTCAACTGACGCTGTCGCCAGTGAAGAGCCGTTCCGCAAGATCCCTGTAACTATCGTGACAGGTACGAAAAACCTAAAGAGAGTGTCTCAATGTGCTGGTAGCGTGTAGCAAGTATTAAAAGCTCTTTTTCTTTGTGTCTCAAAAGGTTTTTTGGGTAGCGGCAAGACAACCCTTTTAAACTATATTCTCACGGAAAAGCATGAAAAGAAAATTGCTGTGATTCTTAATGAATTTGGAGAGAGTAAGCCGAAAATAAGATTTTTGTAATTTGGATTGTACGTGTGCAGATCATATATGCTGATACCAGGATGATCCGATAGGTAGCGATATCGAAAAATCCTTGTCGATTAACCAAGAGGGTACACTGTACGAAGAATGGCTCGAATTACGTAATGGCTGTCTATGCTGCTCTGTCAAGTAAGAGAGAAAAAGGCAATTTTATACATGTCCGAGCCCTTTAATAATCAGAAAACGAATGATGACAGGGACAACGGTATCACAGCAATTGAGAATCTGATGAAAAAGCGAGGTAAATTCGATTACATTCTCCTTGAGACCAGGTACAACAACAAATCGTGTTGATGAGTTTTCTTTCGCAACCGCTATAATTATAAATAAGCTAACTTGGCTAAAATGACAGTGGGTTGGCCGATCCTGGACCGATTGCGTCGATGTTTTGGCTGGATGATGGCTTAGGAAGCGAGCTGTTTTTGGATGGCATCGTGACTTTGGTGGATGCAAAGCATATCCGTGAAGTAAGAAATAGAGTGGGGCGAGGATAGCAATCGTCTTGCACATTTGTAACATGTCAACTTTTGGGTCGCTAGTATATGGGAGAGAAGAAGGAAGATACTTTGATCAATGAAGCCTTAAAGTAAGAAGATGCAAATGGTGATGCTGTAATCACTGCGAATGGTACATCTAACTTGTTATTTAGGCAAATAGCAATTGCCGACCGTATCGTGATCAACAAGAAAGATTTGTTATCTGAAACAGAACTGGAAAAACTCCAGGAAGACATCCGGGATGTCAACACATTAGCTGATATCCTGCAGACTGAACGCTCTAGGTATCTCTATTGTTTGTGTTTATATGGTCTAATCTCTTACAAAGAAGCAACCGTTATTGAATCGCATCATTTGTAGAATTCCACTGGACTTTGTTCTCGATATCCAGGCATATGATGTGCACAATGCCGATGCTTTGGCACAGCAAACACAAAAGATTGAGCAGCACAACAGTGTCCATGCTCACACTGTTGGTCATGTAAGCATTAAGAGCTCCTAGCCCATAATCTGTTTTACATATAGCTATGGACAATTATTATTGAACGACTTATTGTACTTCGACATAGGATGTACAAACTATCTGTCTCCATTTCAACGAGCAATTGGATACACTTGAACTTTTAGAGTCTTGGATTCAAACGCTGCTCTGGGAGAAGACAATCCCCGGCGACGACGAGCAAAAAGCTGATGATGATCAATCACAAGTGATCGTTTTGCGCTTAAAGGGCATAGTCCTCCCACCCAAAGACAACAGCAATACAGCTGTTCGAAAGCGTCTCGTAATCCAGGGCGTACAAGACTTGTATGACATTCAAGAAGGTTATGCACATGAGCAAACGGATATCAATGATCAAACAAGCAAGATTGTTCTCATTGGCAAAAACTTGGATAAAGATCGCCTACTAGACTCGTTCAAGAAATGGGTTCGTTTAGAGAACGCTTTTTAGTACTATTCTGTGATTCCTTGCAGAATTTATTGAAAAGCTTTCTTTACAGAATAAAAAGGCTTTGAGATCTAAACCATTTCATTTAACCGAGAGGGAATATGAACTATAATCCACCAAGGTCTTACCTGAAAAAGTAAGCTGTACCAATTTGCTAGGATGAGAAAGCCTTCACCTTACAACAGCGCTTATCCATAATCACCCGTGCCTCATCCATAAGAAATAATAATGTTCCACCTTTTTTCAACATGCATATATTTTGTAACATTTACGATAATAAGAGCGGACTTGGGACGGGATAGGTTAGGCTGGACTGGGTGAGTGGGTGCGAGGGAAAGGTGCTATTGTACTGCATCGACACGAAATATGAAGGAAGAATGTGGTTATGTGTTGATAGTTATGTGGAAGAAGCGTATTTTTTTTACATTGACATGGGTTGAGGTTGCTTGGACACTTTCTCGAGTTCAGCTCTATAAAATAAGAGGGTAGTGTGAGTTATTGCGGTCCTCCCTCTCCCCCTCGGCGAGTACGTAAGCAGCAGCTGTGTACGTTTTTTTCTTACCGTAATTGTTTTGAAAAGTCGTCTTCGACGTCGTCGTCATCCCAGTTGTCCTCCCAGTAATGCGCATCGTTCTTGTCCTCCTCTGCTTCTCCCCAATCTAGACATTACATTAGTTCAATATGGCTGATCCAATAGATAGACACCAAAAAGCCTTGTGCCTTTTCTTTCGAACACGCACGAATCGATCAATCAATTTATGCCACATTACCTTCAGCAGCAAATTCTTCAAACTCATCGTCTTCTTCCAAAGCGCCTAATTGTGGCATATCTTTTTGAGCTTGCTCATCCTTTTGTTCTTGATGGTTGTTCTGTGGTGCAGGTGCAGACATGGCGATCGGATTGCGTGTGAAAGAGGTTGCGTGACGTGAGCTTGCTTGTCGTGTCCGTCTGGATAAATTGGAAGGAGTTTGAAATTGCGTTCATGTTCGTGCTGAAGTAACCTCACCTTCCAACTTTGTTTTATTAAGCCGCGACCCTTACGGATCCTCGTATGGTCAATAATCAGAAATTGTACATAGTAGAAACATGTCAGAAGCAGTACAGACGCATTACTTATGAGTACCAACCCATTTTGGTCATGTTTAGATGAGCACCAGGCTATGTAATACGTGATTTGCCTGAAATCATCCCAGCGTAGAAAAAGGTAGCTCATATATGTACTTGTAGATAATACATTGCAACATCATTCCTCAGATAAAGTCAGATTGTAATTGTAATTGACTGTTAGCTGTGTACTGTTCATTGGCGTAACATACAGATTTTAAGATGTTGAGGAGGCAATTGGACTGTGCGCGCGGTTCATAGGGACCGCTGAAATTTCCCTGGCATCTGCCTCGGGTAAATATAGTGCCGGAGTAAATTCCCTGGCATCCTTCGGGAAAAATGATTACCCGGGGATACCTATACCACCATGCACCTTTTTTCGCGTTTTTTTTAAAAACAGGTATTTTATATAGGTGAGAAAAAGAGATGAATAAAGTTAAGAAAAGTTTGACAAGAAATTGAAAAAAGCAGAATATTCTATAATAAAAGGTTTAAGAAAGAGATCATGGAAAGTGGGATTGTATACGGAAAAAAAGATGGAAACCATAGTTATGCATGCCGCGTGTTAGCATTTGTTTCGCGGTAAGTGGTGGGCAACGTGCGTCTGCGGCGTAATTGGGCTACATCACTGAGGTATTCGTCGATGTGGCCACCTGATAGTTGCTGATTGAACCGGTTGCGTTGCTGTTCGTTTATGCTAGCTCTGTATAAATCAGCAACTTCATCAAAACGCCTGTCTTCTTCTTCTAGTTGTAACACCAGTCGTCGTCGACGCTCCCGGCTCCGTTGCATCTCTATTTCAAAGTTGCGCGATTCTTGCTCCCTATCTGGAAGAACTGCAGTTTGAAGAGAAAGGAGGTCGCTTTCTGTTGTTGATTCATCATCACTGATAAAGATGATGCTTTGTCGGGAAGGAGGAGGAGTAACAGGAGCAATATTGCGATTAGCAGTAGCAGAGGTGCGGGTCGAGGTCGTGGTGATAGTAGTGATAGTAGCAGCAGCAGGAGTTGTAGTGTGGATGATGCTGGCATTTGTGGTATCGCTGTTGTCATTGTCGTTGTCGTTAGCGAATCCCAAGTCTCTAAAAACGTTGTTGGTGTACTAAAAGCAGTAAAGAGTTATTTATCATTCTACATAAAAAATTACAGCACACTACGATTTCTTAATATATATATATATATACCGGTCTAAACGAAATAAACGGAACACTGGTTTGTCGCAAGATGAAATATGTTCTAGCTGCAAGTCGTCGGTAATTAGAACGCTGGACTAGATGCTTGCAGATTAGATACCGGTTTTGTAGGTAAGCCGGGCAGCCACAGGTCCAATTTTCAATAGAAGGTAAGTACAGTCGATCTGCCTGTATGTTCTCTGGTGTACGATACGCCTTATTCCAGTGTTTAACAAAGTTGTACGCCCATTTGGTGGGCTCGTTACCAGCAACCGTCAAGCTATTGAATTTGTCTTTTACTTTTGGAAAGTACTTGTCGCAAATAACGTATACAAGCATATCCAAGCGAGCACGAGGATGTCTGTACAGGTAGTTACATTTAAGAACCTTCCAGTGTGCTTCGATAAAGTTGTTGGCTCTGCCATACGGAATCCGATTTGGAACAACGCTACGCGCCCACAAACGCCATTGGTTGTATGTATACCAATGCTTGTACATATATATCCAAGCGTCAATTAATCGCCTGGCGCGGCAGTATTCGTAAACCTCTCTGGCAGCACTCTGGTGGATTTCATTGGCAGTTTCGTATTGATTACCTACAACAAATGTAGAGCGATAACATTTAAGCAAGAGCGTGAACTTAAGCAGCGACAGGTTTAATCCGCTAGTAATATGTAAGTATAGGATACTACCATTAGGTATCAATGGGTGTCTGTTGTAGTGCTTTCTTACGAGATCGATGATAGCATCTCGATCTTCTTTTCTGCATATGACACCTCTACGACCGCCAATTGATGGGGTGAAGTCGTCACCAATAAAGCCAAACTCGGTTCTTGCTGCTAGGAGATTGTATGTTGGAATACTTGTGGATTTATTCTCGCCTAACTTTTGGCTTATGCTCTTGGCAATATGCCAGATGCAGAGTCGTAAATAACTCTCGCCAAAGACTTGCTGAACGGCATTGATCTGAGATCTGTCTTTGTCGGAAAACACGAAACCAGGATTTAGCCCGAAGTCTTTTAGTCTTCGTAAGAATGCTGCCAATGTGTTGGTTCTTGTGAGTTCTGGTGCTCCTTCGAACGAAGTATAGACCAGATACCCAATGGGATATCCAACGCCATTGGTCATTGCTACGATGCCAAACAACTCGCAGCCCGCACGATTGGTTTTGAACGTCGAATCGATGTAATACTCTTCAACGTATTGGCATGATGCCAACTTTTCAAAAAATGGAGTGATAAATCCAACAGCAACAGCATGATCATCTCGTCTCCAAAACATCTAATATTTATTTAAGTGTATAAGATTCTATATGCTACGTTTGATTCTATCTGTCTCTAGCTTTTAAAGCAAAGAGAAGGTTGATGGTTAGTAATTATCATATCACATACCTCCACAAAACCAATGTTGTTGTATCTTCGAAGAAGCAGGCGAGTTGATATCATTTGGTCGTCATGCAAGCGGTACATTGACTGGAATCCTACCGACCACCAGTAATATACCTGCATGGTCGTGAGGCTCCGCGTCATGTCAGGATACCTTGTTTTTACTGCCTCGTACAAAGTCGACGCATCGATACCCCGTTCTGTTGCTCGCTCGGTTATATATTGTCTTACAACCATAGGTACAGCATTTCGTCTTGTTTCTCGATCTGAATCCACTCGATCGTGAGTAATCGGATGTCGAATGTTAAGTTCGATATAGCCGAGCTCCTTTTTAATAGTGCCTTTTACGCGACCATAGCATTCAAAAGCTGGAAGCCTATGATTCATGCGTACAAGGAGATGTTCGGCTGTCTGTTGTTGTATCTCCTGGGATCTGTGACAATATGCTCCGAAGGAAATGTTTGTCGAGAGCTCTGGATCTCCAATATTTTTAATAAGATATGTGTATTGGTCGCATCGGTGCACTTCCTCCAATATCCTTTCAACTAAATCAGCTGGATCCATCGCCTCCATATACGGTTCAATACAGATATAACCATGAAATGCATAAATCTGCAACAATATTGGTTACTTATCTAAAGAATACAATTGGTCTATTACAAAGCTACACATACCTCGCTTCCGTCAGTATCTGCATGAGCAGGGTAAACCTCATGCAACTCATCCAACTGCAGCATATCGTCCAAAGCAACGATTTCTAGAGGCGTTCGCTCAAAGCGGCAAGGGGAGCAAGTCCTAAAAGGCTTTGTTGCACCTCTGAACAGGCGTCCTGGTTTGGCCTGGTAACAATCAGTACACTCGTAAGTGCTTTCCTCGTCAAACGTGCCTTCCGCAATTGAACGAATCTGTGGATGACCAGTGTTGCCGCGATTACGAAGACGAAATGCATCACCGGTAATGGGGTTGATCGGTGCTCCACCAGGAAAAATATCAGTGGTAATGTCACTGTTCATTTCGTGTACGAGAAAGTAGTAATAGGAACAAGGATGAAAATAATTATAACAAACAAAAACAAAGGCAAAAAAAATTGGTGCATGGTGGTATAGGTATCCCCGGGTAATCATTTTTCCCGAAGGATGCCAGGGAATTTACTCCGGCACTATATTTACCCGAGGCAGATGCCAGGGAAATTTCAGCGGTCCCTATGGCACCTACTGTGCGCCGTCGTGTGTGCTACGTTTGCTACGGACTGCCGTGTCCCGTGCCAAATACATATGGGCAGCTGCAATTAAACAGTTTTTTCGTCCAATCGTCTAACATAAACCATGCAAATCTCTTTCTCGGTAAAACGGTTAGCTCTTTTGTTAAAAGAAGCAGCTTTGTTTTGGTTGCTTCCTAATAAATGCATCTGTGTCTCTTTTTACCAGCACAAGTTTCAACGAATTGAGATACACAACACAACCTAAAGAAAGCTTGTATATAACAATGTTATTGAGTTTCTCTATATATATATGTACACTACACTCATTTCGTGGAGTGGGCCATGTAGACGGCATTGACAAAGATGGCGAGTCGCTTTGTTAGTCGCCTTAGCTCAAAAATGCCAATTAGAACAAGTGTGTAAGTAAATATGTAAAACTTTCGATGACGATATGCAATAGCTATGACGACGACGCTACTTGTCTCTATTGGCAGCAAGGTGACTCGCTTTACTATACGAGTGTCATCTGATGTTTCTCCCTTATGACGGGTGACATCCAAGTAGGGCCAGAATTCGAAAGCGTCCGATTTGCGCCCCTTGAAGCAGCAACTTATTATGCATGCTTAAATCGATCAATTGCAGGGAGCAGCGTAAGAACAGTCGATAAGAATGATAAACTAGAGCTGCTCATATTAGTTCAAGAGCCTGAAGTGTGAAATGATGGTAGTGGTAGTAAGTTATTGTGTGATAATAGATCAGATCTGATTGAGCCAGCCACAACACCTGCTACAACAGTTTTTAACGTGAAGTGAGAGAATCGTCACAATATAAATATAAACAGATAATCCGACGTTTTACACAGCTGAGCTACAGATTTTTATTGTTTGGATATCTAGTCTATTTCTCGCATCTCTATACTGGAATTGACCGAGTGATAACAACACATGCATGTCGGAACAACACATGCATGTCGGATCAGAGAACAAAGAATCGTCGTTGTCAAACAAGTATGACTTAACATCAGATACGTATATCCTAGTATAAACCCTTCAATAAGCGTGAGCTCTAAGGTAGCTAAGGTAAAAGATCCTTTAACTGAATTGCGATGAGACTACATGAAAAGAAAAGATGATGTCGACGTCCCTACTTTGAGCGATTTTAAACGTAATAATGTTCTGCTACGTAGTCGTACTATATGCGGGGTTGAATCTACAGGCGGATCCGCGTGATTTCATCCTTGAACAAAATACATAATACTACGCATGCTACGTCCTGAAGTGCCAAGGCGCAAAAAAAAAGATGAAAAACTGGCAATCCCGAGGGAATGATTGTTTGCGGTACCACTTTGTACTACGTCATGACCTCCGCTGCTGACCCAAACCAAAATAAAAGTCTGTTCTCTTGCTTTCCATCAAAAACATTTATTGTTCAAGCGAAATTAAGAGATGATCATTCATCTAGTGGAATTGCTCATGCAATGAGGCCCGACTTGCAATCAATACTATTCCTCTCCAATGCGACAAAAGAGAGAGAGATAAGCAAACCACATGCCAAAGAAGTATCTAATTGTTGACGACGACCTTCGCATAATTAAAAATAGAAAAGAATAGAAAAACAACAAGCGCGTCCTGATCGGTCTTGGCGGCGGAGCCCCAGTTCCATACTATTTCTGGCTAGTGTCACGAATAGGGCCATTTCGTCATGCAGCAGCCTACTTTACAGCCTGACACTGTCAGAAACAGAGCGGCATGTGCTTGTTGTGGTTAAATAGAGAGCCTGATCGACTCCAAAACGAAAAAGTTTCTTTTTTCTTTTGTTCTTTCTCTTTAAAAAAAGACTTTTATATTGCTACAGCTACAACAACAACTACTTTAGTAACAACACACCAAATAGCAACAACTATCGATGCTCGCATTTCTCGCTACGTTCTTTGATTTCGCTGCACTTGTCCTTCAAATATTCACGTTGCTAGGCAGCACCTACAATCGCGAATTCCTACGCGATCTATATTTTGCACGTCTTGAATTCGATAACCAATTTGTTGATTTTGGCTTATGGTAAGAAAGGAGAAAAGAAATTGCTGTTGCCATTTATATACGTTTGTTTTGATGTTGACGCCCCATGTTCTTTGCCATTTGTCACACGCACAATCATAATAGGACGTATTGCTCGGGACAAAATGGCGAAGTAAGCGATTGTAGCAACCCAGAACCTGCCTTTGACTGGAGTAAGTGCTCATTTGGATAACCCGCATTCCCTCTCTCTCTAAATTTTTTACAAGTTGATATGATTTGGCTGCTAACAACGACATCATGGTGAATAAACTATTTTTATGATAGCCACGGCAGGCGAAGAAGATGCGCGATACTCAGCAATTCGCGAAGCCATCAACCTTGACGGCCTTCACCAAGTATTTCTCGCCAACTTTATCTTGTACTGGATTGCTCTCGGCCTTACGTTATTTGCAATGATCATCACTTTCGTAAGCGGCTTCCGTCGTGGTAGCGACTTTTTGGCATCATTCCTGACCTTTGTCGCTGCTCTCGTCATGATTGTTGTGTTTATTATTTTAATGGTTGTCTCGATGCGGGGAATCAACAACGCAAAGGATGCTGGTGTGGATGCTACAGGTCACCTGGGTCCATCCATGTGGATGACGCTCGGTGCTATGATCGCTCTCTTGCTTTCATCGTTCTGGTATTGTTTGACCTGCTGCTTCGGCTCTGGTCGACGAATTCAAAACGAAGAAAAGGCTTAAAACATAAATTACTGTTATACCATATCCATCATTTACAGAACAGCAACAGCTCTCTACTGCCCGTTTTGCGCAAATGTTCTCTCAAACACACACAGCACCCCTTTATTGTTTCATACACACATTTATAGTATATATCTATACTTTCATATCTCTATCATACATTCGCGGCAAATGTAAATTCTATTAATTCATAGTATGTCCCTTCTTCATTGTATTAAATACTTTAATGCGGAGTCTTCTCCAAAACATATAAAACAGTAAAAAAAGAGAATGTATATATGTGTGTATGTGTGTGTAGAGGTATGATAGGTATAATCTGTAGCAACACAGAAAAGAGCAAGTACATCCAAAAAAGTTAGAATATGAAGAATAAACTCCAAGTCAGTAAGAATAAGTTGTGCAATAGCTCCGTACCCTTTCATGCCGTTACTTTTTTTCCATCTTACCAATATGTACAGCGGCCATGACTGTCCTGTCCATTTGTCGAAAGAGACCGTTTCAATCTAGTCCTTCTTCTCCTTGTAGCTGGTGTCATTCTTATTGTTGTTGCTGTTGTTGGTGAGCTAATCAAAATGATGGCCGGATAAAGCAGCGCGGTCGTTGTCGATAAATGAGCATACAAAATATCAATAAGGCCATATTTAATGCAGCTTTCACATCCCTGTGAAAATAAAGGTGGCACGTCGAATTGTGCTGTTACTCGTCGACACGAGAAATGATACGGTCGATCTGCTGTCTTATTTTTTTCGGGTACAACAAGCGTGAAAACTATCGATCCATCGGTGATGGGTTTGTTCTCCTGGATTTTGCACTCATTCCGTCCAGCCCAGTTTGTGACGAATATGGGTGGCTCTTTTACATCTTGTGGTCGCTGTCCCGCATCCGCCCGTGACATGCATCGACGACCCTGGGTGATGATGGGACTGCGTGCTTTGTCCATTCATGCCTTTATACTGGACTTGTTGTCGACGCATCGATAGTTGAGAATAGAATCACCCTATGCTAACACCTGAGTCGTTGCGCTTATAGTGTCCGAGGTGAAGAAGTACCGACCCAAACTTGATCTTGTAGAACCAGCACCAAGATTATCCTCAAGAATGTCGATCCCTTGTGTGACTTCCCCTAAGTTGAACCAGTGTGATTGAGAATCACCGGACTATATGGCTATCTCCGTTTGGTTCAAGCTGTGACGGCTGGACCCGAGGGTCACGGAACAAACGTTTGCAAAATCGAGGCCCACGACACAGCCGAACTGCAGGCCATTTGCATCAAGCCGTCCGTCAGGTAAATCTATACGGGTTGTACAGCGCAGCTCCGTGCCTGACATAACCCAGTCTTTTAATATCTGTTGAAGGCTGATACCATCGGTAAGAATCACGTGTCTCGAAGTGTATCATGCTATACGGCGTCCTTCTGGTCCACTTCGTTTGGATAGCTATTTTGCATAATTTGATCGCTTTCCAAGTCCTGCGTAGTGCTCACCGTCGCTCCCACGGACGATTTCGCCGCGCCAGGTAATGTACATCAATGGTGCGACTGCGGTACAGCAAATTCCTTCTACGATGATCGTTATCACTTCGTTTGGCTACATCCCGTAAGGCTTAAACGTCTACAGATCAAAAACACTCAATTAATACTTGTTATATTCTTGAAACGCTGCATTACTGTATTCGATAAAAAACATTCTGAACAGTGTAAGTTAATGACTGGTTTTTATCGCCTTCGTTATGATATTAACTATTCTACGGTAAAAAATGTTGCTACTGTAGCTACACAACAGGATATGTTTATCTTGAGTTATATATTTCTTTTTTTGATGGACAATTTGCTTATCCTTTCTTACTTATACTACTAGAACGTTTTAAACTGGCTTCAACACCAATAGTTTCTGGACTACCTTCGCCCTACTATCTAGCTTTCCATTATTACAAGAATTGAGACCACTGCACTTTATTTGCTGCCCAAGTAACGTTCAGTGATTACTACTATGGCTTTTCAAGACTACTGCGGACGTGCTTCTGCTCTGAGCTGTTCCGCATCTATATTTGGCGGCAAACCATTTTACTTTGTGGCTTACTACGACCACTCCCACGTTTCGACGCTGGTCTGACCCGTGGCAAATGGATAAAGACATGTCCTTTGGAAAATTGACAAGCTGAGCCGTAAGGATGAGGAATATGACGATGACGAACCAGTGCCTGAAGAAGCCAAACTTGGCAGCGCATCAATAACAGCGGAAGACCACACATCATTCTTGTAGCATTATCCCTACGCATCAATTCCTTACTTCTATCTTGTATATATATTTTTACAACACAGGCCTGTCTTTTCGCCAATACGGTTTGTACAGACAGGGCGCCAGACCACACTTACATTTTTTAAACATACATACCGCAAGGAAGTGACCATATCTCTATTGGGAAAGGTCTTTAAGTCTTCCACAAAAAATTTACATACAGTATCTTTCAATTATTGGGAGAACTCATCCTACTCTACCGATTAAGTAATAAGTGATAATGCAGTAGAGTAAGCACCGCTTACGGATGAGTTAAGATGGACAATACACATTCGACATCATTTATCGATGATCCCTCAAACATAAATCGCAGTTAGAATAACTTTACAAGACCACCCTTTGTATAGACAATGTCTAGTAGTTAGTTACCATTCCCTCTTAATCCACCTACCTGCGTTTGATCAAACTATAAACTTTAATAAGCTCTACATATTAGCCCGAAGTGACATTGCATTCAGGAACATACTACTTAATGCAAAGGTAACTCATAACGCTCGTAAGACAGCATTCATCACCATGACATTCAAAATTCACCTTCCTCATCTTCCTTACTCATCAAAAAATCTTCTATCTGGCATGTCCACTATTCGCCCATCGGTTCATCCAAAAGGATGTATAGACAGAACACCAAACGGTATATTATGGGCTGCTGGAGTTATTCAAATAAGAATCATTTCGAAATTTTAATTTACTGCGCTACAACTTGTCTTTTAGTTCTTTTTTTGTTAGTATATCTCTTGTCTTTAATCTGTCAACAATCGTATTTCCATAACATTCATGAATGACTTTCAGTCTATCATGAGCATTTTTAACAGGAGTATACAAGAGCTAATACAGTAGACTTATGAATGCCAGTACCTTTATATAACATGTCAGCGAGGTGAGAAAAAATGATACCTGCATAATACAGCGCTTTGAACTGATGTGACCCCAATTTTACTGTCCAACGCTGTGGTATGTTACCGATAAGATTGTCTCCAAGTAGGCATAGGAATCTCCTAGACGAGATATTGGGTATTTTTGCTATGCTCAAATCTTATGTATCATACAACAGTTATACGCTCCGCTAAGTCTCAGGTCAAAGATACAACATACGTTATGGCGGCCCATTGTGACTCATCCTCGACATGTAAACCATCACTTTATCTATTTAAGCGCAGCGACCATAAGTGTTTTTCTATTTTGTTACTACCAACCTCTTCTGGTACAGTCAGTATGCATGAAAACGTGTGTCCTTAAAAATCATCTATGCTGTCGTCTTGATCAAAATCCTACGTTGATACTCTCAACAAAATATTGTATTATCCCTTCATCAAGACAGCGTCCCATCTATAACCATAGCATTTTCTTAACTCCATACATCCGAAAGGTACATATTACCGCTTGTAGCCTTTCCGACATCTCAAAGACCTTTCAACACCCTGTGAAAGGCCCAAACCGTACTCTGAGATTTTGAATGTAAACACAGTTCCTTGCTTTTTCTCAAGTTAAAAAGTTATGTTTTATTGAGGAAGACTAATTGAACCGGCGCCGATGGGCATGTGGTCGCTTCCTTGCGGTACAGAATGATGTAAAATATGTATGTAATATGAAGGGGTGCAAAAAGTGAAAACCCCGTTGTGGGGAAAAAGTTATGCTAGTGAAGGGAGAATGGTACGTGTGGTGGAGGGGGAATAAAAGAAGAGAAGAGAGGTATACACGAAAGATGTAAAGTACAAATATGTGAGTTACTAGTGTTCTTGGTTTGTAAGTAGCCAGTGGAGGAGGTTTTAATGCAGCTTCTGGAGCTGGTTCGTCATCGTCGCTATAGGTACTTTCAGGATGACTTGATTGGTCTATTTTCCTGAGGATACGGATTAGCAGGCCAGGCTTTTTCAAATGCCACGGGTTAGCCCAGTGTCGAAGCAAGGAATACTAATCATGCTGTGATTTATCGTCAAGTTGTTCATAGATAGTGCTAGTATCGTGCCGAATGCTTCAGTGAGCTCCTTCAGTTTTTTATTTAGTAGCAGAGGACAGCTAGCGAAATGTTCACGTTTGGCTTCCGCTATCCTACAGCTTGCTTTTTTTTATGATATCTTTCATTGACACGGAAAGATGCACAAGCGGATCACTCACGTGCAGTGCTTAAGTATGTACTGTATTGGAGAAAAATCGATTCATTTTCCGTTCATGCAAAAAGTAGCATGTTATGCAGCAAAGAAGACGAAAACGCTCATAAGAAAAGATCACCGCACCGCATTCATGAAAAAGAAAACATATACGCATACAATTATAATATCTTCCGGTCCAGCTTCCTGGACTGCTGGATTAGCGAGTGCCAAAATAAAGATCAGAGGGTGTAATTCTTTTGTAGCCTTCATTCTCTGTATAGTCAAGTTCTTGATGTTGGGTTGCCTATGACAGACTCATGCGTTACACAGAACAAGTAGTTGCTAGATTGTTTTTATGCACATGCGGCCTGTGTTATACACCTCTTCTAAATCCAAATGCTTATCTGCCACTCTTGATCTATGTAAGGTATAAGACATTTATATGTATATCTACAACGAAGTAAGAAAGAAGAAGGACGGAAACCCTGAAAATTCGACGATGTATGAAACTCTAGTAACTTAAGAGACATGTAAGCATAAGGCTACAGTATCTTTCTCGATTGGCGGACAGCTCTATTGACGAACAATCAGTAAGTATAATTATATGCGGTGCGCACTGCATCAGTGAGGAAATTTGCACGCAATAACAAGCGAGATAGTAAGAGAGAGGGTTAGCGATCGGATCAGGAAAAGAATCTTGATATTTTGTTGGTTTTGTTTATTTTGAAATGTGTGTGAGTATGGGTCCCTGAAGAAAGCAGAGGGGTTAGGTTTCTGGGGTGAGTAGTAGGTTGGAAGAGTACGTTACTGCATACCTATATAGCAACAAACAGAGAGATACAGACAAGCTACATACAATAGGCTTTCCAGCCATTAACAGCATTAATGAAAATACTCATACATGTCCTCCTGGTCTATTCAACTATTTCATTAATTTGATGCACTCCGGGAAGCTGGGTAGTAAAAACGAGCGAGAAACCGTAGAAAAAAATAGCGACCAAGCGAGTTCTTTTGACTATACATAATGCAGCATAATATAGAGAGCTGCTACACATGCGTACCACATCAGAGATCAAAGAAGGAGTTGTTCCTTCTCTGACTTATTCTGCCAGGGGTAAAAAGTTGGGGCTAATAATGAGGGGCGCATGTGGTCTTCTCTCTTCCCTGTGTTTGCTGGAACTTACTATCTTTAGTCGCACGATATGTACGTGCTGTCATCATCATCTCATGTTACAAAAATCAAGTACCTTTTCCTGTCACATCATTTACCACCATTTTGTTAATGAGTCATAGAACGAATACTAGTGAACATTTACACACATCACAAAACGTGATAGTTCCCATTACTTTGAGACCCTGCCAGTTTCCTGATACATATTTCAATAGATCTTTCTTTTGTCTTGATAAGACGGCGGACGATGAAATGACTTTCAGTTCTTTTCACCTTCACGGGCACCGTGATCGGCTATTTACATGGTTTTTGATCGACATAGCAGCTAGCATACGCAGATGTAACGCTTCTCTTTGTAACACATACATAATACATGGCGCTTTTTCGTAAATCGGGTGCATAAGGTGCATACATGTAGTTAGTGAGATCAGTAACCCAACTAAATACATCTTTTCGCGTTGTTTGCCACCCAGCAGTAGGATCGTTGTAGAATAATCGAAATATGGCATTGCTTCGTAGTTGTTCATAAATAGAAATAAAAATAAGGAGAGAATACAAACGTGAATCTGTCCGTAATAGTATCTTGTGGCACAAAGAGGGAGGAGAGCAAGAAAAGGGAAGGGGTAGGTTGACAAAAAAGAAACATCGCCTACAAAAATAATGTCGTAGTGATACCGCCGCCTGTTTGGTTAGGGGGGGTGGAGGACGAGATTGCGGATGGTAAACATCTACCCTGTACGCTTTCTTTTTACCTTTTTGCACTACCCCACCCCCGAATACACATCAGCAAAAGGAAAAGGGATCAAGATGCAGTGACGAAGGAAAGGCAATCAACGCACTACCGCGTGACTTATCAAAGGAATTTAACTTATTGTTTGCCAAAAGTTTCGGTGTTTTTCCCTTTTTCCCTTTTCCCTTACTTATACATGTCAACGCCGTCAAGGAAAAGCAGCTCTCCTAACAACGAGCAGCAACAGCCACCTGACGAGAGTAGCAGCTGCCAGCTAAAATCATCTGACGCTACCTCCTCGTCACTTAATCTCGATGGCATAAATTATACACATCCACCCACACGGCCCAGACCGTGCAAGCGACTTCCCAGCAGACGTAATGGAACAGAAAGCAACAGCAGTCGTATAAGCTGGGGCTGGTCGACATGGTCGCTCAAGCAACAGCGACGTAAGAGCCATTCAGCACTCCCAATGCTCTTTCAGCAACGACGACGCACGTTTCCACCACCATCACGGGTGCTTGAAAATGAAAAACGACGGTTCACTTACGGGGCAGGCAGCGGGAAAAAGAAATTTGTTCGGATCAGGCGAAGACATAGTCTGGCAGGGATCTTGTCCACACTCAAAGGCAATGGCAGCAGCAGTCGAAACCAGCAATCCGGCAACAAACATTTATCTGTACGATCATCCATGGTGCTTCACATTTCTGACGAAGACGCAGCAGCAACAGACGTGCCTGAAATCCTTTACGGCGACTGCATTATATCAGAAAGCATGTTTTCAACACAATCATCCAGCTGTCAATATTGCAATAGTTACATTGGTAATAGTACACCCAACAATAATAGCTCAACATGTCCACACTGTCATAATCAACGCCACCACCGTAACTATAACAACATCCACCCACCACCTTCTTCTTCATCGTCTGGATCACGACCACAACAGCGCGGGCGCCTGTACACCGAAGGAAACTGGTTCTATAGCTGGGTGCAGCACCATCCACGCCGTAAAAAGAACAAACAAAGACTCATTCGCAAAAACAGCAGTAGTAACAGCGGCGGTACGAACAATACATCAACGAAAAAGCATACGTTCATCCGGCCACCGACGATATCCGATCTTTCGTCTCTGTCAAACCCGCTGTCCAAACTCGATTCCATCATCCATCGCAACTACCCACACCGATTCTCGGCGTTCTGGTTTGACACCCATGGACGTTCGGGCAAACAGCAGGTGCACGTTGACGGCAAAGGCACGGTTGCAGAAATCCGTCATGACACACAACGTTGGCGCTGCTCTCCTTCCACGGTCCAATCATCCATATTCCTGTTTGGCTTTCTATTTTTTCCATTGTGGTGGGTCGGAGCATGGATGTATCTTCGGCATCCTGCTCGCACGTCAAAACAGCACACTACAGAATCTCAATCGTCGTTATCGTTTGCAGCTCCTCGTTTCATCGGCATGTTAAATTGCTGGATGAGTTGTTTTAGCGTGGTTGTTGTTCCTGTTCTCGTCGGCTTGGGCGTCTGGTATCATTACGCCGTACGTAATATGTAATACTCGTGTATAAAAAGAAGGGTAAAGATCCTCCCAGTAAAAAAGACCATATATACAAAATACAATATATAATACGTAGTTCGTGCTTTTTTTTGTTCTTGCTAAAAATGTATTTGAAAAAGAGTAATTATTTACATAAACGATTTGTTGTAATCATGAAATGCATATTCGTGCGTGTGTGAGTATGTGTATGTGTATGGACTTTTTTTTATGGTTGTGGGTCGACAGTGGTATTTAAGCACGGTTTCCTCTCTTGCTACGTTCCAGGGCTAATAGAAAACATACAGTTTACACATTAGATTGACTCAGCTTTTCAACGGGGTACCCATCTTTTGTTAACTTACGATTATAATGCAACAGCTTCTCAATCAAGTCGACATGGGTTAGGACCATGCGTCTGCAGCAGTAACGCTTGAGACCAAGGGCATCGAGTGCTTCACTGTTTAAGCAATGAAAGGAATGAATCTGACTGTTAGAATCAAACCACTAAACATACTAGAGTAAGAAAACACTTACCCTTCGGTGTATTCGGCTTGCAAAAGAGACAAGTAATTGTCCCACTTGTTGCCGATGACTTTGCCGCAGGAGAAGCAGCGGACAGGAATAATCATTGTCGATGTGTTAAGGAAGTTGAGGTGGATAGAATGCAAGCCTTAAAACGGTGAATGACGACTCAAACTCCTCCTTGTGGCTTAGCTTTCAAAACCCAATTTGGGAAATGGCAGCAATCTCATGACAGACTAGAATACAGTGGTAGCCCTTAATTAACTTTTTCCCCTCGACATGAGCATATGAGATAGCGATGAGAAAGAACGATGCTTATGCAGTTAAACTTGTCGCATGGTATCTTATCTTTCCCACCGTCATCTTGGAAACAGTAGCCTTGATAAATTCAACTCCACAGCAGCACAGTGAAGGTCATACTATAACCTACTGGAAATATTAAGTATACAAGTGGCAATACTTGCAGTAAGATTACTTTACACTTCTGCGGCATAGTATATAGGAAATAGCTGCACTGATTTGGACATTTTTCGTTTGTCGAGTAACTCTCTCCTTAAAATGAAGATACAAAACATTATTCCAAAGTGGGTGCGCTATCGACAATTTGTGTGGTTTATTATATATAGAGTGCTCACATAGATAAAAGAAGAAGAGATAGAAAGAAAGAGAGAGGGAGAGAGAGAGAGTGTGTGTGTGTGTAGGGTGGACAATTAAAAGAATGTGTGTGTGTGTTTTTAGAATAACGAACCAGTCTGCTGATTGTGGGCCTGCTGTCCAAAACCGTTGTTGAATCCGGTTACTTGCGGTTGTTGTAAGAATGGAGAGGATTGCTGTTGCTGGGGTTGTTGACCACCAAATGCCATTCCTGTCATTTGAGGCTGCATACCCGTCATTTGAGGCTGTTGCATACCCGTCATCTGTGGCTGTTGCATGCCCATCTGAGGAATTTGCAGTGACTGTTGCTGTTGCTGTTGCTTTTGTTCTTGCATCAGTTCAAGCAGGCTCTTTTGATTGTTGGTTTTTGGCGTAGCGGCCGCTAGTGACGGACTAGGCTGTCCAAATGGATTTCGGCTTGCTTGTTGGCCGAACGACTGAATACGGATGTGCCATTTGTCAGCTTCCAAGAGTAACTACGTAATCTATATGGAAGATTAGGGACTTACATCAGCAAAGCTTGATTGTGTGTTGCTGGTATCTTGTGTTTGGTTTCCGTTGTTTCCAATGTTCAAAAGATCGCCAGTGCTGCTGCTAGTGTTACCGTTGGGCGCACCAGTAAATTCAGGCTTGATAGAGTTGGCGTATCCAGATCCCCTTTATTGAGACAATTACGTTAGGTTTTCCATTCGTTACGTCTCTCTATGTGATTTAAAACTTACATAGGGAACCGCAAGTTGCCAGTATTGCCGAATGTGTCCATACCATCACTAGTAAGAATATAGATATCAGTATTTCAGTTTTATCCCACCGAAAAAAGCAAACTTACTCCTTGTTGGCAAGAAGTTGGTTCAACTTGGCATAGCGGCCATCACCCGCTGGGCTGGAGGATGCCTGTGTTCCCGTCGGCTAATCAAAAAATTTGAAGTAAGCAAAATTGCGCACGGACCATTATTGTTGATCTCCGATTCTTTACCCAATATACTATACACGTACTTGCATGGAAGGTGAAGAGGGGAAGCTGAATGACCGAGACTGACCAGCAGCGGACGGGTTAGCGTTGATGTTGGCGGCAGAAAGGGAAGGCGAGCGATTGGCGAGCGATGATGATGTGATGGTAGGTGAAGCTGATAGGGTCTGGCCGAAGGTTGTTGAGCCAAAGGCAGCAGATGGCTGCGAAGTCTGCGAAGCTGAGCCAAATTGGCCAAACGGATTGTTCGATGCAGCTGTCATTTGAGGCTGTTGGAAACCAGTCACTGTGCTTGTCTGGAACGGCGCTAATCCGGTCATTTGGCTTTGTTGAGGAAGACCGGTCATCTGTGCCTGCAAACCTCCTGCAAATCCGCCACCTGAGCTGAGTTGCTGATATGGGTTATTCTGCAGTTGCTGTTGCTGCTGCTGTTGTTGATAAGGGTTGTTCATCATGCCAGTGTTCTGGAAAGCCAATTGAGGGTTTCCAGCAGCGATTGGATCTCCAAAAGTCATGTTGGTCATGCCAGTCATCTGAGGCCATTGCTGTTGCTGCTGCTGTTGTGGCTGCTGCTGGTAAGGGTTGAGAGAAGCATCGAAAGACTGGTTTTGCGGGAAAGGATTGAAGCTACACAAAATACATTGAGTTATAAATTTCGGCGTTTTCCCGCTTTTTTGAATTGCCCTATACCAACCTGGCAGCCTGTGAGTTGTTGTTGCTGTTATTGTTTCCAAACAGTTTCTCTTGGTTTTCACGTTCAAGCTTCTCTTTTTGCTTTCGCTCTTTCTCTTGAGCTTCTTGCTCACTGAGTCGGATTGCCTTGGCTAAGTCCTCATCGCTAAATATAGAAACAAATTTCAGCATCTATCACATATGCATGCATACAGCAAACTGTCATTTTACCCCTCTTTTTCGCGTCGCTTTTTATCTTCTGCTTCTGCCATACGACGACTTTCTTCAAGAGCACGCTGGAGCTCTCTATCTTCGTTATCACCTCTTGGTCCCCCGTTCTGCGGATCACCTTGAGGCCCACGTGAACTGCCTCCAAAATCGTTGGGACCAGGTCGAATACCCATGGCGTCATTCATGTAGTCGTTGACACCAGCCATTCGATCACGCATCTGTTGTCTCTGACGTCGTTCATCTTTCAATCGTGCATCGTCGGTTAGCAAGTTGGTGATATCCTTGGCCTTTTGGCGAACTAAATTGTTGAGCAAATAATTGATATAGATGATGTACGAGTTAGGGTTTGGGGATAAACGCATTTTCTTTCTATAACAACTATTCTATCGCCCCTTCTCCACTCCTGCTCCCTCTTTCTCTTCCTAGCTCCTGAAAGAATTTTTTTACCGTTTGCGCCAACATCACGGCCATTGTCGTCGACATGCTGGAATTCCTTAAGGGTTTTAATAACGTAGATGTTTTCCTTGGCGTACAGAACGACATTCTCCGATCCCACGTGTAGACAGTAATCCAGCAAAAGAAGAGCCTATAGCAAGTCTTTCAGTAAATGCAAGCGCATAATCTCAATTCTAACTTTCAATTGCTCGGTATATTTTTCTACATACCTTGAAGACATGGCGCCAATTCTTTCCCTTATCGTTGAGACGCTTATCTATCATGTCCATAATCTCGATAAAGTCATGTCTAAAAGTGATACGAGTGCGGCATAAGTATAAAAAATGCAGGACAAACGATAGGAACCAATAATAGGAAACAATAATAAGGGCCATAGAAACATGAGTGTACCCATGTAGCACAGGGAAAAAAGGGCCGTTTTCTCTCTTTGGCGACAAAGGGAAAATATAAAGTAAAAATGGTTCTGGGTGTTCCTGGCTAGAGCCTTCGATTTCATTCTAGCAACTATAAATAAATCACTTACTGATTGAATGTCAATTGCGCAATTTCGTTCATCAACGTCCCGCTTGGGCCCCAGGGATCATTAGAAGTTGCTTCGCGAACTTTTCGTTGCACATCAGAGAATCCCTTGGCGTAGTTTTTTCTAAAGAGTTTGGGTGAAATTCGGGGGTTGGTTTGGAAGGTTGTGGATGAATAATTCTGCTACTGCCCCGCGATATATATTTACTGCCGGAATGTACAGAAGCTCCTCCTGCCCCATCCGATGAATATTCAGTAAATGGCTTACATGCTTCGAACGACGCCCTTGCCAGTCATGATCGTTACTCGACTGCTGCTTTTAAAACAAGTAAAACGATCGAATGTGAGAACACGCAGGGCGAGATGGCCAGCTTTCTATTGTACTTTCCACGCGGAGTTTTTGCTTATTGCACCCAATATGGAAGGCTGCAGCCTGATACGTACGAGTGAGCACGCGAGTAAAAACCTTCACTCACAACAAGCACTTAAAAAACGCCCAGGGGAATTCGTAGGTACGATTTACCTTTAAGAGGATGACGCTAAAATATTATATAATGGAAAATCAGCCTAATGAAGGGTCGTGTATTGGGCCTCTTTAATTTGCTTATTGTATTGCTAGCCACTCTTTACACTCAATTGAATTTCTTATACAAATTATTACTAGTTAGCTGATGTATCAAAAATGAAAATTTAGTTTTTAAACTGTACATACGCTTACATACATCGGAAGAGAGAAAGAAAGAGAGAGATATCGGTCCATCTTCACGTTTCCGACCACAGCTCTAAGTTTTTCTTTTACAGCATACAGTATCTCAAACCTGAAAGTGTGATAGTTCATAGCCTGTATAGATATCATCAAAGCAGCGCATAATCATAATCGTAATATCTTGGTGTACAGCGATGCATAAACCGATGGTCTGTCTCAGAAAAAAGGGGAGCAGCGACAATAAATGATGGTACTAACAGCCATACTACGCATAAGCGAAGAAGCTGAGGCACAATAGACTTAGGATGCTCAGTTGTCAAAAATTGACCAACTGTAAAAAGTGTACAGTTGCAAATACCATTAATACAGATAAAGGAGCGTAATCCTCATTGTCAATTACCTTTAAGAAGAAGGGTCAAACTCTTTGAGATATATGTACCAGATGATGTTATGAGAAACAACATCATCAATACAGCTTACTGGGTTCTCACCCGAGAAACGTACTGTATATAGATTATTCTATTGTTCGATCAATCTAGTTGTTAAGCTCAGCGCTATGACAAGATGAATATCTCTGAAGTTTGGTCTATTATGAGATTATACCCGCTAGTCGAAGAATAGTCGCTTCTCACGGCAGGGAAATTTTTTAACTTTCATAAGATATGTTGCTTTTATTCCATCTAATGCATTGTCGATTATATCGTACATCACAGTTATTGTTGCCTGCAGTATACTTCTGAAACTTTTCGTATTAATTGCCGTTGATATAACAATCAAAATAAACCTTACTAGCTGAGATGCATAATAGTTGTGCATATCAGCACAAACAAAAAAGAAATAGATTCTAAATAGAATTTACGTAACCCTATCTTTCCTTTTCAATCATAGGCTGAGGACGTTATCATTGGGTTTACTTCTTACGCGTCATTATTGCTGAGGATAATATATGCTAGACAAAACTGCCATTTATGTAGCTACAACAAGATACATGGACATACCATAAAATATTCTAAGATGCGGCTATTGTTCGGAATCTTATATTGCCAAGGTTAATTATAAGCACGGTATATGCACAGCTAGTACCCATGTACTAATCCATTTTAAGGCCGAAGCCAGAAATACAAAGGACGATGAGGAGGGAGTCACGCTTCATATTCATATTTCATTATAAAGACCAAAGTAAACAAATAACAACGCTTTCCTGTTTCTTTTAACCATCAATCATGGCGATGTTGGATCCTCTTCCTTTTATCTCTCGCCGCTCTGTTGTGTACGGAACCCATGGAATGGTTGCTAGCTCGTATGTTCAATTATAACGTTGAATTCCTATATAGAAAAACACGTAGTAATCTAACCCGCAAAACTCGACTCTATAAAATATGTTTAGGCAACCACTTGCAACACAGGCCGGTATACAAATTCTTCAAAGTGGTGGAAATGCAGCTGTAAATGTCCAAAAGGATCCTAGGATTGTGACCTTGATTGTCTTATCTACTTGATATTAATATAAAGATTCATTTTGTTGTCAGGATGCTGCTGTTGCTGTTGGTAATGCATGATTACTGTTCTTGGAGAAAACCCCATTTTTTTGTATACTAACTGTATCCGAAAAACCTCAGCCGCCGCTCTCAACGTTACAGGTACCAAATTGTGCAGAAAAAACAGCATCACTTGTACTTTTCTTACTCACCGTTTCTTGTGGATACAGAGCCTGCAGCAACAGGTATCGGAGGAGATGCGGCTTGTCTGTTCTATAATGCCAAGACCCAAAAAGTTGTCGCCTTGAACGGTACTGGAAGGTATTGCGCTTGTGGGCGACGTTATATGATAGATGAAGGAGAAGAAAAAAGAATATTAATACATCGTCTTGTAGATCCCCGGCCGCGCTGACGCTTGACTATTTTAAATCACACTGTAAAGGTTCTTCGATTCCTGAAACTAGCATACACGCTGTCACTGTTCCTGGAGCAGCGGCTGCGTGGGTGGATCTTGTAGACCATTTTGGATCTGGAAAACTGGATATGAGTGCTATTTTGCAACCTGCAATTGGTTTGGCAGAAAACGGGTAATTAAAAATTACACTATACCGGGTGAGATGGTTGCGAGGATACGAAGCTAATTGCTGGCATATGTTTATAAAGGTTTCCTGTATCCCATTTTGGTTCCAGACTGGTAAATGCTGCGAAATGTGGATCACCTTTTTCTTTCTTTTCATGATACTAACAAAGATGCTGCATAGTGGAACAAAGCGGCAAAAGGCTTGAAAGAGAAGAACGGAAATAAAAACGATTTCTTGTTTGATGGAGTTCGTGCGCCTTTTGAAGGTGAAATCATGCGGCTGCCCGATCTTGCAAAGTATGTATCATCTTAGCTATAGTGAGTATATCTTGTATCTAATCTTTTTTTTATAATACTTGGTATCCTACGCCATGTAATAGTACTTTCAAAACCGTAGCCGCTGAAGGAAAAGATGGATTCTACAAGGGTCGCATTGGTGATTCTATCGTTCAGGCTATTAGGTCTCGCGGAGGTCTGATGACACACGAAGATCTTGCTTCACACACATCCGATGTTATAGAGCCCATTTCACTCGATTACCATGGCTGGACTGTGTGGGAAATCCCACCAAACAGCCAAGGCATTACAGCACTCATTGCGATTGGAATTATTCGAGCTTTAGAAGAAGAACATGGATTAGACCTTTCAAAACTTGGGCATAACTCAGCGGAATACTTGCATGTCGTCATAGAAGCACTACGCTTGGCATTTGCTGACACTCGATGTTGCGTGACCGATCCACAAGTCTTGTCAGTACCAACTGAAAAGCTATTAAGCAGAGAGTATCTTTCTAAACGTGCCAAGTTAGTGGATATGAAAAAGCGCAACAGCAAAATTGTGCAAGGATACCCAGACCATAAAAAGGATACGGTATACTTCAGCGTTGTCGATAAGGAGGGCAATGCTTGCAGTTTTTTGGTAAGTAATCTGATATAATATGAAGACGAAATATTCATGAATTATAACTGACAGCACATGCATTTCATACAATATCAGAACTCGAACTTTGATCACTTTGGCGTAAGTTCTCTTTTAGAGTAGCAAGGCTAACAGGGACACATTGTCTGATTCTTTACTGTATTACACCAGTCTCACATTATTCCTGATCGTTGCGGGTTCACTTTGCACAATCGGGGTTGCAACTTTATGGTTGACAAAAACCACCCCAACTGCATTGGACCCAAAAAGCGTCCGTACCATACAATCATACCATCCATGATTACACGCAAGACACCCTCTGGTGGTCATGAGCTCGAAGCTTGTTTTGGCGGTACAGTAACTGGTTTATTTACATAATCTACACTATGGTCTCCTGGCAATAGACTAATGCAACTTACTGTTATCTAGTGGTTGGTGGCTATATGCAGCCTCAAGGACATGTTCAAATTATCATGAATATGTTGCACTTCCTTACAAATCCTCAACACCTCGTTGATCTCCCCAGAATTTGTATCGCTCCTCCGGAAGATGACGGAGCACCAAGTGAAACCAACGTATTTACAAATATGAACGACTCTGCAGTATATGTCGAGGATGGCATTTCACCAAAAGCAATCGAGCAGCTAGAAGCTATGGGTCACACCTGCTATGTTGTCAACGGATATCGTCGTACAATGTTTGGCCGCTGTCAGATAATCCGAGCAAAAAAAGATACTCGTACTGGTCAAGTAGTTTTGGCTGGTGGCAGCGATCCTCGTGGTGATGGCCAAACTGTAGGCTTGTCCAGTTTTGGGGTAGCAAAACTTTAAATAGATACAAAGTAACGCGCGTATGCAGATAAGCGACGAATGTAAAGAGGTGTTGTTGACAGTGATGTTCATAAATAGATATCATATCAGACAAAACTGTATGTATTATCTCACATATTTACTATCTACCGCATCAACGTGGCCCACAGAGCAGGAAATGTGTTTGCAGTCTGCAGTATGCACATGCTCGCTGCAGATCACCCTCTTAGCATATGCGCCAATCATCGGTAAAAAGTAAAATGCGCAGAAATTGGACTATGCCGACCGATATTTCTGAATAGGCGGGCGAAAGCCGTAGTATATGGACATACGTGTAACGTATAGGCATATACACATAACGACCGGACCTATTCTTTTTTTAAGGTTGGGAGCGTATATAAGCCTATATCATAAATATGAATAATAGGTAGATTTTGGCTCAATAAGACATATGTATTCTTTGGTCAGATTTTAAAGAAGGTTACTTTAGATGTGTTCATAAGTGCCATGGATTTAACTACACTTCGAAAATCATATAGATTGATCCAGTGCAGGAAGTTTTCGTCAAGCATGTTTCCTACAGTATCGAAGCCAACGTCGTTGCGACAAACTATTTGGATCAAGGACGAGGTGGCAGTGATGCTCCACCATCCCAAGCGTATTCCATACACCTTCCCTTTATATGACGTAGTGACAGCAGACTTTGCACAAACGTCTTAAAGAAGATAGTACGTAATGACGATGGGCAGTGTAGAAACTCAACTATAAATTGACAAAAGCCGAGGGGTTTCGTCGTAAAGATACCTGAACAAATCAGGAACAACAAATCTATTGTTGAAAACAAAACCACAAGAAGCATGTAAGTTCCGTTGGGCTCCTTGCTGTGGCTGTAATATTATATCTGCGTACACTTCGGTGCTGGAATTGCTGGCACTACTGACATTAGTTTGCAACTGTTCCACCGTTACGTAATCTTGGTGCTGATGCCAGCCTCTGACTGCAGTAACAATGGTAGATAGTGACCAAGCCAGAGATGAATAAGTTAAATAAGTAATCATCGTGATCGAAACCGCTTTTATACGGAATACACATTACAACACATACAAGCAGTTTCCATTCGTTGTGTCTGTTGCGTTCGTTCATATCGCTGTGGAGTAATAACAGTTTGTATGATGATATTGGACAAAGTCTTCCGTATGTACTTTGCTAGATCGCTCGAGTCAACAATGGATAACCCAACTATATTACAGTATAGACAAGTACAGAGATAAGAGGAATCTCTTATGCTATACGACATTTTTTCACCGTATATATGTCTATAGCTGTACTAGGAAAGTCTATATAGATCAATATAGAATACTTCGTTTTGCCGATGATGCTGGGAAATTTCGGGACTGAACAGCAAAAACAAAGATGTACATGTTGCTTTGTACATGGTAAATAAAGCTATTGTTGCCACAGTTTCGTCAGGAGATCCTGTATTAACAAAGCAGCAAATAATAAAGAAACAAAATAAACAAACAAATGGAACACTTATTCTTCCCAATACAAGAATTAGGTGCAATCATCTAACCAAACACATTGCTATTTTCAGCCACCGCTATAATTTATAGTGCACCAATGTATTGGGCAGATCGTGTTCGAGATGGCACTACTTTGACAACAAATAGAAAACCGACATAGTGATTTAATACGACCCGAGCCTTTAATCCCCCATAGTGACGAAAGCAGCCACTGATTATGTAGCCGCTATGGAATGCTCTTAAAAAGAGCCACAATTATAATGAGGTTTATAAGTATCGTAACACCGCATGTTTTTCTTGTTCAAGCTTGGGCTGCAGATGATGCATGACATACATAGTTACATATACGGTGCATGAACTAAGAAACAACCGTTATAAAATGCAGTAGAGACGCCTGTTCTTTGCCCAACATAAGGACTTATACTGCAGTACCACCCGGTATTATCAGTATTTTCTTTTACGAATTAAACACTAAACCAGCATATTGCTTCCATCATGGAGTCTAACGACGACAGTGTAAAAAAAACTGTGTGCAACAGAAGTAACGAGAAACACAGCAATGATACGGCTCGCAGTTTAACAGAAGGTCAAGAGAAAAGTATAGGTATAATAGTTTCAAAAAACCTCTTATCGAATTGAAATTGAACAATCACTTGTTTTTGCTAATCTTTATTAAAGACAAAATTCACAGTAATCTACAGATGCATACGCCCGATGTTGAAAGAGACCGAGGCGCATCTACTTTGAATATACAACTGCACGAAGACAATCTCAAAGAAGGCCATAAAGTCGACGAGTTAAATTCGACTGAATCACCTCACCAAAGCCAAAAATTCTCGAAAGCAAGAAAATGGTTCGTCTACGCCATTGTGATCATATCTCAGATTCTGTAAGAGCTTATAATATTTATAGTCATGGCCCCCAAATTGTGTTTGATTTTACTGGCATACTAATCTTCAACTATATACAAGTGTTCAAGCAATGGCAAATATTCTTGTATGTCAACAGACTATCACCTTTTTATGTTTGAGTGGACGGCACACGAACACAGCGAGTTGAAAAAAATATATCTTTGTTAGCTACCTGCGTTACCTGCGATACAAAAGGATTTGAAAACGACAGAAACCATTGCAAACATCACAGGTAAATATATTGCAGATGTGCACATATGACTCGTCTTGTTTCTGAAGTATTCCTAAAGCTTATGATGGATAGTGTCGCTTCAATCTTTAACGACTGCCTTACTGGTAAGTCTTATTTTCAATTGTCTTTCGAGATTTTTTCCTCTATTTTAACATGCTAATGATAACGTTTTCCATTACTTTAATCCTATCGGTAATCTTTAGTCTGCTGTGTGGGCATCATATGCAGATTATTATGGTATATTTCACCAACAACTTCTACAAATATAGCTTATATTTGATGCCAAACATTCTTACTAACCGCACTTTTTCTTAAGGGCGTAGACCTGTGTTCACTGTGTCTAACATCTTTTTAATTATCGGAAACATTGGTTCAGCACTATCTATCAATATTGGGATGTTAATTGGTTTTCGCGTTACGATGGCTATCGGTTCTGCCGCTGTATGTTGTTGTTCGTCCGTTGTATCGAGAAGTGATGTATCACAAACCTTTACTCAGAAGACGTGTCACTGTATAGAGCAATGCGCTGGGTGCTGGAATAATCATTGATGTTTTTGAGGACCACGAAAAGGGCAAAGCACTCTCCTGGTATGCTTCTGTACTTTCGTACTGTGCAGCCATTGCGTAAGTGTTTAATTGTGTACTAGTCAGTTGTAGGCCATATTTGCTAATGAATAGATATACTATCTATATTGTGTAGCCCTTTACTTGGCGGTGCAATGGCACAGTACTTTGGTTGGCGAAGCATTTTTTGGCTTTTTGTAATAAGTCACGGTCTATTAGGGCTTATTATCCTTTTCTTTCTTCCCGAAACCAACCACTATGCCCTTCAAAAACAAATTGATCAAGAACAAATTGACGATGCTGTCGACGCAGAGATTTCCACCAGCAGCAAGAAAAAATCATGGGAAAAAATGATCAATCCGTTCTCTTCATTGAAACTGCTCAGATTCCCAAATATGCTACTCTGCTGCCTATACCTGGGAGTTATGTATGTATCGTTTGTAGACCATATGCGTATCGGTGCCATGCAGAAATATATAATTGAAAGCAATCACTCATTCATCTTACTAAACGGTTGGTTGATAGGGGCTTCGGTACCAATGCACTTAGCATTTCTTTCACATGGGCGTACAGCACCCAATATCACTTTTCATCGACAATGGTTGGACTATTTTATCTTGCTGGAATAGCAGGAAATACAGCAGGTACATACTTGGGTGGTCTAGTGTCAGACCGTATCTACATGCATCGAGTCGGCAAGGCAAAGGAAGAGGATAAACAAGTCTATCCAGAAATGAGGCTGAGCCAATCCGTATTGTTTGTGGCAGCTTTTTCAACGGCTGCCTTATTTTCCGCGTATGGATGGTTTGTTCAAAAGGATGTGCACTTTTCGGCAGGAATTGTCTGTCAAGGTCTTGGTAAGAGCTCTATTTCGTTTTTGGATTGAACGCTTAGGTATTTGTATATACTCAAAATGCCCTAAGAAAATTGTATATACTCAAAATGTAATTTATTATGTATTTCCGTATGATCGCAATAAGTTTTATTTGGACCTTCTCTGGCAACATCGTTGCTGAATGTATATGCTGTACAATCCTTTCCAAAACACGGCTCTTCCGCTCAAGGTACGTAGTATCACTGCTCGCATCTTATCTTTGACCGGAGTAACAGACGAATCATAAAGGCAGCATTTTATCTAACTGTATGTAATTGTGACACAGCATGCATTCAGACGATCAAATGCATTCTGCTTGCTGCAGGGAGGGTGGGCGTTACTCCTCTGCAAAACCTTCTTGGCTTTGGCGTTCTTTTCACCATTATTGGGGGTGTGCTACTTACCACAAGCCCATTTGTTACCTATGTAAACCGTAACCGTGAAAAATGGAAGATATTGCGGGAATCAGCACGATAGTGCCTATGTAATGCTCCTGTCTCGTGGTGCCGACCTGAGCTACATGTGCTGTAGTAACTAGAAAAGTCTTTGAAATCTGAAATAAAGCAAAGATAGACACCCAGATGATATCATTCTTACATTTTAATCCAGCAAACATCCGCCATGCCTTCTCTTGTCCGATGTAGCCTAGCACATCTACTATGTCGTGATTTATCCCGCCGTGTTATGCGATACAGCCGCGCTTTAACCTGTCTCATCTTTTCCTTGCTACTTCCATTAAAAAAAACCTTTTGCGTTACCAAATTCATATATACGGTTGATCGATGGACAAAAAAGAGTTATAAAACCAGTACAGCTTTTCTGCTGCAGCTTCTGCTTAATTTTATATTCAAGGTTTTAACTTAGCTATCACCATGGTTGCTATGTACCATACGATACTGATATTGATATCAAGAAAACGAGATGAAAGTGGACGATGTGTATGAAAAATTGTATCCGACGAGTGTAGTAGCATTACTGGTGGTGTCCGATCACTTGTATCAATGACCAAAAGAAAAAATATACGACAGGTACAGTACCTAATGAAAATTTATCTGTTTCATGAATTCTTTTCATGGTATCGAATCCTCCAACCTCTACTTCGGCCGTCACCGTAGCCAATCAAAAAGCAACAGTGAAAAAGGTCAAGGGAAGACATCGCAAAAACATTCAGCAAGAAACCATTGTTCTAAAAAAAAAGAGTTTGTTACTATTGCTAAAACCTCAGTTGCTTTCGATATCTAACCATGAATATCAAAATCCATAGGGTCTCATCGAGTGTATCGAGATCCAGATTTAATCCAACTTACCGACAGAATCCAAAACGTTACCTTGAACGGTGCAGAAGCTAGATGCGACCTCTTAATCCCTGAACGAACTGCACAGGAGATACTGGAAACGCTTTGCTGGCGGTGAACCGATCTCCCGAGCACAACGGGCAAGTCTCCCGGTCCTCTACCGACGTTAACACCAGAACATATACCACACTCCTTCACTTGTATTTATCAAATACCCAGATTTATTGAAGAATATAGAATAGACGACGTCTCTTCCACGGATTTGTTGAAAGAGCCCTGCGCGTGAGTATCCTCCGTAGTCATAGAGAGCCTTCTGTATACTTATATGTAGCATTTTACGCGTAGTGTTCGCATATCCCCTATTGTATTGCTTTGCACTGTATTTTCCCCTGGGTTGTATCTCGATTCTCAGTGAGAGTTGCTGTACGATCATATCAATCTCAGACAGTTACTCAGGTAGTTATGTAATAGTTTGTTGTATTGTCGTATCCCCTATATTTGGCTCACACAGCAGGGCTTTCCTGCTCAGGTCCTGTCGCTGTCACAGAATTTCCCTCGGCATTACAGCGTGAAATCCGAGACGGCGAGGACAAGGTTGTAGGCTACTCCCAATAAGGCAGTCCGTTTGAACGGATTGCCAGAAAGGGAACATGTGAATAATGTGGCACAAGGGAAACAAAACAACCCAAACTCCTGCTTTCTTTGTCAACGAATCTGTCAACAGTGAAATTTTGAGGACGGCATTGCGCGAACTTGGTATATTATCTGTTTTTCTGACAAAAAAAGCAATAGCAATAGATATGATGTGTTGAACAGCCGCTTATTTTTCTTATGTAAAGATCATGCAACGGGTCACTAAGTGGACAGTGTTCAAAGAACATTCACCTCTTCCAGGATCCTGAATCTGCTTTAGTTCACCTTGGTTTCCACAACAGTAGTGTAGGCCAAAATGAGCAACCTGCGGCAACAACAGCAAACGAGCCTCTTCAAGTAGAAGGGTACGTTACGGTAAGCATTTCGATTTATTTTTGGTGACAAAAAAACACAGAAAGATCGAACCTTCTTTTTCTAAAGGAAACTCCTGTCACTCCATCCTCAATCGCAGAAGAGCCTTTCTCCACCATATCAAAATCAGGTTGTACCTGCTGCTCGTTCCACAACGTCACGTCGCCCGTCCACACGCTTTAGATACAGTCCAACGGAGACCTCAGGTTTGTTTTTTCAAGATCTCTCAAAGTGAGCGTTTAATTACTGTTGGTGGACTCAGGTTTTGCCTCTATACAACAACAGCGGATCCCCTTCGACGCTTCTAAGTGGGTAGTACATCAGCAGACAGGTACCGCACATCGCCGAAGCCACCCCTTCTCTGTCAAATTCTTCCTTCTTTACGCTAGAAGCCAGTCCAATGCCTTTGGCCCCACTGCAGGGCATTATCTCTGTCATCTCTGCGCAGGTCTAGCTTAGGTCCAATGGGACTGTCAATCTCTTTGGCACGTTGAGAAAGAGCGCCTTGTTGGAGAGCTTACTTGTTTGCCTTAGGGCAGACATCATTTTGGTGGACTAGGGCAAGCTCCCCAGCAAGAAAGCCTTTGCCAATGGCTACTTGCAAGGTAAATTGTTTATCTTGGATCGATACTGCAGAGAACACTTAAACTTTCATTGTTGGACACGTCCCTTTGGCCCGACGGTGCAGCCAAGTCGGCAAAGGCCATTGGCGAGAAGCTGAACGGTGCTTCTCGGCTTATTCAACTGAGCAACAACGTTGGCAAGCCTGTGCTACTGCTCCCGACTTGCTTTGGAGTGTATGCCTTGGGCAGGGTAAGTTTGGTCTTTTCATAGTAATTGCAATATGCTTGTCAAACACAATAACTGTCCAAATAAAGCTGTCCAGCTACAATTTTGCTCAAATTGAGGCTACTATGCAAGACATCGCAGCCCTCAAGCAGCTGCCCACTTGTTTGGATGTCGGAGAGTTCCTTTGCCTTTTTCCGCCCATGCCCTTTTTTTTCCTATGCCGTTTATCTCTTAATTGCACTTATGTCAATACAAATTTACTGTTTTCATTTCTTTATCTTGTTTGCTGAAGTGTTTGTGTGACCATCCATCAAACGTGTCAAAACGAATATAAAACTGACCATTTTTTTTCGAGCAATCAAACCATTTTTCTAAATGTTTTCAAGCAATAGTACTGCCACTGTTTTCTTTAAGAAAAGCCACACTGTCACGAGCGGAAACAGGCTGATGTCACTGAATGGCTTCGTTTTTGAAGAAGGGTGAGAAACCAGAACAAGATATGGCAGTCAGCTTGTCAAAAGAAAATATTACTAAGGAAAAGGAATAGACGTGCCAAGAAAATCCAAGGAACGTTGCCTGAAATCATACAGAACTTTCAGGGCGCAGCAGAAATAAACAACTCATCGACGTACAAGGTTACAGTAACTGGTGTATTCAAGGAGCGTATTCTTTTTGAGCACGTACAAGACTGGTTGTCAATCAGCATATTAAAGTGCTCCATCACATCGATAGATGCATTAGAAGAAGCTGCAGAGGTACCCGACCGCGTGCAATCGAGGCTGCAGACTTTTAATGCTGCTTCTGCTTAAGTTTCACAAGTGAGCAACTCAGAGACAGTTTGGTCTGAAATTCGTGTGAGACTGCCAGGGCGGGCAGGTTCGTGTAAATGGCCCAAGTAGAGGAGCAAGACGCCAAAGAGAAAAAAACAACAAAGAATCGCGGCAAAGAAGAATAATCGGCGAAGACACAAACGTGATCTTAAAAGAGAACCCTCGACGACGTACCACAGAACATGGGACTTGATGATGACGACTTGAATGAAGAGATGGACAGTATTAAACAATATTGAAGATTAAATAAAGTATAAAAGGCTATTCTTGCTCCAACAAACGACATTGTTGACCGAATCGACCATGTATGATAGCAACCGAACAATTTCCCGGTACCCACGGCGAATACCTTTTTATGGACTCTGCTGTCGATAACCAGAGCCGAAGCGAGGTTCCTGTAGAGTTTTTAAACACAATGACTGTCTCACGTTGGTGTTTTCTTTTCGACAAAGTGATGTGGATGCAATTTCCAACTTTGTAGGTTTCCCTCACAAAAACCACATCTCAACCCGAATCAACCTGTCAATTTGCAACCTCGATCCTGCGCAAGGTCTGTGCAACAGCACCAAGCTTATATGTCGGCAGCTTCACACTCACTTCGTACAGGCAGGGATTGGCAGTGGAGATTATTTAGGCAACATTGTCACAATCCCACGTTCCAGACTGGTCACAGAAGTGTCTGCCTTGCCTTACCGATTTTCATGGAAACAGATTCCAGTCAAGCTAGCCTTTTGTATGACCATCAACAAGGCCCAAGGGTAATGACTTTAGCATGTTGGTGTGTACTTGCCACGACCTACCACGCTCAACTATATGTGACCTTCTCACGCGTCAATGATCACCGCAATTTGTGGTATATGACTGATGGGATCGCAAACCGAACACCCTATTACCAAAAATGTCGTTTTCTTGAGATACTCACAACCACCCATAACACCCACACTACTGTAAGTAATAAATCTTCTCTGTCTTATTTCTCTACAATACCAATTGTGTATTTCCGTTTCTACTTTGACCACGTAAAAACCGATTCATAAATTTATACTTTACGATGAAGTTTTATTATAGCTTTGTCCTGGGTCGCTACCGGGGGGTTTGGGGGGCTTGCCCCTTCCACCAATAGCCTCAATGTACGCCTACATTGTCATACACACTTTACTATAGGCAAGTAAAAAAATAGATAGCATATCTCTTATGCTACACAATCTTTTATCACCGATATAAATGCTTAGAACTGTCTGAGAAGCCCGAAATATAAATAGGCCAATGCAGAATTTTTCGTTTTGCCGATGATAACTCGTGCTTTTCACTTGTAGCGGATACATCTGCATTATAATTAATTACTGACATGCTGAAAGATCTCAGCACTGATCAGCAAAACAAGATGTACATACTGCTTTATGCATGGTAGAATAGCTATTGCTCGAGCAGTTTCTTCATTATCATATGTAAGTCGAAAATAATAGAGAAACAAACAAACAATTGGAACCCTTATTCTTCTCAATACAGGAAGTATCTGACCAAACACACTGCTATTTTCAGCCACCGCCAAAATTTCAGAGAGCACCACTGTATTGGACAGATCATGTTCGAGATGGCGGCACTACTTTGACAATAAAATAAAAACTGCATGGTGATTCAATACGATCCGAGTTTTTAACCCCTCACAGTAACGGGAGCAGCCACTGATTATACGGCCATATGGGATACTCTTAACAAGGGTCACACCTATAATAAGGTTAATAAGTATCGTAGCACCGCATTTTTTTCATGTTCAAGCTTTGGCTGCAGATGATCCATGACATACATAGTTACATATAAGGTGCATGGATAAGAAACAATCGTTATAAAATACAGTAGAGACACCTGTTCTTTGTCCACCATAAGGGCTTATACTACAGTACCGCCCAACATCACCAGTATTTTCTTACCGGAATACACACGAAAATCAGCTTAATTGCTTCCATCATGAAATCTAACGACGACAGTGTAAAAAAAAGTGTTTGCAACACAAGTGATGAAAATCACAACGATAATACAGCTCTCGGTTCAGCAAGTAACTCTAAGCAAGATCAAGAAAAAGTTAAAGGTATAAAAGTTTTTAAACAACCTCAATTGGAACTGTGAAAGGACAAGCAATCATTAGTTTTTGCTTATCATAATTAAAGACAAAATTCACAGCAGTCTACAGATACATACTACCGAAGATGAAAGAGACCGAGGCGTATTTACTTTGACGATACAAAAGCATGGGGACAACGCCAAAGAAGGCCACAAAGTCGACAAGTTAAATTCGACTGCATCACCTCACCAAAGTCAAAAATTTTCAAAAACAAGAAAATGGCTCATATATGCCATTGTGATCATATCTCAGATTCTGTAAGAGGTCATAATATTAATAGTCATTACCAGAAAGTGTGTTTATCTTTACTGGCTTGTTGTTGTCGGGCATACTAATATTCAACTATATACAAGTGTTCAAGCAATGGGAAGTATTCTTGTAAGTTAACACTATCACCTTTTTATGTTTGAGTGGCAAGGTACACGAACACAGCGAGTTGAGAAAAAAAAGTATCTTTGTTAGCTACCTGCGTTACCTGCAATACAAAAGGATCTGAAAACGACAGAAACCATTGCGAACATCACAGGTATTGCAGATGTATACATACGGCTCGTCGTCTTTCTTGATTTGTATTCCTAAAACTCAATGATTGATAGTGTCATTTCAATCTTTAACGACTGGCTTGCTGGTAAGTCTTCTTTTCATTTGTCTTTCGAGATTTTTCTTTTTGTTTTAACATGCTAATGATAACGTTTTCCATTACTTCAATCCTATCGGTAATCTATAGTCTGCTGTGTGGGCATCATATGCAGATTATTATGGTATGTTTTACCAACAACTTCTACAAACATTGTTACTGACAGCAATTTTTCTTAAGGACGCAGACCTGTGTTCACTGTGTCTAACATCTTTTTGATTATCGGAAACATTGGTTCAGCACTATCTATCAATATTGGGATGTTAATTGGTTTTCGCGTTACGATGGCTATCGGTTCCGCTGCTGTATGTTGCTGTTCGTCTGTTATATTGAGAAGTGATGTACATATCATGGCGTTTACTCAAAAGTTGTGTAATTGTATAGAGCAATGCGCTGGGTGCTGGTATAATCATTGATGTTTTTGAAGACCACGAAAAGGGCAAAGCACTCTCCTGGTATGCTTCTGTTATTTCGTATTGTGCAGCCATTGCGTAAGTGTTTTATTGTGTACTAGTCAGTTGTAGGCCATATATGCTAATAGATAAAAATACTATCTGTAATGTGTAGCCCTTTACTTGGCGGTGCAATGGCACAGTACCTTGGTTGGCGAAGCATTTTTTGGCTTTTTGTAACAAGCTACGGATTATTGGGTCTTACTATCCTTATCTTTCTCCCCGAAACCAACCACTACGCCCTTCAAAAACAAATCGAGGATGCTGTCGACGCAGAGATTTCCAGCAGCAGCAAGAAAAAATCATGGGCAAAAATGATCAATCCATTCTCTTCATTGAAACTGCTCAGATTCCCAAATATGCTACTCTGCTGTCTATACTTGGGAGTTATGTATGTATTGTTTGTAGACCATATGAGTATCGGTGCCATGCAGAAAAATATAGTTGAAAGCAATCACTAATTCATCTTACTTGCTGGTTGGTTAATAGGGGCTTCGGTACCAATGCACTTAGCATTTCTTTCACATGGGCGTACAGCACCCAGTATCACTTTTCATCGACAATGGTTGGACTATTTTATCTTGCTGGAATAGCAGGAAATACAGCAGGTACATACTTGGGCGGTCTAATGTCAGACCGTATCTACATGCGTCGAGTCGGCAAGGCAAAGGAAGAGGATAAGCAAGTCTATCCAGAAATGAGGTTGAGTCAATCTATATTATTTGTGGCAGCTTTTTCAATGGCTACCTTATTTTCCGCGTATGGATGGTGTATTCAAAAGGATGTGCACTTTTCGGCAGGAATTGTCTGTCAAGGTCTTGGTAAGAGCTATTGCGGTTCGGATTAAACGCTTAGGCACTTGTATATGCTGAAAATGTTATTATTATGTATTTCCGAATGATCGCAATCAGTTTTATTTGGACCTTCTCTGGCAACATCGTTGCTGAATGTATATGCTGTACAATCCTTTCCAAAACACGGCTCTTCCGCTCAAGGTACGTAGTATCACTACTCGTAACTTATTCTTGACCGGAGTAGCAGACGAATCTAAAAGCAACATCTTAACTAACTGTATGTCATTGTGACACAGCATGCATTCAGACGATTAAATGCATTCTGCTTGCTGCAGGGAGGATGGGCGTTATTCCTCTGCAAAACCTTCTTGGCTTTGGCGTTCTTTTCACCATTATTGGGGGTGTGCTACTTACGACAAGCCCATTTGTTACCTATGTTAACCGTAACCGTGAAACATGGAAAATAATGCGGGAATCAGCACGATAGTGCCTATGTAATGCTCCTCTCTCGTCGTGCCTACCTGCTACATGTGCTATAGTACGTAACGAATAAAGTTTTCAAAATCAGAAATAAAGTAAAGGTAGACACCCAGATGAAACTGTCCTCAGTTCACATGAGATAAGAGGAAGCTATCTTTTCAAATTTGTAAGCACCGTAATAGTAGCAGGCACTTGGATTGTACCCATAGCGAATAGCGAAATAGGTGAATTTGCGATTTTCACTCGCAAATTGGATTTTTCTAAAATGCATCTGGCAACAACAGTAATCGAGCCATGCTGTGTGATACAATGCATTGTTTGCAGCTCATGTACATAGAAAACAATGCATGGTGTTCCCATTTTGCGAGTTTTATTTTTCTTATAAAAAAGCCCATGCATCCTACTACCTGCATATATATAAAATACCATGAAAAGGATCAAATGCATCGATATCTTATTACCTGTCCTTTCTAAACACTGCATGAGTTCAGACTCACTGCCTTTTATATTTCGTCACTCAGTGGTGTATGGAACCCACGGAATGGTTGCTAGCCCGTAAATGTTATTTCATATTCTGCTGCTATCAACGATTATGATACGTCAAGGATGTATCATAACCGCCAGCGACAAATTATGATACACTATCATATCATAGTTGAGAATTTATGATTTATTATTATTGATAAGGAAGACTAGTTGACCTGCGCCCTGAGCATGTAATCGCTTCCTTACGGAGCTAAATTGTTAAAGGGTACATAAAACGGTGAATATGGTGCCATCACTGAAGAAATTTCTACAGTAGTGGGGAAAAATTGTGGCCAGAGAAGAGACGGGGATGTGTACATGACAAACAAAAAGAAAGATGGAAAGAGAAAGAAACACATGTGAGCTTATGGATACGAATACGGCGCACTGAAAATTCTCAACCGTTGTTTTGAGAAGAAGCTGATGGTAGATGATTCGCTTTGGAGTACACATTCAGTGGGGTGCTGGCTCGTCCCCAAGGTGTAGTCGGCGACAGGATGGCTTAGGCTGTAAATTTTACGAGGCACTCGCATAAGTGCTGGCCAACAAGTTTGCGATTTACCTTTGGCGAGAGCTGCATCCGATCGTAGCAGTTGATTAAAATGCAGCCAAAGACGTGTGTATCTAACTGATGTTTCCAATATGATGCCAAACGCCGTGAGAAGCTCTATTAGTAGTGGTTTATAAGAAACGGACAGTCGCTGCAGTGCTCGCGCTTCGCTTGTTGAGTGCCACAACGACAATCTTGGAGGGGATGCGAGGGAAATTAATGCAACTGACATTTCAGCTACCGGTGCCTTGCGTGAGAGTACGTTGCCAGGTAGATGACAGGATCGATCACTCTCGGTTGGGCCAAAGACATCTGACCGTCTTGAATTTGGTGCGCCGTGCATGGTAAGCGCATATAAGACGTAAATATGATCAACCATCAGCGACCATCATGTATTCCATGAGGAAGGCGAAGATTGCATTTGATATTTCATTCTTCTAGCAGTTTTATAGCTTTTTTGCAAGATATTGTACCAAAAACTGAGAATGTTTCTTTAGTTTGTAGTCTTCCTCTCGTATTTAGCAGGTTGGTAGGGTTGGCTATTGGCAGTGCAGTGTTGCGTTTTTTGCATATGCGAGGAATACCGGCTTCCAGAATATAGCTAGAAGGACAGCTAATAAAAACTATACGTCCACTACGCCGACTCGTTGCCTTTCCCCCACCCTGTCTTGTCCGCCTTTTTATTTTTCTTTGTCGTTCATTGTCACTCTTTCTGTATCTAGGATAGAAAGTACCCGGCTACTAACAGTTCCTTTTTTACTCTTAGCTGGGGCACCCCGAAAGCCCCTGGATGGTCCCCCCGTGAGAGTGAGCAACCACATACGCGTGTGTGTGAAAAACCATATTTCTCCCCAATAAGCCCGTGGGGGCAAGATTTCAACAATTTAAGTCCTAATGACGTGTGTTTTCTTTGAAATCGCTGCCAATACTCTTTTCAGTTTAGGTGCATCGGCCATCACAGATGTAACCTCTTTTTATGCGAGGTTCTTTTCACAATGTCAACCATTCCCGGCACCTGCCATCTACTTTTTCTCTGGGATCTTGTTGCTGAGACCCTGCAAACCCTGTCTGTGCACGTATCTTCCGGCGGCGACACCGTCGGGACACGCCCTGCATGATACCGGTGAAACATATTTCGGAGGACAATCAATACACGCGGACCACATACGCCTTCTTCTTGACAGCTTGACCGTATCTCTTCAACACCTCTTCTTCACATGGTTTCTTCCCTGCCATTTTACTTTCCCACATGCTAATTTATTGACGAATCACAAGTCACGTGACGTGTTTTTTTTAAGCGGCGGATGGATCCAAAAATCATAAATACGCCCATATTTTTCAGGCCATTTCCTTTTTTCTCTTCCTTCACTTTTCTTTTTCCTTCACTCCCTTGGATCCTCCTGGTCTTTCTCTTGGCTCCTCCCTTGGTTCTGGTTTTCCCCTGGCTCTGGTCTTCCCCTCGCTCTGGCTCTTCCCTTGGCTCTTCCCTTGGTCCTGGTCTCAGCCTTTTTCTCGTGGTCCCCCTGGCTGCCTACAACCGGTCCCTGCTTTGGGCTGTCTAGTCTGGCGTTCAACGGTGTTGGCCACAACCGGTCTTCAGGCGAGACCAGAGGACGGAGAAATCCTTTTCGGTTTTTCGCCATAGAAATATGGTAGTGTCCTTTCAGTTGGATGCCTTGTCTGCTGGTCTGGTCTGGTCTGCCATGGTGGGGTTCGCAATGAGGAGCCAGGTGCCACTGTAGATCGCGTTCGACGCTCGGCAATCGACTCTCGGCATTCGACTCTCAACAATCGACGCTCGGCAATCGACTCTCGGCATTCGACTCTCAACAATCAACTCTCTGGCATTCGACTCTCGGCATTCGACTCTAGGCAATCGACACTCGGCAATCAGCTCCCAGCTTCAGTGTTCGGCTCCCAGCATCCGAGTATCCAGTAAGCAGCTCCTCCAGCATTCGACAACAGCAGCAATTTTTTTTTTTTTTGGGTGTTTCGAGAGTCAATTCTTTCCCCTACCCCCACCCCTTCCCTTTCCTCTTCCCTTCCGTCTACCCTTCCATCTTCCTTCCGTCCTTCCCTCCCTTCCTTCCCTTCCGTCTACCCTTCCATCTTCCTTCCGTCCTTCCCTTCCCCCTTCCCCACTCACAGGCAATCCACAACCGATTGCTTGCACTTGACTCTCGAAACGTAGCGTACGTCATGGTTCCCACTCGTTTGTACCATGATGGCTGGGTTTGTGGTTGATTGACCCAGCCAAATGATTGGGAGACTGGGACTCCCAGGCCGAGGCATTGGTGGCTTTCTTTTCCTCCCCCTTTTACATACTTCTTCTGTTTCTTCTTGCTTTCTTCATGCTTTTTGTATAGCCTGCAGGTTGTGCGAACTGCTTGTTGAGGTCACTTTGTAAAATCGCGTTCTTATTATTTGTCTTTATTGTCCACTGATTGTGTTCTTTTAATAAAATTTGTACTCTTCGATTATTCATATTCATAACGATAACTTTTGTTTTTTAAAAAATGTTTTTTACAATGAATAAAAACCTGCTCATTTACTTTATGCCCTGCTCAAACTTATCTGCGTACTTTTCCTATTAGAAGGATTTAAGAGCTGTTACATCTTGCAATTGGCATTGACCGTGTCTAAACATCCTCGCCTGTTTGACAGTTAGGAGAATACATGTTTTGGCGCGCGATGACGCTGTTCTTATTTAAAGCTACGCTGTCAAAATGGCTTACATTAGATTCGCGATACGTTTCTGTTGGAATGACTTGATCGAGTTCAAGATTTCGTCTTTTCTTTTTCGCATATATAACCCGGGCAACAGTTTGACACAAGCCTGATGCACGGACCATGAACTACAATTGGCATACCGGTTTTCGGGAGTAGACACACAGAAAGAAATTTTGCAGTCTATCATAACAACTTTTGAACTTTAAAACAAAATCCTTCCAGATACCCTGACTCTGTTGAACACACGTTAATTTTAGGCAGCAAAACGCAGAACAACGCCAATAGGACTATTAACTATACTTCTTTGATATTCACGAGCCTATCATACATCTGCACGCATTGCTTGTGGCACAGAAAACCAGTAAAACTTCAGTTAGAACGCGCTCAATATGTACAAACTATGCTGTGATTTAAAACAAATATGCTACATAAGCAACCGTTTAAAGCGATGTACTTTATGTATTTGAATCAGCTACTATACATGTGAACTCTTTGGTTCTTGTATATAAGCGGAACATAAGCGAAAAGGGAATAGCTGGACTGCCATTGGGTGTAATGTATTAGTATCTGGTGATCCAATACTGTGTAACGGGTGGTTGTACCCTAATGGCTCGAGATTCGATGCGAATTGAGTGATAGGATTAAAAATCGAAAGATCACATCCATCCATCACTATGATAGCCGTCAAAGTAGCTGGCAACATTGTCGCATCGCTTCGATAGTTCCCCAAGCAAATCAGAGTATCGTTTTTTCATCATAGATGGAATCCCCTACCGGCATCACCGTCGGAATTATTGTATGAAAGGTAAGATTGAATAAACCGCCAGAGGATGAAATTAAAGCTGCCATGGTAAGACTGTTTATACAACCATCAATGCCGATATTCAAACTGGATATTTTGTTCCCAGTCCATAGCACCTGCACCTAGCACGACGAAGAATGACTGCGAGCTTTCGTTCGCGCCAGCTAAAAATAATAATAATAATAATTGTACATAGGCAACAGCTCGCTACACAAGTAGGCTTTGAAATCTTCTAAAAAGGTGGAAATGCTGCTGTAAGCCACATTCTGAGATTCCCTTTGCTTTTTCTTCTCTCTACCGCATACTGCTAAAGAACAAGAAATGCATTTTAGGACGCAGCTATTGCAGTTTGTAAATAATTTTCAGGCTCGCATAATTTGTTGAGAAACATATATTACGCCTGTATTGTATTTCTATACTAATTGAGCATAATTAAAGCCGCTGTATTGAGTGTATAAAAAAGAAGAGCTTTCCACTTTCTAATGCAAAGTTTTACTGATAAGAATACAGAGCCTTCATCGCGGGGTATCGGTGGCGATGTATTTTGCTTGTTTTATGATGCCAAAAGTCAAAAGGTCACCCGGCCTGAATGGCTCTGGCAGGTAGGGAAAAGTTGATGCACGTTGTAGCGCAGTAATATCATTCAACAACAATGTTGGCGATTGTTTTGCCCAAACGCTGTAACTATCAAGCACTTTGGGTCAGCGAACCTGAACTGGCTGACATTTTGTGCCTCGGATTTAACTTTGAAGACAGTTAAACACTTCCCATTAATGGACTACCTTGTGCTACACAATGATTGTGAAAATAGACTTTAAGCATTGAATACGCAGAAAAAACATCGGCAGTTTCTTCTCAACCTTCAGTTGTGGTAGCCCTCACTTGTCACTATTATCCTCCTCCCTCATTTATACCGCAGAGAAGCGACCAGTTACGCAACGTCATAAATTTTTGACTAAAAATATACGCATTCAAATATATACCAGAATACTGATCCGAATGACACGGAAAGCTCGAGGAAGGACCGCTACTGTCTCTTTTTAAATTACTTTCCCTTCTTCCATACAACTCCGAGGATGCTGTGCTTTCCTTTTTAGGGATGTACAGTATGGGAACGTATTTTCTACGACGATAACTTTCTTTTTTTTCCCACTGAATGGCGTGTCAACGTAGTAAAGGGTTGAATTCGAAGGCGGCAGTAGTCAGGGATACACAATTCTCTACGTCGTTCAGGCACCAAACAATAAGGACGGAAGGGTGGCTCGCTCGGCCGTGTCTGCGTGAGTCCTAAGGAGAGCAACAAAATATGTTACCCTCGGGACACTCACCCCTTCCCTTTCTTTACTCTACCCTTTTCCCGAATACATAGGCGAGAGAGAAAGAGCCTTCTTTGTTTGAATGCAAAGACACTGAAACATACACGTATATGATCACAGCAGTCTGAAAGTGTCGCTCTTATTGTCAGTTGTGTAAAGAAAGCTCCAGAACCTGATAAAAAACCCATGCGGCAGGCAGCTAAAGAGCGATTAACGACATTTTATTTAATAGTGAGTTTAATCGGTAAATCGGTGCTCAGCACACACCTACACCGCAATAACAAGCATTTAATAACTCTAGAGAATAAAGAAACGAACTGCAGATTCTTTTATTAACCACGAGTAAGTTGAGCTATAAAACGTATGTCTGCAACTACTGCGTGGAGTGTGTGAGGGTGTTCTGTACAGTACCTAAAAAGAGGTATACGTTGATTCCCAAATCGTTCCACGCCAATGCTCTTTTATATGCTTTGTGGATGGAAACTCCTCTTGTTTTGCTATTACGAATCCATAATTGATATACATCACAAGGGTGCAGTGATACCGCCAGCACGATCTTTGCCAAGGGCGATTCACGCTCGAACTTGCGGTCGGCGTTATATAAATATCACGTTGCTGATGAGATCATTGAGTCTATTTATTTGAAACTTATGAAGACTCGATGATAAAAGCAAAATGATATCCCTTTACATATAACATTCTGCGATGATTTTCGGGTCGATTTGGCTCGAATTTCACAACAAGACGGCACAGGTGCAATCCACCCTGCTTTGAAAAAAGACCTTCTGACCTCGTCTGATGGTGTTTCAAGGAAAACTTCAACGGCAAAAGTTACGAATCCTGTTATCTTAGCTCAGGAAGTTGTCTTACTGCTATTTGTACATTGCTTTACATATATGTAGGCTGCTTGTTAAAAAGACATTATTCTGCGGCTTCCATTATTGTTATGTTAAAATCCGTTGCTGGCGGTGCTGAATTTTATATTGATACACAACATGTTAGAGTTATCATGCGTATTCGTAGTAGTGAGTCTGTAAAATTTAAAGCCATATAATATATGTGATATTTAACCTTCTCATACATGAAGAACAAGAACTTAAAAGAGAAACCGTTTTCAAGGCGTTTGCTAAGGTTATGGTTTCCAACCAAATTTATAATCAGAGGAAGATGAAGGAAACACAAAGAAACAATAAGGACAGCGCTTTACCCCGCTATGGAACCTTTTTTTTTAGTTTCCCGAAACTACACAGGCTTTTTCTCGACCAAACCATGGGCAAAGAAGAAGCTGAAGCCTACAAGAAAGCAGGTAAATGCTGTTCTTTGTGAGAACATTGCTATACTTGTTCTTTTTTGACATGTACTAACCGAGAGTTATATCACAGGAAATAAACTTTTCGCCGAGCATCGGTACGAAGATGCAATCAAAGAATATTCAACCGCGATTGTGAGGAAGAGAGACCAGCTATTATTTGCAAATCAATCTACGGTTTGACAACTTACTATTGACTCCAAGGCTGAGACTAATGCGAGGAACTTGTTTCAGATAAAAGACCCGGAAGAGCGTATATACTATACGAACCGTGCACTATGCTACTCAAAGGTGAGTGTAGTGTTGACAACAGCAACTGCAGATGTCATACTTTTGAGTATCGAAACCAAAGATCCTCAAACTAAACAAGTTTTGTTTAATGCAATGTATGTGTGTAGCTCGAACAGTATGATAAAGTAATTATAGATACGCGTAAGGCGATTGAACTTGATAATACCACAGGTACGTTTTGAGTTTGCGCAGAGATGGGTGCTGGTTAAAGTATCGGTCTCAATGCATAAATCTAATTTGCAACAGTCAAGGCATATTATTTGGTATGTTTATGTATATTGCTGGAATACATGCAAGTTTCCCCCTTTCTTACAAATTAGATATATACAGCTTGGACAAGCACTTATTGAGAAACAGCAACACACCGAAGGTAAAGATAAGAAAGGAGGCGTTGGTGGTTCAGGGACAGGATTGTGTATGAATTAAGTAAAAAGGATGCTCACCCATCAGAACCATTTAAACATAGCATTGAACAAGTTGAAAACAGCATACGAACTTGCTATCCAGCAAAGAGTTAAATATGTCAATGACATTTTACAAGCACTTTTGACTGCTCGAAAAAGGGTTAGCGTGGTTTCTTACTGTTTCTGAGACGTGTTTGGTAGACGGGAGGGTGAGGTTTCCCTGTGACATCCGACTTACCAAATAGTGTGTGCATTCGTTAGATATGGGATGATAAAGAGGCAGTGCGCCTGGAGCGCGAATCTGCACTGTTGCAGTCTGTGAAGGGCCTTGTAGAGGCTGAACGACAACGGCAGCTTACAGCCGCTGGTGGCAATGAGGAAAAACTTGACGAAATTAACTACTTGACCGTAAGTTTTGATTTGTGAAATTTTATCATCAGGTTGTATGAGTATAATTTCCTTAGCGCCTACTCATGCGTTTTTGAAATAGGACGAACAAGAAACAAAAATTCAAAAAGTATTCGAACAATCCAAAGAAAATTTAATGGTACATACTTGTTATTTGACGCAAAGGGACCTGTAATGAGAAGAGAATAGATCTGTCGAAAAGGAAGGACTAACCTGTTTAAATCGTATCCGTTTATAGCGCCATGTGGTGCCGGACGCCTACCTTGATAAAATATCGTTTAATATAATGCACGATCCTGTCTTTACGCCTGGTAGGTTCCAACAGTATATGGACGATTCTACTATAATGTTGACATAAAAAGCTAAGAACATGGCCCGACCTTTTCCTATTACCACAGATGGCTTCACCTATGAGCGACAGTCTCTACTTGACCATTTCGCAAGAAACGGCAATGTTGATCCAATCACAGGCCGACCATGCGCAGAAAAGGACCTTATACCAAACCGATCGCTTAAGGAAGCTATCGAAGATTTCTTACAAGAAAATGGCTGGGCTGCAGGTAATTAGATAGTCATAACATAAATGCTTGGATTGTAGAAAAACGAAAAACTCACTTTGTTCTTGTATTTATGACTCGTACATAGACTATTAAAATGGCTTGTTATTTAATATGTGTTGTATGTAATTCGTTGAGATGTGTATGTGTACTTTATACATGTCGTAGTGACACAAATGATGATTTATTCAACAAACATAAAAGAGAAATATACAAATCAATCATCCTTCTTCTCGGATCCTTCTTCTTCTGCTGTTGCTGGTGCTGCTGTTGGTGCTTCTGGCTTGCTTTCGGCTTCTGATGCAGCAGGGGTTTCGGGGGTGGATGTGGTATTGGGTTCGGAGGCATCAGATTTCTTTTCTTCCTGTGCAGGTGCTGCTGGGCTGCTTTGAAATTCTGTCAACTCTTTCTTGAGCTTTTCTACTTCAATCTCCAACACGCGGATCTTGACATCACGTTGAGATACAGCGTTCTTGAGCTCGTCATTCTCTTTTCGCAGTTCATGATAAGCTTCTTGATACTGGTATTGAGTAGGTTTATATCGATGTCAGTACTCTATTGTGTCACAAAACATGATATGTCATAAAACTAACTCACATCTTTCTCATTCTTCGGTGGGGCTGGAGAGGCAGCAGCTTCACTGGCCTCTTCAGCTTGTGCCGATACGGTGAATTCTTGTTTTTCTTTGACTTCATAACCTTCGGAAAGATCAATCTTTTTGGGATCAGCGTTCTTACCGCTGAACCATTCATCTGCAGTAAGAGCAGGCTCATCACCGATAGCGGGTGGGAAGATGTCGGATTGGAAAGCATCAGACTTTACAAGTTAGAAGACCAATGATACAGTTAGTATATCAGACCCTTTTCTGTTAGTCGAGTGGAATAGCAAGTTCGCGAGTCACCCTATCCTACATACCTTGCGCGGCACCTTGAAAGAGATGGGCTCGATCAAGTTGGTTGTGATCTTGTAAGCACGGGCTATTTCACACTCGTTGACATTCAAAGCGCGCTTTGGCATAAATGCAAGACCTTATAATCCATAAAACAACATTAGTATCTCCTCCATCCTGTACCGAAACGCTTCATTCGCCTTCATTTGTTTCTTTCGCCACTTTTAATTACCCTTTTGTGCCTCAACATCTCTATAGTCACTAAGATGGAAAAGCTGATCATTCTCAAATTCGTAGTAACGGATGGTACGGTCACTAATTTGAAGAACGGACAGATAATCAGCATTACATACATTATAATACACACCAACGACGCGAATAATCAAAAAAGCATATCCATTTACCCCTTGCCAGCCAGATACAACATACTGGTATCACTGTCATAGAAAGGCATAATAACACCGGACGAAGTATCGATGAATTCGGACTTTATGGGCTTGCTGAGATCGGCAGTGTTCCACAAGTTCAGCTGGCGATCGCTCATCTTGGAAAAGCCAGTGGTGGCGAGACGGTCCGAATCGCCGAGCCACACAACACGCGAACCTTTGATGCCTTGGTGGCCTGCGCCTTCCTGGACAACCTGGTTGCTACGCAAATCAAAAATACGAAGTCGCTTGTCACGACAAGTAGTTGCCAAGAGGGAACCGTTGTGGTTATAAGACAACGACTGGATAATTTCAGTATGTCCGGTAATTTCTTGCTTCTCTTGGCCCTTTTCGACATCCCAAAGCTTGATGGTCAGATCTGTACTGGCGGATGCCAAGACGTTACTAGCTGTAGGGTGAAACAGCACTTGGCCTACTTTACTATATGATTAAATGTCAGGAAAAACATTTCAGCAATTGTGCAAGTTTCTCAACACCACCGTTGACCGGGAATTTGCCCTCGAGTATTATAAAACTCCAACAACCATACAACATCTAGGCTTACCGGCCATGTCCTGAAAGCTTCAAAACGGGTGTGACTTCTTCGAGATCTTCATCATACTGCTCGGGAATAGTCCACAGCATCACCTTGCCATCTTCTGCACCGGATGCAATGACATAGTCGTTGAATGGATTGAAATCAGTATCCAGGACAGGGGCAGTGTGACCTCGGTAAAGAGGGTAGTTTTCAGGAAGTTTGCCTATAAAAGAATGTGTCAATTCTCTATCGATTGGGTAGCTCTTCCCTCTTTCTCTTCTATCCTTCCTCATATATAAAAAAGAAGTTTATTGATCCGTACCCACTTGAGATAATGGAATGACCGCAAACGCACCGCCACCCGACGACTGCCAGTTCATAGAGACGAAGAGCTATTAACCATGCAGATTATAGTGTTAGTCACATCATAAAAGCACACATGCCACTGTTGCTTACTACCACATACCGGGTTAACTTGGACCATGTTGGTGTCCCAAGCGTTCAAGCTGACTCGAACGTTGTCATAGCAAAACTCTCGCTTAGCACCAGTGCCAAAAACGTGGCGATATTTCGAGGGTCGGACAAAACGGTTCATGGTGTAAGACAATTAGGAGGCGCTGTTACGTGATGAAGAGATGGAAAAAGGGGAGGGAGTGATTGTTGAGATTGAACTATTGTCAAAAGCACAAATAGAAAGTAAAAGTTAGAACCAGCAAAGTAGGAACAACCCGTTTTGCTCGAGCAAACGCTCAAAGTAACGCGTGTTCATCAGATGAGCATGTGAGAATGAGGGGGTAGAGTGGTGTGTTTTGGAGAATTACCAGGTAGTTGGAACGAGATGAGCGCAGAGAGAAAGAAAAGGAGGTGTTGCTGCAAACCAAGGGCGCGCCTGGCTATGTATAGATCTGTATTCTTCTGCCGCGCGCTTTCCCGTCTAGCTGTTCTGTGTTGCTGGACCACAAAATAAGATTTGAGCTAAAAAAAGAAGAGCGAAATGTAGCGAACAGGGTAACTTGTGCGCTTGTGATTACCTTAATACATGATAGCCTAATTAAATATCATTAATCATTGGAGATTTATTGTCAAAGCCGCACATCACACCATGGTTCTGAAGAGTCAAGCTTCTGAGAAATATACGTTTCTACTATCCGGTAAGATACACCAATATTATATCATTAATAAACAATAATCACTTGTGGTTTGCAGACAATGCACAGTAATTTTCGTAAGCAAATCATTTACTGAAGTAGCGCAGTATTCTTGGTGGCTGTTGTTACAAGGAAACAATGAGCCACATGTACCTAGGAAGATTGAGGTCGCTAAGGGAAAACGCTACAGGCAAAGAGGAAGGATATTGTCCCGTTTTTATTCGCTGAAAACAAATCATGAGGACAACGTTCGGGTATTAACAATACAGGTTCAACGATTGCAAACGATGGGGTTTAAGAGTTGCTACCTTACAATTCGGCAGCACTCAGCATTTCAGCCCTGAGATTGTCTGCAACCTATATCAACCAGTGAAAGTATACATCAGTAGTGAGTGTTTCTGCTTTGTCGCAACGCGTATAACGATCCAAAACAAACTGTGCACATACCTCCTTTCCTACGAGCTGCTCAACCAACGTCAAGGCAAAGAGGAACGCAGTACCGGGACCACGACTTGTCACAATATTTTGATCCACCACAACACGCTCTTCCGAGTACTCGTAATCTATAAAAAGATAGTGTGTCTATTAGCTGCCGAGCGAATACTAAAGAAGAAAAGATATTTGAAAATGCAATGAACGCGTACAGTCTTTCAACTGGTCCTTGACACTCGGATACGAGGTAACTTTGTGGCCACGAGGAATGCCCGACGACTTGGCAACCAACGTACCTATGCACGAATCATGTTCATTGTTAGTTGCCACTTTTTTTCCATCTGCTTGACAGCTCCTACTGAACCCTTACCGGCGCAGATGAAGGCGACGATTTTCTGTTTTTCATAGAAGGAAGAGATCAAGCGTTGTACCCCCGTATCATCACGAAGAGTAGAAGCTCCTCCCATTCCGCCAGGTACAACCTATTAAAGGAAGCATTAGCACCGGGTAAAGAAAAAAACAGCTGCAGTTGTTTTGTTTCTAAAACTGAATCATGTTATTTAGGAGCATACCACGGCATCGTAGTCAGCCTAATTTTTCAACATAGCGGTCAAGTTAGTATGCACCTTGCTTCCTCCAACCTCTCTCATAGACGCATTCAGTAGTTGAAATAAAGAGAAACTTGTTTTTGACACGTTACCGATTTCCAGCTTTGGCCCTCATGTTGGAACTCGGCGTCCGGGACAATCTTGACTCCACGGCTGCATTCAGCAACAGTAGGGGTCTTCAACTGAACGCCGACGACTGTCACTTCGACCTTTGCGCGACGCAAAACGTCCACTAAACAAAGAGAAAGCAATTGCACCAGTCAAAAAGAACAAAACTGACCGCTCCAGCATGCATAGTTTTGACTGTGCGCGTATCCTCTTACCGGTAATGGTGAACTCTACAAACAGCGGGGGTTGGGTTTCCCTCAATTTTAGATTGGACAGAGCGCAACAATTGCAAGTGTGTGTTGGACATTCAAGCAAGTTTATGCATACCCATTTCTTCAGTTCCGTCAGCAAGGAAAACGATAGCTTTTTTGACCATTGGTGTAGTATAAGTTCGTGTGGGAGAAAAGTTATGCAGAAAGCAAAGAAATGTTTCGGGCGTTCGGTTTTTAATGCTTCAACGTCTGTGACAGCGGCGACGGTTCCCCACACCATTGTGGCAAATATGATATCATGTGCTGTCATAATATTTGATCCCATACATATCCATCAGTAGTGAATTAAAGGACAATCTTCTTTCTCGAAACGTCATATCCGTACGCCAACTTGAATCAGGAAATACGGATACTTTCTGCCCATTGAAATGTGAGGCATCAAGAGAAGCAACACCAATGGTCCTTGTCGCTGAAGCATCAGCTACTGTTTATATGTTTCAACACGTACTTGCCAAGTTGCGTTTTTAGCACTTTCTACACACACCTCCAAACAAACAACAGTTACCAGTGTTAGATCAAACATAAGATAAACTATCATGTAGACCTTCCAACTAGTAGTAGTAAGCATTACAAAGTGGATCAAATTAATTAAAGACGGCGTGCCATTACATCAAAAGCCTTTGAATATAACTTTGAAGGTTGATGAAGTGAATGCGCGAATTCAATTGGTGGACCAAAGAAGACAATGGCCTGATCGGACTTTAATACCTAACAATTCTTAATAAAATATCACACTTCGTCAATTTTAGGTCCTTCCTTTTTTCGAGCTTACAGTCGACATGGTACGCTGCAAATTACATTATGTGATGACAATAGAAGACGTGTAGATGCAGGTGCATGGATGCATGGATTGATGAATGGATGAACGGATGGATGAATGGATGATGGATGGGTCGAAACCGAGTATCATTACTAAGTTTCAATTTTTTTGGAATGTACGATTAGCCTTTCGTCAAGCAGCAAAAGAACAAGGCCTACTTCAAGCGCTACCAGGTCAAGTACCGCAGAAGAAGAGGTAAGGCAATCTTTTTACACAACAATACTCACAATTGTCAAGCTACCTTCCGTCTGCCTCGATCGTGCTCGCGTATTTTTCTGCCCTGTGTTTTTTTCTGCAAATGATGATTTTGTAATAGCATAGTTCAACTGACAATGCGATTGGATGTTGATTAACAAAACTAATAGTCTTTCGCTCCTATCTGAATTGAAAGAAACACAGCGAAAATGCGTGCACGATGAGAGGGAAAAAGAAGGAGGGAGTGTCGAGTGAATAGTATTAATGATTATACTCATTCGTCGATTGTGATAAATTTTTCTTTCTTACAGAGGGCAAGACTGATTACTATGCTCGCAAGCGCTTGGTTGTCCAGGCCAAGAACAAGTACAACTCGCCCAAGTACAGAATGGTCGTCCGCTTCACCAACAAGGACATCGTCTGCCAGATCGTCTACGCCAAGATCCAGGGTGATCATGTTCTCGCCGCTGCTTACGCCCACGAGCTCCCCAGCTACGGTATCAAGGGTGGTTTGACCAACTGGTCCGCTGCCTACGCCACTGGTTTGTTGTTGGCTCGCCGCACCTTGACCAAGCTCGGCCTTGCCGACAAGTACGAGGGTGTCTCCGAGCCTGATGGCACTGTCCAGCTCACCGAGGCCAACGATGAGGGTCCCCGTCCCTTCAAGGCCTTCCTTGATGTTGGTACTGCCCGTACCTCCACTGGTGCCCGTGTCTTTGGTGCCATGAAGGGTGCTTCCGATGGTGGTATCTTCATCCCCCACTCCGGCAACCGTTTCCCTGGTTTCGACATTGAGTCCAAGTCCAACGACGATGAGTTGCTCCGCAACTACATCTTTGGTATCCACGTTGCCGAGTACATGGAATACCTCGAGGAAGAAGATGAAGAGCGCTTCAAGAAGCAGTTCGCTGGTTTCCTCAAGGCTGGTATCACCTCCGACAAGGTCGAGGACATGTACACTGATGCCCACGAAGCCATCCGTGAGAACCCCATCCCCAAGCCCGCCGAGAAGAAGACTGGTGTCAAGGCTTACCCCCAGAAGCGTCGTCTCACCAAGCGCGAGCGCGAAAACGCTGTCCGTGCCAAGAAGGCTGCTTTCCACAAGGAGTTGGCTGGCAACTAAACATACTCGTCTATGTTGTAATAAAAAATTCACATTTTCCTACTGTTCTTGCATACAAAAACAAACACATAATCTCGTTCACAATATCTATAAAGTCTGTGGAGGCTTAATTGGTTTCTATGCTGTGTGCTGGGGTTCCTGTTGTTTCTGTGGTGGTTGCTACGATAAAGGGTTGAATTTGCAGAATGTTTTCACCTGCCAAGCCACATTTTAAGGTTCAACCTTACAACCCCGGCGTGCTCAGTAGGGAAGTGCTTGCAGGTCGTCGTTGGTGGTCCCACACACGGAAACATACACATACCAACAAACGCGATCGCACACGGTTATGACATTATAGACGTTTCAGCAATCTAACCGTGGCAATTCACTTTTTAACTCTTTAATCCTTTTGCTCTCGGAAAAATAACCTCCCCCTTCTCTTTTTTTTAACACCATGTTTAATGGCACCCGAATTAAACCGCTCAACCATCTACAACGACAACGCATTACGTCCAACTTGTTTGTTTTGGTCGCTGTGGGCGCTGTAGCGACGGTAGCAGCACCGACGTTATTCCCATGTCCGGCATTCGATCAAAATGACAAAGCTGCACGATTAGAAGCACGACGGAAACTGAAGGCTCAACAGGCCAATACCCCGGTGGTCATTCGGAAGCGCCGTAGCGCACCCAAGACAGAAAACAGCAATAACGACGACAGCCAAAACGAACAACAATAAATATAACATCATCAAGCCCTCCCTCACCTCGTTTTCTTTATGTGAACCTTAACAACTCAACCCCTCACTCGATATCACAAAAGTAGCGGGCACTTCCTAGTCATGTAACATCACGCATATTACACATTTATAAATATAGGAATTACGCTTGTCCCGAACTCCTTTCGACCGCTCTCCCTCTCGCTATATAGTACATGCCAGGATCCTTCTTTGTCTTTTACTAGTTTATCTCCTCTTCCTCCTGAACTTCATTAAACTGTGTATTACCCTTGCATATCTATCGCACACCTCCTGCCGGAACCTAGAAGCCTGCATTATTGCAAAAAAAGAAGTAAACGAGTTATACGTCTCATATACTTATGAAGTACATACGCAGTAGTAGTACATACTATACACGCTGTAAGAAGCTGACAGTGAAATGTCCTGTCTGTTATGTGGTACAATAACTGACGTGAGATGTTGTATACAAGGTCAGCGAGTAGCTTAAGGGGGGTACAAACATACCCACACACACCCACACATTTAGTCCTTTTTTCCCCAGCGTGAATTGTACAAGCCTGCCACTTGTTGGTAACCCTTTATTCCCTTAACTATTCCTTTTCTCTATCTTTCTTATCCTACCTCTTCTTCCCATACCTTAAGCATATATACCACCCGAAACCTCCAATTTTCGTGCAATGACCCTGACCGAGGTACATTCCACCGAGATGATGAAGCTTCCTTTCTCTACTCTCCCAATGAGACTAATGAGCGCGTTTTTATGAAATTACTTTAGGAGCAAACAGCAACCACAGGGCCAACAGAGGCTCAACAGCCATGTAAGATATACTACTTGTTTTTATCAACATCTTATCGCATAATACTGAGATATTGAAACTGTTCTTCTCTTTGTATGCTTTCCTTTATATGAATAGCTGCTAACACCAACGAAAAGCCCCAAAGCGATTCAGCCATATCGCTTGTCGAAGCTTCCAATGACCCCGAACCTACCACTGAAAGCTTTACTGCCGATGGACCGAGCAACAGTAACGAGCAGCCTGCCACGGAAGAAATCCCGGTGGTGCCTGACTTTATCAATACTACTGAGTCAACCCCAGCTCCCAATGAAGAGTCTGCTCCAGTAAAAGAGCAAGGTTTTGAACTGGAGCAACAACAAGATAAAACAGAAGAAGGAAAAGCAGATGACGATGCTAAAAGCGCAGAGGAGGAGGAGGAGTCGACGAAGGACGAACATCAACCCAAAGCCGACGATGCACCATCAAGCGAACTAGCAACATCAGCGGAGGAAAAGACGGCACCACAGTCGACAGCCAACAAAAACACCGATGCTATTCAACGCACCCTCTCTATCATTAAACCTGATGCTGTCCAGGCTAATAAGCAAAACGCTATTGTTGCCAAGATTAAGGATGCTGGATTCACGATCGTTCAAGAACGCCAAGTACACCTTACTTTGGATCAAGCACGTCTGTTTTACCGTGAGCACGAAGGAAAGCCATTCTATGGTGAATTGACTCAATGGATGAGCAGGTATGTATCTTAAACAGGGGCTGCAGATGAAACGAGATCTTCAATGATCTTATCGATTAACGCAATACCCTCTATACTAAATTTACTAGTGGACCTATTCATGCGATGATTTTGGAAAAAAACAACGCGATCCAGGACTGGCGTGCCAAAATGGGTCCCACGGATCCTGTCAAGGCGCGTGATATTGAACCAAACAGGTAAAATTTCAAACCTTAATTCTTGACAGCAAAACACAAACAGAAACACATGAGTAAAAAAAAAATTACCGACAAACTATCTTCACCTGACTTGCTCACACATATAATTTTTGTTTGACTAAATTTAGCATTCGCGCTCTTTTCGGTACAGATGGTATGAGCAATGCTACCCATGGAAGCGATTGTCAGACTAGCGCCGAACGAGAGATTCAGATTCTGTTCAAAACGATAAATGGACAAGAAGAAGAAGCAACGACGAAGGAGGGAGAAGTAGAAAAAAAAACCATCACCGAGCCTGTCGTCAATGCCAAGTTGCAAACGAGCGATATCACTACCGAGCAGTCCACTGTCGAGCAACCTGTCAAAGAAGCAGCTGCTGAACCGGAAAAAGACACTACAGACAAGGATGTTGACAATTCGGCTCATGACGACATCGCAACTGAAGCAACGAAGGAAGCTTCCAACAAAACAGACGAGACTGTCACCCTGCAGCAGGAGGCAGAGCCACAGGATGTGGTAGAAACGCATGTTGAGAAACAAGAGGACGGCGTTGCTCACCATCCTGTGACGGATGACAAGCAGGGTGATGTACCCCTCAACGAGGAAGTGCGCCAAGATACGCATGCAGAAGCAAACGGGGAAGCAACAACAACAACTGCAGCAGAGGCACAAAAAGACCAAGAGTCTTTGGCCAAGGTTGATAACGAGGAGCAAGCTCTCATTGAAGAAGTTGATGAGAGAAAGGATGCCGATGACGATCGACCAGCGGTAGCCGGGCAAAAGGACGACGTAACACTTACAGACGAAGAAGCCTCCAAGGAAAACGGAAAGGATGTTATCGAGACCGAGATTGAAAAGCAATTTGACGAGCCAGTAACAACAGGTGCAACCACCCCGGAAGAGCCAATTGTTGAAACTCCCCTTGATCAAGAGTCGACAAAGTGTAGTGAAGGTCAGCATAAAACGGAGCCTGTTGCAGTGTCTACCGGAAAATCTGCTGCTGCAGAAGAGCCTGTTCAGGATCAGGAACCGTCTCTACAGGAATCTGCCAATGTCGAGAATAATGTGCAGAAAACTGGTACTCCGACAGAAAATCTGAAGAAAGAAGCAGAGGAGCAAATAGAAGAAGATCAAAATTCTACCCAGCCAGAGGTCCCAAAGGAGCCGGAAGGAGCAACTCAGAACCAAGAAGACAGCATCGACTGTGTTACTGCTGACGACACTTCTGACCGGCACCAAGAGAACGTGGAAACTGCAAAGGCTCTAGAGGATGACAAAGAGGTGCCAGCCGAGGAAACCAACACCGAACCAGCCCAGTCAAAGAAGGAAGAGGCTGCTTCAACTACAGATGCTGCAGAACCTACAGATACAGTTTTAGAAGCTGCACATGAAACAGTAACTGAGCACAGCAACACAGAGCTTATTGATAAACAAAATGCTGATCCTACTCCAGCTAGCCGAGAATCTGTATCCAAGGATGAGTTAAACAATGAGTCAAAGAAAGAGCCAAAGGAAGAGCCCAAGGATCAATTAAAGGATGAATCGAATGACGAGCCCGAAGAACAGTCAAAGGAGAATCTAGAAGAAGAATCAAAGGATCAGTCAAAGGATGAACTGAATGATAAGCCAAAGGACGTGCTAAAGGACGTGCCAAAGGAAGAACTGACAAAAGAAATGAAGGAAGAGCCCAAGAAAACTAGCAAAACAGTAAAGGCAGCATCGAACGGTTCAGCTGCAAAGAGGGATACCAAGGTAGCCAAAACATCTGAACCAACATCGACGACGAAGCCAAAGTCTCCTTCACGATCTCCGCAACGAACAAATGCTACCAACGGACCTACTGTCAGAACTACAGCAACGGCTGCTAAGAGAGCCTTGCTGGCGGAAAAGAAGACAACGACGACGGCAACAGCAACAAGAACTGCTGCGGCTGTTAAACGAACCAGTCCAACTTCATCAGGTACAACAGCAGCAAAAACCACAACTGCTGCTGGTGGTGCCAGAGTGCCTCGCGTCGCAACTCTTGCAAAGAAACCTGCTCCCAAAACGTCTACTGGTGAAGTAGGAGCCGCCACTGAAAACAAGACACCAAAGACTCGTACGTCGGTCTTTTCTCGATTGTCCGCGCCCACAGCTACTAGTCGAACGCGAACCCAAAGCAACGATTCAGATGATGGAAAGCCCGCCGCTCGAACTACCACAAGAACTACTGCCACTACAAAGACAGCACCTGTTAAACGAGCGGCTCCCACTGGGGCGGCATCGGCGGTATCGACTCCTGCAACGAAACGCACAAGCCCTGCTGTGAGAACGCCTGCTACAGGAACTGCTAGAACGACGACGACTGCTAAATCGACAAGGGCTACTGGCACTACTAACACTACTACTACTACTACTATCACACCTGGTGCTAAACGTGTTGTTCGTAAAGCCCCTACTGCAACAGACACAAAGAAGGTACACGCGGGAGTCTTCTTAACGGCAATTACTCTACGTATTATTATTTACACAATCGGTTTTTCACTATATAGACCACCACTGCCACAACAGAACCTGCCAAGCGCGTAACGTCAAAAACATCGACTGCTATTAGCACGACAAAGCGAACTACTGCAACGGCAACAAAGAAATCATCAACAGCGACTACGAAGGCAGGTGCGGCAAGTGCGATAGCTTCCAAAGCGACTAAAGCTTCAAAGGAAGTTAAAAAGCCAGTAGAGACAGAGCAGAAGCCTGTAGCTGAAGCAGAGAAGAAGGTTCCTGTCGACGAAGCCGAAAAGCCTGCAGAACAAGAGCCTGCTATCGCTACCACCACCACGCCAGAATTGGAAGAGCAGGATGGCAGCGTTGACGAGGTCAATGACGATGAAGAAAAAGAAGAAAAGCCAACAACAGGAAGCGACGTTTTAGAAGACGTTACAGAAAAGATTCTTGGCGAATCTGCAGCGGCCCACGATGATGAAGTGGCTGCTGTTGCTATCAAGCAAGCTGATCCAGCAACAGAAACCCTTCCTGTAGCCGATGGTAAAGTGTCTGCTGGCAGCGCCGCCTCTCGACCCAGAACTCCTGAAGTGGCACAACTTCGTAACAAGTTTGAGTCAAACTCACTTTCTGCAAATGATACTGCAAGCACTACTAATACTGTTAAGGACGCCCGAGCACGATCACCTAGTAACCGCGTTAAAGATATGATCAATCGCTTTACTGCTTGAAATTAGCTTTAATAATTTTTTCTCGCCCTTACAATTTTTTTCTTCGATTAGAAGCTACATATATTATACTGTAATTTTTTTCTTGTTCCATCCATACGAAAACAGGCACTTGACATGATAAATAACTTTGGCTTGTTTGTTTTAATATTTACTCTCCCTTCTCACTTAAACTGTGTACGCGTATACGTAGAAATGCCGCTTTGTACTTGGCACTTTAAATCGGCAATGACGTGATACATAGCATTTCCATCCTCGTTCACCAGCCATTTAATTATATCCAGCTTAAAGTTTTGATGATTTACAAGTCAACACGTTTGCTGCACTTTGCCCGTCAAAGCGAGGATTACTACCACCGGCATCAAATTTTTAATGAGAATATCTTCCTTTACACGGATGATTTGACCGCGCCAAACAGTGAGTCACCCCGTTCTCAGCTCTTTAACAAGTTTAAGAGATACGCCGCCCTCGAGGTTTACAAATGATGTGTTTAAGTGACCCCAGGAACCGATTGGAATGAGGATATGTTGCCTGCTCAACAGGAGAAGAAATGCAAATTCTGGGGAGATTAAAAGTGCGCTGAGGATTGGCAAGATAGTGCATCATGTTCATAATGAACTGGACACAACCTTGGCGCTGCATATAAGCACCTACAGTACTACTGTATGGAAGGAAATATCAGCGGAGCATTATATAACTTTCCCTCGGCTACCATCAATAATGATGCCCTTATATATGTCCAAAACAAGCCTCCAATTCATGGTCGCCGGAAGATGACTTGCGTGTAATCCTGGATTAACTTAATATATATGATACGGGCGCTTTCCAGAACTACAGTGATAGCACTCGTCAAACGGAAGCCGATTAGCATCTCGATGTTGATCGGTGGTAATACCGCTCCGATCGAAAACAAAAAAGATGTTGGGCGCGATAAACATTGGACGGCGCACATTTATACATGAAAATAGTTTTTTATGATAAGTTATCATGAAGTTGGTTTACCTTGCGGTAATAGATGTAAACTTACCATATCCATCTGCATATGATGCCCACCAGACTGAGATCTAAGATATTGATGATTATGGTAGATATACATTGGTATCATTAAAAGAGATGACGCCAAACATTCTGCTTCGTTAGTAAGAGCTATGTTCACCAATGATCCAATCATGAGAGAATGAATCGCCACTGTTTCAATGGTATCTTCAAAACCAACTAGCAAGCGTAGTGTGAGAGTGGTTACCGGTGATATTTGTCATCGTAGCAATTGTATTGAAGTCGGTTTATGTCGCAGGTGATACCGGTAATTGAGGATTTCCAGAAACAAAAGAAAGGAAGCGCTTCTGTCACATAACGTTGCTCCAAAGTTCTTGCTCTTGATTGTAAGCAGAGGAAGCAGGATCGAATGGTTCTTCACCAGTCCGTCCGAAGGAGATTGATTTATGTGTAAGTCATAATTATCTTCTGACAGATTATTATTTTTCCTCATTAGATGCTTTATGCCGAGCCTATACGTACAGAATATGGGATCTGAGTACGATGGCGAATATGGTATACTTTTTATACATACTGCGAAATTACTTGATCATGAATGGAGGCGGTCGCACCTAGCGTGAGCTTGTCGTTTGTTTCGGGGTAACATCGTCGACGGTATGTAAGTATGCTTTCTTTTTTCTTGACCGAAAGGCACATCAACAGCAAGTAATATTACTTGATACGTAGCATAGAGCTACTACAGTAGATACCTTACCTGAAGAATTGTTGATTTTTTATCCGTAGATGCATTGGTATGATACCTTCAATAATAAAAATGATTAACCGTTTGTATTTTTGGTCAAGCTATTATTGCCACCATCCATAGCAAGTTGCAATTATCATATTTATAGGAATGGAAGACCTATACGGTAGAGAGGATTATGAGAAGTTATGATAGAAAAAAAAAGACCATTGATCTTCTTTTAGGGAAAAATAAGAGCGTCACATCTGTAAGCCTCCAATTTCCATGCAAATCATGTATATGTTGTGTGCATGAACATTATGCAGATGAAGCGCTAGAAGTGGAGCCCACCCACATTGTCGGGATAAGAAAACACACAGAATGAAACATATTATTAATCGCCGTGCTCTTTCCAATACATAATGTCCGTGTTTCTGGGCTTGGATACTTTGCTTCTTGTTACGCGTCTCCCAGCTTTGCCAGCTTGGGTGTCGACTTTGCCGTCTGCATTTCCGTTTTGACTGATGGATACAATACAAAATAGATACTTTTCTCTAGTAGTTATCGCTTCAGGGAGTGTTGCCACGGTAGCAGTGGATGTATACGTAAAATAGAAAAAGAAAGTGAGGACTGCTTTAAGACGAATGTGCAGAGTATGTTCATCAGAGAGAGAGAGAGGGCTGCAGAAGTGAGATGTCATCATAAGAACATTGCGCTCATATTCTGTGAAAAAAAATCTCCGCGGCGTGTTAGATTGCATGAACAACGGTCATTCTTCAAGAATCTTTCCACTTGCAGCTCTTTTCCCCACTCTTACAACTTTTATAAACTCACCACCACAGAACAATGTCCTCATCTCCTTCATGCTTGACCCGTTTCTTGACCGACCCATGGTCTTCAGCTAAAGTTGTCGTTCCTTCCATTGCAATCGAAGTCGTCCTGCACAAGAAGGTCTGGGAAAAGGCCTCGTTGCGCCACCTCACCTTGTACTTGACATTGGCCAATGCGTACTGGTTTGCCACCTCGCTCAATTTCAACCTGTTCGAAACGCCATTGCTGTGCCAAGTACCCAGCTTGGATGAGCGCCAAAAGGTTGACGTTGGAAGACATCGATACGGATGGCTAAACAAGGTCGAAGTAAGTGTAATCGAGTGGCACCTTTGTAAGAAGGAAAAAGTGTAAATAGGACGTCTTTTTCCATTAACAATTGGCACTTCTCACCGTATCATTAGTTGGTCGTTGGCGTCGTGACCTTGGATCTTTTCTGCGAATGGCGCAAGCGCATCATTGACCGTAACGGCTTTGTGGATCTTTGCTTGTCAAGCGCTGTGCTTGCGCCCGCGCTCATCACGGTCGCACAAGGCGCTTACTTCTTGCCCAAGTTGCTGGACCGTTGCTGGAACGACAAGCCAGCGACTACCGTGACTGGTGTCGACAACTCGTCGTGCTGCTCGGAAAAGACCTGCTGCCGAGCCTACATTGGCATCGAAGCTGCCAAGGTTGTCGGATTGGCTGTGGCTGGCCTTCGCTTTGGTAAAATGTTGACAGTTTAATGATACGAAACGTAGAAATATAAGTTCGTTTTGTTGTGACAAATAAGAAAAAAAGACATGCTGCAAATTTTTAATATTGAGATGAAAGGGAAAAAATTACAAGAGAAGTGCGTGTAGGGTGTGCGTATGTGTGTGTTTCTTTTTTGGTTTGAATTATGGCTTCACACCAAGAGTGAGTCGGATACCCAAACTCATCAGCTCGGTCGTGAGGTATCTAAATACATATGGGATTGCTACCAGTTCAATGCCCTCTGCGGTGCCGCACGTCCGACATTCGAACGTACGTTTGTTTGCCAATGTTGATACAATCTTGGTGCAGATCGGTGACACCAGCGAGCCACATAGTCGACAAACATGGGCCTATACAGTAATTGTGGCGTCAGCATGATGTCAGATATACAAACATATAAGCGAAACAGATGTTTTTTTTTTACCTGTGAGTAATCGGAACAGTTCATTAGGCGATCTTGAAGCAAGAAACTGGTGCCGTGAGCAAGTAAAGAGTCACGCTCCATTTCACCAAGACGAATACCACCGTGGCGCTTACGACCCTTGACAGGTTGCATGGTCAGGTTGTGTACTGGACCCGTAGTACGGACCTGGAACTTGTCGTTTACCATGTGTCTGAGACGCTGGTAGTATACAACCTAAAAATGTACACCCAATACTGTGAGCCTTCGGTGTTCGTCCAAACCTTTGCCCATCACCGCCAAGTACTACTTACACCAATATAGATATCCATCTTCATTTCTGTGCCAGTGATACCGGAGTACATTGGCTCGTTGCCATGGTAACTGTAGCCAGCCGCTAATAACTGCTCACCAAAGTGGTCTGCTGCTGTGTGTTGTTCATTGAACCTAATCAATGAAGCGTGAGCAGCTGGGGTCTTTCCCAGTCGGAACTATAGCTAGAGTAAAAGAAGAGGAGGAAACAAAACACCTACTTGAAAGGAGTACTGTCTTGCGACATACCATGCAAAGCACCAGCCTTGCCTGCCAAACTCTCGACAAACATACCGATGGTCATACGAGAGGGGAAAGCGTGAGGGTTAATGATGACATCAGGCTGCATGCCAGATTCTGTGAAAGGCATATCGACTGCAGGCCATTTCTGCGAGCAAACACCCTTTTGACCGTGTCTGGAGGAGAACTTGTCACCAATGACAGGGGAACGGGTGATGCGAAGCTTGATGTGTACTTTTTGTAATTCAGAGTTGCCGAGGTCGTCGCCGAGGACACGTACTTCGTCGACATATGCGTCTTCAGGACCCTTGTATTTCTTGACAAGACAACGGCCAGTTGCGTCGTCAATGTATGAGTAAAGCGGATCGTCTGCTTTAAGGTGTGCGCCAATGTGTGGTAAACCGTCTGTGCCGAGGTAATCTTTGCAAAACTTGGATTTGGATCGATCGAGACCAAAGTGGTAGGATACAGCTTCACCAGGGCTTCGCATTGTTTCCAGATCGACGATTTCGGATTTGTAGACTGTACCATAACCAAAGCCACGTTCGTGTGCTGACTTGTTGAGAATCATGGCGTCTTCCATATCATAACCCGTGTAAGAGATGACGGCAACAATGGCATTTGTGCCGTTAGGAAAACCATCAAAACCATAAGAATCGTGTAATGTGGGTCGAACGACTGGAGTTTGGCCGGTTTGCAAGCGGTACATCTTGTTATCAGTTCTGTGGTTGAAGACTGTAGAAGGTGTACCCATGGTTTGTTTACCCATCTAATAAAAAAAAACCGAATTTAAATACTCAAGCGTCGCTATCACCAAGAAAAAAACTCTCTTTTTACCTGACACTGGTACATGTTTCTAGGCGACTGGTTAAAGTCAGAGAAGGGGGTCATGTTGGCGACAATGCTGAAAATGTTGGTCGGTGTGAATTCTTGATGAGTCGTGACACCAGGCACAACTTCATCATCCATGCATGCAATATCCATGTAAACCTGCTCGAAGGTACCGACACGATCTTCTTTACCGTTGGCAAGGAACTTGATAGGACGCATCATACGTGCAGGGGATGAGAAGATGTAAAGACCGGGATATTCGCCACCATAGGACGTTGGGACATGAGCAATTTCAATGTCGTGAGGGATGTCCTTTTCGCGGTTAACACGCCAGAACTTGAGGCTCTTGGCGACCTTTTCAGCAGTTTTTGGTGTACACCAGCCAACGACACGACCGTCGAGCAAAATAGCAATATCGCCAGGCCGGCCAATCGAGTGAAGAAGAGGCTGTGAAACACCCAATGCACCGAGCAAAGCAGGCAGATTCTCGACGTCAAGAGGCTCGTTGATAACCTTACACTTGTGTGCCAAATGGTTGAGCAAACCACATGGAGAACCATCAGGTGTGTGGACAGGACACAAGAAACCCCAAGCTTCGGGAAGCAGTTTACGGACAGCAGTTGTTTTTAATTCAGCAAAGAAAGCACCACGATGGACACACCGGAAGTGAGAAATGTAACGGTAAAAGTTGAGCTTCTCGGCGACGATGGTGTAGCCACTCATCTGATAGATATTACGTAGTTAGCTTCTCTCCATTTTCAACAGTCAATTTTCTTCACAGATGTGTATTTACCTGCGACAAATCCAGACCCGTCTTACTGACAAGATTACCAGTAGCAAGGAAATAGTTGAGTTTTTGACCCATATCCGAATTCACCTTTCTGATAGTGTTCAAAACGAATTTTCCTAAAATCATAGTCGTTTCAGCAAAACCGATACACCTCGTATTCCCACGGTAGAACTTACTGTCATGGAAGTCAACTTTTTCAGGAGACAGTCTGACGGAGGTACGGATTTGAGCCTTGATACCAGCAAGCCAATCGTAAATCTTTTCCTTCAAAATCATATTGTACAAATGACCAGGCAAGAGAATTTCTTGGTGCTGAGGAGAATCCGGATTGTCAACACAGCATTCGCCCGATACCACAGCATACAGCTTACGGATCATGTAGCTATTTGAATAAAGAGGGGAGGAAGAAGAGTTCGTAAGACCTTTTAGCACATGTAATCATTATCCCTCCCCTCCACCTATTTTTCAATGTTGTATAAAAAGCTTACATTAACAAGTTGAATTTATCACGGCCATTCTTCAAATGGACAAGGACGATCTTATCCAAAAGTGCCTGACCCACTTCCTTGTCCGATAAATCATCATCCAATCCCATGATAATGCGGAACTTGTTACCGAGATAGCTCAAGCATGCATCGCGGGTGTACAATGAGTAAACCTTAAAGCTACGCAAAAGCAATTCGACACGATCAGTCAAAAAGGTGTTCTTGACATCGCCCTGGCACAAGGCATCGAAAATCTCCTTATCAGAAGTATCGACCAACGCCTTGAGGAAAAGCATGACAGGCACCATGTATTCCTGCTTACGCCAGTGGAAACGAAGCATGGCATTACCGTCGTTCAAGTAGTGGAGCGTGTTGGTCTGCGTCGACTGATCGGGGCGGGCACAACGGATAGCAACACCATACTGTGAATAAGTAGGACCACGCTTTTGGAACGAGTTACGCATAATGGCAGTAACGTGGTTGCGTCGGGGCATAATAAGTAGACGGACAAGTTTTTCGATACCGTTCACAATAAAGTAACCGCCCATTTCTTCGGATTCTTCGTGGTGCTTAACGAGTTGCTTCGGATACATTCCACGGAGATTGCAGCGGTTGGAGCGAACCATGATGGGAATCAAACCCATATCCTTGACTTCGGACGAGACAGGACCGTCGTTGACTCGCCAGCAGAATTTGACTTGGAATTTACCACTGTAGGTTTTTAATCGCTCACGGGCTTCGGTGGGATAGATCAATCTATTCGTCGATCGAGTGTCTTTGTCGCTCACAATGGGTTGAATGATCTTTGGATCTTCCACCCAGTACGTCAGCTTATTGCCCAACGACTCGGGGTCAGATACTTCGCCAAAGCCGGTGAGGTTGGTGTCGAACGCCGAGACTTTGCCAATGTCTTTGATAGCATAGTTGAGGAGACCTTCGCCAGTGCCGCCAAAATCGGTAATGCTGTTGAATGATTCAATGTGGGGCAGGGCAACCTCTTGCAGCTGTGGAACGCCAAAGCTGCTGTCCGAGGGCTCTCGGAACATGCGCTCCCGTTCCAAAGTATGAAAAGTTGACGGCATTGGGAGCGGTTTGGAAGGGGAGTTGTGTGTGTGGGAGGCGGGTTTCGATATAAAGCAAAAAGTTCGGAAAACGGAAAGGGCTGTCAGAAAAAAAAATGAGTGGCGTAACACCGTCACGATTTTACAAAATTGGAAATCAGCCCTTATTGCTTGACCACATTTTTATGTTCTTTGATACAGATGGTTGTCATGTTTATTGCTATGATACAGAAGCAAAGTTATTATTGCTTTTCATACATTTCGTAAAGAGTATGTACAAGTCGGTCTAAAACAAGGGTAATGTTTTCATGGACTAACGCTGGCAGACGGTCTCGTTTGAAGCCGAGCCATTCGACAGGCGGTGTTGCATCGCCCATTATTTGCAGCTGTGGATGAAAGTTGACAGGAGCGCTCGACTTGTAGCAAAGTCCGCCTTCTTCAACTGCTGTAGATGGTGTGGGTAACGGCGCTTGCGGCTGATTGACTGCCACGCCACTATCGAAGCTGCGTGCATCTTCAGTTGGAGCGCCTGACGGTCTTCGGCCCGTAGAGTCATGCTGTAGTGCACGTTCCATTTGAGTGGTGAACATGTTGGCCAGTTCTTGCAAGTAACGAATCAGACCGAGGTTGAGAGATACATTGACACGGCCACCAAAGCTGGCAGAAAAGATATGCTCGACTTGACGCTCCAATTGGTTCGATTCCATCTGAAGTGAGACGTTTGGTATACCAAAAATAGACACCCCTCCACCTCCACTTTCTGCAGCCTGTTTGGCCGGCGTAGTAGTCGTCGCCGTCGTCGTCGCTGGTGCAGCTGATGCTAGACTTCGAGAATTGTCGTTACTATCGCCATTGATATTGCTTGCCGATCCAGCATCAGCAGCAGCAGAAGAAGAAGAAGAAGATGCATGGGCGCTTGCCTCGGCAGCTGCCTGTCTTTCCTTCTCCTTGGCTGCGTTCCGCTTGACCATCAATTTCACACCAGGTACATTCTTCATCAACGCTGCGCCCGCAAGACGTATTGCCAATGTACGGTGCTCTTCTTCCTGCTGACTGTTGTCCATGAACTCCATGTTTTGCAGCAATACAAGATGTAAATCATATGCACAGAGCTCCACGTTATCCGCATCCTGGAATTGGCTTGGGTAAATGACAACCTCGACTGAATCCAAACGTACATCGACATTGCTGGATATGTGAGCAAGACTTGATGATGGTCGTGGTTGTCGATTGGTTGGAAATTGCTCTGGGGATGATTGCTGCTCTTGCTGCTCCTGCTTCTGCTGTACACCGTGTAACGTGTCTAGAACACCAGCTTCAATTTTCTTTTTCTCCAATAGCTCAGTAAAGCGCTTGTACATGGTAATGATGACTGGAACTGCCTTGATGGATACACATGCAAGTAAGGGTTTGGCCCTTGCTGTCATGTCCAGTTCATATGCCCCCTTTTTGGCAACGAGTTGTGCACGGAATTCGATGGGTTCCTGAATGATATCCAAAAGGTGCTGGAACTCGTACTCGAATGTAGCACTGAATCCATCCATGAACAGCAGCAAAGATGGGGCTCGATTTTCCCTTGGCGCCTTGATGTCGTAATAGGCAAGCTGGAGCATAAGGCGATCGAAACGAGCATCGCCAGATAAGCGTCCTTCTGACGTTATGCGGATCCTGTCCAAAGACATTGAAAGTGCTTTCGAATTGGACGGAACATGGTGCGTGGTGATTCCAAGATTTTCAGGCGCGAGCGTTACTTTGCCAATTGCTTGACCGAGGTCGACCGAAAGCTGGATCACACCCGTATGTATTGAGACGTATCGAGAGAACGGTTTGGGCGCTGGCGCTTCAGCGGCTGCCGTTTCTTGATGTTGCTGGGGCTGCTGCTGTTGATGGTGATGGTGATGATATTGTTGTTGTTGGGGTGTTTCTTTGCTTGACTTTCCTTGTTCGAACCAGAAAGCGTTCAAGATAAGCAAATCTTGGAGGTGTCGGACGTTTACATCAACATTGGCTGACGGTAATTTCACAATAATGGAGATAACGTCACCATCGGATACCCCTTGGCTTCGCTCGGAGGTTAGCATGGCGTTCATCAGCAGCTGGTCGATGCGTGCCGTCAAACAAGCCTCGGGGGAGAAAAAGTGCTTGACAGTGGCAGATAGATTGTTGATGTATCCAACGCAGCTCATGGTACGTGATGCCGATTTCTCGTTTGACAACGAGTGCATCAAGAACTCGCTTTCTTCCCAGCTTATCGAGCATACGACCTTGGATGCAGGCTGGCAGCTGAGGTCCAACTTGGTTCGTGATAAGCGTAGTGCAAGCGACGCATTGATATTGCTTTCAAGTGCTGAAGACGTTGCTGCTGTCGTTGATGCCGTCTCTGTAGTCGCCGTGCTCGACCGTATTGCCTTTCGTTCACTTGATTGCTGCATACCAAACTTGAGACCAGCAATGACTTCCTGTAGGAACTGGACAAGAGATGGATGGAGTGTGTTGTCGCTTTCATGGATCCTAATATCGCCATGGAATCGTGGCGCCTCGTGGACGACAGAGGCAAGCGGCCCGAGTGGGGTTTGGTAGGTGAACCAAGCAGTTAGACCAGGGACCTTGATCGTCGCCATCTTGGCCGCGTTTTCGTTACTTGTCACCGATTTGGTCGCTCGCATCCGTTTGCGGTTGGTTTCGCCAGAATGTCGCTTGGGATACATTCTTACCACACCACTTTGGTATTCAAACATGCCTTCTAAATCCAAGTGTACAAGCTCGTTGTTGCTACCACTGCCGCTTGTACTGTTGTCATTACTGTCATTACTGTTGCTGTTGCTGCTGCTGCTGCTGCTGCTGCTGTTGTGGTTGTTGCTCACGCCACTCGCTTTTGTGAATGCGTTGACGCGGTCTTTACTCTTGACGTAAATCACGTTCAGTGCGTTGACATATTCTGAGAACGCACCATCAATGTCGACTTCAAAACCCCCTACTTTGGCGTCAATCTTGATAAACTCTTTGGGTTTCTCGCTGCGGGTATACACATGACAGGCGATCGATGGCAGGTGCATCTGGTTCATACGTGGGTGACGCTCGGCCAAAAAGTGTTCCTCGTTGTTTTGGTCGAACCGTTTGACAAACTGCAGCGATATCTTTTCCAGAGTCGCCGCACTCTTTTCAATGTCCTTTGTCAAGAAATGAATTGATGCGACAGAAAGCAATAATGCGCTCGTTTCTTTGGGTGGATAATAATGATGCGGGTGCTGGTGGTTTGAAGGAGACGTTACTTCCAAGGGTATCGCGACACCCAGACGCTGAACCGAAAGTGAGAGTAGCTTGCCCTCCCACAGAGAATGTGTTGCCTCTTGATATTTCGGAACATCCCGCTTGAACGATTGGACAAGACGTTTTGTAGTCTGGGCGATCTGGTCAAGCTCGGTCTTTTTCATTTCCTTCTTCTTCTTGAGTTCCGAATCATAGTAAATGTACATCTCGGCAAGTTTTCCAAGCGCAATGGGCTGCATCACGGTCTGTATCCGGCATATATCCACATAGAAAGGCTGGATACCGCTGTCATGCGTCGCGGAGTCTTGTGGAAAGTGGTTTTGGACCTCAAAATCGGTGACAATGTACGCAAGTCGATTACGGTGGTTTTGCTGATTGCCTGATTTGCCTGCACTGCCTATTGAGGATGCTGAGGATGGTGGCAGTCCCGTGTTGTGCTCTAGCGATAGTGCAAAGTTGTAGCCTTTCACCTTCCATAGCACTCTGTCAGACTCGCTCGTATCGTTTGACAAATGCGCCTCCAGGCCGTTCGATTCGAATACACCCAAAGCCGACGGACTCGCTGCAGATATTCTCAAACCACTCAGATTCACGTCCATCGAGTACTTGACGACCGTCGTCGCAGCGCTGGAAGAAGCAGAGGAAGTAGATGGTATGTCATCTTTTTTCTTTCGTTTCTTCTTGTCGTACGAAAGCACTTCAATAAGCTCGCCAATTTCGTTACCAAGCAGTGATTGTGCAGTCAAGAAAGAGTCGATCATGCTGACGTTGAGCGACAGTGAGATAAAGTCGACAAAAACCATAAAGTGCAAGCGCAACTGCGTTCCTCCACTCTTGTTGGTCTCGCTTCTGAGGCTTCCGGTACTCCGAATACCTGGAATGCTGAATGTGCCGCCCGAGTATTCATCGTGTATCTGCTTTTGTGGTTGACCAGCCGGGCTGCTGCTTTTGGCGATCAACTGAATCTCTTGTTTGGAGAGTTGCACTGCGTACTTTTGCACAGGCTGCGCCTTGACTTGGATCTCGTCAACCATGACGAAAAAGTCGTCGATGAGGTACTTGACACTCAGGGACGGCAATAAATCAAACAACACTTCAAACTGGTTGAGCAAGAACTGGAGCTTGAGATCATACTTCTTTTCCACAGAAACGGCTTTGCTGCTGTTGACTGCAGTACGATCATTGTCTAAGCGGCGGCTACCAGAAGAGGGATCCACTCTGAGGTGTGATGCAGCAGTGGCCACTTTACGCTGCTCTTCCCATTCGTTCAGCAGATTCTGGAAAAGGAACTCGTAACGTTGTCCTTGTTCAGAACGCCAATCTTCGATAAATTCGTACAATCGGAGCAGGCTTTGGGGAGCATGAATATTGAACTTGTGGATATTCGAAAACACATTCAGTACTTCTCTGTTGCTGCTGCTGACAGTAGGTTCAATTGAATTCCTAGACTGCTTGCGAGTCGCTCGGGTGGGTTGAGAAATGTTGGCACTGACGTTGGCTCCGTTGAGGGTAATCACCAAAAGTTCGTCGATGGATTTATATGTTTTCATCTCGTAGAAGCGCGCATCAATGTACTCAATGCCACCTGCAGCCTCGAGAATAAGTCTATTACTGCCACTGTTGTGCCGTCGAGACGTCTTGTTGGAACTACGGACGCCAGAACCAGAGTCAGATTCTGCTCTTTCAGAGGAAGAGAATATATGGAGTGGCGTCAGCTTTGGATTGGAGAACAATGCGGAGCCTTGGATTTCGCGCACTTGGCTTTGCATAGTCAGCTTCTGAGCGCGTGCACAAACATCGATATATTGCACTGTCACCAGAGCTTGGGCGACGACGTCCACTCGCGACATCAGTGCATCGAAAGTGACTGGTGTTGAGTCAGACGTGGTTGCAGCAGTAGCAGAAGGATCAGTAGAGATTGTCGTGGCGTGGGATAAGCTGCGTAGTCTGGCCGTAAAGACACGCTGCACCGTAAGCATGTGGCGAGCAAAGGCCAAAATAGCCGGGTTGGTGTTGATTCGAATTGAATCGACACTCGCCTTTGCGATCACATCGAGATAGCCATCCCTTGGCACTCTGGCGTGTCGTCTTTCAACTTCGCCGCTTGCTCGTGACACTGGTTCTTCATTGGAAATAGGTGGACGTTTGTATTCAGTATCCACTGCCAATTCGACGGGACCAATAGCAATACTGTTATCATCTGTTTCTTGCTCCTCCTCAAAGATGCAGAATTCAAACATCTCGATCCGGATTTTGCCCATATTCACTGAAGAGATGAGCAGCTCTACCAGCTTGTCAATATCGGACAGTTGCTGCTCGGACCTGTCGATGTTGATGGTGGGCATGTTAAAGGGCTGTGTGAACAGGCGGCATTTCAAAATGTTGGCTTCGCCAATCTCCCAGCTTCTCCAGAGCGACAAACTCTTGACAACGTTTTCAAACATTTGCTTAGAGCTCAACTGAGTACTATCCATGCTTTGTGAAAGCCTGTACTGTAAACGAGCGCGAGTACCAGCGTCGATGGTGCGCAGACAATACCGCATTCGAGCTAGCAGTTTCCAGCCAACGTCGTTTCGGAAGTTGCGCGAGCCAAGACGTAGCACAGTGGCTGGTTTAGTCAAAAACAAGGGGTCGCCGACTGTGCTCGGATGTTGTGAAAAGCCTGATAATTCGTGGATAAACATCTGGATTTGGCGAGACCGCTGATTTTGGAACCGTTGTAGAATGGCTTTAAAATCGTCAACAAATACCAACCAAGAGTAGACAGCGCCAACAAGGATCTCCACCGCCTCTGTGATGATGATTGTTGATATCCCATCAATGGTAAGGTCAAAGTAGTTGGGTTTTGTAGCACCCAGCCATTTGAACGCAAACTTCCGCACCACGAAATCCACCACGACAAGTTCCGTCGTAGCATTGTCATCCTGATGACTGATATCGTTCTGGCTCGACGAGCGTGTATGTTGGCGTGCTCGTGGAATGCCAAATACCATAGGCTCATGTGCCGTCTCGTGCCGTTCACTGACATACTGTACTTTGCATTCCAGGTCGCCAACATCAATGTGGACACGTGACTCGCGCAAGATCATTTTTGATTCGGCCACGGATTTTTGTTTCTCGTCATACGCTTCGTCTTCAAACTTGACACTGCCAATCATGCTGAAACTATCGAGAATGACATCGGCAGAGCAAAGCATTGTTGCGTCTTGCTCGTCATACTGGGTCTTGATGTGCGACTTGCCGTCTTTGTAGGATGGTAAGTCGTCCGGAAGCATGACGTTTTGGATGAAATGAAAATGGGTTTTCGGCAGAGATACAGCAAACCGTGTACAGACAAACTGGTCGGTAAGATATCGCGTCAGCTGACCCACGTATTCGATCTGCAAAGCATCTAACATGGATTCCAAATCCCAATCCTATTTGAGGTTTGTTTAAAAAGACGAGTTTGATACAGTTAACTAGCTTCACATTATCATGGATCCTTACATAGCGATTGACAGCTTCAGATACTTCTTGAACAATCTTCACCAGGATAGGAGTCATAAGAATCTGCAAAGGACTCGTCGCCTCAAGGATCGCGGTAACAACCACTTCATTGCCGGTATTACCGTCTCCATCATGAATTGCGCTTTCTGAGCTGGTGCTGCTGATATTTGACAGTGTGTCTGTGCCTGGAAAGAGAAAGACAGGGTTATCCTTTCTCTTGTTTTCCGCGTCTGTGTCAAATCCGCCGATCTTTTTACGGTGGCCCTCCTAAAGAAGAAGAAAAACGCACATACGAATTATGAGAAAAAGACTCATTGGATATATATATATATATATATATATATATGATTATAGGAAGCCATAACTGTAATAAACGAAAAGTGATTTTTACCTTGAGTGGTACGAAATGGGTTTTTGGTGGAGGCAGATAGGGATGAAAAAACCCTCTTGTCCGTGTACCCGGAGGGGATGCAGCTTTGACCGCATAGCGGTTCAGATAGCCACTATAAGGAATGGATGGAGGAATGGTCATAACTTCTGGTGCTTTGCCTTTGTGGTGCTCTTCACCCCACTCCTCATTATGTGATGAATCGTCTAAACAAAAGATATACACATCGAAATTAAAATTACTAGCTAGTAAATACGTATCTTTTAGTTTAGCTTCTTACCATCAGTGTCAGAAACTTCCCTAGAATCTGAGCTATAGTGATCGTATAATTCCATCACTTCCAATTCTTGTCCTGTGGGAGGCGTACTCCTACTTGCAGGATCATTGGAATATGCCGTGTGGAAAGACTCGTCATCATTGGATTTGACGCTCTGGCGAGACCGCTTGTCCAGATATGAGGGCCCGTCAATCCAATCACTCACGTATGAGCCGACGCTAGGAACATCACTTGCACCTCCTGCACCTTTGAATGATCGGATTGCATAGTTTTCCGGCTGTTGTGAAGGTGTGCGCATCAGGTAGCCCGGATTAGGCTCTCCATCGAATCCGGTATCATGTTCCTCTACGTAATTGTCGTTAGCGCAGTCAGTCAATCTAAAGCCATGCGATTCTCGTAGAGTGGCCAAAAAAAAATTACCATAATGAAACGAACGATAAGGTGGTGCATATAAAACACCGACGTGATACTCATTTGATGTATGTGAAGCAGCTATTATCGGTAAGGTATGCATTAATTGAAATGATCCATTTTCTTTCGTTCCCCGTTTGCCTTTGCAAAAAAAGCTCAGCCAAACCCAATTACCATTCGATTCGTGGTCAGCGTCGTACAGGTGGGTACATCGACGTGTTGCATAATCTTGGGCCCTGATAAAGTTTTGCTGTGCGTTTCGCATTTTGCGCCACTCCTTTGAATGCCTGAACACGGTTATATTCATGCCAGTAGTAAGCTTGGCCACTTCAACCCATGAAAATTCGCTCTATACAATTGATTTAGATAAAGTGAGAGAGAGTTAGTTCATCCATATTCGTTAGGGGTAGAGAAATCCAAGTTACCTGTCAACCAGAATAATTTCAGCATTTACTTACTTCTACAGCACCTAATCCTTGTATGTGGTTATCCTGGTTTGCAAGGGTCGTAGCAACCAAAGCTGGTATATTGACATTGACGCGTTGGTTGTACTTCTCGTTGACAAGATTATCAAACTCGAGTGAAAGACCTTGATCGATGCTAACTTTGGCAGCACTGTGATCGTTCATTAGATAGACATCTACTTCTTTGACAGAAGCCTTGAGAAAAGTGACATCCGGATCAGCGGCTGGTGCTATCTCTGCTGGTACGGCATTATCTTCATCAATCAAATCATAGGCGAATGTCTGCGCAAAGTTGGTTGTTCCCAGTAAGAAGGATGGTTTCACCTCGCCAGTGATGCGTCCCACTTCAAAATCCCAATGACACAAATACGTTGCTATCTCTGGTAACGGGCCAAACAACCGGTGTGCGTATATACTTAATTCTATCCAAAAGATTAGAGGGTAGTAATGAGTGACCGTTGCGCATATTATAGGACGTTTTCCTGACTTTGATCATTTACCATCAATATACAGAAAGTTTCCTTGATCGCGTCCGTTTCTACTACGCACGAACGCCTTTTTAGAGCTCGGATCGGTATAACTCTCGCGAGTCCAAGTAATTGGACTGACCGTAATATACATGTCTATAACAATAACGACTTGAGTCAGTAATTTGTTCATATCTGTATCGTTCGCTTGATCTGTTCTATATACCCATATAAATATCCAAGTTTCGTAATTCAACTTGCAGCTCCTGGATATCCATTTGGGAATAGTGTGAGCAATCGTATAGATTCTCCGGCAAAAGTAATGATCCATCTTGAATATCGACGAGGACATAGACTTCAAAAGGATCTTGGATAGCCTGTAAATACAAGATACCAAGTCAGTCGGAAAAAAAGGTCCCTTTCTTAAACATGGCCGTTTCTTTTCTTACTTTGGCATCAGCTTGTCGTTTTTTCATTTCTTGATATTTTTGTGGCTCTTGTCGTCGTTGCCGATATTCGTCAATGGTTGAAAAGTTGATCCATTGACCTGCATAGTTGTCTTTCAGGATAATAATGTAGCGAATAACAGTACCAAACAGCTTGCACGTGACACCGTTCAGCTAAGTAATAGTTACATACAACATCAAAGTACCGTATCATGAATTCTCGCAATCCCGACTTTTCTTACCTTGATGTTTAGATTGAGTGATTCAATATGCCGTAAGACGTCGACTGATGTGTAATATTCGTAGGAGCCTTCGATAGCAACACTAACGCTCATGCCAAATTGTGCATTCTCTTTTTCCATGAACGCGCTGAGAGTATGTGAGCTTTGGAGTGATATGCCTACATCGAATTGCTCAAGCTGATCATATGTAAGATTTAGTAAATTACCTTAAAAATCATATGGAAGGCTAATATTAAACTACACATTGATATGTTGGAGTTCGCTTACATCAGCATGGAACTTGATAACATTAATTTCTGGCTCGAAATCGACAAAAGGCAGAGTCATGGTATAACATAGCTTGCTGGTATGTAACTTGATGTATGCTACAGAAACATCCACGTTAACACCCCGTTTGTTTGTTAACATTGTTCCCATTGACAAGCTACTTACCATTATCGTCCAATGCGTTGGGATTACTAATAATATTATGTTCGTTTACGCATAGGTAGATAAGGGGTTCATGTATATTGACAGTAAAATTGTAAGTAACGGGTATAAAATGGAGGAGATCTGCCGGAGGAGTGGATGTCCAGTCTTTGATGAGATCTTGGAACAGAAAAACATGGTCGCGAAGAAGGAAGACTTGAGGCTCTCTGACGGAACCGTTGAATTCCCATTCACGATGTGTATTCCAAACGATGGGTGAGTGCATATGTACAGATAGCTATAGAAAAAGTTACATGAGAACCTGACTGAACCGTGTTTTTTTAAAAAAGCACACTGTTAGTGTTGCATCTTCTCTACTACCTCGAGATGCTTGGCTTGTAGTAATGAAGCATAGTTCACACTCGTAGATGCATCAATGTCCTTCAAGTGAATATCAGCAGTGGATGTAAATCCATCTGATCCACAGACAAAAGGAATGACAACTTTCACGGTAGATCCAGCAGCTGCCTTGGCATCGATCCAGCCGTAAGGTCGGGTATAATAGCCATCGGCACCGAGATCTAAATCGGCCGATTCGGTCTCGTATTTCCAGTCCTTTTCAGTAAACCATGTTAGTTTTGCACTCTTTCTTATCCCTTCCATCTCCTGTTTTGCTTTACCTTTGACTTTTCTCGTGTTGGCACACGTAATGTTCCTTCTGTCATTAGCTCGACATGGAATTCAAATGCAGTGGTCATTCGAAGTTCACCAGGTTTAAGATAAGGCGTAGGCACATTGTTACGATGTGAGTTGGGAAAAAAATAATCCTGAATCTCGGTACTATAATGCATAAATTGCCACATTAATTTAAAGTTTTTTTGGTGCTACAACTCAACGCCGGATTTCTTTACCGTTGACGATCCGTCCAGGGTCCGTAATGAAGCATTGCATTCCACACAAGTATTCGAACTCCCCATTCAGGCGGAAGGCCCCCGTTACCCACATCGATCCCGACTCCTGAGGATCCCAGTACATCTGTGGATGGTACCGGACCTGTAAAAGAAAACACAGAGTTAGTTACATACATATGTTCATATTCTTTTCCGTCGCGTCCTTTTTACTACTTTCCACATTCTCAATACGATCAATATCTGAGCACATACCTGGAACATCAGCATAGTACAAGACGGCCAACTTGCTGCACTCGAGTACATTATTGACACGCGCGTAATCCTCATGAAAAGTTGTCGAGCGGCCAGTGGTACGATCCGAATCGCGTTGCGCGCGCATGATTCCATGCATGTGTTGCATGTGACCAAACTGTCTTGTTTTGGCGGCAGGGTGGAATAAGGCTTGGAATGGATAGAGAAAGAAATTCATTGTTCTATGTGAGGAACGATAATGTGAGTTTTAGCCCGATACACTGCTATTTGGGTTCATGGAAACGGTTTGTCGTCATTGCTCTATTTTTGTTTTGTGTTTTTTATTACCGTCGCCAAAGCGGCCTTGGTTTCTGTGGCGGTTGATCGCTTTCTGGTTGAGCATATGTGAAGTCCATATTATCCTTAAGACTGATAGTAGTTTTGCGGAGAACCAGATCGAGGACTGATTTGTAGTGATCCATCTCGGCACGCGACTCACTCACGCTCCATATACCGCTCGCTTGCACGGCCTGACCCACGATCATACTGCGGAGTTCATTATTCCCGATCATGATGGCGCCTGTGGTACATTCAAATTGCACAGGCATCAATCGTAATAATAAGGAGGCTTCGACAGGTATTTGGCTTTCTGGATCGCGAACTTCGCTTTTGGTCGTCGTCGTCGTTACAGTTGGCGGATCGGATGTTGTGGGATGATTTGACGGTGGATCAGATGCTTTTTCAAATAGACCCGTTAATATACATCATATACATAGCAGCAGGGAATACAAAGTGGGTATACCTTGATCATTGTTGTCATTGTTTGATGGAGAATTAGAATTTGCTGAGGGAACACCGAGAACATTTCTCATGGAGTCGTAGGCGGCAGCGTTATTGTAAAGGAACCACTCGAGCCCTTCCACGCTACAGACTATTCGACATGGCAGTCTGCTTTTGGATGCATCTATCATATTCGTTGTCACAGTCAGGAACAAAGCATCACTGATAAAAAAAAAAGTCCATTTCATAGTGTCGATGCTTGCCTGTCTGTTCGCTGTCAGCCTTTCGGACATTCATTAACCAGTATTGAATGGAAACATGGCCTTTGACGATAGATATGGATTGATTGGTGGAGTGGTATCGTAAGTTTTTAAACAGTACTCGTGCTCCTAGGAGAGTGACACGTATAGAATCTACAATGGAAAGACGGAGGGAATCAATGAGCAATACAAAAAAGAAGTAGGGCTTAATTGTTTATTTATTTATTGTCTTAGTTGCCGTACCAACTTCAATGTAAGCATTGTAGCGTCGCCAAGTATACTGATTGATTAGCCAAGTCAAGATTTGGCCGAGAGCGCGGTTAAAGTAGAATAAGAAAAAGAGGACGACTACAATGACAACCAAGCAATAGACAACAAACATCCAAAAGTCAGACACAGTCTGAACATTGCTGCTGGATGTAAGCTCAGCGCCCGATTGGACGGCTTCGGCGAGCATAATTGTTGTGACGAAAAAAAAAGAGAAAAGAGTAAAAAGAAGAGTGTGGTTGTTATTTGTCGTTCGTCTCGTTCCAAAAATTCAAGGTACCAAAAACCTAAAGGGATTCACAGTGCATACATACCTCGCGTGGTGGTGGTGGTGGTGCATTGCCAAACGGTCACATCCCTCCGCTTACCCGGTTTCCTATTCCGTAACATAATGAAAACATTCATCGACCCAAAACGGCCGGCCAATCAGAAAATACCTTGTGTCGCGTGTAGGTAGGTAGTCGTACAATTGTCGTCATGCCTCGTTACCATCGTTATCTGAAGCCTATTCTTTTCATGTGTATGCGATAACGCTGTCAGCCTCGTTGCCCCTCTCTCGCACTGCCCTGCGAATCGGATATATGGGCAAATCTACCGCTCCAGTTTTATGCCATAGATTAGTAATAGTTGCAAATTAGGTTCCGAGCTGTTGTAACACAAGAATTATGCGCAAACTCAGTTCTATTTTTTGACAGTATTAAAAAAACCGTTGGATCGTCAACTACTTTATTGTACATACCGTGGCTCGTTTGATAAAGATTCATCACTCTGTATATTCTTAAAGGCAGCTATTTGCACTATCACTTGAGAGTTATGATCCTACCCAAAAGAACATCTTTGCACCCGCTTATTCCTCAAAGACACGAACATGACACATTGCAACTAGCTCCACTTATTAAAAAACCCCCTCTATTGTGTCCATGCTCTTTCCTTTCTCCGTCAGCATCCTTCTTGGTAAGTGAGGTGGAATGAAGTTAATCTTGACAACAGTGCTTTCAATGCTTTTTAATTGCTCAAGGACTTAGATAAGTGTAACTTATAGATAGAAAGCGTTAAGAAAGGACTTTAACAACTATCTCCTTGTCGGTTATGTCTTTATCGACTTTTTCTCTGCTGTGTGCTTCTGCCATTTTTAGAATTAAGACAGAATGGGGTGTTCTTTACGAGATTTCTTAATAGTGACTATGAACTGAATATAGGCTATTACTTGACGTCTGTCACGACAAAATAAATATTGGTCTACACCAAAGATATGATCTGCTCACCGTGATCTGCTTGCTCGTATCCGTCTGTTTCGGCTGGTATACTACATGGTATGTCGCATATCATACAGAAAATCATGGGTTCATCATTTTATAAATAAGCTTTTTGTATGTATAAAAACAAATATCAGCTAGCGTGCAATAAGAGGACTTGCTTTTACAGAGTTGGTGATGTGCAATCCGTGTATCTAGAAGTTGTTCTAGCGGTGTGTTGTATTGACGGCTCATATGCAAAACCGGTTTAATCTAAGCATCCTCATTTATACACATTGGAACAGTTCGAAAAAAAAAGTCCCGACTCGATTTGGTTTTAGATCTGTAGGGGCTGCTGAGTGGTACTTGGCCAGCCACAGCCTTCAGCAGCACCGTCCCATTCAAGCGTGTGAATGACACCTTCGTTGTGTGGGGCCGACAATGCCCGAATAGAGAAACAAGACCACACCTTTACTCTTTTGTTTATGCTGCGCGTGTGTGAGAAAACAATTACTGTATACTTTTGTTTACTGTGGAACTTGGCGCTTCTTCATAGGTCCTGCACGCAATCTTTCCATTGAGAGAAAGAATACCTTTACATGTCAAAGCGCTAATGAATCCGGTACGCTATAAAGAATTCACTGATAGAACAATGCTTACGAGTCTATGCGATTCAGTATACAATGGCAAAAGATATAACTGTGTGTGTGTTTGAACGTCCCGTAAAATTTGGTAATAAGGTTAGAACCCAGCAATGCAAAAGGGCTTAAATTGACTCTTCGGGGTTGTCTGAAACCGCTTTTTTCCATAGTCTGCACTTTTTTTCTGCATATAAAAACCAGCGCTTTTTTGCCAAATTTCCCCCCGTGATGATCAGAGCAGCTGTACGCACACCCTATATCAGAGCCTGTCTCAATCAAACCCGCACACCTTTAGCAAGAAAATTCATCATGTCCAACGCCACCCGTAGCTTCGTTTCCTCTGTCGAAATCCCCAAGGTAGCTTTGCTTTGTTTTTCTCTGCAGCAGTAGTATTATCCACACTGGGCCAGAGTCGACACATCCCATTCACACGCCCTTTTCTCGTTATTATCATCATCCATAGTTGTCTGACTCGTCCTTGTTCCGTAACGGAGCCTTCATCAACGACGAATGGATTACTAGTGACAAGACCTTCAGTGTCGTTGGTAAGTTTTTTTTTTAATTCTCTGTCATATTCAAAACGCGCTTTGAGTTTTCAAATGACGCTTACATAACTTCAATAACACGCTGCCTTATGCTTACGAATCACGATTTATGACTATGACTTGGTTTTACACAAAAAAACAGACCCTGCCACTGGCAACGAGATTGGCAAGTTGCCCGAAATGGGTGCTCAAGATACCAAGAAGGCCATCGAGGCCGCATCCGATGCCTTCAAGACTTGGTCGCAGACCACTGGCAAGCAACGCCACGACTTGTTGAAAAAGTGGTACGACTTGACGATGGAGAGCCAGTCGGATTTGGCTACAATTTTGACCTGGGAGAACGGTAAAGCGTATGCTGAGGCCAAGGGTGAAATCGCCTATGGTGCAAGCTACTTTGAATGGTTTGCCGAAGAGGCTGTTCGCTCGTACGGTAACGTCATTCCCTCGCATATGCCCAACCAGCGTTTCCTTACCATCAAGCAGCCCGTCGGTGTTGTCGGTATCATCACTCCCTGGAGTAAGTGTTTGTTTTTCTTGAATTTCCAGTAGTCGCGTCGTTCGCTATCGATCGATCGATCGTTTGCGTCGTGCCTATGTGGGGTTTGTAATCAAATATAAAAATTCTGACAAACCGTGGAACGTTCAGACTTCCCCAACGCCATGATCACACGTAAGGTCGGTGCTGCTCTTGCTGCAGGCTGTACCGTCGTCATCAAGCCTGGTGCTGAGACTCCTTACTCCGCTTTGGCCTTGTGCGAGTTGGCCCAACGCGCTGGTATCCCCAAGGGTGTCATCAACGTCGTTACCACAGACAAGAGCGTTGCTGAGGTTGGAACGGAATTGTGCACCAACCCCATCGTCAAGAAGATCTCCTTCACTGGTTCGGTATGTTACATATACTGGCGTGTGTGGTATGATTACTGATTGTATATTTTACTTTGTTTTGCTAGACTCCCGTTGGTAAGCTTCTCATGTCGCAGTCCTCTGGCACCATGAAGAAGGTTTCCATGGAGTTGGGTGGTAACGCTCCTTTCATTGTCTTTGACGATGCCGATGTGGATGCTGCTGTTGAAGGTAAATACGAGAGGATACATCACATCAAGTAAAGAGAGGGGATTGCTCATGCGCAATTGTTCTTTTTACACAGGTGCCCTTGCATGCAAGTTCCGTGGCTCTGGCCAAACTTGTGTCTGTGCCAACAGAATCTACGTGCAGAAGGGTATTTACCCTCTGTTCGCTTCGCGCTTGGCCGAGAAGGTTTCCAAGTTCAATGTCGGCCACGGCTTCAACCCCGATACCACACACGGTCCCTTGATCAACGACAAGGCCATTGAGAAGGTCAAGCGTCACTTGGACGATGCTGTCAGCAAGGGCGGTGAGCTTTTGGTGGGTGGCAAGCACTTGGGCGGCAACTTTTTCGAGCCTGCTGTTATTACTGGCATGACCAGCGAGATGGCCATTGCTGGCGAAGAAACGTTCGGTCCTATTGCTGGTATCTTTGAATTCCAAACCGAGGAGGAAGTCCTTGCTCTTGCCAACAACACCGAGTTTGGTCTTGCAAGCTACTTTTACTCCCGTGACATTGGCCGTATCTGGCGCATGGCTGAAAAGTTGGAAACCGGTATGGTTGGCGCAAACTCGCCTATTCTCTCCAGCTGCTACACGCCTTTCGGTGGTATCAAGGAGAGTGGCATGGGCCGTGAAGGTTCGATGTACGGTTTGGATGATTACATGAACATCAAGTATATCAACATGGGTGGTCTCTAAAGTGATATGATATCCTGCTCATTGCTCACACATGCCCCCAATTCAAACACGCATTTCCGATCAATTGTACATACATACACTTTCCTCATCTTTTTCCCTCCTTGACCAATACAAAGCGTATACTACTTTAATTACATATCTTGGTTGCTGGTGTGCGTCTTTAATCGACGTTGTTTATTGATAACAAAGTCCTGCGAAGTGAATAATGTTAGTTGGTCACGTGTTTTTAAAGCTCATCACCTGCTACATCTTTAATCTAGCTAGTTCCCGTCTCAATGCTTCGATCATGGTTGCGTGCTGTTCTTTGTCAATTCTCGATTGCTTGACTATGTCCTTGCAAAACTCAGGATCTTCCTTTCCTTGCTGCAACGCTAACTTGGTTTGCGATTAATTTTTAAATGTGTCCATTCTTTCGAGAAGCTTTCCGACCAACGTCATCGTGTACTTTTAACGGGTCGCGTTGCGTTGCCAACGTATGGGCACAGTCTTTGAGAGGGGCTTGGTTTGTTTCTTGCAGCATTGATGGACCATCGTGGTGGTGCTGGTGTGAATTGAGTTAAGAATTGTGAGCCAGTAGTTACAATGGAAAGTCATCTTATTCAACGTTTTGTTGGTAACCATATCTGAAGTAACTTACGCTACATAAAAAGCTAATCTAACGATATTTCTTCCAAGGGATGTAGAAAATGATAGCAAGAAGCATTGAAAATTAGCAGTAGCCAGGGAACACTGTTGTATGTAATTATCTGGGGTTTATGGCGTATCCTGCATCTACGCACATGTTGCTGCTGCAGATTGTTGCAACTAGAAATAATATGTTATACTGTATTACATAAGCATACGCACACTGATCAGCACAAGAAAATAACTAGCCTTTCTTCGATACCTTTGATGCATGAATCTATGATGCATCTGGCAGTTTAGACATCGTAGTCATAAAAGTGTTTCTTGGTAGCCGGCTGCTAATTTTACAACTATAGTAGCTGGGGCAGCTTTTGCTCCATAAACTGTATTATTGTTTGACTGTGCGTTAGGAAATGTGCCTGTATATTTATAAAGCTAGAACAAGGTATATATCCGTAATAAGTAGCATCTAGAGAAGATGATAATGCCTAACGAATGGCTATGCGTCCAGGTGTCGTTACGACAAAGTATGAAATACACACCTTTTTTAGATTTAACTTTGTGCTACTACTGACCTGATATATACATTGAGGATACCCCTGAGTTTAAGAATATATCAATTTCGTCGCCTACCTCCTCTTCTCATGAAGGCTCTTTCTTCTTCTGACATGTAAGTGACATTGCGATTGTTTGTGGGTAGAAGGTGCTATAGGACACTAAAGAAAAGTGTGTCCGTTCCGCTGTGATTGACACACAAGACAAAGAAGGGTAATGCTATTGTTGTTGACAGAGGCAAAAAGAAGGAATATGCACGCATCGGTGCACATGCAGAAATGCAATTTCTGGTGTAAGAAAGATCAAAAGAGCCCGCTCGCTGTATTTCATGTACCTAATTTACAAATGGGAAAGGCAGTGCTCTCCAAATGCGGTACTTATTATTTTGCACCTCAGAACGAAGGTAAGAACCACCACCACACGCTATAACAACAAAAGACACTACACAACAGCCCATAGTGCACACACACACACGCACACACACACACCCTCTCTTCTCTTCTCTTTCCTTCTTCTTTCTTTCTCCTCTTCCTTCTTTCTCTCTTTACCTTTTCCCTTTCGGCTTTCTTTACTTGCACACACGCACACACACGCACGCACGCACGCACCACTACGCACTTTTGCGCTTTTGCTCCTTTTTTTTTCTTTTCTTTACTCTCTCTCTCTCTTTTTTTCCAAAAATATAATTCTGTTGAGTTGCAATGACCGAAGGTAGTATTATTATTTACACAGTTGTCACCATGGCAATCGTACACAGTTTGTTGACTGTTTTTCATTCGCATTTGTGCTTTGTTCTTTTACAACAAAAAAAGATAAATACAGAGCCAAGTACAAGGAACTGAAACGACGAGTGCATGACATTGAAGATGTAACACTATTTTATTTTCGTCGTCCCGCCCCTCACTACCCCTCTCCTGCTCAATTCCCAATTGACTCATTTACCTTATGATGGGTGTAGGAAAATGATCTTCTTCATGTACGAATTCACAAAGCTCGTAAGAGTATCAATCGTTTAAGATTAGAACGAACGTGAGTTGAACGATAGAGAGTTGTGCTTAAATGAAGAGAGGAGGGTGCTTGTGTGTCTGGCTGAGAAGGTTTATGGGCGATGATGAAGATACTGATATCTGTCTATATCTCTCCCGCACCCCTTTTATACACAACTTTTAGTTTTCTGCTGGAAAGAATGGAAAAGGTCCATCACCATTCTTCGTCTTCTCGAATAGGCAACACGTCAACAGCTTTGGCCGACAGTGATCATTCAGATATAGGATATGATGAGGACATGGTAACACACCCCCCTTTTTCCTACAAAGTTTGACACGTTTTGTGGCTGCGTGTGCTGGCTGGCGATACCTGACTCTCGGATGTACATATGATGCTCATTATGTATAAAATTAGTACCATACATCAAATCATGGCGGAAAGCGCGGACGAATAGACAAAACGCTCAAGACGCCCAAAAAGAAAAAGGATCCCAACGCACCCAAAGGCCCGGGCAACGTGTTCTTCTTATATTGTCGATTGGAGCGAGACAAAATCAAGGACGAATTCCCGCAAGAGAACTTGGGTGATGTGACAAAATTGCTGGGTCAAAAGTGGAAGGGTTTGACAAAGGATGAAAAGCAGGTAAACTATATGATTTTATGAAAGAAGAAATGGGTGGCAATTTTGACTCACTGAGTGATTGCAGAAATACTATGACATGTATAGAAAGGAAATGGAAGAGTATGAGGAGGCAATGAAGACGTATGTTGCTGGTGGTGGATCAGCCAATCCTACGACTGCCGCAGACGCAGATGCGGACGCCGACGCGGACGTACAAGTCGAAGCAGACGCGGACGCAGGAGAGGATGAGGAAGAGGAACAGCCTGTACCTGATGATGTGGTGGCAGCTGCTGCAGATGATGCCGCAGCGGCAGCAGCTGTCGGTTTTTCAACCATGTCGTCGCCAACCCACTTATCCTCGGCAGCTTCGCCTCCTGAACTCCACAGCGATCCGATCGTTCCGGACGACGGATACAACGATGGTGATGTGACCATGAATGACAGAGACAATGAGAATGACGATACTGCTGCACCCGCGGCTGGATTGGCAACAACGGCTTCTCCGTCACAACAAGTCCCCACATCCACATTAACACAAAAAGAGGAACATCGTGAAGAAGATCAAGAACAAGGACAACGAGAAGACCATCATCCATCCAAAGCAGATCGCGTCCCAGTTTGGCGATCAACAGACGAAACAAAGGCTTCCACGTAGACATTTATCGTTATTCAGACACACTTAATGCACAACAACAAACAAAACTTGAATTGAACATTTCTATAATGACTTCATATCTTAGTTGATTCATGAAATATGAAATGAAATTGCAAAAACAAAAAGTATAAAAAGGTAGCAGAGAATGTATGGTGTATGTGTTTGATGAGGATTCTATGTGATGGCAGCAGGGGATAGGGAGGATAAGAATGCAGTTTTGTTTTGTTATCGATGGGTACTACTATAAAATATGAAACTTTTCTCTAGGGTGGATGTTTCTTCCACGAAGTGTTCTAATCGCTGTCTGTATCAGGTTCGCGTTCACCGCCTTCAATCAACCACTTGAGTTTTCGTGCACGACGGCGTGCTTCTTGGTCCTTGAGCTGAGCTCTTGTCTTTTTCTTCTTCTTGCTGATACGCGCCTTGACCTTTTCATCGTCCACCTGGACTTCGTCCTCGACCGCGGACTTGCCAGCCTTGCTCACACGACCCGCTTCCAAATGCCAGGCCTCGGGGCACAGAGCAGACGTGAACTCGTCCGAGTGAGAAATCATGACCACAGCACCTTCCCAGTTCTTGATAGCATTTGCCAAACCACCAAGAGCATCGCGGTCCAAAAAGTTGGTAGGTTCGTCCAATACAAGCATGTGCGAGTTGTTCCACATTGCTGCAGCAATGACCACCTTGACCTTTTGACCGCCACTGAGCTCACCCATCTTGCTGTATTGGGCAATATCGGCATCCAAGCCAATATCAGTGAAATGCTGTCGGATAGAAGCCACGTTCAATTCGCGGTACAACAAGCCTTCACGCGATGCTTCCTTGTCATCGAATTGCTGGACGAGTTTCTGGAAACCGAGTTCAAGCAGCTTCTCACGAGATACCCAGCTGTTGTTCTTGTGTCGTTCATTTCTCCACTTGATTTCATACTGGAAGGTCTTTTTATACTTGGCACGACCAATCAGGTACTAAAGAAGAATCACTTGTTAGCAACTATTAATCACAGACAGTAAAAGAGTAATAAAGGAATGATGGATCTTACTTCGATCTGTCGAGACTTGCCGTCAATGTCAATATATTTGTCCAATTGCTTGGCTTCGTCCTCTGAGATCTGACGCGTTTCCTTCATGGAAACTTCCTTATCCTCACCCGTCTCGTAACGCCATCGGAGATACTCCATGGGCGTCTTTTCAAGATGTTGTTCTAAATGGTGGAACGCGTGCTGGGCAACATAACCAATACGAAGTGCAGGATGGCGCCATACAACACCGGTCTGGGGTACGACTTCACCGGTCAATAACTTGATCAACGTGGTTTTACCGGCACCGTTGGCACCAAGGACAGAGACACGGGAGGAGAGAGACAAAGAAATTGTGGCATTGTAGAGTGATGGGATGTCTCGACCAGGATACTGGAAGGTACAATCGGTTGCCTTGAGAATAGCCTTTGTGTTGCTGCGGACACCTTGCAAAACGGAGGGCTTGGGGAACGAAAAGCTCACAGTGGATGATTCAAGGGTATAATAGTTGGCAGCGGGTGGGTATTGCTCAACAAAACTAAAAAAAAATAAACAATTAATCATTGCGTCATGATAAATAAACAAACAAACAAACAAAGAAACAAAAACTACCGCAGCAACTTACCTTGTGAGATTGCCCGAGTAAAGGCGAAGCTTCTTCTTCTCATAATGCAAAATCTGTGTGCACACAGCATCCAAGAAGCCTGGGTCGTGAGAAACAATCAAACAGGTCACGTCCTTTTGGCTGACAAGGTAGTCTTGCAACCACTTGACATTGTGGACATCCAAATGGTTCGTAGGTTCATCGAGCAACAAGATATCAGCCTTGAAGAGAATGGCACGAGCCAACTCCAGCTTCATCTTCCAACCACCGGACAATGTGTTGACAATGACCTTGAGACGCTCGTCATCGAATCCAACATCCTCCAGACCCTTCTTGACATCTTCGCGGCTCAGACTCTTGAGATTGGGATCGGCGCATGCATAATCCAACACCGACAAGGAGGTATCGGCTCCCTGGGCCGCATAATCGACCATGGCCGTTCGAACTTGGTCCTTGGAAGGAAACTCCTCGACTTTGCCCTGATCAATCGATCGCATCAATGTGGATTTACCAGCACCGTTTTCACCACACAGACCGTAGCGTTGGCCTCGATGGAGCTTGAGCTTGGTGTGATTCAGCAAAAGACGGGTACCATAAGCGAGCGAGAAATCTTGAATGTTGCACAATTCTTCACCCTCTTGATCATCGAATGACGAGTCTGTATTGCCGCCATGTTGTTTGTACAGATTCAGGAAATGATCAAATACTCGGTTGCACATGGCGGGCACGTCGCGAGGCATCAGCACGGTGTTCAAGTAGTCGGAAATGACATCGGCCCATGTATCCTTGATGTATAGTTCTTGGCGCACCCAGTCGGCAACGACGGCGCCGGTGTACGTAATAAAGGGATTGAAGAACGAATCGAGGAACCCCTGAATCTTTGTTGCCTCCGCACGAACTACCTTGGTTGCATCCTCTACCGAGACCTGGAATGCACCAACACCGTTGTTGTTGTTGTTGCCGTTACCATCGGCATTTTCGTTTTGCTCCACTGCACCGCCAGCATCAATCAAAGTCTGCTTAGCATGGCCAGCCAATTCACGAATTTCGGGGAACGAAGCGGATTCTGCTTGATAGTTGACACCTGGGTAAAGCTGGGGCAAGAACTGTGCGGCAGTGCGGGGATCACGCACAAGCTTACACAAGTTGTCGATAATAATGACCGTCTGCCGCATCACCAGTGTGGATCGTTCGTTGAGCGCACGTGTCAGCAGGGGCACCATGATGGCCAGCGTAGGGCCGTTGACTTCAGCAACAAATGTGGTTGCTGCCAATTTCTCGATCGTCTTTGGTACACGTGTGGGATCGCCCATGCAGCGGACCAGATCCTTCAAATGCTTTTCGATATCCGGGTTACCACCGACAGCACACACGGCCATCATGGTCTTTTGTGCCGCATTGGCGACCTCGGCCTTGGTGTCTGACAAACAATTGGATACGACAGGGATGATTTGCGGCAAACACTCGCCGATTTGCTCAGGGGATCGTTTGGTGTACTTGTCCAATAACTGCAAAGCGCCCAATTTGGTCTGCCATTTCTTGGAGCCATTGTGGCCCATGCCATCGTAGAGGATAGGCAACAAGATATGTGCTGCTTCGGGACGGACGGCGTTGACGAGGGTTTCTGAAGCCATTTGTGCTGCCTCCTGCACGACGGTGCCCTTATCGGCATACAAGTCAAGGAACAGGCCGAGATATTGCAAAAGCAAAGGCACACCAGAGTTACCCAACACATCGGTCAGGGCATTAAAGCCAATCAGTGCGCCTTCTCGCTCCATGCCAGACTTTTTGTTACGTGCTGCTGAATTCAGCTTGTCGAGGATGCCATGGTGCTTTAACAAGATAAGACCGCCATCTTTGACGATCTTTGCCAATTGACGAGCTACTTCATCACACTCTTCGCTCGTAGGGGCAGTGTTAATCTTTTTTAAAAGATCGGCGATCGTGGCTGCCACGTCAGTTGTAGGGACTGCCATGGATAGAGGAAGAGAGTCCGAGGAAAAAGGAAAAGTGATAAAGGGAAGAGAGAAAGGGACTGTCGCAGCAAAAAAAAGAAATATTCCTTTTTTTTTTTTTTTTTTGGGATAACAAAAAAAAAAGTATGTTTACTCCGCCACGATGTCCGAGTCAAATCAAAGGACAATCTCGATGAATCAAAATCATGCGGAAGGATTCAATGGGCCAATCAATACACATGGAACGGTTTCTCCCTTTGCTAATTTCTGTTTTCCTTCAGTCCATGCGGGTAGCTTGAGGAGTCCATTCGCTTGTCGCAAGCTGAGCATCCGACTACTACGCTGGCCACCCGTTGATCCTGCAATGAACCTGTTGCCCACGATGGAAACTCGTACTCGGTGGTATTCTGGCCGAGGATCCAGGGAGACATCGTCGGTAATCTAAATTTTTCCAGTCCCCCTCCCTCTATTAGTGAGTGCTTAAGCTACTGCTAGATAAAAAGAAGAAAAAGGCTACCTCTACTGGGATGACCGGGTTTTCATGCTGAGCGTATCCAGCCATCTTTCTAAGCCCTGGAAGGACAAACAGGTAGAATGTCACTATGGCTGAAGCAGGATTACCAGGCAACGCAAAGATGAGCTTGTTATCCGAGTCTCTTGTGGCAAATGTCGTTGGTTTTCTATATTCCGCTTATATTTAAACGATCGACGATGATATGATTGCTATCTCCTTCTTTTGAGTCCACATAGGATGACTTACCCTGGCTTCATCTTTACTCGACCAAAATGGATCTTGGCACCAATCTTCTGCTCCAACACAGGCTTCATGAAGTCTGCCTCGCCCATCGATACACCGCCAGTGGTAATGAGTACATCTACTTGTTCCAGGGCCTCTCGTAGCCTTGATTCAATGTCATGAACCTTATCCTTGATAATCCCCAAATCAATGGCCTCAAACCCTGCCGTTTTGATAGCACCAAGCAAAGTAATTCGATTCGTATCTCGGATCTCACCCTGTTTCAATTGGGCAGTGCTGACATGGTCCACTACCTCGTTGCCAGTAGACAGCACACCCACACGTGGCTTGCGATAAACTTGAACTTGACGAATACCAACAGAGGCGAGCACGCCGAGTTCTCCACCTACTAATGAGATGTTTTGGCCTTTGTACCCGACCACCGTGCCAATGTCACAATCGCTTCCGATTTCACGGATATTTTCGCCACTCGTTATTGATTTGGCCAGAATCTCGACGCGTTTCTCTTCTTTGCCGTCTTCTGACACTTCTACTAGTCTTGTGTCTTCCACCATCACCACGGCATCCATCTCGGCTGGGACCATGCCTCCGGTTGCAATACGAACGATATGATCGTGGGGTATCCTTGATGATGATGATGATGAGTCATCATTATCGCTTGCAAGCGAAACGGATCCAACGGTGTAAATGCCCGGTCCTTGTGAAGCTATTTGAACTCTTCTGTTAATCAATGCGCTGTGTCCGTCTTTTTTTTTAAAAAAAAAAGCTTCCAAACTTAACCATACCACGCACTGCATAACCATCCACAATTGATGCGCGATAACCGGGAACGGCTTCAACAGCCTCGACATCCTCTGCTAACACGTGACCAAGAAGCTGTTGTGAAACACGGACTGATACAATATCGGTAAGATGAGCATTATCTGCCACCAGCTTTTCTGCTTCATCCACAGGAATGATGGGATAAGGCGAAGTTCTTGCACGTTGAGATACTATTTGTTCCTCCGATCAATATTAATCTCCAAAATTTTGCGATAAGCCAAGATAACAATTCCATCGCCTCCGCCGCGATCTATACATATCGCTTATTTTGTATAACTTTCTATACCTGGAGCATCAAGAGATACGGATCGACTCTCGTGTTGACCATGTGTATCTGAACGGTGTACGCAAGCGTGACCTTTATGATGGTGATGATGATGGCCGTGATGATGCCCGGAGTGCTTTTTTGATGACGACGGTGGTTGATCCTTCAACAAATCCATTCCATGAGGCAAAATATTCAATATGGCCATCAAGTTTTCCTTGCAAGCTTTGGGACTACCCGGAAATGATATGACCAACGTTTTTTTACGAATCCCGGTCACCGGTCGGGAAAGCGCAGCAAAAGGTGTGACGGCCACCGAACTAGCCAGTAACACATGAGTTATTCCAGGTGTCAACCGATCCAACAATGGTGTAACTGCCTAAACGTAATATATGGCGGCCCCTTTTATTAAAGTACTTATCCTGAAGCAAAAGTTATTAGAAAACAACAAGAGATTATTACCTCGGGTGTCTGATCGCGCGGGGAGAAACCAGTACCTCCAGTGATAAGGACAAGGTCAACACCCATAGTGTCGCACCAGTGCTCGACAGTTTTCTTAATGGGCGTTGGTTCATCGGGTACAATGGCTGTTTGTCGAACATTGTATTGACGTGTTTCGGTCAACAATTCGGCTAATAATGGGCCGCTTTTGTCTTTTGTTGCGTCGATTGAGGAAGTATCGCTGACTGTTGTAGGCCGAGCGGTATCCCACACGTAAAAGAGTATATTCAGTCAGCACAGTTTGTTATGGGAAACGCGGTGGTGGCGGTGGATGGTGAGGTGTCATGCTCTTGATTACCTGTAAGTATGCCAACAGTGTACATTGAAGCTATTGATAAAGGACGGAGTTGAGTTATTCGAAATGTTGGTATTAGTGAATGGCTGGCTTACGCGTGTCGTTTTCGGCTGCCATTGCTCAGCGTTCGGAAAAGAAAGGAACGACACACAGGAACGTAACATTATGATTGAATTTTTGAACGTTCTGCTAGCTGTCGGAAGTTGTTAGCTAAAAAAAAATATGCCGACAGGCCCAGAGCTGCTATTTGTTGGTGCAGCGTGATCTGCCACGCACGTAGGCCCTCTTTTTCTGGTCTTTCTCTTTCACCTATAAAACGAAACAACTTCACTCTTTCTTTCTCTGGCACTGCCAAACTCCCTTATAAATACTCCCTCTTTTTTTTTCCATTACAGACAAATTCAAAACAATGATTCCGATCGTAGCTGTCATTATCACAGCTATACTTGTACTCATTCCCTCTGCGCCTCTATTCATCTATATACTTGGTTGCCTTTTACCAAAAGACCATGTTGTTTCGCGCACCAAAGCATACAAAAACATCACAGCTGAACGGTTATGGCAGATTCTGACGGATGTTGAAGCGTATCCATCATGGCAGCCCACTTTGGAGCGCGTGGACTTTGACAAAAAAGAAACGGACCAAGGACGACAACTCGTCTATACAGAGCACACCAAACGCAACAAACGTATCACGACTACGATTATTGTCAGCAACAACAGCGGTAACCAATCAACGACAGCAGCAACAGCTTCTGAACAGCGTCAGATACTTTCGCGTGTCATTGAAGAAGATTCACGACAACGGCAAGATAAACCGACGTTTGTAGGCACTTGGACGTTCCAGATAAACAGCACGACGGATGGTGAGGTGATTCTCGAAATCGTGGAGGAAGGATCGATTCCAAGGCCCATGGTGCGCCTTTTGCATCTGGTTTTGCTGGGATTCCATCGACGACTGGACCGTTTCTTGAAGGATTTGGGACGGAGCATTCAAGAGGATGGCAATAATGGCGTTACAACGAAGAAGCAAAAACCTGAGAGACTTTTACCATCCGAGCAGCAAACAGCAGACGCCAACGAGAACAAAGCGGTATCAACGGGCGATAATACTGACGACGAGTCATCACATGTAACAGACAAGAGTACCACAGGTGTAACCATGGACTGCGTCACAAAGGCTACTAGCATGATGGTTCAAGATGATTGGGATTTCATGAGCGAAATCTATGAAAAGCCTGCTACGGCTTCTGCTTGAAGAATGACTCTTCTCTGTCTCTGCTCACCCACATCCTCATTTGTCGCCAACATTGATCGATTGTTCCACACTTTGCAAATACTTCTTCCTCAGAGCTACTACTATGACTGCTACAACAATTCACGATACCCCCTTTTTCATCTAACCCACAACTCCTCCATCTTCATCTCTTCTAAATCACTCCAGGTACACACATACTGCACTTATAAGCGCTCTTCATGTTGATACATCTCGCACTTTATCCCCCGAGACTTGTTTAATTAGCCTCAAGCATTCAGTAAAAAAGACTAAGACAAAGATAAGCCTCTTTATATTTCGTTCATTGCGCTATATGATTTATACAGGTAAAAGTGCCAATATATTGAAAATGTACTACATAGATGATAAAGGTGCTCATAATACAATGGCATGATGAAAAATATGATATACTGTCTGAAGAAGGAGGGTATCATTTAACTGCTGCTGATAAAAAATATAGTGGTGTCCATTACTGGTGCCAGATCTGTTTAATGACTTGTTGTCCGCTTCCTAGTACAAGGCAAGCGACTTGTCGATAAGCGTATACCGTAACGTCAAAGAGAATAACAAGCGTCACTGGAGCAAGTATGGCGGCAGCCAGGAATTGGGATGCTTTGGAAATGAGTTCGAACATTGTTGTTTTTGCTAGAGATTTCGCTAATGAATGGAAAAGAGAGGAAACGAATGTGCGGGGGAGAGATAGATAATGGTTACTTGTCGTGCGAAACGAAAACAATAGGTGTTGTTGGGAAAAGGATAGTTGTTGGGGCAATGCATAAGAAATCCTGGTTTTTTTCATTTGAAATCACTTGGCCTGTGCTTTTTCCAATTCATCCTCTGTCCATCCCACAAAAGCTAATACAGCTTGGCACATCTCGCGTGATACTGTGCATGCAGAGGGACACTCTTATAATCATGCCACTTTTTGAAGAAGAAAAAAAAAGAGCTTGTGTTATTATTTATTAATAAAAACTGCTCCATTTTTCCTTGGTCTATCTACACAATATATGGATATTCACGTCGTAAGTAAATCATATGTTCCATTAACAGCGATCTCATCAGTCGTTTGCACAGTCAGCTTATAGCACGTCGTCTGTATCTCGTATCATGTAACTTAGCATATTGATTATAATAAGCGTTAAGTTTTGCTAAATGGTGGGGTATCAACTACGACAATAGTCTACTTTTGCGAAATTAAATTTGCTATATCTTGGATGAAGATTACTCCAGCAATAGTAGTGCTTCATGCAAACCCTATCATCTGGCGGCACTGTTGTTCCTACATGAATGACATAAAAAATTTTCTGCAAGTCAACAATGCGATGTTAACAACCTCCACTACCTACTACATGGCATTTGTGATATCCACTTAAGATACTGCCATATGTAACATGAACTTATTAAATGATGAGCTTTAATTGTAACAACATTCTTGACAAATACTACTTTAACCGCTATCACCAGCCAAAGAACACGGGTATAAAACGACAGTAAGAGGGAAGGAAAAGAAATTGTGGGGGGAGATGGAGAGATCGTATGCCAAGAAGGTGAAAAAAGGAGGATGGGCGAAAGAAACAACTAAGGATAGTAGGTAGTAGTCCTGGTTGGTTGAGACATTTGTCTTGCTACGTTATAGCAACTTCCTCTAGGTACATCTTCCAGTAGTTCCTTGCTCCGAGCAACATCCAGCAGCTTCCTTCAACATGACAAGGTTTTCCTCCAGTGTACACGTATTGCCATTGAGACTGATTCCATATTTTCCGCAACATTGTGCGGTTACTGGACCGTTAGCATTTCCATTGTTGTCGTAGCAGCTGCAATAGAAAGGTTCTGCTTGAGCAGGTGTGGCCGCCAACAGGGTTCCGACGGCAAAAATGGCGAGTGAGAGCTTGATCAACTGCATGGTAATGAGACGTAGGATATTTAAAAAAAGTAAACGATCGAACAAAGAGATGGACTTTTTTCCTTTTACTCCCGCCTTCAAACGACCGACCTTTATATACTCAATTGTTCCAGGCGTCAGGATGATTTTGACGAAAAAAAAAACGGAGATGTTCGAGTTCATGGGTGAACCTCCTTGCTAGATAATCCTCCCCACCCCCCTCCACACACAATCATCATCGTCTACTTGGTACCAGACTAGCGCCAAGTCTAGAACTCTGGCCAATTCAATTGTTCCTGGCCCGATATAAATATCGTTACCATAAAAAGATTAATCAATTTTTTTTAGTCATGCTAAAGCATCTTGTACTTGTGCATTCATTTTAGCTATCATACCTCCTGCCTAATTACAGGCTTTCTGCTAATCACTACTGCTTTCAATTGCCAATAAGCTTTCTCTCTTCAGGCTGAAGTGTACACGGCACACGTTTCCAAAAAACCTTAATCTCTCGAAAGGATAGCCTATGTTTTAATTAGTTTTAGATGACTTCTGATTGCTATTGCTCAGTATAATGCACATATAGCTGCTATACGTTTATCGGGTCGCGTCAGCAACATATTTAAACCATGTGTTTTATACAACACTTTGCTGCATTACATATTTACATATTCTCTTTTTTTTGCAAGGAGCTGTTAAGAAGTAAGTGGCTTCATGACATTTTTAAGCGATGGAAACAAGAACGAATGTGTTTACGCGGTGTTGGTGCTTTTCTCCATATGCACGGCAGAAGTATCAACCCGCAAATGGCATTGGTCACTATTGGCAGCATCATACAGCAGCTATGCAGCAGCAATAACAGCAATAGCGACCTGAAAACAGTGACAATAGATTTTCTCCCTCCTTTCGATGATTAGTGATCGCAATTAGCTCCATCTAGTACGGATTTCCGGTTCTCCTTTCTTCTCTTTTCCCCTTTGATCCCACACCCCCTTTACTACATATTGTCAGCCCCAGCAACTCCTGCATGGGCTTCTCACTCTAATCTGCAGCAGAATCCTTATTAGTTCTGCTGCTGTCGTGTGCTGGAGAGAGGTAAAAGGGGAAGGAAAACAGGTTCGGTAGCGATCTATATGTGATGTGAGAAATATGTGGTGCATTGATCAACTATTATATGGACTTTTGACAGAGTTGTAGCAAGATCCATGATCCACTTATTGAAATAACAGCACCAAGCGGTGCTCGGCACTGATCATTATGAAGAACAGACATTTCCTTATGTGATAATTGATGAATCTCGGGTAGTCGGATAGGGGGATGCAGTAAACCATTAGGATGTAACAAACGACAAGAACACCTGTGTACTGAATTATGAAAATGTACGAAAGAGAGAGAGAGATAATTGATCTTGCGGCATTATTTGCAGAGAAGTAAATAGAAGAAAAGGGTGTAATATGTATAAGAGAAAGAGAATCATAGATCTAGCCCAAAGTCTTGTTAGAGTAATAAAAGGTCCGTACGCAATCCATAAATAAGTACTCAGCATAATAGATATTTTTGTCTTTCCTCTCCTTTTCTATTTTCCATGAGACCCCCTTTCTGACTTCCACATACTGTAGGTAGTGTACAGCGTTAGCACAGTACGTGCGTTTGAATCCCTTCGTTCTTTTCCTGTTATTTCAATTATCAAGAAGAAAATGATCATTTATAGGTAATGTGGAAAGATTTTGATCGTCATCATAAATCTGACCGGTAGAGTAGATAATTGTACGTCAGTAACTCATAGCAGCTGTGTCCAGTAGGATATGCGGAGTATGCTAATTGGTAATAGTCAACGCTAATTACAGATGTATATACACAATCACTCATCTTCGTACTTTTTGTGTAATTACAACGAAGCTCACAGTAAAAAGTTATAAATGATACACAAAAAGAAATTCTAAAACTTCATGCACCATTTTGACCATTTTACTGGAGAAATTAGAGACTATCCTCAGTTTTCAGCGAAGGTGTATAATGGATTAATTTTATAGAATTATATGGAAAAAGTACAATTATGTATGATAACGGACATGAAGTGAAGAAAAGTGCTTATTATACAGCCACAAAACTTGACATATATGTCGCACATGTGTTTCTTTTTTAAAGCTCTATAGTATTGATTATTCGTGAAGGTCTGTTAGCTCACATATCATAGCTAGCTTAAAGTACGTAAGACCCAATGGATAGGCTCTACTATGCATATGTATACACACTGTAGTCTATAGATAGTGAAGCATAATATCATTATTAAATCGTTGTATCATGTGCTTCCTACCGTTCATAGTCAGGGACTTGAAATTTCTTTTATCGAAACGACAGGTATTCGAAACGGTAAAGTCTTATGTACAGTACAATGCTTTTCATTTATAACTTTTACAGAAATTGATCGGAGGAAGTGGTACTACTTGTGCAAGTGGTTGGAGGAGCATGACCTTATTTGGATAGCTCCTTGTAAAGTCTTCTAGGGGGCAAAAACGATATTCAAAATTAGTCATGTCATCTTTTACTAAACAACCAAAAGAGAATCCGCATAAAGCTTTCTCGTCGTTGAGATGAACCAGAACACCTACAGTATTTTGGTATACATCACCATCTTAACGCTACGCAAAAAAAATTTTTAGAACTAACAACAAGACACACAGCGTGAGACTTTGAAGAATCATTGCTAATAACAATATTACTTACACTGATCAGCAATGGAACAATGTGCGGTTAGAGATATGAATAATGATCACAGAACCACTTGGTAGATCCGCCTCACTGAGAAGACTGTAGTACCAAGGACGTTTGTGAACCAATTATATTTTCCATAATTCAAATACTAGCTACAGTATATTACTATTTTTTCAATAAACCAGTACAGACTAATATACTACTATACCCTTTAAACGTTTAAGTACATGACGTCGAGCCCGCTCCGATTTACAATTCCAGGATATCGAGCAGACGATTTACAAAGTTCGTGTCTTGTTGTGGAAACTGACTTTCAGCAAGTGAAACCGTTTACAGGGTAGGGTGCATGATTTTAGTTGTAAGCCACTAGAATATACATCCTAAGTTACAAGAAAAGTGATAAATTTACGCAAAATGTTCGCACAACTCATCCTTCTGTTTTTCCATATCTACCTGATGAAGTCTGTCATAAGAGAAATTCAACGATCTATTTTCAAAGATATCTCATTTATTTATTATCATGTCTTTCTCCTATTGCGACTATTTATCGAATGATTACTGCAGCAACATAAGAAGAGGAAGATACTGTACAAAACTCCCATTATATGTTCCAAAACGGGTGGGTTTCAAAACGGCTGACAGTCATTGGCAAGCGATGCATCGAGGGCAGCGATCTGCTTGTCAGTGAGCCAGTGTAGAGCCATTCTGATTATACATATCTTGATAATAGCATCATTATATGTAGAGCCAGTCAACATTTGCTCTAGTACAACGATCAAGACTTAAACGCGAAAATGTTGAATATGGTAGTAAGAAGGAAAGTTAATCGCGTTCTTTCAAACCAATTTTATGCCGTCAACGCGCATGCAAAGTTGCGCACAACCCATGCATGTGTTTTGGTAATGATCTGCCCTGCTTGTTTTGACAGGGCCCCTCATTTTTTCTGAGTGCAGTGAGGAAGAGAGATACTCTGCTTCAAAGCGTGAGCTGCTTATAGACTGTGCCCTTGATAACTTTGAAAGAAGCACAGTACCTAGTCGCGGCCGATGTTACCGTATCCTTCGTTCATCCAACTTTTATACGAAGAGCGCATTGGCTACTCTTTTTGTAAGCTTACACTTGTGGTCCAGGTGCATGCACGGATCCCCGATGCGGATTTGCTGAGAAGCTGTGCCAGTATTGAGGACAAAATGTGCAGCTGCTCCTTGGGAAGCAATGCCTGGTATGATAGTACGAGAAATTTCACTAATATTGCGTATCGTACTATTGAGAGTTACTGTGTCAACGTACAAGGTATAAAAGAATGAATCATTCTTCGATCAACGTAGCAGCGGCACTACTGTGCAATAGTAAAGAGGTCGGTCTATCGGCATATCACTTTTATAACTGATTGATTGCAAAAATCCCAACTATTAAAGATGCATATGAACCTCAAGTTGATAACTTGAGGAATTGTCTTTGCCGCAACGCTTAAACTCAATGTGAGTCCCTACAGTATGCGCACTTCCAGCTAACATCACTTACAGTTAGCAAATTCATACTTTTTTTTCTTATTCGCCTCTTACCCAGCTCGCCCACTGTGGGAATATGGAGAATTGGAATTTGAGAATGAGCAAAACCATTTGTGGAGTTGAGTAATGGATAATTGTAGAGGATCGCGCACTGCGCGAGAAAGTACATATCACAGGCTTTGAAAAACAGGGTGATATGTGCCTATGACCTGGTTTTGGTATGAAAAAAAAAAGTATGTAGCCTGCAGCAAATACAGCTACTATATTCGGTAGCATATGTAAGTGAGAAAGGAGCTAATGCACACAAAGATAGTCGTTGCATATACTATGATGCTGCTGCATAAGAAGCGGCAACATAAACTGTCTCAATTTGGGGGGGGGAAGAAGGTTGTGGAATAAAGGAACAGTGTTCGAAAAAGTGAACATCTCAAAAACGGACAAATACATATTTATCACTACGTACGTAAAAGGACATCCGCTTTTTTTGGTTCACATGTTCGTCTTTTTTCTAGTTATGCATGTTACAACGTTAATATAGACATAGTCCCCCATATTGTTTACACCTTGTTATGCAAAAACCATATCCCCGACTCTTTAGTGTAAATGTGTATCATTACAGAGAGTGTAACATGTGATAGAAAAAACACAAAGTAGGAAGTGCATAATGTGTTATAGTAGAAGATATGTAGAAGCATACAGATGTAAGGACACTTCGACTTGCTCTTAATCTCTACTTTTTTTTTTGGCACAATGGACCTCAATCGCAACGAATTGTTAGTTGCGTGCTTCTGTCCAGTGTGCTCGAGGGCAATAGCAACACCGGCTTCCAAATGGTGCCAAGCAGAACGCACGAATATCATCAGCGGCGCGTTTTAAATGGTGCTTCACAGAGCTACTCACACAATGGTACTTGTTCTACACGCATCCCGAAGATTGAGTTTATCAATGTATCTTGTATATCTACTAGTGGGTGCCATTGTAGCCAATATTGAAGCCAATTTGCGCCAAAGCTCAACTCCATCACCGTTGCGGCCAGGCGACGATACTGATATGGACATGGATGATGATGTGGTGGTCGATTCTTCCTCCCCTAATA